AAACACCAATATAAATTCCTAGCGTATTTCCTTTAAATAGTCTGTAGCCTGCATATCGCTCAGGGCGATGGGTCAGGGTAAATGAATACAACTCAACTCAACTCAACTCAAGAGCAGTTGAGCATCATCACAGCTATTTCGGGTGCGACAGATGAGCGACCGTAGCACGGCGACGCAAACAGAACGACATGTCGACTAAAGCAGCGTGCTCTTCGATGTCCGTCGCTGGTTCTTCAAGTTCGGTGTAGTTCGACCATGAGGGCTGACGGGCAGCGCGTCATCGACAAGGGCGCGCACCTGGCGGTATCATTGGCATATGTGACATGGGCCCGACGTCAACGGAGCGCAAGCTGTTTGATATTGCGCTCAACGTACAAGAGTTCGCCGAGTGTTGGAGTTGAATTGGGGAGAAAAACAGAGACGGGCAGGTGACGGAGTGGGTGAATATTGGCTTGCTGACGCGCCGTTGCGTCGCGTCCCACGACAAACAAGACTCGTCAAACTCCACCTTCTCCGCATCAACGACGAGCATCGTCACCAGCGCTTGCATCTCCATCGTCATATCCGCAGCGTGCTCTCCCACTCAGAAGATCGTCGAGCCAATGCACATGATTGCCTCGAGCACCGCCACGATGCACCGAGAAACTTGTCATTGCGCGCGTTTGGGGGCCAAACTAACTCACTCACCAACATCCTAACTCGTCCCAAAATATCCAGCTATGGCCGACGCATGGGCTGAAGAGGCGCTCGCCTTGCTGCTCGAAGGCCGCATTTCGCCGCAGCAAACCGCAGAGGCAGTGGCATCAGCCTACGACGCACGCCTTAAAAGCGGCAACACCGACACGTGCGAGCTGTGGTCGACATACGGCGGCGCTATCGACACGCTCGGCACATCGAGCCGCGCGCTCGACCTCCTCGCCGACACCATCGTCGCGTTGAGCGCGCTGCCCGACGTGCGCGACGCTGCGGGCGTGCCGATTGAGGAGAACGGTCGCGTCTTCTGGCGCCATGTCCCGGAGACGTCCTTCTGGATGGGCGAGATGTTTGGTGAGTGTCTGCAGCGGCCCAAGAAGCCTGTCATACTAACGCCTTGCCGCAGCTCCACTCGCTCCGCGCGACATCCACTGCGACAATTTCGAGGAACAAATGCTCTCGCTGACACGCGCTACCGATTTCGGCGCGCGCTGTCTCTCCGCGCTGGACCGCGCCCCGCCGCCGCCTGACGGCCATCAGCCCCAAGGACCGCGCAACGGACTGCGCAGCCTCGCAATCGAGGCGCTGTTCGAGGCGTGCGAAGACCAGCCAGATGGTGGGGAGTTTGCTGTGCTGTTGGCGCGCATGAGGGTGCCCGTAGCCGCACGGTGAGTTATCGGGGCGGGCGCAAGCGTGCGCAGCGGGTGCGGTGCTGAGGAATGGGAGGCGTGGCGAGAGGTGCTTAGGACGAGGGCACTTTTAGAGGGCCTAGATGTTGGAGTAAAATAGTTAGCGGAAGAGGCGGTAGCGGTGATGGATCGGTATACTATTATACTGTAGTTCAGCAGCGCGCGCCGCAATAACCACCGACTTTGGTGGATGCGATGGACGGAGTACCTACAAAGTGATCCGAAAGAAACATCTTCCATGACGCCGACCCATTCAAATCACCCTCCTCCTCATCCAGCACGGCAGGGCAAATTGGCCATTAATTGTCTTCGAAGTCGCTTACAGCCAGGAAACCAAGGACTTGCAACAAGTCGCCGACGACCTTTTATCATATCAAGATGTCACATCGAGGAGGTCATCGGCTTGAAGATCGAGTACCAGGGTACACTCCCTTGTCTGGCGCCCTAAAGAAGCCATCTCTCAAGACGGAGAGACTTACAGCGCTACAGCTGTAGACGAATAACAGACATTTCGCAGCGCCGACGGCATGCTCATCCCCGGGATATTCAGCATGCCACTCACTGATTTCATCCCGGCTCTCGCCCTCGAATACTATTCAGAGCCAACACGCGAGTTCGCAATACCATGGAGATAAATCTCATACACGCGGAGCTCTATGGGGATCCTGCTGAGGCTGAGAAATATGACTTGCTTAGGCTTTGAAAACCTGGTATAAGACTAGAAACCTCTGTTCTGGAAGCGGAGACGAAACTCGGAGGAAGGGGAGGAGAGAAAGGTCGCGAAGTGGGATAATGCTGATGAGACTTTCCGTGTCCGCTAAAAAATAGCCAGCCGGAGAAATTCGTTTGTAAGCTTTCCGAAGTTATATAGAAAATCATCTGTTAATGCGGATCTTTATGTCGGGGTAAGGCAGTGTTTCTTTTCTCGCGTTGACCTTGAATACAGCATTGGTCCTGATGGCGTCTTGTCCCCCTGCTAATTCCCCAACTCCTCGGCACTGAGCGTTTCCCACTCCCATTTCCCAAGTCCGTGATAGTCGCCATACATAAAGTACACTTCACCATTAGGTCCAACGGTTTTCGCCCATTCCTCTCTCACATCGCTGCTCGGGCTCCAAGACTCAGGCGGCGTACGATCGCAAGCCAACTCCGCCCTCTTGTTGCCCTCATCGGATCCATGAGCCCAGAAGTCGGCGCTGAAGATGCGCTCTTCCCCTTGTCGCCAGCTAACGATACGTTTCGGCTTAAGCTGCTCTTTGGTGTGCAGGTTGAAGCACTGCACAGACGGCATGTGGCGGACGGCTTTCGCAGCGGCGATCAGGAGCGGATCGATGGTCCTACCGAGCGGCCGTGTGCGGTACTTGTGCTGCTCGCCGAGCGATATTTCGTCGCCGTACTCAGCAAAAGACTCGGCTTCGCTAGGGGGACGAGGCGGGCCGAGCTCGTAAGGCGTCGGCTCGCGTTTGTTCTCACGACGGCGGATGGCATCGTCATCGAATTCGGTGATATCCGGAGGAGGCGGGGGGGCTTCAGTGCCGTTGGCGTTGGTGAAGTACCACTCTCCATTGGACGCGACGGGGTGGAACTCAATGTCGATGTCCTCCAAGCTCGGCCATATTGAGGCTGGGCTGTTGCTGTTGCTGGAAAATGGCCAGAAGAGCTCGGGGGCGATGTTGAAACCCCGGAGCCTCAGGCTAGTTAAAGCAGTACATCTTTGGGCTAGTTGAAAGAGGGATTTGCTTAGGACATCTCCTTCCTCGCTATTGCCATCGGTGTAATCGATTTGGTTTGAGGATTCGTCTTTGATGTCTGAAAACTGGCGACGAAGAGTAACTTTATTGAGAGATGGAGAACAGCGGCTTATCAGCTCAAGAAGAGCGTCTGCGAAGTCTAATTGAAGATCAGATGAAATCCTTTTGGAGTAATGTTTCTGGAGTAATGGTGTTTTGGAGTAATGGGGGATAGGATACCTCGTCTCAAAGTCCTCCTCACTTCTTTCCCCCAGGCGCGAAACTCTCGAAATTCGAAGGTCAGAGTTTCCAGACACGGGAATTTCGATGCTGTGCGTACCCAATTCCCCGGTTGGGCGTGCCTAGAGAAAGAGAGATCATAAACCTCAAAGAGTGTTACGCAAGATATCTCGGGCAGTTCATCAATTTCTAGCAGGCTCAGGATTTTGTACCGCCATCGCAAGCTCCAATACGTATAATAGCTCATTTGCGGTACAGGTCGATGCTCGCAGTCAATGAAACGGTCTTCATCTTGCCCTTGAAGAGATCCATCTGTTGGGGCCTTGACACTCATTATGCCCAGCGCAAGGCTTGGGCCGTTCGGACGAGCTTGGTCCAGGAGTAGCAGGAAATCGAACAAATCCCGAACAGCTTTTGATATTGCGACGTTGGTCTCCTGAACATCTTGCTCCGTCGCGCGCTGGTGAACCTTCTCGTCGCTGCAGCAAGGAAGCTCAATGTGGTATTCGATAGACCTCACCAGAACAGCACGGTGCTTGAGGAATGGACCGGAAAAGCGTTTGCTTAGCTCTGGCAGCTGGCGGCTATTCAGGGTCAATTCGCGGAATGTCCTGTTCTCAATGGTGCACTGCCATCGCCTGGATACAGTTGCAAGATGAGGCAGTCCATATGTGTCTTCTCCCGGGTCCAAGCCGTCGCAGACTAAGGAGATGATGGTTGAGAATATTTCTTCAGGAAGGGAGTCCATTGGCCAAAGTATGGTGGTGAATTGCTGAGGTCAGTGGGTGATTTTTTAAACCAATGGGTGTTTGGACAGAAATAAGCCCCCACGGAAGTGTTGCCTGGAGATGACAAACAGGCACGTGGATAGATGCACGTGACCGCTATCGAGTATGTAACCGCCTCGTGTTTTGTTTTGGCCCCCAACAGGATACAATATTCAGCCAAATATACTATAAACCTAGTCGATTAGGATTTTATCACCAAAGAAAGTTAAACAACCTCCTACTCAATTGTGATGAAAATGAGGCAGAATCCAGTTTAGACTTCAGAGTTAATTATTGAGGTCAACGAGCGAGAAGTTGCTGAAGAAGATGCTCTGGACACTAGGCCTGCCGCCTTGGCACTAGGCTACATAAGGCAAGTATGCTCGGCAAGTGACTGACGTGAGCATGATGACCCGAGACTCCCCAAAGCGTCGTTGTGCCAAGAATCCTTCCAAGCTCCAAAATTATAGGTGAGATGTTGGTATCTTACTGTGTCGTATTCCTACCGGGATACAGAATTAACCGGTACGAGGTAAATATCCATCCCAAGCCTAACTGAAAGCCCAGGCTCGTATATCATGCATTCCCTACTCCTACGAAGTTCAGTTTTGATAACCTGCCCCCATGGGCAAGTCGAGAACATGTCATCTAGGGCGAGCTAGAGAATATGTCACCCAAGAAACGGCTTCCGTCCTCGGGGGCTGGTATCTTCAACTCTCTTGGCCCCTATGCAGTTGGGTTGCTCAGTGGAAATGAAACCTCGTCTTTCAATACCCTCAGTTCTATAAGAGACGATTGTTCCGCAACGCTTTCTAGCCTCATCACAGTCTCTTCTCTCATTCAGTCAATCACTCACTGTTTCATTCCACCATCGTTTGCCCACGCAGTATCTCAATTCCTCCACACTCATTTATAAGCACAAATGGCCTTTAAGACGGTCTCTTTTGCGATCATCGCCGCACTGCTAGCCGGGCAGGGCGCAGCTTTGCCGGCCACGCCTTTCTCTGAAAACATAAACCCCTTGATCGAAGCTCGAGGCACTTGCAAGGGTCTACCCTCCAAGGAAGTCAAGCTTACAGATGCCGATTTCAGCTCTGACAGTGGCATTCTCAAGCGCTGGACGGAAGATGAGTTCTCAAAGTTCGTCAAAAGAGGTCGAAAACCCCTCAACTGGTGCGCGGAAGAAAAAGACTACCATGTACCTCTGGAAACTGAGCCCTATCCTGAACCGAAGCTGATTTGCGACGTAAGTATTATTCTGTTCTATTAGGAAATCCCGATGCTTTCCAGTTTTTCTAGAATATGGAAAGAAGAGTACTTCATGTTCACCTTTAAAGCTAACGAATTAAAAACAGCCCAAATCCAAAACCTACCATAACCCTCAATGCAAAACGTTCGGCTTTACAGACAAGAAATCGTTCACCGATTATGAGTTCAAGGAGCAGCCTCTGCCAAGTCCAACAAACACTGGTGACTACGACACCGAACATTTGCTGGAAGGCCAAATGTTGAATACCTTCACCAAGAAGATCTCGGACGCCAGCAAAAAGACCTTGGAGGACCCCAAAACCAAGGATAAAGTGTCTGTGTGCGGATATCTAACGAGATGGTTCAATGAGCTGCCGGCTTCGGAGGAGCTCAAGACAGTGAATGGCAAAAAGCTCGCAAGCGCCGGAAACGATGGCAATCAGGGCCTCATCTGGCTTGCGTCGATTTACCCGCAAAAAACCGATCAGGACATGACAGAGTTTGGGCTGCTGGACAAACAAGTTAACATCGCCAAGGGCGGGCTTTGGACGGGCGGCAACGGCATTGATATGGGCGACATGGAAAAGAATACTAAATGGCTTACAGATGATAAGACGCCTAAATTTAAGCCCGCAAATGAGATCAAGAAGAACTTCGAGACGGCGCTTTTCAAGTTCAAGGTTATCCTTGGGAACCGCGTCTACCACCGCGATACCTGGGTCCGCGATACACTGAAGTTGCAATCGAACCGTATGGCCGACATGCTCGACGGTCTGGAAACAGAGATGGCGAAAAAGCAGATCAAAGAGACGGACAAAAACAAGAAAACTATCACGTGGGACAAGTACAAGAAGCAGGGCCTCAAGGCGAAGTGGAACAGCCACATGAAGGATACCACAGACAATCTCGTCTCGACGATCAACAAGAACTTTGAAAAGTCCTACGAGTACCTGGAAAAGGCAATGAAGGCCTTTGAGGACGAGGCAGGGAAGACGAAAGACAAGACGCTCAAGGATACGCTGAACCAGCTTGTGTGCTCCATCAAGGAGGCTGAGAAGGCATACAATGCGGAGAAAGCTCATACTTTAACGTCAATCACCTTCTAAGTGCATACCTGTCAACCAACGTTGGGTTTATATTTGGTCATTTAGGATTGTTGCGTTGTAGTACCGTTGTGGTTTCTTTCTGTTGCTGTCAAGCGTCCACTCTTTTATTTTTTCTTTTTCAATTTGGAATTCTGGCACACATATTTCTCGAATTATCTTGAAATCTTTTAAGTAATTATTTTATTAAGTATCTTGTTCGGAACTAAAGGTGTCAGCCAGGATCACTCCGATAACTCTCGTTTTTTCAGTCTCATTACAGTCAGTTGTTACACAACAGCCTTACCCCCTGCACTACTCATTTATCTACTGTAAGGAAGCAATGATCTCAAAGAGAAAACGTGTTCTTTTAGATAGCAGCATATATACCTCCATAGGTAGTAGTAATCTAGAGGGACAAGCGGCGTCCAATTCCTCGCGCCCAGCTTCACAAAAGGTTAACCAAGCTCGCTCGCGAATTGAGTCGTAACGTCCGCTACAATCGAACGAGATGAATCACTTAACGAGATGTTTACACTCATTAGAACAGCGACTAAATTCTAGTTAGGGTAGTTACAATAATAAACGTTCTAATACTTTCTTTTTAATACCGAGGGCTTACGTATATATGTGGATAATAAGTATCCCACGAGGACTGCTCATATCATTTGTTACCGTGCTACTATGTAATAGATATCTCTTGACGGCCAGGGGGCGGTAAGGACTTTAATGGATCTTCGGAACATACATGTCACTTTGAACACTAAGACACTATAAATTTCGACAACAACCATCTATTTCACAGTGCCATCAAACTACTAAACTCTAGCTGCAGGTCTCGCTCGAGGACTCGCTGGCCGGGAAGTGGTCCTTAGAGACCTTGATAGAGTCAGCCTTCCAGACCTTGCCATCGGAGGAGGAAAGGCCCTCGATGATGACGCCGTCGGCGGAGAGCGTGTCAGCGAAAGCCTTGTCAGCGGCGCTGAGGTTGATGACGACGTCGGTCCATTCTAAAGGGGTAAACATGAGAGATTAGTATGGTGCCGTAAACTGAAAACGAGTAAAGAACATACCGTAGCTGTTGAGCGTGCCGCAGTCATCCGAGTAGCACTCGTTGCTGCCGAAGAACCACGTCGGGTTGAAACCAACGTCTTTTTGAGAGTGAGCGATGAAAAATTGCAATGAAAAAGGGATTACGTACCATCAGACTGCTGGGAAACGACCTTTCCGTTCATAGTAACGGTCTGTTCAATGGTGCCCTTGCCATCGGAGGTGACTAAAGTTGAACGCGTTAGCCAAACACTGCAAACTGAGATGGAAAGGGATTGTGTTTACCCTCGAAGTCAAGGTTCGCGTTCTTAGGAACGGCGACGTAGTCTTGACCCTTCTGCCCGGCTGGAATGATATGTAGAGTTAGCCATTTCCATCGCAATTATCACATTCATCACTGTATACTTACACTCGAAGTACGTGCTAGCAGTGACACACCACGCATCGTTCGACGCTGGGCAGCCCCTAAGACAGTCGTCAGCGCACAATTCCCATTTTACTTTTTATATACAGAAAACTTACTGAGACTCCTGATCCGGCGCCCAGTTGAAGTACGGCTGCACGAAGGGCTTGCTGCTGTCGGAAACATCCTCGGCAAAGCCGATCCAGAACGACATCCAGATAGGGTTGCTGGCGGTGCTGTCACCGTAGTTGCAAGGAACGGGCGGCGCAGCGACCGAGTAAGTCGCCTTGGTGATGTAGGCGTCACCGCTGGTCGGGCCCAGGTAGAAGGTCTTGCCGAAAGCGTAGTCATCGGCGGCCGCGCCTAGTGCGAAAGCCAAAGTGGCGAGGGCGGTAGAGGTAGTTGCGTGCATTGTAACGACAGTGAAAATGAGAACCAGCCTCGAACGGTAACAAGCGAATGTTGTTTAGCAAAAATAGATGGTCGAGGTCGCGCAGATCCTATAACAAGTTGGCAAAGCGAAGCTTGTTTTATAGGCGAAGCACATCAATTTCAACAAAGAAGATCATGTCTCAATTGAACGTTTCTGAAAGCGGGGGAGCATTCCTGATTAATTTATTTGTCATGAATAGATTGTGGCAACGATTTTACAACGGGGTGACAAGGGCTATTGTCCTATAGCGTGCCGTGTGTTGAATCGGAGCTCGGATCCGGCGGCAAGTTGTTGTTTCATCGGCGAACGGGCCGGTATATGCGTGGGGTGATTTCTCCGGTTAGTAATACATCTTCGGCAATGCTAAATCTGGTGTGGCAGCCGATTCATAAACAGGTGGAATAACTTCACTCTGTTTTTCTTATATATATCATCCACAAGTTTGGATCAGGTATGTAAGGAATACCAAATCATGTAGTACGATAATTCAATGATCACTCATTGTTCCCTAGAGTATAATGGATTGCGTCGTAGCAAACGTTGAATCTATAAATAGCACTGGATATTATGTAGAGACTGGCTAATTCGAAAGACCAAATACAAAAGAAAGTGCTCGACAACTTGGTAAAAAAGAACGACAATCGGCCTGTAATCGGAAAGAGTCTAGTAACAGCAACAAGGAGCTTTTGTACGCCTCTCAAAACACATTCGTGTCCAGAGCTACAGCGGTCCTTCACACCGCCTAGTTTCTCTCCGCCTTGCAAACCGATGCAAGAGGGTCGGCTGAACAGTTGTACGAATAGCAGGCATTAGGCCTGGCCGGCGAAACAGGAACTTGGTTGAGGTTTTTATCCGATGCGCTGTCCCGCCAGAGGATGTCCAGATCCGGCAGAACATTGCAGCATCTAAAGATGTTGATGTCGTGAACGGCATGCTGAACGGTGACATTGTTGCTCGGGCTCATGATGATATTCCTGATGTTGTCCAGGACACGTGTCTCAAACACTTCTCCGAGGTCCTCGAGCGCGCACTCGAACGCGTTAGGGCCATCGCCGTTCTGGAAGTCGGCGATATTGGAGAGAGTAGCGAGCTGGCACGGCTCGTCTTTAGCAAATTGCAGGACATTCGTGGCGGCGTTTTGAATGGCTGTGGAGTTTCCGAGCGTGTGGAAGGTATCGAGGAAGTGGTTGACGTGATTGACATCCGTGTTCCACTGGTCGATGGCATCTAAAACATCCCCACGTGTTGGGTTGTTGCGAACAGTGTCGAGGATGCAATCCTCATCTTGACGCTTTGTGGGAATAGCCATAGAAGCGGCTGTAAAGGCGAGGATCGAGATAGCGAGAGAGGCCTTCATTTTCGGTGAAGTTACTGGCTTTTTGTTGGTTTGCTGAAAAGAATACTTTCAAAGAAAAGACCAAGGTCGAGATTCAGTGGACTGTAGAAGGTGCGAGTGCTGGAGTGAGGAGCCAGTTTCGGAGAGGATAGGATCTTCTTATACATGCTCCCTAGCCTTCTTGTGCAGTTGCGAAGTTGCAGTTTGACCTCAATAATCAGACAACTTAATTAAATTAAGCACAGTCTAACTTGGGCTGGCAAGAGGCTAAAAATCTACCATCGGGCTGTAGTAAGCTAAATCACGGGGTCTTAGTTAATTTGTAAGACAAAAAGTACCAACTTATAGCTGAAATGCCCCTCCGGCGTCGCATGTAGCTCCATAAAACTCTAAAATAGAACCTAATTATAAAGCGCAATTAACCACTCCGCACCCGCCATGCATTAACTATGGATTACTATGCTTTCGCTGCATAATCCCATGGTTCTGCAACAAGAATACAATTATATAGCTTGTTGACGAACTTAGATTAGGGGGATATCGAATGTTCGTGGCCATTCAGAAAGCTTGATTAAAATTAACTCTATTAGCCGTAGCGCCGTCGGGGTACAGGCGGGGAACCGGCCTTCCTGTACGAAAATTTAACTATGTCGGTTAAGCCGTCCATTTATTGGAAGAGGCAACATGAGCTAAAGCTGTAAACTATGTTTGCTGTGTCGTGACAGGTGTCGGCGAAAATACCAATGAAAGCGCAGTAATGCGACCCGGAGGTTTTTTTTTTTAACGAAGCAGTCCGCCATTTCTTAACACCATTCAATGAGCATTTACCCAACAAATTTTCCAGTAGTGTGCCCGAGACAGTTTCTGGTATCAAGGCCAGTAAAATGTTTCAAAGGGTTGTGCTGTCTGCCTGTGCAGCGTGCCGCGTTCTTGACTCAACGGTGCTTAAAGTGCCAACTTATATAACTTCTCCCCTGCCTACAGTTGCCGACCGTACTTATAACTTCTTACTTCCTAATTTCACGGCATCTGTTTAGTTGAAAGGTCCAAACAGATCATGCAAGATCGTATGCGCCGACAGCAATGCGATGCACTGATTTACGCAAGGTGCCCAGTTCTAGCTCGAAATCACTTGTCAAGACACAATAAATATAGAATATTAGGCATACGGCATCATCGAAGAAGGCTTGAAGTTTATTTCTAAGTAGTCAACAAACATAGAGCTCATGAGACACGTTGTTGACGCGTCAGTGATGAACGAATACTAACAAACCAACCAACACCAACCAAACCGATAATATCGGTGCACTTGAAAAGACAGGCAAGCAAGCCATCCAATATCCAAGGAAACTAGCAGTGCCTAGCAGCCAATGGTGTCGTTAGTATTCTCAATCTTCGCGTCCCCTCCTTCACTCGTCTTTATATTTAGACGACAGTGGTGTGCGCCCAACAGCGCTGACCTTCAGAGACCGTCTCGCGTGCGCAGCACTCACCAGACGGCAAACTTCCGCGGCAGCGACGTGCCTTTTGTTGTCGTGTAGCACCAACAGCTTGATTAAAAGGTTCTTCAAAGAACAGTGCTCTCTGACCAGGGATGCCTGGGAAGCGAGTCTCCAGAATGTTCCTAAGCGTCACCTGGGTAACCGACGCCTGATCCTGTGAAGCCGCTTCTTGGACTTGCTCCTCCCGTGGTGTGGTTGGTGGTAAAGGTTCCCGCGGATGATCGGCGTCGCTGCGAGTTGCCTGGGAAACCACTGATGGTGTGGAAGGTTGTGCCGCTTCCTGGACAGCTTCCTGAGCGTGTTGTTCGACTTCGGTTGCATTACCTGCGGAAGCATTATCCACAGAAGTAGTTTGTAAGGGTGCAGATGGTGTATCGCTAAGCTGGACGGTTTGAGTTGCCTGGGCAGCGCGATTCTCCTGGACAGGCGTATTGCCAGCTTGTGTGCGATTAGCAGGACTTGTATTGCCCGCGACTCTGCTGCTCCTGCTGCTGTTGCTGTTATTGTTGCTGTTGGTGCTGTTGTTGTTGCTATTGCTGGAGTGAGCTCGACGGGCGGTGCTGGCAGAACTAGGAGGATGCGTATGAAATATAGGAGAAAGCGTCTGAGTTACATGCTGTAATCGGCGCCTGTCTGAACGGACAGCTTGTTGGTTAATCCGAGCGGCATGGTTTACCTCCACGGGAGCATTATCCACACTGGTATTGTTTGATCGGCGTGTGAGGAGTGTGCTGCTTTGCGGGGCAGCTTGAAGTGCATTGATCGGATGGTTTTCTTCGACTGGAGCACTGGTAACATGTGTGCGACGAGCAGGGATCGTACCCCGTGCACCTCTGTTGTTGTTGGTGTTTTCAGAGCGAGCGTGGTATGCGCTTCTGGCAGGAAGGCCAGCGGTTATCCTGGCCACTTCCTCGCTGGTCCGAGCAGCATGGCCGTTGAGAAGATTGTCACCTCGAGTAAGGTTCTGGACAGATCGGATTGTTTGCAGTAGTCGGAGAACACGGTTTTCGAGGGTATCAGGTTGATCGGTGCCGCCGCTGGTGTTGTTGGTGCGGGTCCGTGTGACAGTGGGAGAAGGCGGCGTCGGCGTCTGATCACGAGCGCGGCGAATGCTGGTAAGAACGGGTCGAGTTACCCTGCTGGGAACAGGATACAGCGGTGGAGACGAAGCTGTGCGTACAGCATGTGGGTCCTGCCGAGACGCACGATTATCAAATGTAGGAGTGTAGGCAAGACAAGCGCCTGGGTTTGGGCGTGCGGCCAGTCTGCTACTGCGGTCTAAGTCGGATTTGATGAAGCCGGGTGGGTTGTTGTGATGACCGCAGAACTTTTCGCCCGATCTGCACCTCCTTAAGCAGCGTTCTCTAGTTACCGTGAAGGCTTTGCACTGAGTCCTTTCAGGGTTGTGCAGATCGCAGAACTGTTTTCCATTCATGGGAAGTTTCTTGCAGCGTCTGTTCTCCTTTGTTTCACCACCGCATTGGGCTTTGGCGATGTCCAAATCATGATGAGAGCACCATTCACTGCCTGGTCGGGCAGAGTTTAGGCATCGCCTTCCCTGAATAGTGTGACCTTGGCAACTCATAGGGAAGTCCTTGGCTGCGATATTCCTGGGTTGGAAAAGGATTATGCTGGACGAGAGATTAAGCGAAAGGATTAACAAATGGAAGCTTGGCAGCTGATGAGCCAAAAGTTTCGAGAGTGGAGAAGGGAAGATGGGAGAAGAGCGACAGACGGAGGGATTTTATGTTCGCGAGGGCCCTGGCGCTACCACTGTCACTTCACAGCGACCCAACGTTCAGCTTCACACCGCGCCACGGAAGGCACTCTATAACATGTTATCCAGGTGGCCCCTTTTTTTGCTTTGTTCTTGTCTGCTTCGCACAGGAAATGGTGAGTGAAACTAGCGGCGGCTACGTGCATATATATATGATGCGTAGTCACGATTTACGCCAAGCTCTAGCAGTCGCTGCGCCATGGTACCACTATGAGACATGAGGTCACGTCCTAAGTATCTGCTCTCGCTTGGGAAGCTGTCAGTTATTAATGACTCATCCACTCCAGGCGATGAGGTTTCAGTGTCGCCGAGCAAGCATGCAATAAGGTAAAGACGGCCTGTCGACTAAAGCTGCATTGAAGTGACCTTGCGGAGACTGTGCCGGCACTTAACTAAGTAACTTCGAAATTACATTAATAGCGGGACACAACACGAAAAGTCTGAAGAGGCAACGGTGCATATAGAACCCGAGCCAATGGTTTCCCGTTTGCTCCTCGCTGCTCCATTTGCTTTCCAAGAAAGTGGCTTCTTCTACTCCGCATGACTTCTCAAGCCAATACATTTCGGTTAGTTAGACTTCTCGCCCGGGCCGTTATCCCGTCTCGGGCGACAAAAGGCAGAGTATCGCGGTCCAAGAAACCGCTATGCTGTTGGCACTCCGAGACTTTCTGTACCATCTTGTCCTGCAGAAAGCTAGCAGAGCTGCCACCTTTGCAGTCATTCTCGGACAAGCTATGAAACAGTTGTGGGCGAATCCTGGCAGTGCTGTGGGGGCGAGAGAGGTGGTGGGGTCTTTGGGGTTCCGGCGTTTTTAAGGGACAGAAATCCCAAGGTCCTCCAAGCTCCCCGATTTATAGCACGGCTGTTGGGGTTTACCCTACCGAGCACCACGGATGATTCTGTAAAATTTGAATTGCGAACGGCCTTAATAAACCAAGTGTAGCGACGTTCAACACCTCCAAAGCGATTGAGTAAGTAACGGAAACACCGAACTCACTGAAATTTTATGAGAAGTGGTGCAGTTTATAGAACCAAACAATAAGCAGCTAAGGTTACTTGTTCCTCACAGGCAAAAACAATTATATAGAAGCAGTTATAGCTTTGCCGTTGTCGTAGAGTAGTTACATGTCCGACCCTTCCGGCCGTACAACTCCGCCCGTGCATGGCCCCATTTCGGCGCAACCACAGCCCAAAATTTTCTTATCAACCAATCCAACCTCTCAACCTTCTTACTAACTACATAAAAACAGGCGTTCCACCCCGGCGAAACGCCGGGAGTCGGCCGAGAAGTGAAAATTTCGCCCTAAGGCCCACCACGCCAAAGTCTCACCACCACACCACCACTCCACACGCAAAAAGAAATGTATGGGAATTGAGCCCAACGCGGGGGTCGAACCCGCAGCCTTGAGATATCGTCCTTTCGTGAGAGAGGAGTCGTAAGAGTCTCACGCTCTACCGATTGAGCTAGCCAGGCGACTGGTGAAGCGATGCTTCACCTGTTTGATGAGTAAGTTTGCGGCATGTGGACTTATATACTAAAAGAAAAAAGCCTCTGGATGGCACTGGGTTGTATGTCATGCTGAAAGAGTTGCTTGGGAAGACGTGCTTTAGTATTGTCTGGCATGTCCCTCGGTGGACGGACAACAGCGACACTTCCGACCTTCAGCCTCAAAAGACTGGACTCCCGCAGCAACAACGAAGCTTAGAGCCACGCGGGAAAAAGCAGTACGTACGGAACATCCCAGCCAGTGCAGCGGGGTTGGCTGAAGTATACTTAGCCAAAACCACCGAGCCAGAAAAGCGTACAACTTTCCCACACGCCTCGCAATTATACCCAGCCAAACAGCCTAAACCTTTTCCATACCCATAGCATACTATTCGCAAGCAATCGAACTAGTTTCGCATGGACTAATAACATTTTATCATTCAGTGATGCCAGACCATCCATCAACCCGTTTCTAAACCGCCCACGCACCCACGCACGAGACGATAGTTACAAGATTACAACCGCTGCAACAAGCGGACAATACTCTTCAAGAAAATTTGCCACAGCTTTTAATATCCCAGCCTACCACGTTATGACGGGCACACTCATGCCAACTCTCGCGCGAGCCACGTGATCCCCACGTGATCCCGCACGGGCCCTCTACACCAACCCGTCACCCGTAGCTTCCTAGTCGCACTTTGTGCAACCACTCGCAGTCAATCCATCCTCTTTACTCACATCCTCACTCCAGCGTCTTTGCGGCCTTGGAAGCGACAGACCGCCAGAAACTCTCTACTCGACGACGCTCCAGTCATCCTTTCCAGACTTTCAAAGCGCGCACCACCGGCCTCCCGCACAGAACGCGCACGCTACTTTCTTACAGAGTAACTCATGCACTCGCGAAACTCACCCATACAGCAGCACGACACTCAAAGACGATTGTCTAAAAGGCGTACGCGCCACCCCTCCACTTGCATTTCTGGGACGACGATACCGGAGAGTCACGTGATAGCTCTACAAGTACATAAAGGCCCAGCAGGCCTGCTTCCGCGACCATAGGGCGCTTTCTACCAAGGTACCTATCTACTACGCGTGGGAGATCTTCTCTTACTTCTACTTCTGCTTTATCTCTTGCCGCTCAGTTATCGACTTACTTTCTTGGAAGGATGATGCATGCTTACCGTCATAGGTGGATTCGGCGGTGGTACCGCATATTTACGTAGCCTGTTCTCGCAACGGTACCTAGGGCTCTCTTCCCACGGGGTATCAACTACCTACCCGCTATACGTGTAGGTTCTCTCTTACCTCCATGCTACTCCTAGTCTCCACGCCTACAGCCCCTCCGTTTCATGATTTATCTTCTTCCACCATTCCTTCGCGTCATTCTCTATCTCCTTGATCCTCTCCTTTTCTACCCTAAGTCTTTCCTTTAACTTTCGCTCGACCTTTTTCTCTCTTACACTCCATGCGTTTACCAACCCACATGCGACCTGAATCCCCTTCAACCGTGCCTCCCAAGCCTGGAAATCCTCATTCAATCTCATTTCCTCCTTCTGACTCTCCTCCAGCAGCTTCATAAACTGCTCACGAAGCCGTGGACAAGCCATCGATGTTTCCTTAGCAGGGTTGAGTGCCGCATCCGCCGCTGCCAAGGCGCGAACGACATTGCTGGTTTGCTCACGCTGCTTTTTGAGGTCAGAGTAGGCCTCTCTCGCCGAGGCGCTGATGTTTTCGAGAAGGGTAAAGGCCTCGCAGACTGCGCCTTCGAGATCTGAAGCTTCGTCTAGCTTCGCTCGGAGAGCCTTGAGAAACTCGAGCTTCCGGCTTTGCCAGTCGTGGAAGGCGGTGACGGCTTGCTTCTTCGACGCTGTCTCCTGCGGTTCGGTGATTTTACAGTCGAGAACGCGGTAGGCTTCTTCGAGATCGGCGGCTTGTTTGAGCGTCGCGAGGAAGATGCGGCGCCATAAGAAGAGCGTCTTTTCGATGGGCTGCGCGTCGTGCATACAGCAGATGGCGGAGTAAAGGAGGGAAACTCTTGGATCTTCTTCGCTTGAGTCGTCGACGCAGTAAGTCTCTGAGAACTTCCATGGCCCCTTGTCCGACAGGTTGGTTGCAAATTTGTCCAGATTGTGAGAAACGCTGCTGATGGAGACTTTGTTACCTGCCTTGCGTCCCACCCACTTTATCTCCCTACGGTCGGTATTGAGGAAGAACACACTCCAGTGGCCATCGCTCTTGAGCTTAAGCGGGAGTACGACGATAGACCTCACTTCCGACTGTTGTCCGTTGCCGTTGGTGAGGGTAGCGGGCTTAGTGGCGGTGAAGTATGGTCCGTCAGCGACTTGGAAGTCGCGTCTGCAGAACGCGTCCAGAATAAGGCACATCGCAGAACGGGATATCCTGCGGTTCTCAGATAGCGCGCGAATCGCCTTTTCCCGGGCAGACATCTGCTCCTGCTCGAGTCCTTCACTCTGAGAAGACTCTGGTGTGGATGTCCGCGAAGGGGGGCTGCGGGCTTTGATCCTAGGTGAAACATCAAGAGCTGAGCCGTTCTTGGTTGGTGTTTGTTCCGCCATGGGCGATGCTTGCCCGGAGTTTGAAGGCTGTTTTCCACCGGATTGTCCGATCGGCGCAGGCAAGACTGGAGGAGCAGCTATCTGCCTGTCGTCGATGTTCTTGTCAACGGGCTCAGTTGTGGGAATCTTGTGAACATTCTCAACGGCGTCCGGTACATTTGAATCGTCTTCCATTTTTGACTGCGCTTCGACGGCTTCCGGGTCACCTGGAGAGTCCGAAGCGGACGCTGCCGTCTCAGCAGCCATCTTCCTTCTCTATCCCATCATCAGTTTCTGGCATTGTCTTCACCTCGAACTGCGGGGAGCAACGTACCTTGGCCGAGCTTTCTCTGGTGGACCTCTCTGCTTCCCGCTTCCTAGGGCTGCTGTCGCGAGACTGCGCAGCAGATGCCGATCTCAATGTGCGCTCACCCTGGCTCTGGCTTAGCACCTTTGACGTGACCAGCGTTCCATTCTCGGCCATTTTCAGGATGTCGCTGAGGAGCCTCGGCGAAGCTCTTACATCGCTGCCGAACGTCTTCTCCAAGACCTCCATGTCAAGGCCCAAAGGTGAAGCCGCCAGCTTCTGGAGCAGCGTTTCAATGCTGTCTTTGGTGGTTTGGGGGCTTACCGTCTTGGGTGAGGCTGCTGGCGCTTTGGATGGTGTGGCTTTCACCCGTTTCGGTGTCGCCGGTGCCTGGGACTGCTTTCTCTTGTTGCCTACGGACCGAGGCCGTGCCATGTTGACGAGTGAGAGGAAGAGGAAAGCCGCCCAGACGAGGAGGTCCTGGAGGCTGCAAAAGGTCAGCCGTGTTCGCGCATGGGCAGGATGTGGGTGAGGCACGACTTGACTTACACGGTGAAGCTGCTTGCGAGCGCCAACGCCGGCAGTGCCATGCGAGAGGCCTGGAATCTTTGGTAGTTGAGGCAGACCCAGCTCCCGGTCCCGGGTGAGAGAGTTGCTGTTCGATGCTGCTGGCAGAGGCGTGCCAGTCATGCCGAGTGAACGTGGTGGGTGAGGGGCGCTGTCGCAAGCCGTTGGGATGGGGCAAATGAAGCAGCTGCGAGACAGCGCTCAGCTCAAAGGTCCACGCCAACGAGGCCACAGCCCAAGCCCAACCGTCCTTGCAATTATTGTCGAAGGCCGCGATGCTGCGGACAGCGGAGGAAAAGGAGCGAAAAAAGTTGCAAACGCGGGCGCGCGTTTGACTCTTGGGTGTCGCAGCGCGCAACCCAGGGCCTATCAACCGTCCGTGAAAGCGTCTGAAAGTGCCGCGGCCTTCGAGTGCAGAATCTCCTGAGTCCTATTGTTGTCGTTGCCCTATCATCGCGACAAAAAGAAACCGTCAGACTCAGACAGCGACAGCGACAAACGCGCACAGCAGACCACGTACCTCGAAGCCGCCCTATCCCGTCCACAGCCAACAAAAGTCGCAAGTCGCGAAAGCAGCTGAAGAAGACGGCGCAAAAGGTCGCGAGCGTTGTGATAGAGGCAGAGACAGAAGCGTCAGCGGCAGACAGACAGGAGGCGCACTCAGCCGCACAACAACAACAACAACAACAACAGAAATTATGCGGGTGGGCAAACTAAAGCAAGGCGGGCGGGAAGGCGGGAAGCCACGGCGACACGAAGTCGCGTGACTGGCTGCCGCAGACGCACAAGCACCTACCTATGTACCGGTAGAGGTCGTTTGACGGGGGCACATGCATCTTGAAGTTGGTCAGATGTGCGCGCAGAACGCACGCCTGCCTACCTTCTAGACTTGTCACCAAGACGGGCTGCGCCATCCACCTCCCCTTCTTCTACACTAACTAGTTACCCCGTGGACGTCGCATTCGTGGCGTGACTGCGACGCTGCATAGGTGGCGGGACACTGCTGCTGCTGCTGCTGCTGCTGCTGCTGTGTAACCGGCCTGAGTCAGGAGCTAGGTAGGTAGTACAAGGGCAATAGGTGCTCGGCATCCATCCCGTGAGTGTTGACGTAGCGCTTGCAGCACTGGTTCCTCTCTCATGTGCTGCTGTCACGCACGCACGCACGGACGGCTCCTTTCCACGGCCATCGTGCCGCCCTGTAGGGTTGCTTGTGTTCGTTTGTGCATACGGGCAGCTTCTTTTAAGCTGCTGTCGCTGCATGGAATGGAATAAGTCGTGGTCTGGTAGGGAAGCGAGGAGAGAGATGCGTTTGCCAAGGCGCTGCTGATAGGTAGCGTGTTACATTAGGTCTACGTCTATGTCTACGTCTACAATATACATCTCTAGCCCCTTCACCCTCCAAACGCTAACCAGCAACTAGTAAGCAGCAAGCAGCAACCTCTACGCCGCACCGAGGCGGCAAGCCAGCCCTAAATGCGCACCCTCGTCTCGCCAGCAACACGGCCTTCTCTCGCTTTCCTCGCGCGCCGTTTCCTGTATTCTCCATCCTCTGCTCGTCAAGCCAACTCCGCTCTACTCCCATCCATCCAGTCTAATGTCCGCATACTTCGCCACCGCCTTTCGTCTTCATCTTCGTCTTCGACTCCATCTCTCAAATACCTACCTACCCCATATCGCGGTAGCGGATTCCAGGAAAAAAAAAATCCCATTTTCCAGGGGCGAGCTGTTTCTGAGGCTCTGGCCCAGTGTATTCGGCCGTGCTCGAGAGAGAGAGACTAGCTCGAAGCTGTTTGTCCGTCCATGGAGGGGTTGAATGTCGATGCCAGACAGGTCTGGTCCGTCCAGAGTCTGCGGACCGAGCCGCCGCGCCGCCGTCAGTTCCATCGTAGCTACGTTCTCCATCCAAGGACCGGCACCAAGCAAGCAGCGCGGCGCGCTCTTTGCAAAACTTTTTCCTCCATCTCACACCCGCTTCACCCACCCCTCCCCTCCTCCCCACCACCACCACAAACATCCTCACACGCACAATCCCCCGCCCCCGCCCACCTTGGCATCCCCTGCCTAATCCCGGGACACAATCTCGCGACCCGCCCCTCCCCCTCCGCACACTGCATAAGAACGTTCCACAGTCTTTCCAGGGTATAGCCAAACTGCGGGGCATTGGCACTATTCTCCCTCTCATCGAAGCGCCACTCGTCCCCCCACGCCCAGCTCTCCGGCGCCGTAAGCGTCCAGTTCAGGCCCTCGTACACGCCGCGCCCCACTCCACGGATCCGCGCCGCCGACGCGAGGAACTGGCCGCGGTATGAGAGGAGGACGCGCTTGCCGGGGGCGCAGGTGCGGTTGCTGTTTACGGCTTCGTAGACTTGGGCGATGGTGCCGGCCGTGTCGTGCCAGTTGAGGTCGCCGCACGCGCCGCACGCGCACGTGTACCCGCTGTCGCCGAGGGAGATCATGCCGGTGGCGGGGGTGTATGCGGCGTCTAGGCGCGCGAAGGCTTGGGAAAGGTAGTGCGGCTCGGCCTGCAGGAAGAGGGTTTGGTGTGCGAGGGCGTCCCAGTGCGAGAGGATGTGGTGCAGGTAGGTGTGGCCCTCGCGGCCGACGTTGGGGAGGCGCGTCACGGCGTGCGCGCCTGTGGCTTCTTTGAGCTGCTCGGGATCGGTGCCGTTGTGCTTGGTGTAGATGTGCAGGCGGGGCGGGGCGTCGAGGGCGCTGAAGGCGGGGATGCCGGCTAGAGCGCTGGAGATGGCTTCGATGCTCGATATGGGCTCGTCGTACATGCTGATGACGACGTCGAGCGTGTGCGGGGCGGTGTAGCCGCAGTCGAGGTTTGCGGCGCTGCCTGAGGCGGCGGGGTTGAAGGGCTTTGCGAGGTCGATGGCCGTGCCGGGGAGGGTTGCGGCGAGCGAGGCGCTGCTCGTGAGGAGCCATGCGGTGGTGAGGGCGCGGATAGCGAGGGCTAGCAAGACGATGGCGACGATGACGGGGCCGGCGCGCGCGGTGAGCGAGGTGCGCGATTTCGCTCCTGATCCTGGTGTGAGGCGCTGCCACAGCGGCTGGTACCCGTTGGTGTTTGTGGTGGCAGTGGTTTCGTCGACGGGCAGCGACACCAGCGCACCACCCCGCGGCTGCAGCAGCAGCACGAACGCGATGACGGACAAACAGACCTGCAGCGGGGTGACGATGGCAGGGAACGGCAGCGCGAGGGCGATGATGGCGAGGCTGAGGCCGCAGAAGAGCTGCGTCGGCGAGGGGAGGGGGGTGGTTGCGTCGTCGTTTGCGTATGCGATTGCGTCTGCGTCAGCGTCCGGGAAGAAGAACATGATGACGGAGCCGCCGGCGTGCATAGCGGCAGCGGCAGCGAGGACGTTGACCGCGACGGCCCACGCGTTCGTGTCCATGAGGGCAGTGAAGCCCTGAATTCTGTCTTTCCTCGTCGCAAGCCAGACGAGCGTTAGCGCGAGGGAGGCGGGTATCGTGATCTTCGGGAGTAAGTTCCAGCATTCGCGGGCGTCGAAGCGGTTGCCGTCGTTGTGTTCCGCTTTCGTGGCGCGCGAGAAGGCCAGGCGCGCGATGCCGAGCAGCAGCAATGCGTGCGAGCCTTGGGCCAGCGTGCGGCTCGAGGCGCGGTAGTCGTCTAGCACGACCATGGCGCAGCTGAGCACGCTGGCGCTGATGCCGAGGAGGGCGCGGGCGGAGGCGCGGCGGTCGAGGAGGGCGTTGGCGGCGCTTTCGAAGGCGAAGGTGAGGGCCTGTGAGGTTTTTGTCAGCAAAATGACCCAGGAAATGCATGATGGGTGGGTGGTGGTGTAGGTACCAAGCAGGAGACCAGCAGCGTCGGATTCTGCGAGTAGAGCAGCGCCTTTAGGAACAGCGGCATGGCCCACGCCAGCGACAGCGCCGCCAGCACCAGCCACGCCATCTGCCTATTGAACCGCGGCGGGCATTTCATGGCGCTTTCCCAGAGCGACGACGACGACGCTTTCTCGCTGGCGCATGTTTGCACGAGCGCGACGGCGCCGGCGAGCACCATCTGGAAGCAGTGCAGATGCAGTGCTATGTAGCGGGAGCGGTTAGCTGCCGTGGTCTGGCCTGTTGTTCCGTCCACTTACGATGACCTGGTAGGGTTAGTTAGCCTTTGTCCGTGGGAAACAGCAAATACTTACAATAGTTCTCGTGAATAAGCAGGTACCAAGACGAGGCAAACGCCAACGCCGCAGCAAGCGTCCAGCCACTAAGCACACAGTCACAGTCAGCTTCAACTTCAGCTTCCGAAGGCTCAAACGTACACGGCGCGCGCAAACAGTTCCTTGTCGTCAAGCCCCAGCGCGCCAAACGTGGCATGAGCAAACCGCGCAACCGCCATCTTGGCGCCCTGCGGATCCGTCATGTCGGCGGCGGCGGCAGCTTGCGCCATGGTGAAAGGTGGGTTAGCAAGAGGGCGTCGGAAGCACAAAAGTTTCCGTCCGTAGAATCCAGATGCGAGGAGCGGTCGCGCGGCAAGGAATAGAAGAGAAAACGCCAGTGCAATGGACAATAGGTGCAATATCGCTACCGGGCACTCGACAGTTAAGCCGGCGCTAGCAGCTGCCGAGGAGAAGTGCGGCGAATACGGGCGGGCAAGGGTCTCGTAGGTAGGTAGGTAGGTGCCCGGACGCAGGGGCAGAGCGGCAGCAGAATATCACGCCAGCCAGACAATCCGAAAAAACAAAAAATGAAAGAAAGATCTCGACGAGCAGCAAGCAGCAAGTAGTGCGCAGACGAAGACGAAGACGAAGAATGCGAGGAGGAGGAGGAGGGGGAGGCTGTGGCTGTGAGCGTGCGCGCCGATCTCTGTCAGAGCGTGGAGCGTAGAGTTACGAGGCGCGAGGACGAGGACGAACGACGCAGGAAGGAAGGAGCTCAGCCTTACAGCCACCCAGGGCAGGCTCTCACATAAGGAAGCGAAGAGGGCAAGGCCGATGGCCGTTTCAAAGCCGCCGCTCCCTCTGCACGTCGTGGGCGCATCGGTTCTCTGCCGAGCAAAAATCGGCAGGCAGCAGCGTTCATCAGACACGAGAAGGTCCCGCGGCGCCGCCTCCACGGATTTTCGCTGGCCCCTCCCCCCGGTTGGAGCCAGCGCATGAGGCGCCGATCGCAACATTGAGCAGCTGCCTACCTAGGTGGCGAGGGTAATTGTAGATACTTGCCGGCATGGCATGTACGCGCGGACCGAACATCTATGCTCCTCCTGGTCAGACCCACACTCATAGCTTGACTACCTATCTCTCATCATACTACAATACCTCACTTTCTTCATCTCCATCATCATCACCATCTTCACAGCCACGCGGGCAGCGCGCAAACCCCCGCCACCGTCAACGGCTATCTCGTCCCGAGTACGGGATAGGATTCCGCTACGCACGCGCTAGCTAGCCGTCGTGGGGACCGACCCAACAAAATAGCGCCGAGGGGAGTGATTTGCCCATGAGCTTGGGCCGGCCGTAGGTACAGCATCGAGGCTCCACACTTTGCTGGAGAGCTGGCTATCGATACGGGAATTGCATCGATGCTAGTATCACGCAGGCGTGGAAAGCGCTTGTCTACAAGAGAGAGGCTGTATGCTGTCACAGTAGGTAGGTGTGCATGCAAGCACGCATGCAGCTCAGCCGCACGAGACAGCTAAGCTTTCACGCCATCTGTTACGCGGCCCCCATGCAGCCTAGCTGCGTGAGATTTACTTACCGGGAGTGGCATGGATCGGCTCGGCGGGCGATGCTTCATTACACCTACCTCGCTATTATACCCAACTACAACAACCTACAAAGCGAAACAAAGAACGCATATACTTCTCTATACTATGTGGTTTGCGTACCTAAACAACAGCCCTAGCTTTAGTTACGTGGTAGGTATTCGAGGGGAGACGTATATACGTCGTCGGAGTTGCCCGCGCAGCTCAACGCGCTGCCCCACTGCTCTGGCCCCCACCCCACTGCCGGGCCCCCAAGCCCAACCCCGGTCCTCGGTCCACGCTCCACAGCCCACCCCAGCACCTGGCTCCATCCCTGCAGGCCACGCGTGGCGGCGTGAATGTGATGCTACATATTTTGTTATTCCCGCTCGGCAACGATGCGTCAACGCTACGTACGTGAACGTCGTCACCGCTGGCCCTACCACGGCTTCTTTGGAGTCATATGTGGTGTAGACCGTTGGGTGTTGAGCGTTTGGCCGTTTGGTTGGTCGTTGTTGGTTTTTTTTTTTTTTTTTTTTTCTTTTCTTTTTTCCTCGGAAATGCGACCGAATCGCCCGCTACTTAGGCTCTGCTTGCTTTCTGTTGCTGTTTCTGCGACCGCCTCGGCGCTGCTGCTGCTAAACTTGTTCCTCTGTTGTGTTCGGGCGTGGTCGTTGCTGCTGAGTGCTGACTGATACATCCGTACATACGCACGTGAAGGCTGATGCATGACTACCCAGGCTTTTGACGTCATGGTGGGCGCAGCGCGGCTGGGCTGAGGTGGGCTGACGATTTATATGTATAGCAACGGCGATGCGCTTGCGGTTCGGAAATCGCAGGAGAACCATCCTTTCGCGCAATAGGAGCCGTCGCATCGAAGCCAGTCTCGCCTGCTCCAAAGTCCCGGTTTCCCTAAAAAGATCTCACCGCGCGCTCAACACTGCCACTGCTTGCAGAGGGGACAAAGCTTACTATATAGCAGCTGACTGACTTACCGCTCCGCTTCGATTCCAGCCGCAAAGCATTGTCTGCATTCTCTGGTGCACGCACTGCGAGATCCGCCGTCCGGACCGTACGTACCATGACGACATGTGGAACCGCTACGTGGGCTGATGGGCTCTAGAGCGAGGAGCCGGACAGGACTGGAAAAACAAGCAGATCAAGAGGCGGCTCAGCGCTGAAACGCAGCGCAATCTTGCCTGCCGCCTCCAACGTATGATGATGGGCCGTCCCAGCACATCAAGCCGCCGATCCCCATCAGTGCTCGACGGCGGTGCGAAACACCGTCGAGCCTCGCTCTGCGCGCTGTTCTCGAGCTTCGACTTCTGGGCCCCTTGCGCCCTGGTTTGGGCGGCCGAGATGGGCAACTAGCTTCTGTTGTAGGGTGTACTGCTCTTTCCTGTACTTTACGGTTGCTTCGAGCACGATGGCGTCGCTGGCCTCGTTGCGGACTGGGCTCTTCATGTCAAGCACGGTCGAGGCGAGGCGCTCAACGTGCATAGGCGCTTCCATCAATTCCTTGGTTCTGGCAAGCCGCGAGGGCTCTTCGCCGTGCCGATGCCGATGCCGATCCTGGAGTACTGGACCCTGCTCTCGCGAATGCAGCAGGCTCTGGTGTATGTGCTCGGTCGCGTGCGCGTAGTCAGGGTGTGGAGAGCATGCGTGGACGCTGCTACGCCTTCTGCGTGTGTAAGTCGGCGGGATACCGCCGCCCTGGATGTCGCGTATGTGTTTGCTTGTGGATTTGGCGTTGGAGAGGGTGCCGCTGCTGACTTGGGCCGATTGACGAACCGTTTTCGCGGGCTTGTCGCGACAGAGCTCGGGGAAAGTCGCGTCTGGAGGGATCTGTTGCTAACTTGTGGCCTCTGGGAGAAGCCAGAGGGCGCTCTCGTTCACGTCAATACAGTTGCAACAGAGGACAAGGGCTACTCTGATGCATCATGCTCCTCTCGACAATTGCCTCTGAGCGCAGGCGGCTGAGCCTTCTCACTGACGCTATAGTTCTCTTTCGGAGTTCTGGTCGGTCCATCTGCTCGAGGCTGCGCTGCGTGAGCTGCTCCTTGGGCTCCTAGTGAGGGCTGGTATTGCCCAAAGTAAGGCAGTTCGAAGGAAGTACACCAGAAGAAGTTGTAAGACCAAGCGCGGAGGTTCAGCACCGTAAGCCGCCTCGTCCGCCGTACGCTGACGTGTGTCACGTCACGGTCGGCCCGTCGCGGTATTTTGGGGAGGGGAGATGACCTCTCGACCTCTCAGGGGTTCTGCTGCGAGGCCTGTTCGTCACTAGTACTGGATGCTGTCTCGTCTGCATACGGTAAGAAAGGGGAAGGCAAAGAAGGCCGAGGAGGAAGAGAGTCGCATCTTGAAAATTCCCCGCAAACGCGTGCCGCTTGCGAGCCGGGCCGGTCAGGCGCGCAGCCCTAATCTTTATCGATCCGACTGCACCAAGCTTCAACAACCTTCTTCCGTCACCCTTCTTCCCTTGACCAACCTTCTTTTCTTCAAGAGCCTTTGCCTTTCGTGCCTTCTTCTTCTCTCCATCTTTCGACAAACTTTGCTCGTCTACCATCGTCAAAGCCATGGCGCGTTCCTACCACACCATCCCGGGCAAGACTTCCGAGAGCAAGCGCAAGAGCATGGCGTCTACGGCAAAGCCATCCAAGCGCCAGCGTGCTGTCTCCTCAGCCCAAGATGATTACAATGACGGCCCTGAGTACGCGGCAAACAAGATCGTTGACGAGGACGCCACCCGGTACCTCATCGAGTGGCGCGGACACTACGAGGACACCTGGGAGCCCAAGGCGTTCGCAAACAAGGCTCTCGTCGACGAATGGCTCAAGAGTAAGTCTTCTCCGGGACCTGGAGCTTCACCACAGCTGATAATGACACAGCTCCGAAGGCGGGCAAGGGCGGCAAGCGCTCCAAGAAGGTCACTGAGACCGCTGAGAGCGACACCACGTCCAAGACCAAGACCGACCAGGCCAAGACAGCCGTCGCCACGTCCAGCGGCACGAAAAGAGGCCCCGGACGCCCCAAGAAGCTCACCAAGCTTGCGACCGACAGCCAGGCCGAGGCCACTGACACCGCCGAGTCCGACACCGCGTCTGAGGCCAACGTCGCGACCAAGCGCACCCGTTCCGGCGCTTCCAGCAAGCCCACCGAAAGCGAAGCCACTCCCAAGACCACCAAGACCACCAAGACGTACGGCAACGCCCCTCCCACCCCCACGACGCCTCCTACGGCCGCTGCTGCTGCCCCTCCCGCCGCCCCTCCCACCACCGACAAGGGCAAGGGCAAGCACGCCACCAAGCCCAGCGCGCGCACCGAGAGTGAGGCTGGCACCAGTTCCAAGGCTGCCGGCAATGCCAACGCGTCTGACAACGCCCCTCCTGTCCCCACGGCCCCCACCTCTGCCGGCACCCCCAAGGCCGCCTCCAAGGGCAAGGGCAAGAGCAAGGGCAAGGGCAAGGGCAAGGGCAAGGCCGCCAAGGCCTCCACCAAGTACTACACCGCCAGGGGCATCCTGGAGGAGAGCTCCGACAAGTACTTGATTGAGTGGGAGTACACGGAGGACATGGCGGCTCCTCCGGAGGACTCGTGGGAGCCGAAGAGCTTTGCCAACGAGGAGCTGGTGGAGGAATGGGAGGCCTTCAAGAAGGAGAGGAGGTGAGTTTCTTGTGCCCCCTTGAAGGGGTTCGCGTCCGGATGCGTGGGTGCTGACTGTGTGGTGTAGGGGCGAGGCGAAGGGTGATGAGGGTGAGGATGAGGGCGAGGATGAGGATGAGGGTGAGGGTGCGGGTAAGGGTGCGGGTGCGGGTGAGGATGCGGGTGCGGGTGAGAGCGAGGGTGAGGAGTGAGGCGGGGGCGAGGCGGGAGGGAGGGGTTTATGGTGTGCCGGGGGGCATAGCTCCCATATTGACGAATAAGAATCGAGGGTGACGATTTACGAGCTTTTGCGCTGTGCTGTGCTTTGCTGTGGTGCTATAGAGGTCGCTACTAGCTGCCCTGCTGCGTGGCGCCTTAAGCGTATACGGTGAATGACTGCGCGTGCTGTTGAAGGGGAAGAAAAAGGTGCGAATATAGACATTTTAGGGGGTATACGTATACGCTATGGGGTAGGTAGTGTGGGTTTGATACAGCGTCCTAAAGTACGTTTAAAGTGGGTAAAAAGGGCGCTTTTGTATAGTGATGAAGCCTGTCTGATGTAAGCGACGGTGCTGTACTCGCGGTAGGAGAAAGAGAGAGTAGGAGACGGGAAGGTGAGTGTTTTAGGGAGTATGCGTGCGATCTAGGGGTAGTTAATGTAGTTAGATTGTAGTACGATGAACTACGCTGTAAACCGGTAACAAGAGTGCTTTCGCGTAGGGATAAAGCCTTTCTTGCGTTTAGAATAGAGCTTTACTTGCGTACTTGATAGCGCTGCTAAGCGTAGTGTACTATAATATAAGAGGTAGGGTAGGAGTAGTCGGCGGGCTATGCATTGTAGTATAGTGTATTGAGATAGACGGCTCTAAAGCTTTGTTGGAAGAGCACTGTTGCGTGTAGATAAAGAATTTCCTGTGTGGATACTGATGCTGAGCTCGTATATCTTAAGATAATATTTAGCGTAATGTATAGCGGCTATAGCAGCGGGGCTAGAAGCTTTTGAAGTTATATAGGTGAGATAAAGTTATGAGAGTTTCGGCTATTCTTAATTTATATGATGATGCTGAAGTCGTGTAAATAGAAAGAGCCGTTAGTAGGAGCAAATGCGAAAATTTTATGAGTGTATAAAGCCGATCTTGCGTTGACGATGATGCTGTACCCTTATACCTAAAGTATAGCTTTAATATTATGTGTAGCGGTCGTATTAGTAGGCATAGAAGTATTAAAGCTGTATAGGAAGGGAAATATCGTATGTAGATGAGGCCTTTTCTATGGTAATAGTAATTTAAAATTAGTAGCTTTGGAAACAATGCTTGTACTGACATAAAATAGGTATGAGTGTAGGCGTGAGCGTTGAAGCTGTGTGAAAGGGTTACTATTGTATGGGGATGGAGCTTGCCTAGGGTAGGTAATAACGTAGAGTTCTTGTATCCGGAGGTGATGCTTGTAGAGACGTAGAGCGGATATAATCGCAGGTATTATGTACTTACTAGCTTGAAGGTAGAGTACTGCTGTATATGTATAAAGTCTGTCCGGCGCGGACAAGAGTAATAAGCTCGTAGGCTGAGAAGGTGATGTTAGTAAGGGCGTATAATGCTTCTGCTGTATCTATGTGAATATTTCTAGCGTAGGCGAAAGAAAAATGCTCGCGAACTAGGAATGTACTGTTGGAGCGTGCCTATAATACGGTAAGATGAATGGCGTAGCCACATAAAAGGCGTTGTTTGACACCGATAAAGGCCGAACATATAGCTACAAAAAACCAATTTGTGATTGTAGGAAGAAGACGCCGTAGCCCGGAAGCGGGCGAGCGGAATGCGTCAGCGGAGTGGCGGAGTCGGGCGCAGGAGCCAGCGTGCGGAGCGGAGAATGCGGCGAAATTGTGGCGCAGGCGACAGGCGGAAAGTCTAATTTGGACACCGCGATGCCGGCGTTTCTGCCTGGTCGTAAGGACTGCAGTCAAAAAGGCCAGCATCCGCATTCGCATCCCACAACATTGACTTCGTTTTTTCAACTTGATTTCTTTCCATTCCCTTTCCGCAATGGCCACCATCACCAGAAGATCATGGCGCGCTTCTTCCAGGAATTGGCAAATTGAGCTGCAGGGGAAGATGGAGTTTGAGATTTTTAGCAACCTCACCCAGACGGATGTATCGCCCGAGGAGGCCTTACAGCAAATCCTGGCCCGAATCAAGGCCGTCTTAAACAACAAACAGGAACTGGGTCAGCGTCTCTACGACACTGCGAGCTGTTTGATTGAAGTTGCCGAACGGACCGCCGCTCCTGAGCGCCTAAACAAGCTTGCGACGTTTGTAAAGCTGCTGCGAGAGATTACCTGGACGGGCGAGAATGGCGAACCACTAAGACACGATGATTATCTCCTCTTTACCGACCTGCCTGTATTTGGCTACACTCTCGCCGATGAATTGCAGAGCTTCAGTGAGTAGTTACGAGCATTGACGAATATCTGTGCTAATTCTGTCAGGTCCCGACAAATCTGATGGAAATACTGAAGATGAACAAGCCTGGGAAAATCTGGTAACTTTCTGTGCGCAGTTTTCCACTCCAAACAAGATGTTCGACCTCACAGACGTCTATACATGTTGGGACCTCCGGCTTGCATTTGACCCTGAAGGGCCAGCAAATGAATGCACAGTGCGGTCCGCGTGCTTGTGGTTTATTTATGCAGCTGACACGCTTTGGGCTCATGTCCTTGACCCCAAAGTAGAGGATGGGGAAAGGCCGTGGTTTAGTCGGGAGAATTGGAAGTGGTGGAAGAAGTGGCTGAAAGACTTCAAGTCGCAGTTTGGTGCGAAGGAAAGTAGGAGAACGAGGGATCTGATCGATGAGGCTTTAGTGCAGATGAAGCGGGTTGAGAAGAAAAGTTAGGACTACGATTTATATTTATAGATGGAATGTAACGCATCACTCCTTAATCTATGTTGGTTTTATCATGCATCGCCACCACATGAAGATCTCAAAAACCGGGTATGTGACGTTAGGCATACTAAACCTAGCCTCCTAGGTCAGCAGCTGCAGTGTATGGCAGTTGCAGTGGAGGCGGAAGTTTGCGTTTATTCTTTCCACTGGTAAGTGTTGGGGGTTGGGACGTATCTAGTCGCAGGTATATGAGGGCAAATGACGGCAGAAATAAAAGCATGCTCAAATGCTGGTATGTGCCTCGCGGCAAACACTCGGATCAGAGATGATAGAGCGGGATGGCAGCTTGGCAGGACGTCTGTATGGCCGTGGTCTTACCGTTCTCCGCTACTGCCAAGATGGTGAGAGCTCTTATGCCCAACAATTGCGGCTCTTTGGGCAGGAGAAGGCCCGCGATGCTGATCAACACTTCCTAGCCGATTTGCACAGCCTTGTCTTTACATAGTTAGTGCTCGCTTACCCTAGTAGACACTAGAGGTGCACGGTCAACACCATTCATGGGATAGAAGTAGTAATCACTTCTCAATAGGCAGTGTAGTATGCCTTTGACGAAGAAACTCGCATGAAGAAGAGGAAGAGAGAGCTGCAAACATTTGCTACATTCTATATACAGGTGATTGGCTGCTGTCTCTAGAACGCAAAGACAAAATTCCCCAACCTCGGTATTTCACATGTGACATGTAAGTGGAGGGCCTTGCATCACTGCCGTCATGAGCCTCGGTATGTCACATGGAAGAGGGGATGAAGGCATGCTTCCAGTGGAGCAAAGATGTTGTCACGATGCACAAGCAACCAACCCTTACTATACGGTATCCCAACAAGTCTTCAGTGAAGGCAAAGTTGCCAAGTACTCCTACTATTATGGGTATAGTGCATTCGTCTACGCTTATTGTAGCTACATATGGAAATATTCAACCTGCCGAGGCTGTTTCCTGCCACTCGGTTCTCAATGAAGATGAGAAAACATTCAGATATTTTATAGCTCCTGAGTTTGAGTTCGTTTATATAGATCTTGCCCTTCGAGGTTGAGTAACAGATGAGCCGCTTGTATCTCTTTTCACACCACCACTTTGAAGTCCATCGACGATTTACCATGGGTATCCAAATGCCAAAAGTAGCCCTTGGTACTGATGCTGCATGGGGCAGTTATCTCCCATTCGCCATTTTGCTTTCAGCATATCTTCTCATTGCTAGAATGCTCCGGTACAGACGAGCAGAAGCCATACAAGCAGGATTCAGCAATGGCAAGCGACCACTGTCGAGCATGACAACAAAAGAAGCATACGACATTATGACACAGCTTCAAGAGCTCGAGTTCCCTTACACATTTGGCAAAGCCCGAGCAATCGCCCTGCTCAAGGTACGTTTTTCCGTCGATGCAAAAGTCTGCATACATGCTAACCAGGGTCATAGGCAGGTGGAATCCCGTCAATGTCTAAGCTGTTTGCCGTCACCGGACAGAACACCAGACGAAATGCCGGAAAGCGTGCCGTCGACACCGAAATCTTGCTGCGGGAAGTACAATCGAAAGACCGCCAATCAATCCGATACATGGAGGCAGTAGCTCGGATGAACTACCTGCACGCACGATACCGTAAAGCCGGTAAGATCTTGGATGAAGACTTGTTGCATACTCTGGGCGATGGGCTCTTGGAGTCTTTTCGTACCGTGGACACTGGGGAATGGCGAAGCCTCACTGATGTGGAGAGATGTGCTATTGGGATCTTCCACAAGAACTTGGGCGAGGACATGGGGATTCCGTTCACGCCTTTGCCATCTTGCCAAACTGGATGGGATGATGGGCTTCATTTTGCGATGGAACTGAGAGACTGGACACTTCAGTATGAAAAGGAGGTGGCGAAGCCTGTGGCAACTAACGATCAGTATGTCAGAGTCTACGTTGACTCGGTCACTGCTGCTTTGCCGAAGCCCTTCACTACACTTCTCCGAAAGGTGCTTGGTTACGAACTGGACGATACGATGCGAAGCAGTCTCTGGTAAGAACTTTCATAGTATCGAGTGGATACTTCAGTAAGCTAACATAACTATCTCCAGCATCGAAAGCCCAGGAGTACTCCTTAAAGCCCTTTTAGCCATCGTACAAACCACCCGGAAGCTTTCCCTCCGATACCTAGCTCTTCCAAGGCCCTCCTTCCTCGCTGTCAAGCTTGTCGACGACAAGCCAAACCCAGCATCCGGCTTATACAACTTCAGACACCTTGGCTTCCAGCCATGGTACATCAAGCCCGATTTTTGGGCAAAATGGAGCCCATCGGCTTTACTTATGAGGGTTTTCGGTGCAAGGGCTCCCGGGACAGCTGGCGAGAGGTACCGTCCTCAGGGTTATGATTTGAAGACGATAGGTCCACAGCCTCAGGAGGGAAAGGGGCTTGATGATATGATGGCGACTGTTGAGTATCTCAAGTCGCGTGGTGAATCTGGGTGTCCGTTCTCTAAGATGGGGAAAAACTGAATAGTTTCGGGGCCTGCAAGGCAGCGTATCAGGAGCTTAGTATTGGCCACGGGGACGACCTTAACATCTAGCATCGAGTTTCGTAGTTATGAAACTAGACAGGCGAGGAATGTGTCAGTGAAAATGAGGCATTATTTCTAGACCGTGCAACTTCAATGGCTGATGCGATAGATTTTGGATGATTTTTTTAATAACCTCTTATCTAGTGTGGCGATTGGAACTCAACACTGGTTTATATTATTATTTGTTGTTGAGCTACAGTGAACATATGTTCTCGAATCTGATTCTTTTTTGCCTAAAAAATACTCTAATACCTTTTTAATTTCTTATTTAGGTTGTTTTGTTCAGAACTCTCGTAATAGATATGATAACGTAACAAAGCAAGATTCAGCTAAAGCTTCTCTAGTTCTATAGATTATTACTATTCTTCATCATCTAGTTAGTCTTCCTTGAGTTCATTTCTCAATACGGCAGTATATGCGCTTTTAAAATAGCTAATTCAGCAATAAAAATAGCTAAACATAAAGATATTATAGAGAAGATTCCTACTTAAAATTTTCAAGTAGTAAACTATCTCTTAGATATGTTGCTGGCAATATTCTCTTCTAGCACGTGCAAATTTATGTCAATGGCGTAGCCTTGGCTTTATCAGCGCGATTAAGCCGGTCGTGTCAGCCTTAGGGTTCTACCTAGTTAAATAGGAAATTGCCAATGCAATTAACTGAAACTTTTAGCAAGGATTCAATTTCATTTTCCAACGTCTATAAGCTTTCTACCATGAAAACCTGCGCTGGTATTTTGGACTGGGTGATTAGATAAAAGCTTCTTACAATTTCCATTCAGATACGGCTCAAGGCAAGTTCTGGGCTCATTGTGCGAATTATTTTAATTTTACCTGTCGCATTCTTCAAAGATTGCGCAAATATTTGATTTGCTATATCACAAGAAAGTGACAGAATTCTTCATGGTATATAGCCTATACTGGATGAGCAGCCGGACCAAAGCCTTTCGTAAGATTTTCCTTGATTGTTTGGTGGCGTTGTGGAGGTGGGTAGATATATTCAGGTGTGGCACGCCTCGGCAAGGATACAGCGTGGCTAAGTATTGCCTGACGTCACAGACAGGGGGCGGCCATCCCCATCGCATGAACTCTAGCCGACTGAATGGGCGATCCTAAGCGAATATAGCATGCATGCATTCTAGAAATGGTCTGGACTGAGATGACTGTGCCAACAAACAAGGGGAGGCCCCCTAGAGGCTTCTAGTCTCGCTTTCAGCTGCACAGGATAATCACAAGCCGAATTTGGACAGATACTTATTAGGTTTGATATAAAAGCCAGCCGTTTCCGAAGCTTCCGAGATAGGTGAACATGATGAAGCCCCTCCAGTACAATCGCTAAAACAAAGGATCCGCTTCCAAAAACAATTTAAAAGGCTGTACCTTATCAGACCTATAACAACGGTGAAATCAGTCCACCACACCCTCGTTCTTTCAAGAATTCTATGAGACAAGAAATTCATGAGAAGACTACGTACTTACACACCGTTGTAGGAACCATACCTCAGGTCGTTCGTTTCTCACTCCTCAACATCACGCCTTTCTCTGCCAATTCTGAATAGAGAAGCAAGCCTTCTTCTGAAAGAGTCCCTTCTCGAGAAAGAGTGCCTTGGATTCCTTCTCAGGTACACGGAGTCTTTATGGTCACCCTCCCCGTCAGTCTTAACCGTTTGGACACGGATCATACCCGAACATCCCGTTACACCATCCGCTGGAGATGTCAAGTCAAGTTTGACCCAGGCCATATTCTGGCAGACATACTCGTACAAAAGGTGGAGTAATCGCTCCTTACTTAGGAGTGTATCGGTGAAGTGACGGCTTCTCATGACAGCCCGGTCGGTGGAAAGGCTACGGCTCGGTGTCTGTCTAGATGATAACAAGCCTTCATGACGGTCAGCAAGAGGAGTCTAGTCGATGAAAACATGAGCGCCATGGGCTTCGTCCAAAGGCTTCCAAAGTCTGGTAAAAGGACACTCCTAACATACTAGTGGAAACGTCATCACCGGGAATCATTGTCTCTAGGACCTTTTTCAGCCAGACAAGGAAGTTTATCATCTCCAAGTCATCAAAGCTCAGGTCTAACTGCTCGAGAAATGCTCTTGCCTTGCGCAGCGCAAAGGCGATCTCATCCGACATGCTCCAGGTGATTCCCTTGCAGGCGTCTCTTACAGCACGGTACTCTCTGGCATTTGGAGCTCCTACGTCTTGAAAGTTTGTTAGGGCCTGTTTCAACCTAAACCAGACCGACGATACCAACTATGCAAAGTGTACGCCATTAGGGAAAGAACCTTACCCCATATTAGAGATGGGTTCTTGACGACATCCGAGATAATCGATGGTTCTGTTGGTTGGCGAGAGGTGGGCGAAGGGTTTGCCATTTTGCTGCCTAGAGTTGTAGAGAAGCTTTTGGTGAGAAACTCCGCTTCTGTCTACTCTACCAGGGCGTTGACCTCACCTTCCTGTTACATATAATATAGAAACGTGCGTAGGTAAACGAGAACGCAGACCCCTTGGTTGGCCCGAAGTTGACGAGATGCGAAAGGTTAGGTGGCGATATTGGAGAAGCGTAAGCAATGAGCTAGGATTGCTTGGCCTTTGAACCCTTATCAACGGAGATGCGGCTCTTCTCGGTATTTACTGCTTGGGCCAAACAGAGCTTTCCGCGAACATCCGAAGCTTAGGAGGACAATCTATGCTATATAGGCCTTCTTCTTTATGAAAAACTCGCACCTACTCTCTTCACTCATTCGCCTCTGTTGAACTACGGCAAGTGTCTCATTGCCTGGGAAATTTCATGAAGTGATGTCAGCCAGTATCACTCTAACAACGCACAGCTTCAACCCTACGGTTAGTTGTTACACAATAAACTGACTCCCTTACACCACACGTTCTTCTACTGCAAGGAATTAAGGATCTCAACAAGAAACGTGTTCTTTTAGATAGCAGCATATATACCTCTATAGGTAGCAGTAATCTAGGAGGACAAGCGGCGTCCAATTCCTCGCGCCCAGCTTCACAAGTGATTTCCAATAGTCCTACTAAACATTGAATCTAAAATGCCCCTGCAAAGTTTCACAATTACTTCTTCTATCCGATATAGACTAATGTCGATAACATTTCTCTGGGAGGGAAAGTAGTTTTAGTACGTATAAGGGTTTATATTTCAGCCTTCCTTTCCCAGAAAGGCAACTGGACCCGACTAAAGCACCTCAAGTCATTGGTAGATGCTGCAAGGCGCGAAACCAGTCACTGAGAAAAGTTTCTTATCAACTGAGGATTGAACCATCACAATTATCCCTGCAAAAAACAAGGCACGTGGATAACCGGCTAAGGTCAAAAGGCTAATCATGCATATCTCTGACCACGTCAGCTTCATTCATACGTATCTGCCTGTCCGGCTTTCTCAGCCTTCCCATTTTCTCTCTTTTCGGTCGAATTTCGAACAGAACAACAGCTTGAAGTTTTGATCCATATTAGAATTTTGTCCGTCTTCTATATTTTCCTGCAGTTGGCTTTTGCGGTACTAAAACGAACATAAGCTGGACAAAGGTAATGGCGGCTGTGCCCGAGCTCCCACAAGCGTGGGACGTCTTTAAAGTTGAAAGCGGAATTGAAAATGAACCAAGAGACTTTTCGACAAGATATGGCGAAGCAGTGAGCATCTCATACTCATGGTTTTATTAATCACTTTCTCATCCTTGCTACAAACGAAGACAGGATTTACTCAAACATATCGTATCCTCGAGGAGGATACGAGACAACGACTATTCGACAAAGGTTTCGACTTTTCTATAAGCTTTTGCCAGCGAGACCTAAGCACCATTTCAGGTTCAGGACTTTCTGACCCTATTTGGTCTTTGTCCTCATTCAAGGCTCCGGATCCGCCAAATGGGCGTCTAAAAGAACAAACTCCAACCTACGAATGTGAAGTTTAAGAATGCCCGAAGAGTATCCCAAACGAAGACAAAGGCTTCTGGTGGTCACCCTGCCCTAATGCGTTTAGTGACTTTCCTGGCCTGCAGGGTTTTCTTTTCGATTCCGGGGTATGACAGCCTCTTTACGGCCTCTTTTTATATCCAACAATTTTATTTAACGGTCGCAGAATCAGCCGAATGAACACCTGTTTCGACCGCACTCTCATGATGCTTACCAACGGAATTGCGGTGAGTTTTTCCAACGACCACAATACTGTCTAATTGTTGAATTACGACATGGACAGGTCTAGATCTCATCGAAGACCGCCATAGTCATGTGTCTCAGAAGGAATATCGCTGCGACAAGGATGGATGTGAGATGAAGTTCTGTTGAAGTGTACGCAGTTTATATTGCTTTTTCTATGGCTTAGTCATTTAGCACAGGGTATAAGAGGACTCCGCCTACCGGGCTCCTAACAAGATCATGCCACTCATTGCTATCAATTGAAACCCCATTCATTACAACAGTTATGAGCCCGGAAATACGTTTAATACCTTCTACTATCTAAGCGCATATCTACAAAATAATACTAACGTCTTAAGGCATCCAAGCGTCGTCTATACTCCTCGCTATTAAGGACACGTTTCCAGTCACACATCATCTAATAAGCAACACTTTACTATTATCCATCAGTATTATCATTAATTATTAAGCTAAGCACTCTTTGTATTAAATACACGAATTCGGCTAGCGCTAATATTCTTAAGTTACCGTAGAAGCACCGTACCGACTCGCTAGCACGGTCGCACAAAATACTAAGTCGGTCCGACAACGCCACATAATCACGATAGCTTCCTCTAAGCTAATTATCGTCCTTAAATCCTTATACGAGTAGGAGGAATAGTACTTTATTATCTAATCACGGGCAAAGAAGGCTAACGTCCTTAAGTTTATCGATCTAACCTAACCGACTCTTCCTAAATAACTAAAAAAGCCACCGAGGCTATTAGCCCCAGAAAACGACAGCTCTATAGCTAAGCTTTTAGCTAAGAAGCTAGAATACGACTTCTATAAGGAGGATAGAAAAGAGTATAATCGTAATATTAAAGACATTAACGATATCTCTTCGCTTATCGAGGATTCAATTAGCTTCTCTCTACAGCCACTACTACGGAACCTAGCGGATACGCACCCGTATAATCAACTACGTATACTATAGGCTCGGCTATAGCCCTCACGCGACACACAACAAGACCTTCTACTAAACTAGTTAAGGCAACTAGAGAAGCCGCTAACTAATTAGAATATCGATAGATAGCTTACCCAATAGGAAGAGACTATCCTCAAAGCTCGAGCAGTCGACCTACCCAACATCAGTAGTAAACAAGGCCTTAGGTTATTCCTCAGACCTCTCCTCTAGCATAACTCGCAGTACGCGGCTCTCCTCTAGCATAACTCGCAGTACGCGGCTCTAATCTATCAAAGGCTTATTAACGAAGGGTCTCCCTACAACAAGGATATAATAGACCTCATCTCTAAGTATCGTAGATACATACAGCAGCTACGAGCGGTTACTAACCCTAAGATAACTCGGTCTACCTTCGCCGCCTCATTAAAGGGATAATAGTAGTCTAATAAACTACCACCTTGCCTATACGGCTACAACCACTAGTATACTTAGTATTACTACCTAAACACTAAAGCTCGCCCTACCGGTTAGAAACCAAATAAGAAAGTTTAGAAGCAAGTCTAGAAGACGCTCAGCAATTCAACAATAAAGGACAATATAGAAAGAGCTATCACTAGATCGAAGAGTATAAACAAGCACAGATCGTAAGAAACCTCAACGGGCGAAAAAGATAAGGACGATAGTAGAACAGCAACCTCCTTTACAGCCGCTATTATCGCAATATATTTTATAGCCTAAGGACTAACGCGACCTACTACTCTTAACCTCTCATAGATTACGGACACGGGCACTACCCATCACGTCTATAACAGATTTATAAGTAAGCGTTTCACCAAAACACGTAGTACAGGCCTAGAGGATTTTATTCTCAGCGGGAACAGCATCGTTCCAGTAGAATTATTTAGCACTATTACTATAGAGGCAAGCAGGAATAATAAGCGTAAGCCTATTATTTTAAGGGAGGTAGCATATATCCCTTCCTTCATAGGCAACCTTATCTCAATTAGCAAGGCAAACGAGAAAGATATCTACATAGACACTAGACGAATATACCTCTACAATAAGAGGGACAATAGTATTATCTACAACCTTACCTTCGCAGAGGGACATTTCTTCGCAGAATACTATTCTACCAACACTACCTCAGCTCCAATTACTACTACCTTAACTACCCGCAACCTCCCTACGGAGCAGTAGCACTCTATCTTCGCATATATAGGCTCGAACACTATTCAAGCTTTACCTAACGCCGTATCTAGTATAAGTCTAAGCAGTAAGAACCTACCTATCCACTACGATATCTACGCCAAAACCAAGGCTCGTTAACAAATCTCCCGAACCACCAGTAATCACGAAGAAATATCATCAGCTCTATTCTTTCGGGTCTCTCTAGACCTCATCCAAATAACTCCAGCTTTCAACCATCACGAGTAGATAACGCACCTTAATTACGTATCTACTAAATACGTCCTCGCTAAAACTCATATCACTAAATCCGACTACAATACAATCGTCCTAGCAAAGCTTAACCAGATTCTAATTCGCTTTCACTAAACAACAGCCTTTCTTCACTCTAATAGAGAGCATTCTTTTACGCAAGAACTAAAGCAGGAGATTTACCGAAGAGGAATTACGTAGGAGACTTCGTTACCATATACTCCTACTTAAAATAGACACGCCGAACGCTCCGGCTACTCTCTTATCCTTAAGGCAAGAGTACTTCGCATTAGAGCTAACCTTCCTAAACGTCTATAGCTAGAAACTATAAAGGCCGTAGTATACATCTATAATCGGACGCTAATCCAACGTCTCAATTAGAAGACTCCTTTCGAACTAGTTCATAGAAAGAAACCCACTACTAACTACTTACAAGTATATAGCTACAAGGCCTACACACTCGACAAGATAATACCGAAGAAGAAGAAGAAGCTAAGAGCTAGAGTTCTTATTAGCTATTTAGTTAGATATAATTCTACTAACATCTTCCGCATCTAGTACCCGCTAGGGGACCGCATCCTACAAGTCCGAGATATTACTTTTAATAAATTAACCCGCTATTCACTAGAAGACAAGGAAGAAGCACATAAAGTTCCAGAGGTAGAAGAGGAAGACGAACTATTAGAAGTAGTCCTAAGGATTCGGCTAAGTTTAGAAGGGTCGACTAAATCTAATAAATCATCAGCGGAGGATAAACCCGCCCATATAGTAGAACACATAACTAAATCACCCTTAGTATCACGTAACACAACTACCTAAGACAGCCCTTCAAGGCGAATACCTCTATCCACTAACGCGCAAAATAAACGAGGGTAATTAATTACCCCTACACTATCGTTAAGAGAATAAGGAACTCCCTAGCTAGTACAGGACGAGGACACCTTTACGTCCGCACTATTCTCGCCGGCAAGGAATCAAGAGCCTAAAATATTAGGGGGCGAAGAAGAGGAACTACCTCGCCGCTTAGGACGGCTTATTCCTACTCAGTACGAGACCGAACCTAATCTAGCAGCAGCTTCAGGAAATAGAGCTCCGAGAGGCTCTTAAATTAACGCAGATATTAATCCGAATCTCATTCTCGACGAACCCTACAGTCGAAGACGATTAACTCGCCGTAATACGTACGTTACCATACTCAACAATAACTACTATAATAAGTAATCCTTTTAAGCTATATTCCTAGCAGCACCAGTAATAAAACCGCAATTATTACTTCCGTTAATACCGGATACTATACTTAGTAGTCCGCCACTATTACCGAGAATTCGCAGAGATAACCTACCACTAGAGCCCCGGCACTTTAAAGATATAGTAACTCATTCGCTACAAGAACACTTCCACTATACCATACTCAAGGAACTACAGGAAGTCTAGGGTAAGGGGGTATAGACAGTAGCAGATATTACTAAAGCCCAGTCACTTAACAAAGAGATAATCCCTCTTACCTAGGTCTTTAAGTACAAATTCAATAAGTACGGCTACCTTACAAAGGTAAAGGCAAGGATCTACGTACGAGGCGACCTCTAGATAACGACTCAGGATACCTACGCCGCTACCCTAGCCTTCCGCATCTTCCGTACCCTTATTACTATTATCTACGCCTTTAATCTCGAGACTAGGTAATATAATATAGTTAATACCTTTCCCTACGTGCCACTAGAAAACGAAACCTTCTATACTCCGCCTAAAGGTATAAAACTTCTACACGACCGAATCCTACAGCTAAAGCGCGCGCTATACGGATTAAAAGAATTACCTACCTTATAGCAGAAGTATTTTTTACAGAACACTACAGGACCTCGGCTTAGAAGCTATCCTAGACGCTCCCTACCTTTATACTAACGAATATTTATTCGTTTTCTTCATCGTTAACGATATCATCATAGCCTTCCACAAATAATATAAAAAGTTCGCCAACGCCTTTCAGGAAGACCTATTCCAGCGCTATAAGATAAGGATAATAGGAGAAGTCTAGTAGTTCCTTACTCTTCGAATAGTAAGAGATCGCGCTTAGCGACTTTTATAGCTCTCTCAAGAGTTATACATCTCCAGCATTATAGCTCGTTACAACGTTAAGGAAAATCTAAATACGCTAACGCTACTACCGGCTAATAAATAGTTAGTTCTAAACGAGGAGGACTACGCTACGCCGCAGGACGTTCATACGTATTAAAGTAAGATAGGCTCAGCTTAGTTTACAGCCGTTAGCACGCGTACGGATATTACCTACGCTTACTCTTCCCTCTCTACTTATTTAAGCAACCCCTCGCCGCGATACTAGTAGCTCGCTCAGCGCTTACTCGCCTACCTAGGCGCTACTCGCAAGCTAGCTATCTACTTTCAGGGATATACTCCCGAGCAGGCAGTCTTTACCATCAGCAGTAACGCATCATATAGCAACGACCTAGCCACGCGTCATAGCCATCAGGGCTTACTAATCACACTATTTAGAGGGCCGGTCGATTAGAAATCCTCTAAACAACCTATAGTTACTACCTCAAGCACTAAGGCAGAGCTCCTTACTCTATTAGACACGGCCAAGCAGTACTATTAGTAGAAGCGTTTCTTCCGAGGAATAGAGTTTAATCCTAGACACTACATTAAAATTCAGTACGACAACAAGCAAACTCTTCGCCTTATAGAAGAAAATACTACTAAGCTTATTACTAAGCTTAGACATATAGATATTCATCATTACTAGCTTCGCCAAGAAGCTTAGGCAGGAAACGTTAGCTTTCGTTAGACTCCGACAGTAGACACGATAGCTAATAGGCTAACTAAATCCCTTCCAAAACAAAGGCACTAAGCCTTTATCAAACAGCTCGGCCTAGTCCCTACGCCTAAATAAGACATAGCAGAAGATAACCACCTTAGATTAACTATTTCTTTATCTACATCAGCTACCATCTTTTTACTATCTTACCTTTCTTAATACTGCAGCGTTTATCGCGTACTGCCTAAAGCGGCACTACGCGAAGGGGGTGTATTAAAGTATACGCAGTTTATATTGCTTTTTCTGTGGCTTAGTCATTTAGCACAGGGTATAAGAGGACTCCGCCTACCGGGCTCCTAACAAGATCATGCCACTCATTGCTATCAATTGAAACCCCATTCATTGCAACAAGTTCTTTAATCAAAGCGCGCTAAGGTATGTTTCGATTGTCAACGCTTTTTCCGCATTTTATTTCTAACGAGCTCCAGATAGTATGCGTCGCCTTGTCAGCCTGATATACTACCCAAATTGTCTGAACCGTGGAATATTAAAGTTCCCCACATATTCCTTGATTATTCTTGCCTCCCTAATAGGTGGTCTAGCCACAATGAAAACGAGCAGCGTCATTGGAATTGCCACAACAAAAAATAGCCAGAAACCAGAACTCCCAGGAGCAGTGTTATTGTTCATGCTAAAAAGCCCCGTAGTGAATGTAAAAGGTACGAAAATAAGGGCCAAATAAGTAAGGCGAGTAACATTTGCGGTTTCCGCGAAAGACTGCCGACTGTCCGCAATTTGGACCATCGATGTGGCAATTGGGAGCATGTTTTCGTAAAGTTGGCCGAAGCTCACCACACGGGTCGCGAGGTGATCATAATCTTCAGCAATGGTTTCCCAAGAAGAGTTCCGTTGCTTCGTGTCATACGAATCGCGGATGAATCGGGCAGTAGCCCTAAGCTTCTGTTCTGAAGACATGCTTCGACGGCGCCAACTCTGCAATGTTTGCAGGTCAGAACTGAGCCTTTCAAGCTCCTGGGGCATATCTGATAGCCCCCCAATTTTGTATTCGTATTCCTTGATGCTGTGATGCATAACCGTGAGATAGTTTACCCATTCAGCAGCAACTATACGCAGAGGGAAATATGCCAAATGAAGAAGGATAGGTGACTTCGGTTCGAAAAATAAAGGTTTTTGTCGTTTCCAGTAATAGACAAGATCTTCTATCAATCCAGACCTTTTCGGACCACAAGTAACCTCCGACTTATAGGATAACTCGGCGTTTTGGAAATCTTCATAACCTCCTAGAAAAGGTTTTGAACCGAAGTTAAAGAGCAGCACATCTTTCTTTTTGTCCTTGACAGAGTAATATATGCTGCTAATTGGAGGATCAACAAGAACAATACCTGCTCCTTATGTTAGTCGTAGGTAACGAGTTATGATTTAGGCCTTACCAATCCACTCCTGGTTAGGTAATGTAGTCTTATAGATGGAGCAGCAATGTTGTGCCAGACCAATATGGAACCCCTTGGTTTTCGGGAGAACAACCACTTTTCTGTATACATTTGATGGTCGTAGGAGTTGCTTTTGTGGGATCTCCGGATCATTAAACACAACTGTCCGATGGTAGTGGATGTTTATATATTTGTCAACCCTAAGGCGGGACGGAAGCATCGCCATATCCGGTGTCTGAACACTGATGTCCGGCCACGGAGGTTGAAGATGCGAGGCGAAGAAAAGAGGATCCAACTGTAACACTGACCCGAGTATCTCAACGATGGCCGGTGTCAGATCTTCGATCATGAGGATTCGCCCATGGACGTCTCTATTCTTTGTGTTGCTGCACTGCTTCAAAAGGTGCTCCAGATCCTCAGCCTCGATTGTCTGCACAAGCGGATCGGTATGATCGGATAAGAATTCCAGAATAACAAGGCGGCAAGCTGTCTTCTCCAGCCACTGCGCCTTAAGGAAGTCCACAACATTCTGAATGCTTGGGTTTCTCTCACGTTGTGCCGCAACGAAGGCATGGTAGTTTTCCATTAGGTCTCGAACGAAGGATGTTGAGAAACGTGGAAAGTCGAATATATTCGTGGCTCCTGCCCAGACTGTAAATTATTTTTCCGAGATACCACCTTTGCAGTGATTTCTTAGGTGAGGCGTGTCATTTTCCTGGGCAGCCTTGTCTGATGTATCCGGTGTGCCAAATCCGTCGTTGCAAGGGTTAAAGCAAGTTTTTCATGATACAGATATTGCTGCCTGGCACTGCCATATACGTGGCTTACATGTCAGCCGAAGATTTGGGCAAATCACCGTTGAGCACATCAGCGAGGTGCAGCTGACTTGTAATCCCTGTCCGAATGTTTTTAATCCTACATACCTTACTGGTCAAAAACAAGTCCGCAGCAGTTAGTACGATAAACACAATTTTACTCTGAGCCATAGAAACTCATCATATTTTAATTTTGCAAACCTCGTTCGCATTGCGAAAACCAATTAAGGGCACCACATACCTAAAAACACACTTCGTGTGTTTATTTCGTTATGTAAAACGCAAATTGAATATTAGTTTATGTCCAGCGACCTGAATCTTACAGCAGCCAACGGTATATACTTCTAATTACTTATTTGCAGACATTCACAGCCTCATAAAAGATGAGTCCGCCTTTCTACCAGCTTTCGCGACCGGTGAAGCTCGAATATCGCCTTGGAATCAGCCTTTCATCCTAACCATCCGTCACTTCGAAAGATTTGCATTAAAGTTAAGCCTTAGAGATACTTTAAATATAATAAAGATGGAGTTCTCGGTGAAACTCTGTCACTCGAAAACAACAACTATTTTTCCACCCCCAAACCTTGCCGTTGTATCCAAACTAAACACCCTCTTGCCTTCCTTGATCAAACTTCAAAAAACATGAACGGGTCCAATTTTGAAAACGAACCTATACCAGAAATCATTGCCGAGTTTTGTAAAAGCTACAAGGCAACAGGGGACGATGGAAAAAATCAATCCTACTATTCCAGTCTCGCGGACTACGTGCGAGGACAATGTGAAGACTTCTTCCGCGTTCGATTCGACGCGAATGTCACGTCTCGAGCCAAGTCTCCGAAGACTCTTCAAGAAAAGCTCGTGAAACGTCATCCACGGAAAAAATACACGACCCCAGACAGTATCAGAGATGATATCCCAGATCTAGCAGGAGTTCGAATAGCCCTGTTCTACCCAAACCACAAGTCTCGCGTCAACAGCTTCATTGTGGAGACTTTCCATGTTGACGAAAAGATCGAACATCCAATTGACAAAAGTAAAGTCACATTGGAAGAAGAGTCGCATCTACAAGACGAATACAATCGCCGCTTCAAAGGATATCAGGCCACTCACTATCGTATACGCTTCAAAAAGCCACCAACTCAGTTCAGGAAAAAGGACAGAATCGAAATCCAAGTCATGTCGGTTCTTCAGAGTGCGTGGTCTGAAGTTGAACACAACATCCTGTACAAGAAGCTCGGAGGATCTCCTTCATTTCCAGAGAGACAAATGTTAGATGGACTCAATGGATTGGTTTCGGTTGGAGAGCTCTACGTGGAACAATTGAGCTCTATGCACGATGACCGAATAATGTCAGAAAAGGGCATCGGAGAGCAGTTTCCGAACCAATACGAGTTAGGGACCTTCCTCATCTGTAAGATACGCCATAGCCGAGGCCAAGAAGATTTCGACACCTCCTCAGTTGAAGTTCTTCTAAAGTTTCTCAAGCTTGAGAGCGTGGGGATCAACAGCAAGGATATGCTGAGCTCAAAGCTTTCGCAGCACAAAATTGAGACCAATCTTGACACAGAGCTCAAAACACCATTCAGCACTAAGCCGAATATCTCGATTATCATCATGGAGCGGCTGCTCAATACGAAAACTCTCACGGAAAAAGCTCAAAAATTTGCAACAAGCTCTGTTGCAGAGCGTTGCAAAGTCTTAGCTAGCACTATCATCTCTTTGGACGAGCTTTTCCCTCCGGTCTCCTTTTGGGCATGCGATGAGCTTATGGGATGGCAGAGTTCACCGTTGAGCGATGAGGATTCTTCAAGAATGAAAGCCCTGGAATGGCTTATGAACGGTCAATTGCCGAGAAATATGCTCATTGGCGACAAGGTAACTATGACGGAAATAGACCTTCAAAGGATTGAATGTCTCTGGAACTGGTTAGATATGCATTCTTCAAAGTTCGTCCGCTTTGTCTTTTCCCTTTCGAAGCTTGGAGTGGTAAGAGACTTTCCGCAGGATATTCTTCTTCTCGAGAGAACATACCGTGTCATGCAAGAATATTTACAGGATTTTACACTTTTCGGATAGTGGGGGAAAGTTATGTTTTCGAGGATCGCATTTACTCAGGATAGAATGGGATTCCACCAAGATTGAATTTTTTACTATAACTTACGAGTTTAATGCAACATTGTACTACATATATTTTTGCCTCGAGGGTACGTTATACCTTACAAAAAGAAGTCGTTAATTAAGGTCTTTAATAATCGGGCGTATTGCTTGATTCAACCTATAGATTAACTGTATATACTCTTTAGGTAGTCAAAGCTATACAAAGCTTGGTATTTTCTTCAAAAAGTTCGCTTTCACAATAGTTTTTCCTGATTAGGTATGGTCTATTGACAAAGAAGTTGAGTCAAAAATTGGACGAAGCGTGATTTTGACGTAGGTTACAAATCGGTAGAGACGCAGCTGCAGGGGAAGGTTGCAGTTACAATCCCGAGACTCGACAAACGCTCCAGCGCTCCCACGTCACCCACAACTCTACCAGACACTTGCTTTCCGCATCCCGATTCTGTCAACTACAACTACATCCATCCCATCATGATACCATTCCGCGTCGCAATCCCTTTCTACCGTACCAGCCTGCCGACAATCCGAAGGTTTACCCTCGCAACCAGCCATCTCCACGACAACCGCGATACCATCCGTACCAACCATTATCGCTATCGAAAGCAGCCCTATGGCACTTGGTTTTCGACTCCCACGCAACAACATCAAGAAGACAGTACCGAATCCACAGTCACAGATGAACCCATCAGAAGCCCTGACTTCAGTGGCCCACCTGTCCATCGGTTGCCCCAAGAAAATATGTCCGAAACCGAAGTGGCACTGAGGCTTGCACGCAGAGAGCTTCAAAAATACGAATCCTCAAAGTGGTGGGCAGAGGCGGGGATTAAGCATACTATTGCACGCGTCGATGAGCTTTCCAAACAGCATGAGCGAGAGAAAGAGCATGCGCGAGAGAAAGAGCATGCGCGAGAGAAAGAGCAATTACTTCGGGAGAAAAACCATCGTCCAACACAATCAAAAGAGGAGTTGCGTGCTCTTTTTGGTCGACAAGAGGAATCGGTGGAAGAGACAGAGGAGAACAAGCGTCCCCTGCGTAAGAGGCCTACCTAAATTATCAAAACATAATTGGCTTCATGCTAGTGCTAACAAGTCTCATTTGTAGAAAGAACACTGGACACGCTAGGCAAGATCTAGAACTGCCCCTTGCAGAGAAAAATGCTAATTGAAACTATCCTTGTGCGCATTATATCGATACGCGTTGGCACTGACCGGCCAGGACAATGTCACACTCTTATGCTAATTCGTGGACACGTTTCAACATCAAGCAGCAGCAAGCCACAAGAAGCATACACCCAAGCAAGCAAAAGTTCGCAAAGCCAACGAAGGCAAAGCATTTAATATCGACACTTCCCGTCAACAGAGCCATAGTAGAACCGTGCCCAACCCTTCCTCTTCCTCAAAAAGAGCTCAAGCGAACGCATCCCGACCCCACCAACCAGCAATTACGCAAGCAGGCTAGCTCCCGCCCAAAAGCCAGGCAAGCACCGGCAACGATCCCCGGCAGCATCCACCGACCCGACGCTAGTCTCGCACGCTACGGCGCCACCGAGCGCACAGTATCTCGACCAACTCTTCCCAGCGCGCTACGCCCCCACTACCAAAGTTCGACGTCCACCTCCTCCAGGGCCTGCTCATGCCACACAGCCATCTCGACCCTCCCCAGCGCCTCGCGGAGCACATGCCCACCCTCCCACCTAACGCACAGAACGTTATAAAATGCATACCGGCACTTATCGCGCCCCGTCTCCGGCCAATTAAGTTCCTCGAACCTATAATCACGGCCGTCTTCCCAGCTCAAAACGCGCCCGCTCGAGAGGGCAATAAGCTCGCACTCCTGCCCCACTGGAGCGATGTGCGCGTCGCCCAGCCGTATGTTCAGGTGCAGCAGGCCTGCCCATTTCCCTTGGCTTTTGTCGGCTAGTTTGACAGTCGTCGCTAGGTCGGGGTTTTTTCCAAGGTTGGGGATGACTTCGCTGATCATGAAGAAAGCGCGGGTAGAGCGGAGGCGAAGACGAGCTGGCCATGTGCGCAGCTCTTGCACTGGTGGCATTTCCGCCACTGATGGCCAGGGATATGCGAATTCGAGGGCGGGAACTTGCGAGGTGGTGTAGAAGGTTTTCTGTCCGTCTTTGGATTCTATCCATTTATCCGTTGGAACCGTGGAAGTCCCCGCCTTGGCTCGCCATACGCTGTAGTCATTGCGGATTATTCTGTGGAGGTCGGGTAATGGCCCAAGATGGGTCCACTCAGCTACCGGCTCCAGCTTGCATAACGTTCCCCAAGGCGGTCGTTGCCGGACAAAGTCGTCAGGAATGCAGAAATCCATATCCACCCGACCTTTCCATCCCAGCCAGGACCAACTAGGAAGAGCACATCCATTCTCCCGGGCTCTTCTTTCCATAGAGAAACGCGGCTGCCACAATAGAGCGTAATCGAAGAAAAACTCAGGCAGGCCGTAGAGAAACCCTCCAGGAACCGATCGTTGAAGAACGTTCTCTATTCCTGTAAACGCGGATTGCGCATCCTCCGGATACGTCAGGTCCCTGTAGTTGTATGCATCGACAAGGTCTGTCCAATGCCGAAGGTTGGGCCAAGCATCAAACCTCAGCGACCATTTGTCCCGCTGGTTCTCCTCGGTATTGGTGTCTTCAGGGTTACTGCGGGTATCCTCTCTCCAGGAACTCCTTTGGCATTTCCAGAACACACTATCCCTAGAGAATAATAGACACCGTCGAGCCAGGTATATCTCTTGAAATGTCCATCCTCTCCTCCCATGTGGTGTGCCCTGGCTAAACTCCTCCGTTTTCGACACCAGCGTAGACTGTGGGAAACGGATAACACTTTGCAAACACCAGCGGGGCGCAGATCCTGCGCCCACTCCGGGAAGTCCGTGGTCGGCGTGTTTTCCATCCGCGGCCACGATGGTGCAGTAGGAGTTCGCGTACACCGAGTCCATGTTCAGGATATGGTAGTTCTTGCTCTCGAAATCATCTTGAACAATGCAGAGACGGTCCACCCAGAGATAGCGCTCGCCGAGCCCGCGTACAAGTCTCATGGCGTCCCGAATGGTGTTTGGAAGCGCGACTGCGTCAGTGTCTGGCGAGAGGGTTCCTGCCTGCTTAAGGGCCTCCAGGTTTTCTTTCCGCGCCTCGACGGCGTCTGCGGATCGGCCCCAGACGTACGACAGTGCAAAGTACTTGACGTTTCCCGGACAGGTGACTAGACAACCTTTTTCCACGTCTAAGAGACGCAGTTTCTCGAGGCTTTCGATCGTGTTATCCGGAGGAAAGTGGTGGCAGTGTCCCTCGTGCAGCGTATCGCAGAAAGCTAGCCACTGCTGTATCCGTGATAGATCGATCCACTTCCTATCCAATAGCTCGGCCCTGTCTTCCTTGTCGTCTTTCCGGAGGAAATAGCCAAGACCACGGATGCTTCGGTTTTGCTCCGATGCCAGAAGGAGTGGTTCACCGGTATTAGACTGTCTTGAGAGCACGACTTGAGCGGCTAAAGACCCTCCACTTGGCGGTGCGGCTCGTTTTGCTATTCCTAGACAGGAGGAGCATGTTCTAGATTTTTTCCGGAGCTCGTCGATTGTGCCGAGGTCGATATCCTCGGATAAGTTGTTGTAGATTTTCGAGTCAAGAGAGAGACAAGTTTCGCACGTCATGACGGGAATTCGGGAAGTCTATAGTCTTAGTGGAGACGTTGCGAAGAGACCATCTTGAAAGAAGCAAGTGACAATGGCGACAAAGATTATATGTACACGTTGGGGGCCGGACCAAGCGTTGCGTACTGGAACCCGCTTTTCTGCACACCCCTACGGCAATCTATCCTGGAATGGGCTGCTCCGGGGACACACTTAAGCGGTAACAGGTATGTATGCAGTAGCTGCACGTCGAACAAACCATCGACGATGGACCAGTTGGTTCCTGACAGACATCGCAGGACAGACGCCTCAGCCACAGACGAGTAATTACACTCGTTTCCGTCCCTCTGCACCTTCAGCCACCTTTCGTGTACTGCAAACATATGTCCCTCCCTAGTGTAGTGCCGTAGCGCCGGACCGATCGTCATGAGCCGTTGGTTGTGGCTGAGCTTTGCGTGAAAGCTGGCCAGGCTGCTTTGATAGTACAAAAGGCGAGTCCCGATCGTTTTCCCAACCTTCTTTCGGTATCTTGCCACCCTCAAGTGACGACAGCGATGCACTGCTACTTCGAAACGCCAAAACCCTACCTCTTAAAGCTTTTCGTGTTTCAGGTCCGCCCGCTCATGGCGCTCACTCTCTTCTGGTTCTGAGTCCGCCTGCTCAGTCTCTTCTGATTCCGGGCCCGCCCGGCGAGGCTCTTCAGATTCCAGGCCTGCCTGCTTAACCACTTGTTCGTGCTCATTGGAAAGCCATTCTATGCGAAAATCGGTAGCCTTGATCTTTCGTCGCACCCAATCTTGCATCTTCAGATATGTAGCCTTCTTCTCGCGTTCGAAGTGCAGCTCCCTTTCTATTCTCGACCAGCCTGCTGGCGCGGGGCTGGCAAGTTTGTAGCTCTCTTCTTCAAGTAGACGCAACAATCTATCCATTACAGCCTCTGGTCCAAGCCTGACTATTTCCTCTTGCTGCTCCTTCACTTCTAGTGCGCGACGGCGTTGGTCGGCCTTTTTTTTGATATTAAGTGCATTAAGAGCTGATGCAGGTTCAATGAAGTCGTCGGTGTACTCCTTCGTAATTCGCAGTCGATTGCCAGCGTACACCTTCGTAATCGGCGGTGGGCCGGTACTGTAGGATCGAATTGGTGAAACCAGGGTGCGGAATGACTTCATTGTGGATAGTGAATGTGTGGGAGAGGCAGAGCGACAGAGCGTGATGGAGATGATGCGGAGAAGTGGAAATATTGCACGACCTGACAACCTCGCGCGTAGTAGTGTGGTCAGTGCGCCATGGAGCCGCATGACTTATGAGATAGAAACGCGGTCGCGTCGCGTGAGCCTCATGTCCCGACGTCAACGTCGTCTCCGAGCGCATACCTACGTCGTCTCGCGATCGCCATTGCCATCACCATCGTCTGCAGTACTTGCCTCCTTCAGAAAAGCCCGTGCTGCTTCGATGTTTCATGTTCTTGTCGCCGCAACGATCCACCAACGCGCTAAATATATGATGGAGCGGTGCTCGCCGGCGGCCCCGGGACGCGTCGCTTCTTGGGCAAGGCTTGCGTTGGGTTGAGAGGACGCCGAGTCGGCAAAGGAGAGAACATGGCTGGTTTCTGAGGACAGCCAGAGGTCGTCGGTCACCTCTGGAGATGATGAGGATTGCGCCCGACGCTGTCCGTCATGCCGGCCCAGAGGAGCTTGCGCCATGGATGGCCCATCCTTTTGCTGTGTCGAAAAAGTTTGTCGAAGAGGTTAGAGATCGTAACAAGGAGGGTCCAGTCTGACCCGGGTCTTCGATGCTACCTTTTATCTGCTCTCACTCTCCCACTCTTTCGGCCGTCTCCAGCTCCAGTTCCACCAACCAAGGAGCGTTCACGGGCTTCCCCTCCCCAGCCATGATTGCGGCATTCACCATTAGCCCCTGCGACTTGTCTTCCCTGAATGCCTCTGCGCTCGACGGGCTCAAGGCAGCAAATCCCTTCTTCCTCGACTGGTTCACCCCAACCCATTCTTTTTGGAGTGGTCCCAACTCTTCGTCGTCGGACCCTCGCTCGTCAAAGCGTATACGCCCGGCACCGTATCCGCGATGCACATGTCCGAAGCAGTGCAGTCTCGGCTTCGCGCGAGCCACAGCGCGGCGCAGATGCTCGCAGCCGGCACTGCGACCGTCATCCGTGTCGTCAAGGACGTATTGTGGCGGGCCGTGCGTCATGACGATGTCGATACCGTCCGGGATGATGGATGCTGCGGTTCCGACGTTGGTTGCCCACGCGGGAGTATGTACGTTAAACCGGTCATGGCCGCTTGGGTACTGGAAGGCCGAGGATCCGTACTGGGGCGTATAAGGCGAGGCGTACACGCTGAAAGAAGCTCCACTGCGCAGGGTGAAAGTGTGGGTACCTTCGTCTAGGTAAGTGACGCCGCACTCTTGTGCAAGTGGACCGCGCATTAGCTCCAGAGCCTTTGCAGAATCTTTTGCATCCCCGCCTTGTGTCGCGTAAAGCTCGGGGTCCAACGAGATATCATGGTTGCCGGCGATTACGAGCTTTAGTTCTGCTGGCATAGAGCCGAGCATGCGGAGGACCTTCGAAAGGCTCTCGTGCGTGCCGTTGTTGGTTAGGTCGCCGCAGTGCAGGATGACATCTGCGCTTGGTGTGGGGAGGCGAAAGGCGGAGGATGTATCGTCCGTCAAGCCTAAATCGTGTGTGTCGGATATAACTAGAAACTTGACGAGACGGGTTGTAGGCTCTGCCGTTGGCTTTGGAGTTGCGGCAGCAGTAGTGGTCGTAGGAGTTGTTGTTGCTGCAGTGTTGATCCTCTTTGGGGAGGGTTGAGCGGTCGAAGGCTCGTCAGTTTTGGACCGCGAGCGCTTGCGGCGTTGGATACCGCATTCTGTCATTGGACTGGCCATTATGGATGGTTGGTTTTGATGTTGGATGTCGGTGTTTCGGGTGGTGAAGAGGCTGCGAGTAGAAGTCGAAGTTAAGTAAGTGGCGGGCAGGCTTGACATCCTGACCCTTAGATATACCTAGGCGGCCATCATGGGCGAGAAGAGCGGGAGGACATTACCACGGGATTGTCGGGCGATGTTCCATGGATGGTGCGCTCCCGGGGACATCGTGGTACCGGCAGGGCGGGTCGCACGAGGCGCCTCCCGCGGTCGACTGCCCGTTGCCCGGCCAGATGGTCCCTGTTACGTCAACAAGCGCGTCTAAAATTGCCGCTTCACTGCAACCACCTCAAAGCCGCTTCCGCCGTTCTCTCGCGGCCATGGCGCCAGACAAGCGCGCTGCCTCTCCCGACAGCAACGCTTCAGAGCGCCCTGCCAAGATGCCGAAGCAGGCACCCGTCGACATGAAGGAGTCTGCTGAAAACAACAAGCTTGCCGAAACGAATGTGTCCTCTGAAGACACCAAGCCCGCCGAAACGGACGCCTCTGCCCAGAACAAGCCCGTCGGAATGAGCGAGAAGAATGAACCCGCCGAGCAGAAGGAGCTTATTGAAACGATGACTATTCCCACCGACAAGAAGCCTTCTCGCTTCCCTCACTTCGAAGACGGCGACGTGTCCATGTCCTTGGGTGTCGATCTCACTCTCAAGCTACACGGCGACAAGCTCCGCTCCGCTTGTAAGCTCTTCGCAGACTTCGATAAACTTCCTGTCCGCTTCAACCTCCCGACCAGCGACGACGTATTTGCCACCGTCGTTCGACTCGACACCTCCGACACCAACGAGACATCGCCCTCCAAAAACACCCGTGCCGTGTGTGCCAACGAAGCCGTTTTTCGCTACCTCTATCAACAGCCTGTGGAAATCACCGCTCTGCTCGCACGCGGCGTCACTGTCCTCGCTACACGCTATGGTTGTTTACCCGCTATCAAGGATGCGCTCACGATGGACATTCTCGAAGCCAGCCTCGGAACACGCCTCTTCCAGGACATGCCAATGCCGCTTCTAACGGCCGGATACTATCTTCAGAACAAACGCATTTTCTCGGAGGCTATGGTGCATGCCGTAGGCCATGGTTTGATGGCTGGTGAAGCTGACAAAACCATGCCGTCAGTGGTACAAAAGCTACTTGACCTCCACCAAGAGAATCTTATGGCGACAATTGATCAACACTGGGCTGCCATGTTTGCTCAGTTGAGATCAGATAATCTTCCTCGCCTTATAGCTTCCTCGTTCATCCGCGAATACATCTCTCGCAACAATCTGCAGCTAGGACATATCACCAAGGCTGTCTACAATACGATGAACTCTCTACGGAAAATGAATAGCAACAAGGAGCTACTAAATTTCCGTACAATCCAGCAAGTATGCGATATAGACAACGGTCTCCAAAGTATAAGCACTTTTACCGACCTTATCAAGAATTTTGACGAGGAAGAGTACCGAGATGACCTTTGCGCTGCCGACGCCGCTTTCCAGTGCTGTGTCAACCCACAAAGCGTCGAGGCTGAGTTGAATTCTGCTCTGGAAAGAATCAAGAAGAGTCTTATCCCGCTGTTCAAGGATGATAGGGATTTGGGCTACTTTACTCGCCCGTTTGATGGCAAGTACCCATGGGAGAACGATACAGAAGAGGAATCTGCTTCGAGCGGTACCAAGCAGGCGTGAGATTTCTGAAGCCATTCGTCTGCTCTAGAGAGAAGTCTTCTCACTTTGCATACCGGTCTTCGTAGGATAGAAATCAGCAAGTTGGGATCTGGAACGTATGTACATACGCATCCAATTGGCATAGTCTCACCTGCCATTCCAACGTCAGGTCTCAGAATGCATGGTCATCCTACTCTCGTCTCATTTTGTGCTTCGCATCTTCATGATCTCGTTTAATACTCTCGCTTGCTTGTACATTCTTGCCCTCGTATCTTTTGAGTACATAATCCTCTAGTCCAGAAACACAGGCGCCCACCCCCAACTATAGGTAGTTATTTTGCCAGTCCAATTGACAGACCCACCAAACCCCACGAAGTGGTCTGGCTTCAGCGTTCGGGAGTTCGTCACTTTTGGGCCGGATGCTCCGCCGTACTCTGCCGGGCAACGCTAGACTAGGGCGGGCGCAAAAGTGCCAGTAGCGCTGAATCTCCGCACCAGTGGATGGATGTTCTGAAATTTAGTACTCCCTGCGAAGCAGTCAAGGAAAGTTCGATGATCAGAAAATAATCAATAGCTTGCGGTGGCTAGGAAATACCACGAAGATGTATGATTGATTTATCCATGTGAATACGAGAAGAATCGCAAATTCCCATACATCGGACGAGCCCATATGAACGTTCTAACCCCCTTATACGGCGCTTTCCTTTCAGTTGTACACAAACACCATTAACTTCCTCTAAAGCAAACAGTTGCATAGCCCAAACCCATCAATCCGGGCAAGCAATCATGTCAGGGCCCGGCGGGTTGCACAGTGTTTGAACACTGAGTTTCCAGCACGTGAGGTCTCTGCACTGGCAGAAGTTACCGATGCCGCTAGGGAGAATGGTTTAGCTTGTTTTGCTTTTGTTTTGGAGAGGAGGGATGGTCTCTAATGCACGCGTTGGGTGAAGCTCCCAGACTTACCGATGAGGTGCGGCATGATTTAGGCATGGCGGAAGGCCTGCGGCGAGGATGACGGTGGCCAGTGAAAGAGTAATGGTGAGGAAGGCTAGGAGGTGCATTTGGAACATTTTCTTGTTATGGCGAGTTGTAGTGGAAATTTGTAGTGGGAATTGAATCTCGAGGTGTGGATGTGGTGGCAAACAGTGAGATGGTGACTTTAAATTTAAGCAACGTCCTGCACAGGAGTCTCTCGCTACAGGCCTTGATTTTTGCCTTGTCATACCCACAGCGTAGCAGTGAGGAAGTCACGAGGTACCATTGACATGTTGACCGCTTCTTGGTCACGAGGTGCAAATCGGTTCTGTAACACCACTTAATTGAAAAGGTAAAGCCGTGCGATGGCTCTAATAGCAATGGCGTACTCCTGCTCCTGCTGTTAATGGTTAGCATTGCCGTAATAATGAGTGTTCTACAGAGACGGTGGCATAGCAAGTGACAATCAAGTCATCCACATCTGCAACATCACCCAGGCCTACCGTATTCACATATTTTTGCGATATTTGTAGGTTCATTTAAGCTGGTTTCCGTCCTTGAAAGTAGAAAGATCTTAATTGTACTTATTTCAAATCAAATGTCTTGATATCTACAGAAATTCAAGTTTCTCGGAAGCACGGGTGCCTGTTTGCTTTGTGTTTAGCCGGCTGTGTGTACAGTTACTCAAACTCCGTTCCGCCAAGTTTAGGCTGTAACCTTGCTCTCGCAGTATGTGCAAATTTGGATTCGATTGCTGTCCTAGCCGAAGTAGCACATACATTCCTGTCCACCAACATTGTCAGCACATGACTTCCTCGGTGCCGTATGCGGTATAATTGTTTGCTAACTCTATACATAATAACATGATGTCAACCATCATCACCGTAACTATATTATCTCGCTTAGCACGAACCCTGTCATCACTTTACTTTTTCAACATCACACCATTCTCTCCTATTAGTGGAACGATAGTCACCTTTCTACCAAGGGAAGTCGTGTATTTAAGCAGACAGTTTCACTCAATTCAATGCGAGAGCAGTGTCCAGCTTTCTCGCACTGTTCAACACATGATAATACATTGTACGCTTCTTGGGGTCTCTAATCATTGACATGTGGCTCACAACCGTGCGGCCGTATTTATAAAACAGGAATCATTCTAATGAATCTCTTAAAGTCTTAAGCTTCTATTGACTTTGCTTTATTGCTGTAAGTTACACGGCAAAATGAAGCCGACTAAGCATTTATTAAACACTAAGCCACGTTATAAATTTATGATGTAGGGCTTGCGGAGTTTAGTCTGGTCTCTGATATGGCATTTTCCCGTACAATTTAACATGGCAGGTTTGTCTTAAAACTCGTGATGATTTATATGCGCTGTATGGGTTACTCTTAAAATGAACATAGTCTGATCTTCCGTGGCTCCTAAATAACTTGTATAGGTATTATTGCAAGTTCAAACAATCCATGCACATTAAGTTAACTGCAGCTGTAGCAGTTTACTTTAAAGACTTGTTTGTTACTATCTATAACCTATAACGCCTGTTCGCTTATCTCTAGGTAGTCCAATTTCTAAATAAAAAAAACAAAACAGTGAACGCTATATGTGAAGCTGTACGCGAGGAATTGGACGCCGCTTGTCCTTCTAGATTACTGTTACCTATGGAGGTATATATGCTGCTATCTAAAAGAACACGTTTTCTCTTTAGTAGTGGTAAATGAGTGGTGCAGGGGTAAGGCTGTTGTGTAACAACTAAATAATGAGGCTGATAAACGAGAGTTATCGGAGTGATCCTGGCTGACACTACATCATTCTGGTTTCTCCTTATCCGCTTTTCCAATGTCAATCCCAAACCTTCCACTGCTCCACCATCCCATACTAAATAGATAGCCATCGAAGATGCCCTTCTCTTTGATCTCTTTGACAGTCAACTGCTCCGTTCCTTCCGGTATAACGTCCTTTCCCATCATGTCAGCGCCGGCAAACAAGCTCGCCACTGCTGCAATGCTGCATGGATCCTTGGGTAGCACTCGGCGAGTATCCATAGTGGCGAACGTGATCGCAGCACATATAGTCATGGCTCCGAGCAGGCCTTGGAGAATTCGCGTGGAAATCTCGCTTTGTTTGAGTCTCAAGCCGTAAGGCACCTCTAAAACAGCCTTCATTGGTGCTGTAGCGGGTAGTGGAGGGTTGCGATTAGTGTTGAAAACCTGAGCTAAAACTTGACCGTATGAGCGCTCGATGGCAGTAATAAGTTTTTCGTGGCCTGTCGGTCCGACCAATTCTTCAGGACGTGTGCCATTTTTCCCATATAACATAATGCTAAAGAGACCTTCTAGAACTGAAGAAGGTGTATTGTTCTCGCCTATGTATCCACTCTTAATGGCGCCGATGGAGATATTTTGAACAAATGTTGCCGTGGCTTCATCGGGTATAGGAGGCTTGCTCAGAACCAAGGAAAAGTCCTTGGCGAGAAATGTAACATTTGTCAGGACTTTTTCCATGAAAGGCTTGCAATATGCGACCGTGATATCCTCGACGTGCTTTTGTCCAACATAGCCGAAAACAGCCCATGCATTTGGGCACCAGGGCCAATCGACGCGCCCGTCCGTTCTAGTCCTCCAACCACCGAAGTAAGAGTTGTTCATAATTCGTGTATTAAGATCAACAGTCTCGTTGGTTGCCCAGCCGCATCCTTTTGAGGCATGCGCGTCGAAGCGTGTATAGTATTGTTGAAAAGGTGGTTTTTGATCTGAAAAATAAGTCATATTTGTGATCATTTCGTGCGGGAGTAAAGTGCAATTCGAGCGAGCTCTGTATGCAGGAATCTGTGCATTTTTCTCTGCTGTGCTGAGCCGGCCGCTGAATTCTTTATCCGAACTAACGGTAAAATCCACCAAGGGGAACACGAGGTTCTCATGTGTAAGTAGTGGCGTGCTTAAGTTGTCTAACAAAACCAGGTCTGCAATCACATATCCTCGCTGGGTTCCTGCTATAGCACTAGCTATGGCACTAGCATTACTGTACCATGTTTCTTCAGATACAAGGCTTAGTTCTGAGAGTTGTATGTTGTGTCTCTGAGTAACAGCCGCAGTAAAGAACATCCCGCTAGCGGCGATTGTAAGAAAAGGCGCTAGTATCATGCATAACGAAACGCATGATAGAGCGACTTGCCGCTGTTGCAAGGCATCCCAGAGGCAATAGATGCTAAGTTTTCCCATAGAGGTATAGCTGATTGGGATAATTGAAGTAGCTCTTCGGCGTAGCAGATAATATGGCTGAAAAACTTTGATCGAAAAATCAAGGGCGGTAAAAAACATCCCGACGGCGACTAACGTCATCGTTGGAATAATTGTGAATGAATAGTGAATATACTCGTCGTGGGCGATATCCGTGAAGCCGTTCTGCGCTCGCGACTTTTGAAGTATAACTTCCAGTGCTATACAGATAGCTATTGGAACAGTAACGAGAGTGACTTTAAACGGGAGAGAGAGTGCAATTGGCGAGAACCACACATCTTCGGTCATAGTTCGAGGCCGGATGCTCCAGACAGATGTCGGTGTTTCCGAGATACCAAATTTCCCATTGGAGAAAACGCTGTACCGTTTGCCATAAACTCTGTTTTCGATAGATTGTAAAGATGCATTTCCAGTCCCTTCCAGTGTTTTAAGTAGCCTATTGGACCGTGCCAGGATCGAGGCTATGCCTATAACTGGCCCAGGATCGCAAGACACCACAGTGTTTGGACGAAGGCGTATTATAAAGGCTGTCAAGACACCCATGAATGCCAACAGAGCTTCGACTGGAAGAAATCCTTCTAGACGGATAACAAGGCGGTTTTGCATCTCTATAGATGAGCCAGAAAACTTTGTAGATGATGGGATGGTGAAATATATATTTGCCAGCTGTGCGGATACCCTGGAAAAAAACTCCTGAGTTATTTTTGCAAAAAGTTTTATATCAGAGAGAATGTCTTCTTGGCTTAGACCGGATGCAATTGCTGCAAAATATTCGAGTAGGTCCAAAACTTCGTTCGGATTTGACTGAGATTCGTGGGATGCCGCGACGGCTTTGAACAATTCCGATGCTGAAACCCCTGGTAAACTTGACGGTTCTGCATCAGGAGGGATATATATTCTCGGAGTTGAGTTGATAGAGCTGTTCCCGTTAAGTGTAACTGTCCCAGAGAATATGGCATAGCTAGGTTTGCAGGCGACTCCGGTGAGGCTCGCTAGATGCTTTGGAAGAGCAGTTTTCGTATATGTGACGTTGGTTCTAGTCGACAATACCAGGAAGCGCGGGTCTTCATCGTCACATATCATTTCGTTGAAGGCTTCGAAATCTTCGTTATTATCCGTTCCAAACTTATTGTGGCGCTTCTGGGTATTCCATAAGTTTCCATGCTTTATGACACTGCAAGTCTTCGAGCTTAAAGTAAAGTAAAGCTTCACGAAGTATTGGTCGGCGAAAAGTTCGTGTGTTGCGGTGCCATTTTCGTGGAGTTTGTGGGAATCAACCCAATGTGTTGCACTGTCGATCTGCCGCACCGTAAGAGGCTCACACTCTGCCCTAGCAGAAAAGACACTGATGTCTGCTGTTATGTTGGCTATCGCCTGGGAGCCTTGAACTTGTAAGCTGCGAAACCAGTCTTTTTGTTACAAATATTTACCTTTAGTATTGTTGAACATCTGGTATGTGTATTGTTCGTATGTTCCAGAAGGCTGTGGTAAGCTATAGTTGCCGATACCATAGACTCTAATGGCAGCCCGCCGATCAACCATTTTGTGGTCGAAAAGTGTCGTGTTGGGTCCACCAAAATTTGTCAGCGTGGTCATCTCCGTCGGTACCTGTATAGCTGTATATTGTAGGACAAAAAGTCCGGTAGTGAGTACGGTAACTAGCTTAATCAATAATCCAACTGCGGTGGCGAGTGCAACAGCTCTACATCCGGGGGTCTTTGCTGCTTTGTAGAACGTGACGATGCTGAGAGGGGAAATAAAGTCCAGTAAGATGCTATGCTGAGCTTTTTGGGGTGAAGCCATTATTTTCCACGGTGCGAGCTGCTTTGTTCTGTACTCAACTTGGCCCCAGAATGCTGCGATGATTGTAAATACTAAGTTTTATTAGTCGCACTCGTAGTAATAGATGTACCGGTTTCCCGAGGATTAATTACCTGCGGTAGGGGCATATTGCCAAAATATGAAACGGTCAGGGTCCGCTGTAAGAAGTCCTTGATGTGTTGTGGAGTACCAGAACAAACCCCCCATTATTACAATGAGAGTAAAGTAGACCAGGACGAATGTGTAAAGCACTTTTTGTCGTAGGAAGAAAGGCATCCAAAGTCTGCAGCAGATATCACTTGGAACAGGGCTAACAATACCTTGATTTTCCGGTACTGCTGGGTGGTTCTGGGTGCCAGTCTCATGCGGGACAGATAATGTTATTTCCGACATGACAATAATCAAATTTGTATGAAATTTAACTTGGGATGTGGGCTTGGAAAGTCGAAAAAATGGACATATAACAAGTGCCGTCGAGTCGATTTGGATTAGATGGTAAAAGCAAATAGTCGTGTTTAAATAACTCTCTGTGTCGCACAGGGAGTTACTTTAGGTCAACCCGAGCTGAGGACTGAGGTGGGAAAATGTGGACGATTCTAATTTTAGCGATATGTGCTGGATTTTTTTTCTTAAGTTGTCTGCATATGCAGCTATTTGGTCTCTGCCTTGCCTCCAAGAATCAAGCCTTCCTTTCTTAGCGTGTATGGTACTAGTGTGGCAGAGCTGACTGCTCTTTGGTTTTTCATGTGTTCTTTGCTAGTAGGTCGTTCATAGCATAACTTCGAGCTAGCAGTAGGCAGATAAGAATCAATAACCATCTTTCATTCACTACTTTTATCTTTAGTTGGCTTTCTGTCTCTACGAATTCATTTTTATCACCCTGAAGGAACCGTTCTTCGCGGCCCTACGTCTCTAGGCCAGCTATCAGAGCTGCTAAGCCTCTTGGGTAGTTATCCTACTGCTACTACCAGATCTACCGTCCCTGTTCGCTGCGCTTGCTGCTGTTCAGGGTATGTAAAGGCTGCGCCTCCACACTAGTATTCCATTTAATAGATTTAGCCGAGGTAGTATTACGTGAAATAGGCATCACCTACGAATCAGACGTCTAATCGGGCTAATCAGACGTCTAATTAGCCCGATTAGGCACGCACGAAATCACCCGTGTCTAATTAGGCCAATTAGACGTCTGATTTAGTGTTGTATAATCCGTGTACCCGGATTATATCAGATTTAGCAGTACCACGTAAGTACCTCCGCGAGGTTCGGCGAGTCAGTTCAATTCTTCGTTCTCCGCTATTCCCCGCTATTTTACACCAATTTTTTCGGAGAATATTAGAGAAAGTAAAGACTACTAACTATCACGAACCTCATACAAGTCCGCTAAGGTATCTTAATCGTCTCCGCGCGCGATCGCTATTAGCCTACTTATCCGCCCCGAACGCGTAGTACCACCGTCCTAGGCCATCCCACTACCTCGTCTTACGCGCCTACCGCGTCCTCGGCGTCCGCCGCGTCCCTCTACAGTAGCAGGTACCTCTATAGTAGCAGGTACCTCTATAGTAGCAGGTACCTCTATAGTAGTAGAGGACCCTCCACCACGCCCACCACGCCCGCCACGCCTACTACGCCCGCTACGCCTACTACCTACTACTCCGCGTACTACTATTATTAAGGACTTACCCTATTATAGCACCTCCGGTTAATTCGAACACGGCGTACCCCTATAGCAACTACTACTACATACTATACCCACCCTATAGCAGGAGCACTTATTATTAGTATACGCTCCTCGGCACGCACAGCGAGTAGTAATAGCGCCTATAGATATACCCGTGCTACGGATTACACTACGTAGTATAATAGTACTATTTACCTTAGGGGTATCAAGGTAATCCGGGCACTAGCTCTAATCTAACTAGTACAGTATATAAGGCGCAAAACAACGCGAGATAATACCGAAGGGTGTTTTTACACGGTACATACCGCCTACTAGCTTATAGATTATACCTATTAGCGACCTCACAGAGCCCTAGCGATCTTTATAAGGCACCTTTACTACTATAACATCTCCAATATCGAATATACGCGGTAGAGGGAGAGTACTATTAAACTACTTCGCCTATCGTACGCGGGCATAATCGCTATTTCGGCGGACGTTCTTATTAATATCGGAGCGGTCCTAGCCGCGTAATACACCCATAGGAGGCTTACTAGCCTAGTATTAAGCGTATAGAGGCTTACTAGCCGCGTATTAAGCGAGCAGAGACTTACTAGCCGCGTATTTAGCGTACGGAGGGTACTCCGCGGGGTACTCCGCGGAGTACTACTTAGGGGGTTACTTAGAGGGTTACTCCATACGTTTAACCCGCTCTATTCGCTCTACTTATAGCGCCCGTAGCGCCTATAGCGCCTACTAGGCCTTCTCCGCCTACTCCGCCTATAACTATAGAGCGCGCTCTATAGCCTCCTATAGTCGCTCCTCCTTTATCTACTTAGTAGCAAACGCCTCTCTCTACGCCTAGGAGAGGCGCTCTATACCCCTTCAAATCGACTCTAGGGTATTAGGACGCCGCAGTAGCTCCTATTCTACTAGTAGAGGAGAGAGACGAGCAGCGCGGGGAGTAAGCGGCAGTAGCCACCGAATCAGTAAAGCATAAGGACTCTATAAGGGACGCGGAGGCAGTAGAGACTACGGAGAAGGCTATTATAAGGTACACAGAGCGGCCCGCGGCGGGGTATTATACGTTAGATCGATTATTTTAATAGGAGTAGTTCGTACGCGAGACCGTATAAGCGTCGAAGGTAGCGGCAGGTCCGACGAAGATAAAGAGAGGTATAGGTCTTCTTCGGTAGGCGGTATTTAGCGGGGTCTTAGCGGTAAATTAGAACTATAGGTACCCGATAAGTCTCCTATCGGACCTACTATAACCTCCGTAGCTCCCGTAGCGCGCTCTACTAGTCGCTCGTTCGCCCGCTCGTTTACACGCGGGCTAGTACTCGTTTACAAACCTTCTCCCGCCTCGTTCGCTCGCCTACTAGCACTCCCTCACCCGCTAGCGCTCTCTCGCTCCTCATTCACTAGGTCCTCGTTCACTAGCTCCTTATACACCACATAGTCGTCTAATATAAGTATCTCCCGCGGAGGAGCATCTACGCGTAGCTCTAGAGGCACAATACCACGTAACCCTATTCCCACCCACATCTCCTTACCGAACATAACTTTATACGGTAATACCCCTATTACCTACCGCTAGTAGCAGTTCTACTATAGTATAACGTCTACGCAGGCGTAAGCGAACCTAGGGTAGCTATAGGCAATACGTACCCTCTCGAGCTTCTCTTTTACATCTCTATTCGCACTTTTAATACCTCCTTAGCTCTATAGGTACCGGGGCATACCGGTTCTCATATCAATACCGTATTTATCGAATAGCTACTAAACAATACTACGAAATTCGGTACTATTATCTATTTATACAAGCTAAGGGACGCCGAAGGCCTATATCTAGCAGAGAGCTCCTACAGCAACTACTCGAGCTATTTTATCCTTCAGGGGTATTAACATACAGTACTTAGAGTAGTAGTCCCTAATATATAGTACGTATTTATCCTAGGTTACGGGATCTAGGTGGTTCCTATAGTCGATTAGGTCTATCTATACTCGCTCAAACACCTCTCGTAAGATAATTAAGTATAGTACCCTAGGTACGGGCGGAGGTTACCTTATAGTAGCACAAATACGGTAAAGACGAATTAGTAATTTAACGTTATCTAATATAACTCTATAGTAGTACTATTATAGATCCTTCGTAGTTATCGTCGTTGCTAAATAGCCGTTATTAAGATAATAGTTACAAATCGCTTCGAATACTTCGTACGTTCTCAACACCTTACGCTCCCCCTATTCGCCAACAGCTCGTCGGTAGAGGCCTATTTTACCATCTTGTTAATAGTACACGTATCTACCGAAGATATTACGACGTCTCAGCTCCTCACTAGGTAGTAGACGCCTCCTAAGGAACCATAAGGAGTATTCATAGTATTTAGCGTTATTAAAGTAATAGCGATCAGGGGCTAATTCGATATAGGCGTTAAAGGACGTCCTAGCAGCCTCACTAAAGGCAGCGACTACTCGTTAAGGACTAAAGGGACGCAGGGGTAGAGGGATAACGTCATCAGCAGCAGGAGGACGTTCAGCAGCAGGGCGCTCAGCAGCAGTAGGGCGCTCAGTAGGGCGCGCGAGGTAGGCGGAGGACGAAGAAGACATGTTTTAATTAAGATTAATAGGTGCTTAATTAGTGCTTGGTAAATCGAAGAAGGCGTTGAAGCTCACTAACCTGCTAAAGCATTCTCAGGCCTAATTTATAGGCGAAAAACGGCCTCCTACGATGCATGAACGCGTGTTCAGTCTTTTGCTTTTTCACAGTTGAACCAGGCCTCATATTAATAGATAAATAGGCGGGCCTCCGCACCGCTGCAGGCGCGGGTCGGTGTTAATGCCTTTATATAGCGGCTACAAGGATCGCTTCAGGGGGTCGAGTCAGTAGGGACACGCGTATCACGCCACAACACTAAATCAGACGTCTGATTGGCCCAATTAGACACGGGTGATTTCGTGCGTGCCTAATCGGGCTAATTAGACGTCTGATTGGCCCGATTAGACGTCTGATTCGTAGGTGATGCCTATTTCACGCAACATCTTTGCCTTCTGGGTTGTGAATTCCGGTCTAGGCTTGCGTAAGTCTTTAACCTTTTCAGTTGCCATCCTGAACCGCAATTATATCATATAAATTTTCTGCACATTTCTTGTCAATGTTAACATTCCAGATCGCAAAAAGATCGATAACCCGATTCACAATTGTACAGACAAAAAAAAAAAATTAGAACTCGGAGCAGGGCCAAGGCTCAATGTAATATGTCTACCTATTGGGCTACCTACCACATTACATTATTACACACATGCATAGGTTTAAAATTAACATTCTTACCCTCCTGTCGGCGGCTTAAGGCACTGTTATAATCCCAAATATCCCTTTAAAATATAAGGCCGTGTGTTGTCGCACACACCCCTACCTTTACCTCTAAAGTGTTTCTATCTTCATGGCCATCGAGCGGATTTTGATTACTGAAAAGAGTACTTAATAGGTATTGCCGAGTTTGTTTGATATAAAGAGCAAGAAAGTAGAAAGATGAGGGACGTAGTAATGTTTCACTGGTAGGAGATATTAACAAGCTGGTAGAAAGGGCTTGTAAGCAAACGATGACAGATACTGGGAACCGAACGAGTGTAAAAGGCGGGGAGTGATAAGATCCCGAATATTGACAGGACCTCTAATTTCGACTGTTTGCCTGGTTTTTAGTTGCCTTTGATGACATTTATGTCGCATGTTCCGAGAATAATTGGATACGGACGGGAGCCTAGTTGTGGCTTTGATGACCGCATAAAGCTTGCGCCTCCACAAGGCTGCGTGAACATGGGTTTGAGACCAGCTGGTTGTTCACCGGAAATCGCGCGCGTGCAGAGAAAAGTGTTATTATCGCGGTCTAGACCGTTTGCTCTCTATGCACAGCCCGAGGTGGCGAAAGTAGGTGCCTAATGACCCTTCCGCGTTTTGCCTTCGCTCTCCACCAACATGACCCTGGCTCAGAAAGTAAAACCGCCTGGCCGGCGCGACGGCCCGGGCCAGACGGACAGCCTAGCCACGCATAGTAGTTAATATCACTAAATCTTAGCACAATATTACCGAGAAGGGAGTGAGAGAGGTGAATTTAATGTCAGTAAAGCCCTAGAGCTATTTATTATTCGCCGTCAACAGTACGTTCTCAGCCTTCTACAACTCTTCAACACTACAGATTACTATTGTATAGCCGCTTCGATAGCTAGGCCGGCAGGCTAGGCCGCCGAGGGCAGCCAACACGCTAAATGCCACGTCCTGCCCCGGCCGCGGCTACTGCAGCCCGCCAGCACAACTAGCTACCTATCGAAATAGGCGGCTTTACACTCTGCCCTGTCTATACTTCTTAATATTAGCTATACTTTTCAAATATCTATTTTCCGAGTTTCGTATGCTTGAAGTAGTGGAAGACGAAGTGGAAAAAATGCCGTTTTTGTTTCAAATGAATTCAGTGGAGCAGATAGGAGTACAAGACGTTAATACTGAAACCGCTTGTGAAACAGGGATTTACTAGACTGAAGAAACACAAGACAATACTAAACTTACTCGAACACCTATAGTGATAGCGTTGTAGAGAGAGAGGAAACATGGAAGTTGCCCCAAGACACCATCCCAGAAACTGTTCGAGACAACAAACAGCTGTCAATCAGCTTAAAATTAAACGATCTCTACCCGTCCTTGAAGCTGTTGATCCGGCCGCGAGGTTATTACTCATGATAAGCTTTGAAATCACTTATATTGACTTACATCTTTCCAAGGACTATAGGCGTGAAGAGTATTAACCATCCATGCTGGGTATAGATCCAGAAAAGTTAATGTCCGTGGATGGAGACCCGAATCTTGTTTACACTGGAGGTAAAACCGTTGAGGATTATGGTAAGCTGTCATCCCAAGAAAGACTAAAAGCCAGCTCAAATGGACAAAGAGCCTCGTCTCGTCCTGAGCGGAGCTCTTAATCTGTCAAATTCTTGCAGCCCGATCGCACAAAGGTTTCTTCGACCGCCCAACAGCTCACTCAGCACCATACCGAGTCTCTATCATTGCCCTCCGGACCTGCGGGCTTATCCCTTGCTCTTCACACCGCGGCAACACCGCATAAAAGCACTCTTTACAAAACATCGTCGGCGACCCATCCTCCAGATGCATTCTGGACTTCGGTTCTCCGCAATTAATGCAAAAAACCGTCAGAATGAGATTCTTAACCAAAGCGCCAGGCGGAGGGTCGAGGCCGCAATCCCAGCAGAATTGCGGAGGTAATACTCCTTTTTGCTCTTTGGGCAGCAACATTTTGTCGCCGAAAGCGGAGGCGGGGCGGAGGCGGTGGCAGTCGAAGCAGGCGTGCAAGTTTCGCTGCTTGAATACTGGATGCGCCTCGGCTTCGCGAAGCATGTTGTCCGTGAAGGGCGGCGTAATTGGGATGAAGAAGTGGTAAAATGGCTTGCAGGTCATCTTTAGGAAGAATATGGCCGGGAAGTCGAGGTTCTCAAGGATGCATAAGAAAACATCCTTGGGTAGATTAAGGACAGGAGGAGGCATCCTTAGTAGTAGCTTGTTTGTGTAGTTTCGTACGGATTTCGAATTTGATGAGTTGTTTTTAGAGAAGGAGATGAAAGCTGCTGCCTAGAGATAAAATGAATGCGGCGGCACCTCGCTGGCATAACAAGGATTATCCTTGTTGCAATGAGGGCAAAGATTTAGTTAAGGTGCAACCCTCTTGTAAGAAATGCACATGCCTCGCGAGAAGAAGAACAACAGCGACGCGCAAGCAGCGAACTTCTCCGTTAGGCTCATGGGGTATTTACTGCACAGCGTTGCCTATTCTCGACTTCCCTCCGGCCGGGCGTGCGAGGCCGTGAAGAAATGGCACTCCGCGCTGGAGCTGACGGATACGATGCGGAGAACCATCGAGGACGTGAGCGGCATGGAGGAGGTGAGTAGATGCCTCTGTCTCGTAATAGCACAAGATGCTGAGCGCTCAACCCAGCACAATGTCTTTAGTCCACAACAGTCATTGCTATGAGGTGTTACTGAGCGGGTGTTTTCGATAAAAGAAGTGGATGGAGGGTTTGATGAAAGGAACGCCGGCTGAAGACGGTGAGAGTCAGGGAAAGCTGATGCTCTGAGAAAAGCGGAGGTGCGCCAAGTCATCGGGTAGGTCGAGATAGTCGCAGGGGTGAAGAGCTTTTTGTCGTTTGTATCTCGCGCTTGGTTGCGTGTTCTGAGGAGGCGCTGCCGATGTTGTGTAGATGTTTGCAATGAAAGAGGCATTACGAATTCCCATGGCAATTGTGGTCGCAATATAGCAAAGCATGCAAGAAACAAATAAGTAGTATGCATAAGGCAATGATGGATACTCTCTTGTGGAAGGGCCTCTTCATTCCCTCACCCAGCCAGAAAATACCACACCAAAGCCGTAAGCCCAACGCAAGGATGTCGAACGAAGAGAATAAGCCCTATTAGGCTGACACGTAAAGCTAGGACCAAGCAAACGGACCCGTTGGCTTCGCGGTAAAGCCACACTCGGTCTCCGCGCTGGTAACGATACGTGGTGCAGTGTCTGAAGGTGTGGAGCGGGATATGGCATGGATTTTGGCCTCCTGTGCTTTGACAATGAGGGAACGCCTCTGGTTTGTGTGGGCTGTTTTGCGCGGCATCTCTTGCGGCGAGCTCGGAGTGCGTTGCTGATATGCTAGAAAGTATGTTTCTCGAGAATAGCATGTTTCCCTAGCGAGTATTGAGACGAGACTGTGTTATGTTGTCTGCTCAATGTGGGTGGTGGGGTGTTGGTTGTGGTTGCGGTGGCAAGGTGTTTTGGCGTTGGTGTTGGTGTTGATGCGGGGGTGTGTGAAAGTGCGGTTGTGAGTTTGGTGCTTGTTGGTGTTGCTTTGTAGGGCGCGTTCTTTGGGTGAAGATCGATTGGTGGAAGCTTTTTAGAGAAGCTTTTGCCCGGCAGCCTGGGCCGGCGTTGCTCAGCGTAACAGAAAGGGCTTATGCCAGCCCCAGAGACATGATTCCAAGTACGTAAATAGAAGTGCGTCAGTTCACTCAGGCCAAAGCAAAGATGTATAAACCTTCTCAACAAACGGCCGGATCCGAAAGTCACCGGGGAATACAGTTCTAAATGTGGCCGGAATAGCAATCTTCTGGTAGGCTTCAGATAATCCTATCTAGTCATCCATTAAACTTTGAAATCGCTAGATTTCGTCTGTGCCCATTCCAGGTTTGGCAACCGCAGAAGATATGAACACGTCCATCGGGCCACGAAAAGCGGAGATGGCGAGATTCTTGGCGTCCAGCGATCCAACGCTACTGTTTGGCTGCATGAAAGCCTTGGGACGGTTGGTAGCTATGCAGCCTTTGCCGCTATAAGCTGGATCGTGTCTTTCCGAGCGGTCCTTATTCATTCATCTTCATCTGAGAAGGACGGCCTTTCGTGCAGGCTTGGCTTCTTCCCACGCAGTGGACCCAATCTGAGCAAACCCTACTCTTTCCGCCATGCCGTCTTCATGCCACTGGATGACCAGACAGTTGATGATAGGCAGGCTGTAGCTCGCATCGGCATTCCGTCCATGGTAATGATAAAGGATGTCCGCCTCTCCTTTACTGGTGAAAGAGGAGAGCGCGACAATCTCCATCGCGGTTCCGTTCTTGACCGTGTCCAGCGTCATGCCCCGGATAATGCCTCTCCCGGCTCCGTCATCCCATTCAGCTAGATTGATCGGCCCCCAATCTGCGAAGCGGTCGCAATCTAGCCCATGTTCCCATTGTGCCTCCTCGACGGTGCTGGGAGGGAGGACCTCAACGCCCATGATCGTGTGCGCTCGGTATTTGAAAGCTTGTATAGGCACCGTTTCGGCCGTAAAAGACAGAACTCCGAGAGACGTATACAGGCGAGGTGGTAATGCCGGATCCAGATCATTCGGTGCAACCATATCCAGGTCTTCGGTGTTGTCCAAGACGAGTTGTGAAGTCAACACCAGCTCTTTGAACATCCATGTGCCTCCTCTAAAGATGGGAAAAGACCAGTGTATGCGCGAGTTGCAACCAATCCAGGACCATGTGGGGAGAGTATGCTCGTGCCCGTTGCTTTTCTCGCTGTCTATTTCTCTCCGCACCTGTTTCTTGGAAACCCACAACAATGCCAATCCGAATTCTGAAAGCGGAAGTCCGAATGCGAAAGGTTTCCCCATAATATCTGCAAGGGCAGCTTCAAGAGCGCTGAAAGCATTGAGGATGTCGGCTTGATACGTAAGGTGCCTCTCGCTGTACCTACTGATTAGTCTTGCGCAAAGGGTAAAATCCGTGCTAATATGGCGTATGGCCGGGAAATCGGGATTGTCGGAGTGGAGGCTGGTTATCGCTGTGCCCTCAGAGTTCCAAGAAGTTGATTTCAAGCACTGTTTACACAAAAGCTGGAAGTCATCAGGAATTGGAGGCCTGGGTTCATTTTTCTCGTCGACTTCGGAATATTGTCCAGAGCAGCAACGGAATAAAACCTTTTCTCTGTGAAATATGATGCATCTCGGTGAGAGGAGCAGCTCCTGAAATGTCCATCCACGCGATGAGTAGGTCTCCTTGGGGCCGTGTTCGCTCGGCTCTGAGCTTTCAACCTTGGTGATTCGGACAGACGTTCCTATTGCCTGTTCGGATACGAACGGACTTCTTGTACCCTTCCGCAATCCGGGCAGAGGCGAATGCGCACTTGTAGCAGAGTGAGCTACAATGGTAAAATACGCTTGGGTATAAATCTTGTGCATGGAGGCTATAGCGCGGTGCTTTGACTCCGTGTCGTTTTGTACTACGCATAGCGCATCGATCCAGAGATACCTTTCGCCGATTGAACGTACAAACTCCATTGCATCATCGAAGAGGAGTGGTAAGTGGTTCTTTTGAGAGATCCCATTTCTCTTCTTCAGGTATTTGAAGTTTTCCGCAGTTGTGCGCAAGAAAGGCCTCCGCCCCCATACATAGCTGAGAGCGACGTATCTTTGTGCTGTAGTTGTCGAGACCAGGCATTGTTCTAGGACATCGATAAGAATGACTTCGACAGCGCCGTGAGATGCAGTCCAGGTATGATAGCATTTCCCATGTCCATGTAATGACTCCTTTTCTGGGTCTCCAGCTGTGCTTGATTGCCGGCAAGCTTCTAACCATTGGCGCGCTTGTTGTGGATCAAACGTCTCGCCCGACTCGGTCTCTGGGGGTCTTTTGGCAATGACAAAGGGGTACCTGACAGCGCCCACCGGAGGTTCGGGTTGAATAACAAGAGACAATGAGCTCGCTGAATAAATCATGACCCCTTCTCGGAAACGAAAGAGGAAAAAAGGACGAGGGTCGCGTTGTGCACAAAACTGCTGCAGCATAAAGCGGCAGAAAGGGCATCCTCTTGGTGGAATGGTATACCTCGTACTCCGGTAGAATTTTTGCCGTCCGTTCTTTCCGCGTTTCCAACCAAGTGATGAGTATCCGCCTTGTTCCCAATGTGGCGAGTACTCTGCTTTATTCTTTTCTCTGAGCTTTTCGACCATACTGGAACCCATTGGCAGCCGGGGAAGCCATCGTGAAACAGCTAGGATCCGCAGTATTGGCTCACAGTAATGCTTGAACTGCTGTACTACTGTTTTTGAGCCGGTCAAACGTCTTTCACTGACGCCCACAAACATTTGTAAGCAAACAGCGCAAGGTACTGAATCGTTCACAGTGTCTGCTTCTGCTTCTGTTTCGAGTGACGGGGCAGCCATCTTGAAAACTGAGAAAGTACGGATATCAATACACAAATCAGACAGGACGATGTCCCGTTCCTGTGACGTGAGACAGGTCCAGGAGGGACGAAGAGAATTTGAAGTAGGAAGGGGTCTGCGTAGTAGCATGATTGAAAAGAAACATATAAAGACGCACAGCCACCAACCAACTCACTAAGGGGTTTCGAGTGGACCAGAAAAGGCTAGTGTGTACGGCCTATTGGAGCCACGGTTGCACACCGGCGAAGGGAGGCATAGCTTGGTGTGCACATCAGTGGGCCATCCCCACTCGCTAGGGCTGAACCAACGCATCGATTGTCGCGTGACTTTACCCTCCTCGGATTTAAGGGTATCACATTTCTTCGTTTCGTAATTCATGAATGGGGAGGTCCTTCTCGGCTTGCTGGAAATATGAATAGTCCTGGGAGCTCCTACAGCTCTCGTAAATGCATTAAATATGGCCTTTTGACGAGCGGGAGCCCCGAGAGAGTCCAGCAATGACTTGTATGCGGCTGAAAGGCCGACGTTGGTAGACGCAACCAGTTTGAGAAGGGCTGGGTGGGCTAAAAAATCCCGGAAGGTGGTGTACATGCCCAGAGGTTGAAGATGTTGATAGGTATATCGCAATGGCAAAGGAACACGACGTCGCTCCTCATATTTGAAATTATGAAGGCATCGTTGAGACCAAAAACTAAACGGCTATTAATTCAGGTTTTGCTTACTGGAGATTCCAACTTACTCGGTAGGACTACATTACTTCCCACCCCCTGTCGTATCAATCTCTCCAACACGCTCGAATTTTGGTGTGGTCGCGTCTGTTCTCCTCCACTCAACGATCTGGGGTCCTTTCTCGATCGCGTATATACGTCCTAGTTGATTTCCGGCGATCGGTGCAAGTGGTAGAACGTCTTCCATGCCAGCGACATTATCTTCCTGCTTCCAGCTTTGTCCATCGTAGTAGGCCATCCTAACTCCCCCATCTGTTTTGGTCATCAAAACATGCAGGTTGGTATGGTCCTCAGCATACTGCGATATTGCTGCAAGTTGGGCTCCATCATCGACTGGGATGCGCTGATCGCCTGTTTTCCGTCAGTAAATCCCGTTCCCGAGATAAAATGGAGGTGCTGAACTGACGGAGGTCTGAGCTTGTCCAAGATATGTTATAACCGCCATAGATTTCGGTCAGGTAACCGAAAGAACTGAAGTAAATTGCCACTCTCGGATACTTGACTGAACTTTTTGGGGTCCTTTGGATCGTTGTGACAGCCATAGCGCTGCCAGTATCAGGACTTATATTTGCGACTTGCAACTTGCCAGTGTTGGCTCCAGACTCGCCATTTCCAAACGGATAGTTGACCATTAAGCTGTCGGCTTGAGACCAATAGGCAGTGAAATCGGCTGAGTTGCAACCAGTGGTGGCGTTGCACTGTGGTACGTACTCGACAATGCTCGAATTATCGCTGACCGACATGCTGCGATCCATAAACTCCACTACGCTCCAATCGTCTGTTATTCTTCTCCTAGGAAGATACAAGAAACGGATGAAGTTATCAGTATCAACAAATATGCATCTGAAGTCGCTATCCTGATGGAGTCATCAGCAGAGAAGGGCAGCTAGATTGAGGAGTCGTACGTTGTCTGAGCGCCAATAGTTTGATGCGGCGATTGGCGTTCCATTTTTTGGACTCATGTCTTCTCCGGTCTCAGGCACTACTTCGTAGAATGACCACTTGTCCGTCGAAGAATTCCAATCAGAGTACCAGATCTGCAACGAGTTATCTTGGTAGTAAAGCTGGGAATGCTCGATGCCAGCCGAGTCCGTATAATTCGCCGCTCCAAGGTACGAGGTGGAAACAAAACCCCGACGATATGGTGCAGTGCCATTTCCTCCATTCGATGTGCTATTCCCGTTGTTGGATGAGCTCGCTGAACTTTTCCCTCGTGTCGCACCAACTCCGGCCCCAACTGCGACGCCAATGATTACGAGTATAGCCGCGACGACCAAAATCCAGAAGAACCTTTTGCGCAGACCACATATCGTTTGTCTTGGCGGAAGCGGGCCTCCGTTGCCTACAACCTCTTTCCCAATTGTTTTGTCGATCACCTCTGGCGGATCGGAGCGGGGTAAAGCCTCGGGTAGATCACCCATTTGCGCCCTGTCGACTTCGAGTGTGCTGTACGGCGGCTCTTGCGGTCCCGTCATTGCGGCAAGTGTCTGTGGGGGTGACAACAGGCAGCGACCGTTCGACGGCGAAGTTGGCTTGCGGCCCCTTAATATGAATCTTCAGGTGACATAAGACCGGGAAAAAAGAACCATGCTTACATATCTTGGCGCATGGTACGACCGGGGAGGTATGAATCAAAAGTGGTTAGCAGCATCATACCCTGTCCCATTGCGGATCCTTACTCAACATCGCCAATGCACAATGGGTTTTTACTGGGATGTGGAAGAAGTGCAGTGAATTCCATCCTAAGTATTGGTCTAACGGATCCGCACTGTCTGCTTAGTTCACAGCACTGCTAACTTGTACTGGAAATAGTAATCCGTATGCCGACGTTGGAAACAACGAAGACGAAGGGCCGTCATGGCCGCCTCGGATTAAGTGGTTTCCGAAAAAGGCATAGTGAAAGGCGGGGATGTCGGGTCCCCAGCAATTTTCTTGCTAAAATACGAGAAATTCTGGGGTGCGGGACAAGATCCAATCGGAATTTTGCCATTGGCTTAGGTCGGCGAGTCGCAATCATAGCCCCCACTTACCTCGTTCAAGACTCCCACACTTTTCCAAGCAACCTGTTGCCCAACGAGGATTTGAACTTGCGAAACCCAGAAGCGGAAGGGATATTAAAACAGACTTCGGCTTTCTATCGCGTCAGCCCATGTCAAAGCCATCCTCGAGAAAGCATGGGGACAGCAGAGCTGACAGTATCTCCAAGAGACTCAACAGTGTTGCTAGTGTCAAATGTTCTGTTGCGTCTCCAGTCCAAGAAGCCGCATCACCGCTTTCCCGTCGTCCAGCAAGAGTGGTTGACGTTTCGCGATTTGTAGTGACCGCGAAGACTCCAGTTCTACGCTCTAACCCTCTTCTGTATGCAACAATGCCACTTTCCTACGGCAGCTCGGCATGATTCAGCATCTGACAGTCGGCCGGCACGTATCGATGAGGGTACGAAGGCGGTCATGACGTGACGCGTTCAGGCGCGAATGGTGCAAGAATGGAATTCGGATGCCGACGATTACACTATGAGCGGAGGGGACGGGTGCTGCCTTGCGCAAGCGCTTCTGAATCCACGGTGCCGCGATACTTTGGAGTAAGGACGGATGGATGATGAGTGATGAGAGTGGTGCGCTGTGTCGCGAAGTCGCGTCGAAGGTCGCGTCGCTTGTCGCCGAAGAGAGGCGCTCGATTAGATCGATTTGATAAGATAAAGCTTATCAGATCGTTTCAACCTTGCAACAACGACCCCGCATCTCCCAAGAAACCAGGTTTCTTGACGCTGTCAACCAGAGCTAGCCAAAAAATCGTCTGTTTGCAACAACGAAGGGCATCACCCAATAAACGATCAGCTGAGGGTCCAACGCACTTGAAAAGCATGCAACGACGGAGTATGTATTCCATCTTAGGAAACGCAATGTCTGTGCAATATGCAAGGGGATTAATCAGCTTGCTACCTGTACGTTCATTTGCCTATAATCGAGCGTCCGTACGAGCAGGCAGAAGCCGCCCCCGCGAGCATAGCCGCACACGCTGCTATTTTTGAAGGCCTCCCACATGAAGCCTGAACGCCAAAGCCTGCGCCATGTGGTATTTGAACCCGCAGGCGTGCGTCTCATCATGCAAAGGTTGACAGGAAAACTTCGCTTCCGCTTCGACATGCCGCAAAACGATGAAAACAACAACATAAATCATACGGCATTGGGAATGGGCCCAGAACATGTCGAAGCTTCGAATGGTATGGTTTTATGGCAGTCGATCAGTATGTCAATCTAACAAAAAACTGTACAAGATGCGGAGGAGCCCATAAAGGAGCGTCAAACGACTCGGTCCGAACGCATATGGGGATGCATCAACAAATGGTGGATCTTTGAGTTTGCTGCATGGCTCATCAGCGCCATAGCCATGGTCGCTATCATCGTTGTCCTCAAGAGATACGAGAAAAAACCGTTGCCCGAATGGCCGTGGCACATCACGCTGAACTCTTTCATTGCCGTTATGGCCGCCATCGCAAAGACCTCTCTTCTGGTCCCCGTTGCGTCATCGTTGGGGCAGCTTAAATGGGACTGGTTTCGACGACCGCGGTCATTGGCTGACATTCAAACTTTCGATTCCGCGAGCCGAGGACCCTATGGAGCTGTCTTGCTCATTTTTGCAACAAAAGCTATGTAAGTATCGCAATACGAGCCACTCCATTTTGATTGTAGCTTACAACCTGTCTTTTTATAGACATCTCGCGTCGTTCGGGGCTCTCATCACACTCGTGGCTCTGTCAATGGATCCATTTGTACAACAAGTCGTCAACTACCCAAGCAGCCCAGAAGCTTCCAATACCAAGGCGGCTAGTCTGCCATGCGGTCGCAACTTCACAAGTTACTCGTCAAACTTGGATGGAGCTGAGCCATCAATCGAGATTAGAACAGCAATCCTTAATGGCCTGTACTCGGACTTCTCAAGCGCAAGCAAATTCCAAGTTACACCGATATGTCCTACCGGGAACTGCACATGGGAACCTTATAGTTCTTTGGCCGTTTGCGCTACTTGCACGGATATATCGAGCCACATAACAGTAAAGTCCGGGTTTGAGGGAAAGAACAAACAACCATACCGTAATTTCACTATAAACGAAAGTGGGTTGACCCTGGGATTCGTTTATGATCCCCCTATCGAGACCGGTCATATTGGCGGAATGCTAGCACGCGAGATCTACACATTCGAAACTTCCGTGTTGAACTTCACAACAGCAACCATCGGAGCTCTACATTTTATCAATAGTACCATTGGAAAAGACAGCGACGGGGAGCCCGAACATTTCTTAAACGTTACCGCGAGCGAATGTCTGCTAAATGCGTAAGTGGCTAATCCCAAATAAATGGCTTCCTTGCTAACCAAAGTTCATAGTTGCGTCCAAACCTACACTGCTGACATGACCGAAGGTGTCCTTCATGAACAACTAGTTTCATCATGGAGTAACCAAAGTACAGTGTTCTCTTCCTTGTATGAACCTGCTTGGCTCGTGCCTGACGAATCAGATGCCACAAAACCAAACAATTCAAAAGGTGGAGAACCTTACTTCGTCAGCGGTCACACTACAACAGCTATCCGTCTGGGCCTCCAGTATGCCTTCCACAGTGAAGTGTATGTTCGTTACATGAAACTGGACGATGACCCGGAGATTACATCCTTGATGGATGACCTTTTGGTCCTGTACCAGAAGGGCGATCTCAACAAGACGATGGATAACATCGCGGCCAGTTTGACCCGTACCTTCCGGGAACCGGAATCGTCCGGGAGCAAGGCCGACCAAGTAGATGGAACGGCCTTCGAGCTGGTCGTGCATGTCCACGTACGCTGGTGGTGGCTGGCATTGCCGATCACTTTGGAGGTTTGCACGTTGGTTTTTTTGCTCACAACAATTGCCATGAGCCGACGACGAGGCCTGGAGGTTTGGAAGTCTTCTCCTCTGGCACTGATCCGGAGCGGGACTAATGTGGGATATTTTTCGGAAATGAAAGAGCTGCATAAGATGGAAAGTGCTGCGGAGCAGACATATGTCAGACTGGAGCTGTCGAATGGTGAGATACAGTTGGCGGAGAAAAAGTAGCACTTGGCACACGGTCACCGCTATGAAAGAAACCCAAATTTCAACAAGACCAGGTCTGATCGGAAGGCACCAGAAAGCATTCCACCGCCGTCATCGTGCTTGTTTACTGGTCTCAGCTAGGGAACAGGGGATTTCCTTTCCTATTTGATGAGTAAATGTCATTGGTTACAGCGTTCGTAAGCCACTGAAATGACGATGCTAACTACGTACATACAGGATGTTAACATACTACAGACCGTTCAAGGGACATCGATTTTGTGTGCCGCTTGCACACACCTTGACCACCTTGAGAAGAAACTTTATAACCAGTTAACGCTAAAAGGGTATCGAACTACATCGTAAATATGAAAGCGCATCTCGAAAGGAATCTTCCTTACACAAAACCAAAACCGTACAAACGCAACTATCTTGGCACCCAGATGTTACCTTGGGGTTATACTGCCGGGAAGCTCTGCGATGATCTCATGTCCACCCGGCAACTCTTTTCTCTCGCGATCTTCTGCAGGCATTTCCGCTTTCATGTTCTGTCCGTGGAGCTCTGCTATAAATCGATTCTGGCCCTGGAGCTCTGCCGTTGGTACTTGGAGCTCTGCTCTCGATTCAGGAGTTAACTCTTGGACAGGAGCGTGATCTTCCATAACCGGAAACTTTGCGGATCGCCTTCGGTGCCGGCACCAGAATAGCAAGAAGCCGATAAGAACGAGAGCAGCTACGGCACCAACTACTCCTCCTGCAATGGCTCCCGCATGAGACTTCGATGACGCGGATGTACTTGTGGATGGGGATGCGGAGACCGTAGACGATACAGAGGCACTTGCACTTGTCCTCGAAAAAAGTGTTTTGACGGTATCTGACGACCAATCGGGCTCGGCGTTCTCTTCGTCAGCGTACCAGTCCTTCACGACCTGCGGGGACTCGTAATCCGCCGCATCGGCATCGTAACCATCACTCCATTCCAAGGCCGTCATGTCAAAGATGCCCAAGCCCTGCGTCCACGGATCCGGGTCCTGCCATCGAGCAGTGGAGTTGAGATTGTCGTTTTGGCCCCCAATGACGAGGACTTGTCTGCCACTGCCGACGGTATGGCAGGTCAAGCCTACCCGGGGCGCAGTATCGGTCGGGCCCTTAAACCAACGGAAAGCCGGCAACGACAGGATGAACGAATCGCTGTGCGTCTTGCCTGTCGCAACCGTCCAGCCCCCAAAGACGAAGAGCTCATACGAGTCTTTTCCCTGCGTGCCCGCCATGCAGAACTCGTCGCGCACGCTCGGCGCCTCGCCCGTCGTCACCTGCGAGTGCCACGCCCCGGTCGCGACATCATAGATCGACACGCTGCTGAAATCGAGGTAGCCCTCCGCGTTTGAGATGGACGTCCTGGTGCCGCTCTCCCCGCCCAACAGCACGAGCAAGCCTCCGCTTCCATCGTCCTGGTACCCGAACGGCACCGCGGCCGCTTGCCCCCACATGCCGGTGCCGTAGGGCGTCCAGCCGTCAGAAGACTTGTTGGCCCACTCGCCGGAGGAGAAGTTGTACGACACGACGCCCGGGACGGGCACCGCGTCCTCGCCCTCGACGTTCAGGTCATCCGAGCTCTTCGTCGCCACGCCCCCCACGAAAAACCCCGTCTGGTCCGCCACGGCGCTGTACCCGCCGACAGGCCGCGTGAGCTGCTTGAACACGGAGTCGTCGTCCTTGACCGTCTGGCGCGCCCACGCGCCGCCGCCCTCGCCATCGCCGCTGAATTTCCAGAGGCTCTTCTGCGAGACGGCGTAGCCGTTGGGCGTGCTGCCAGACCAAGAATAAAAGGCGTTAGCGCTTTCGTCCGCCCAGAATTTGGGCTGGAAAAACACGGGCGAGCTGCCTTTGTCGATGCGGCTGATGTTGACGGTGGCGTTGGTCCAGGACGCGCGCATGTCGATGGCGAGCGTGTGCGTGTTTTGCACCGGGTCGCTGATCGCGCCGTCTGAGTCGCGCGAGCTGTATAGCCCGCCGTCGATGTACACGAAGTCGCCGACGGCGGCGGAGCCGTGGTTGTTGCGGCGGATGAAGTCCGTCATGGCTGGGTGTGGGCGGTGGATAGATTGGGAGCGGCGGAAGGGGAAGGGTATGGCTTCGGTGAGGCCAACGTCATGCCAGTGGGAGGAGGAGCGTCATGGTAAAGGTTAGAGCTGCGAAGCGCCGTTGTTATTATACCTTGCAAGCGCCCGGCGCGGCACAGCAGCTCGTTTGTTCCCCGCCGGCGCGTAAGTAGGTTCCGGGCCCAGTTTTTCTAACTTTTTGATTGGAGACAGGTCGGTCCGACGATGTCGCTTCGTTGGTGTGGGTCTCTGTGGAGTTGAACCTTTCGACATCGATTCTGACTGCAACACTGTCCCTGAAGATGACGACGTAGCAGGCTCTCAATCGCAAAGGACAGAAAAATCACCCTACACAACGCTTCCCCAAAGCAAGCATATTTACAAGGGTCATTGCTCCGACGTTTGACGTTGGCGCACAAGCCCACCTGCCTGATGCGACTAGCGCGGAATTGCACAACGTCGGACGGCGGAAGAAGTTGGCCGGCTGGCCTCCTGCCTCACGACATGTCTGTCTGCGCTTTGCGTCTGTGCATGACGACGCTTGAATACTTCCTCATCCGTATTCAGGGCACTCGAGCAACAGAGTATTAAGAACCATGTTCTTGCAGGGAAGGTGGGCTTTCACACTAAAGTCGACGCTCATGGAGACGTTGCGCGTCTTGCTTATATTCTACCTCATTCGCCTTTTCAGTCGGTTCACTAACAATGTCATACGGCGTAGAGCATAGCACCGATCATAACACGATGCCACAAAACCAGTTCCCCGACGACGACGGGCACCCCTATTGATCAACCGAAAAGAAAGTTGAAGCCTAGCCAGCGGCCCCCGCACCGCCACATGCTCCAAGATCTTCAACCACGCTTATGTGAGGTGGGCGAGGACGGTGGCTGGTGTGTGATATAATAGAGTTTAGGAGCTGGGGGTATAAGAGGGCTTTCCTACACTACTTACCGCGTAAGATCAAACGTGGTGTATCTACAGACGCGTAGAGGTTAATAATCAGCTCAAACGCTACACCCGGACTCACCCCATACTGGCTAAAAAAAAAAAGAAAGCAGTACACTGTACACAGCCTTCCTACCTTTTATTAAACTCGAAACAACGAAAACGCAACGCCAGTACGAAATATAAAAGAAAAAGTTTTAAACACTACCACTACCACTTTTCACTACTCAGCAAGCACTCTCAGTCTTAAACTCCACTAACATGCCTTTTAGGCCCTTTTCTCAGCGCTTCTAACAGGAAGAAAATTCCACGCCATCATTCTCAGTCAACATCTTCAGTTACACCTAAAAGGCTAAAAACAAGCAGCAAAGAAGGAGCCGCTTACGAACGGCTACGGAACCACTCTCCGCTCTCACTACCCTCACTCACTCATACGATCAAGGCAGGTCAACTAACAAACAACAACTCATCTCTATCAATTAGCACAAACAATCTCGGACAATCATCAACATTCAGAATAGTTCTACAAACAGCTAGGTAACTCTCTCTCCAATCCCGCAAAACCCAAACTCCACTCTCCAGCGCTACGCATAGCGTACCGTGCTCCCAAAAAGCAAAAACCGCAAAACCCAAGGTATCCCGCCGCTCCTAAAACCAAGGACGTAGGTACTCAATCCAGCATATCGATCTCGCCCGCGCGCCAGACATTCTCACACACGGGGCAGCGATCGCCCTCGCCACAGACATCGCTGAGGACGCTCTCCGACGGCGACGACGAGCGCGAGCGCGAGCGCGAAAACACCGTCATGGCGTCGGAGAGCTGCGAGCTGGTGTCGGAGTCAGCCATCTCAGTGTCTGCATCGGCGTCAGGGACTGGGACTGCTTCAGTGTCAGCGATAGGGTCAGCGACAGGTTCTCCATAGTCATCAGTGCGGGGATGGAACACGCCGCAGACGGGGCATCTGCCTCGGCTGCGCGAGGGGTGCACAGAGGGGAATACGTACGGCTGCGGCTGCGGGTAGGGCAAGCCGTCCTCGTCCTCCAATTCCTCCAATTCCGCCATCTCGACATCGACGCCGTGGTCTCTGCCGACGTCGGGGTCCTCGTCCTCGCTGTCTTCGTCTGCGTCCACCACCACCACCACCTCATCCTCATCCTCGACCTCATCCTCGACCTCGTACTCGGACACGTTCTCGTCCTCCGCCTGGAACAGCGGCTGCTGGCAGTTCGGGCAGCTGCGGCTGTACACGCCGTAGGCGTCGCGCGTGCTCCACCACTGCCAAATGCACTCGGCGTGGTAGATGTGCGCTGAGCAGCCGAAGCAGGCGAGCTCGAGGTCGTCGATGACGGTTTGGCAGATGGTGCACGTGACGTGCTCGTCTGCCGTGCCTGTCTCTGCGGCAACGGCGTCGGTGTCGGCCTCGTCCGAGCGGGGCCACCTTCTCGGGTGCGTGAAGAACCAGGAGGGGAAGGTGACGAGGGAGGCGAGGAAGATGTTGCGGGGTAGCTCGTGCGGGTCGACCTCTGCGGAGGCGGCGGCTTCGTAGGCGCGCGGCATGGCGGCGGGAGTGTCGAGGGCGGGGATCTGCTCCCAGGGCTCGCGGGGTTCGGGGGTGGGTGGGGATGGAGCCGAGTACGGCATGGTGTTGCTTCCGCTGCGGAAGGAAGACATTGTCGCTTGTTGTGGTTGCGTGGTCAATGGCAAGTGCTTCTGTTCCTGCGTTTGTCAGTTCGTTACGAGTTTATGATGCCGATATTGTAGTAGTTGCTCATGTTTTTAAAGAGAATGTTGGGTGCGTTGTACGGAGACTGGTGTTGTTTTGTGCAGAGACTTTGCGCCTGGCGTCGGAGGGAAGCGTTGTGTTAAGGCGGCTGTTTGCCATGGCAACGGTTGCTGTGGGGGTTTTTTTCTCATGATGCCTGTGTGTGTTAATGACTTAAGCTTGGAGAGTTAGCTGCGTGAGTATGCGAATGGTGGTGGTGGGTGGTTGCGGAGGTGGGGAGATGCGAGCGCATGATTGTATGTTTGAATATATATATGCCTAAAAGGGTACTTGCCCAATACAGGAGTGTAAGCGAGAAGGCAAAGGGACGGAATAGAACGCCACCTTCCCGACGGAAACGGGGCGATGGAGAGACGTATGTGATGCTCGGACAATGCTGTAATAAAAGTAAGCGTTGGTACCTAGGGTAGTGCGCGACAAAGAATCAGTAACAAAGAAAGGGCCATTGCCATGGCGCAGTCACGTGCGCTTTGTTCTAGTTTATACTTTCATCTAGTTTAGGCAGCAGTCGCGCTAGGAGTAGCGCTGTCTCAACGTCCATCTACGACTACATTCATCCCCTTTGTTCTGTTCCTGCGCAATTAACAATTAACAAACAACAAATAAGTCTCATCACCATGGACAATGCCCTTGTCAACGCCCTTCCAGAAGAATTACTGGACCGCATCCTCTCCGAAACCAATCCGCAAACACTCACATGTCTGGCCCAAGTGTCTCGCAAATTCCACCGGCTCGCTGCGTCCCGCCTGCGCTACGCCAGCCACACGCACCACAGCAACGAAGACCACCACCACTTCCGCCAGCTACTCAGCACGCTCATCCGCCGCCCCGACCTGGCTGCCCACATGGAGCTTGTCGACATCGACGACATGCAGTGGGAGGAGACCCCGCCCGTGGACCCTTACGAAGGCCATTTTCCGGACCCTGTCCCGCCCACGGACCTGGCTGATCTGTTCTGCACCGCGGCCCAGAAGCTAGACGTCCCGGACAAAGACGCGTTTCTGACCTACCTGCGGAAAGGCAAGGAAGCGGCCGAGATGGCGCTGTTTCTGTGGCTGGCGCCCAATCTCTCAAAGCTGGTCTTGCGCTGGATGTTCTCGCCCTCCAACCGCAGCATCTGCAACCTGCTCCACGCGGCCGGCGAGCCCGTCGGTGACTACGAAGACGCAATACGGCCGCTCTCGCGCCTGCACACCCTCATCCTGACCGACGAGTCTGACGTGCCCTTCCTCCCCGTCCTCCTCCGCTTCTACTGCCTCCCCTCCCTGCGCGCCGTCCTCGTCGCCGGCAACCCCGTCGCCGCCCCCAACGAAATTCCCATAGTTTTCGAGCCCCCAGCAAACACGCGCTCCTTGCCACTTGACCGCGCGGCCTTCACTTACGCCCGTCTCCCCTTCACCACGCTGCGCTACCTCGTCATCTCGCGCTACAACCTCAAGTCGCTGACGCTGCACTGGGCCGACGCGGGCGCGACCTTCCCCTCCGACGCAGAAGACATGCTGCACCCGCTCAAATGGCACGCCAACACGCTGGAGCGGCTCGCCCTCGACACGGGGGGCGCGACGGGCCTGCCCGCCCTGCTCGGCCTGAAGCAGGGGTCCTGGCTCAAGGCGCTGCACATCTCGGGGCAGCTGCTGACAGGGTACCCGACGTACGGGGGCGCGCGCGGCGACGCTGCCGCAGGCGCCCTGGGGCCCGCGCCGTTCCTGGACCCGGCGCAGCTGCTCCCGGGAAAGACGCTCGAGGTGCTCTCGCTGAGCTCTGGCACCAAGGGCGACGCGGGGTTCGAGCGCTTTTTAGCGGCGCTCGCGACGGCGGGGGCGGGCAAGCGCGAGGATTTTCCAAGGCTGAGACAGGTCGAGGTGTGGCCGGTGGATGGGGACGGGTATTGCGTTAGTAGCGCGTTTTTGGAGGGCTTGAGGGGTGTTTTTGCGAGTTGGGGCGTGCGGCTTATAACCGTGGGAGAGGAGAGGCATGCGCTGGACTTTGAGTGGTATAGGTGTGGGCGCGTTGTCCAGCTGGGGGAGGCGCGGTAGCGGTTGGGGGGGGGGGATGTTTGTTCGTGTACAGACATATCAGGGTGTAGCATCTAAGTAAGTTAATCAGCGAGTTCAGATCTTTATGATGGTGTTGGTGGGTACAGCTGATAGGGCCTTGCGTGGGCTTTTGCGGGCCTTTGTCGTTATACACAATACTACCACGCCATCCTTCCTAAACCTAACAAACACACAAACACACCCTTCCTTCCCTTGGAAAAACACACAAATCACGCCTCCCCAGCTACACAAGCCGTGCCGTAGCTTCTACCTTTGAAGCATAAGCATTGATAGCGATATCGATAGCGCGACACTTCACGCGTATACACGCATGCATGCACGCGTAAGCTGGAGAGGTCTGGCACGGGCTGTGTTTGCGGTCTTGTGGCTTGCAGTGGGCTTGAGGTGGGGAGTTATTAGGAGTAGTGGAGGAGAAGGGGGAAGGAGAATGAGTGGAGGGGGAGCGGTTGGAGTTGCGAATGGGGTGGGTTGGGTTAGTGTGTGGTTGCTGTACAAGACGGCGGAGTGGTTTTCTAAGACTATGTGAGCTGTTCGATTTGACTCTGTATACTAATAACGCATGAAAGCAAAAACGAAAAGACTACCTCTTACAGTCCAACTGAACTGCATAATCTCCTCTAAACGTAGATGCGACTATCTCAAGAATATTTCCCTCGCTTTGGACGTGTCTTTTGCAGCCTCTCCGAACATGATTCCCTGAACGTAGCAGTCTCCCATCACACAATAGTTCTCTGAACCGCTTCTGAAGTTTGTTCGCCCGTCGCCTCTTTCCTCATTCTTTTGAGGGCGAAGAGCGAACGGAACAGTGCTCCCGAAAAGGACCCATACTTCGTCACCCGGCTTCATCCATTCCGGGCCAAGCCCGAAAAAGCCCTTGGATGTAAAGAACAGCCTCCTCTTGTGGGCCACTGTGACAAAAGCATAGGCAATGGCGGAGTCGATCCAGACGTTTTCGTCGCTGTCTGTTTGTAAAGAACGAACAAACTTCATCATAGCGTCTGGACTAAGATAGGGGTGTTCCTCACTCAGGACATAGTATCCCCCAGTCAGCATACTGGCAAAAGCTTCGATTTTTTCACATCCGGTGGGATGCTGTTCTTGGCCTCGATGTGGTATATCTAATGTACGAGCCAACTTGCGGATTATTGAACCACAGCTCATAAAAGTAGATTGATTGATATTGCAGGCAAGGCCGATTTTGGAAATATTATCCGCCTGTATACCAACGACTGAGATGATATCGTCTATACACAAACGAATTTGGACAACATTTCCATTTGCGGCATTGTACCGGGTGCTTTCTTTTTGTCGGACCGCTTGATCGAAATGTTCGCCGAAATCCTTCACCCACGAGGGACTATGTCCATTGGGCTCAGAATCTCTCCATAAAACAGAAAATGGTTTGTCCGGGCACTCAACAAGCAGTTTGATGCTTAGGGTCTTGTTCATCTGGGTCATGTCGATTTTGTAGTCTGCGAAGACTCCGCACGTTGGTGGTAGAAGACCTAACAATGCGTAGACTTTGTCTCGAGTGTCTTTCGCTTGTCGATTATTAAATGTGTACCAATAGTTCAAAAGTGTGTGTCCGTCTTCCTTTTCACCGTCCGCGTCACTAAAGACCCTGTCAGGAGAGCGAATAAAAGCAGTAATGCGCTCTTGAGTTCTGCTAATATAGTGCAGGTTGTTGTGGAATTTGGTAAGCATATTGGTGTTTGGCTCACCAGTGATCCGCTCAAAACCATTAGTGAGCTGGGCAAAGATCCCTGAGCAGCATGTCAAGGCATGTTCTCGTAAGTTTTCTGCCGCACGACCTAGGGTATTGAAGGAGCATTCGAAAGTTCCGCAAAGGATTGTTGCATCCGGTGGCATGACTGCTTCTTGAACTGTCCATATGCGAGACCACCAACTCCGGTCCAGAAGTGCTGAAAGTGCGATAATTGGCTCTAGGGATTCGAAAGTAGATGCTCCCGTGCTTCTCGCCAAATTCGCCAAGGAGGGGATGAGGTTCAGATGCTTGTCTCTCTCCAATGGCTGTACGAGATCGACTAGCTGGGAAATCCTTGGACGACGCCCATGCCATTTGCAGGCAGGATGCGGACTCCAGCAATGATCGCAAATCCTCGGAAAAGTAGCATCAAACTCGGGCCCGTGAGGACAATGGACATGGTTTTTTAACCGGAAGCAATCTTTGGAAAGGGATATGCACCAGGAATCTCCTTCCTCCGACTCTTTTCCAACCCAAAGCAAGCCCCTCTCGCTTTTCGCGTAGATCAATCCCATGAGATTGACTTGCCACGACTTCTCAGCTTCGTTGCTTTGATCAATGCTGAGTGCATCAATCCACAAGGTTCGAGGTTTGTCCTCTGTTCGCAGTTGTTTGAGGGCGGAAAAGAGATTGGCCGTGACGTTAAATGCATGGCCGTCTACTTCGATTGTGTCGGTAATATTCGCATCTCCCCATGTATACGAAAGCGCTTCATATTGTGGCCACGTATCCAAAGACACGGCAAATGAAGTGCAGCTAATAGGACTAGTATCGTGGCCTGGAGATGGTGGAAGCAAGTTTATAAGACGAATATCGCTCGTCAATTCGTTCAGTGGTGTATATCGGAGGGTTTTGGACATGGTGTTTTCGACGGTGTCTAGCTCCAGCCTGCCTGCACTTGTTTATAGGGTAAACTAATCGAACCAAGAAGCAATAATTTTCAGAAGAAGACGCTGACCGGCATTTTTAAAGCCTTTCGTGGGTAGACAATTTCAGCTGTTATAAAGAGCGATGGGCGAAAGCAGAGTAACAGCAAGTCAGCGCATTAATTAAACATAGCTGAGTTGACGTAGGGTGTACTATATATAATGTGTTAGTCGATTTCTCGAATCCCATAACACATTTCCATCAGCCCCGAGCGATCCTATACTTAAGACGTATGCATTTTTAGCTTCATTCAAGTATAGCATATTTCTAAGTTTAGAAGAGCAATTATATTGCGCATCATGTACTCTGAATTGTGTTCGTTAAGGGTCTATAGCACGTATTTGAAGGCCCTCCTACCATCTTTTATAAGTCTAAGCTTCTTACCACCGGGCCTGGAATGTTACCCGTAACGGTCAAATATCTCCAGGGGAACCCTAAAATTGTAATTAGAATCAATTGCTAAACAGATGTATTTTCCCAAAGGTGCTAAGCAAGGCGATAGACCTATTATTGGTGGAGAAATAACATCAGCTTAGGAGTTGCATATGCATAGCCGCTAGGCTAACCTGCTTTCGGGAGAAATTTTACAGGGTCTCTCAGCTTGAAGTTACAAAAATAAACATAATGAAGGGGATAAGAGCGCTTAGACATTCTTAACGTTAAATGAATCTCATCATTCGTCATTAAAGCAGCGAATGAAACTTCAGTGATTTATTTACATCTTTTAATTTAGATACAGCAGAATACACTCATCACGACCAACTTTCAAATTTGGTCCATCTTACAAGCTTTTATTAGAATATCTTTTTTGCAGAATTTAATGTCTGTATTAACTCAAAAGCTGCAGAAGCTAAATCATCCCCGGCCCATAGACCCGGTCATAACGACAATGTTTGCATAACGCGTAAGCTGGAACAGTGGGTAATTCATCAGTTCGTCCTCCCCAAGAAACCAACAACCACCTCCTCACCGCCCCATAAGCCGAACAAAAATAGTGACAACGACCCCAAAACCCCGAACAAACATAGTAACAACGACCCCAAGGCCAGCTAGTTGCTTAGGGCGACGGCGGTGCCGCCACAACCTCGATGGTGACATTCTTCCCTGGGACATTCGTCGCCGGCGGCTCCGTCACAACCTCGATGTTGATATTCTTCCCCGTGCCATTCGTCGTCGGCGGCTCCGTCACAACCTCGACGTTGATGTTTTTCCCTATGACATTCGTCGTCGGCGCCACGTGCAGCTTCCTCTTCTTGCGCCACTGCGTGCGCTGCTCGTATGCATACGCCAGGCCAATCAGCGTTTGTTCCTTCCAGGGATTACCCATGAACGCGATGCCGAATCTGCGTGCATGTACAAGTTAGCATGTCTTTGTCTTTCCAAGACACTTCCTAACAACAAACACAGAAAAACGAAAGAAAAGCGGAAAGGAAGGGAACAAAGAAGGGGAAACAGCAAACAGAACACCACTTACGGGATGCCCTCCGCCCGCTCCACCAACCCCCAACTTGTCTTCACAACCTCATTTCCCTTCGGGAAATAGCCCATCGGCACCGTGACGACGGGCGCGTTCGCGTACGCCGCAATGCGGTGGCTGATGCTCGTGGGCAGCACCACCGCAGTCAGATTTTCGACTCTCAGCGTGCCAAGCAGGCCACCCGTCTCGGCGCCTAGTTCTTCAATCGCTTTCACCGCCTTGAGGTACTGCGGCGAGGTTTTTTTGAGGTTAAGGTTGAGCGCGTAGTCAATCTACACCAGGAGCACAGCAGTCAGCCAGTGTGAAGAAAACAGAAGTGAGTTTTTCGGGGGAGGCAATGTGCAGACTTACGAAAGCCGTATCCCGTTCTGGATACTCCTCGCGCGGATCTTCTTTCATGATTTCCACAACAGCATGTAGATCCCAAAGATGCTTCGGATTCCACAACACATTCCTTAAATAGGCGTCGAAAGTGCTACGCCCCTGCATGCCCAGCTCGATTCCCGCAATCAGCGTATCGTTTCTGTCATGGTAAAACATCTTGTCGAAATCTCTGATGTTGGCTTCCCGCACCACCTCCGCGCCCGCGGCCTCGAGCTCGTCCAGCGCAGCGTAGAATGCGTGCACCTCCGTCAGGCTTATGAAGCCCCCCTGCCAGTACCGTATGAGCGCGAGGTCCGGGACACCGATGCGCGTGCCTTGAAGCGCGTTCGGGTCGCACGCGTCCACGTACTTGGGTATCGTGACGGTATTTTGGTAGGGAGTAAACAGGGTTGCTTCGTCGTCTACGTCGGAACCCATTATCACTTGGAGCATGTAGGCCGCGTCTTTCACGGTGGGTGCTATCGGGCCCACCGTGTCGCGGAAAGGGGACACCGGGACAACGTTATACCGTGATGTCAGGCCGACGGTAGGTTTGATGCCAACAACGGCGGCCTTTGCGGCGGGGAGAATGATTGAGCCATTGGTCTAGTGGTGTGCGCACAGGAGGTAAGCAAGATGTCAGGGAGGAACAATAAGTTAAATATCTGTACGAACCTCTGTTCCCAAAGCACCGAGTGACAGAGCCAAGGCTGCAGCCACCGCGCTGCCGCTCGAACTTCCGCTAGGGTCTTGGTTGGGATAGTACGGGCCGGTGGCCTGGCCGCCGTAGGCGGACCAGCCGTTGGACGAGTTTCTGGAACGGTAGCCGGAAAATTGGCTGAGATTCGTTTTGCCCAGGATGACGGCGCCGGCATCTCGGAGCTTCTTTACTACCATAGCGTCTTTTTGGGTCTGGGTACCGAGAAGTGCATAGGTGCCGGCTGTAATGCAGGTTAGTGTGAGTGTTTTAAAGAAGAGTTGATGCACTGCAATGTACCGGTCGTGTTCATTTTGTCAAATGTGCCGATACTGTCTTTGACGAGAATTGGGATGCCGTGCAAGGTCCTATTGATGTTAGGTCTCAGCCAGAGAATCCTCCAATGCTCTTATAATGCTTGACGTACCCTCGAATGTGCCCCCGCTGCCTATCTTGATCCAGTGAAAACGCGATGTCCCATGCATCCGGATTTATCTCCGTTACAGCGCGCAGTTCATTGTTAACTTCTGAGATGCGAGCCGTGTAGGCCTGTGCGAGTGTCAGTTTGGCTGTTGATTCTTTTTCTTATCGGTACTCACGTTGACCAAGTCAAGGCTTGTGTAAAAACCTTGGCGCATGCCAGCTTGGAGATCTTCGATCGTCGCATCGAGCAGGCCCTGATGAACCTCTATTGCTTTGCCACATGCAATAAGCGTGAAAGCGAGCAAGAAACCGGCTAAACCTCGTAGTGGAGCCATGGCTACTATTGAAGAACAGAAGTATTTGAGAATGAATCGGAAGGTGATCAACGACCTTTTATAAGGCGAGCCTTGCCACCGAACCATGTCACCGCAAAAGGACACATCGTTGTTCCCCTCAACTGCGCACGTTAACCGGGGTAGCAAGAGTGGGGATGCGGCGGCCTAAGCGGCCACCTTGCGCCAAACCTCCGAAGGCGAACGACAAGAAAAGCCCCGGCTTGCCACATATCCTCTTGGACGGTTTCTGCGACTAATATACTGGCACTACAGAATATGTCCTGGAGAATCGCAAATGTATTTTGTTGCAAGCCGTATTTAAATGCAAACTCTCCACAAACTTAGGCCACAAACGGGGTGCCGGTGCAGGGCGTTGGGTCAATAATGACAGCGTTTGACTTCCGTGCGCTTGACCTCAGATGTGGAGCCGGTCCCGCAGGGTAGGCCGCCAGGAATGCAGCGTTCGACTCGGCTGCAGCCTCGGGTCCTTTTCCGGGGCCACAGGTAGCGGTAACGGTTGGGGGTTTAGCCAGCGGAGATGAAGGCCCAGAAGACGGTGCTGTCGTTGATGTGGTCGGTATGTACCAAGACTGAGCAATATGGCGGAGTACTTCATGTGGGCAAAAGTGTTGGAAAATCGTGATGGATGCGCTCGTATGCTCCTAAGTGAAGTCATTGGCCTGGATGCTGGAGCGTTGCTGCTCCTGTGTGTACGACATGGCGCGCTTACTTTATATAGACAGAAAGATTGTACCCTCGTGTACGGCCTGGGAGCTTAGCGGCAACGATGAAGCAATGTCTCCTCGATAACGTTTGCGCTCCTCACAGGAACGTTTCCCCGGGCTTGCTGAGTGGAGCGCACTAACGATTCAAGACCAGTGTCCGGATCGCCTTTGATCAACCATCTGATAACCCAATTTCAACGTTGTCTGAATCGTGAAGGCCACTGGTTGCTTGTGGAAATGCTTCCGGTACGGTTTTCCTCCTTATCTGGTGCATGTATTATGAGACGTGGACGTAAGCAAAAATTCCGAGGTCGGGGCTGCCGGCTGCCGCGTTGGAAGTATTTGGCCGGGTTCATTGGAAGCCTACTTTCGAGTCGTCATTGGTCTTAGTGTGCTTTCAGTACTGCGATAATGGAGTATAGCTGACGGAGAGCAAAGAACAGATGCACGCGTGCGTCCACAAACTTCACACTGGCACCCCCACGGCCGGCCGCATCAAACTTCCTTAGACCCGTCGCATCAGCAACGCTGAGCGGGAGAGCGGAAAGTCTGGCGTAGCGGGAATCCTGTATAAGCTGGCATCTATGTCGCCTCGGTAATGGTTTCCGGAGCTGGAAATGAACTCTCGTAGCCGCAGTAGGCGTTCCGGGTAGATGGCCAGAGTCATTGACGCCACGAAGCGGGGAAGAGCGGATAGATCCGCACACGCATCCATCTCCATCTCCACAGCAACCCCACAACCGCATCACGACGGTGTTGTCAACCGCCTCGGGCCGGTCAGCGAGGCCGACGTAAGACCTCTTTTCCACAGTCTGTCCCTTGAGAGTATGCGTCGTGGCGTCGTTCGAGACCGGTGACTCTTGATGCTGACATCGCCATTGCGTTGTTGACAGAAAGCGCGTATAGGGTCAGGAGGGATGAAGGACGGAAGTAACATCTGACACAGATGGCCAAGCAGGGGAGCGGAGAAAGCGAGGTGTCAAAGCTAGTTGATGCGGTCTTGAGCGGATGTTTGATGCAGCGCTGTCGTCCGATTTCGTCGCGGTCCGACAATCCCCCGCCGCACTCTTCTCCACCCGCTTACCCGCTCATCTCAGATCTTTCGACACCACTCCAAATCGCACATCGAAACTTCAACGACCAGCCCGCTTCATCTTCCCATGTCTCCGACGATGAAGCATCATGCTTGGTCGCAGCCTGCCAACAGCGATAGCAGCACCTTTGCTTTGTTGATCACGCATGGGGCTTTTCGAATGCTGTCACATGTTCTGGATGCGTGGTAATTTCTCTGTTATTCGCCTTCTCGCTAATTGACGATTAAGCCGTCAACCTACGTACGCTACGTTGTCAAGGTGCCAGAATGTCTCAGACCGTCCAATCCCATCGGATTCTTATTCTCTCATACTCTTTCTCCATAAACTCTCACCTATGCCCGCCACGGCTCCCAGAATTCGTAACTGCGGCATACCGGACTGGCCTCCTACTGGGGGCGAGGAAGCGGCCTCGGACCCTGAGGCCTCCACCTTGATGGGAGCAGAAGCTCGCAGCCCGTGGTTTCCTCGATCGATCGGATGACAATCTCTGCTGGCGTCATGTACCCCTATCCGTACACGGGATGTCCTCCAAGCAGAAGTCCGATCCAAGAGCCCGAGCTCTTATCCAAAACCCAAGAACCGGAATCGCCAGGCTCTACGAAGAGTTCCCTATGCAACTTGTGGGGATTCTCAATCCTCACTGCTTCGACACTTGGACCGGATGGCGGCCACTTCTCGTCGTGTTTGACAAATGAGCGGGCAGCGTTTATAAGGCCTTCGGTCCAGCCAGAGGCGCGTCCGACTTTGATAACCCTTTCTGCATAAGGCTTGTTTTCGGGTTGAACTGGCTTCCAGGACGCAACCGGCTTCAGGGAGAATGATCGAACCTGCGGGTGGTGCCTAATATGTTTCGGTTGCTCGATATCGGTGGGTAGGAAGGTGTCGAAGTCCCGTTCCACCGTCACCAAAGCCCAGTCTAGCGCGACCTTGGAGCTGCCCTCCTCCACAAACTTGTAACCGCTCGCGGCACGCAAATTGCCCACACGGCAGTTCCTCCCGCTTAAGTTTCTGTGGGAATCCTCAGCTCTTCGAATGGAGAGCTCGCCTTTAAACAGCATACTATTAGCTTTCTCGTCGCCAGATTCAGCTTTTTGCGCGACACTTTGCCCCCACTCGTCTTTAACAACATGCTGGTAAATATACATGTCGTGTATTTCGGCTAACCTGGCTCGCTCCATATCCTTTATGTCACATGGAGCTGGCTCCTGGTAGATGAGATGTTCAGGCGGATTTGGACAGTCCAAAGGCTTGAGGACATCGGCGTGCAGCTCATGAGAGACAGTGTGAAAGCTTGTCAGTGCATAGTTAACACGCGCCAATCCTCTTCTCGGGTCCCTCATTGTCAGAAATCCGCCAAGGGTGCCGACCTCCCTATCCAGTGTACAGCCGCTGAGCGAGTCGCCAATCCGCAAGCGATCTTGGCCAAAGCCCAACCGCGTCGGCAGCTTTGAGCCATCGAGCCGAGGAGGGGGGCGCAAACACTGGCTTTCCCAAATGTCAATGTCCTCGATGGGGCCCTGCAGGCAACTCCGTAACCCAAGTCGGAAGGCCAACGTATCCGCCGCGCCGATTATCTCGATCAGCACCGTAACTGCGTGTTCCGGGCCCATGAGCACGAGCGAGAGCGCCGTCCATTGCCACCTGGCGACGTCGAGCTCATGGATGATCTTCGGTGCGACCGCGTCCCACGCCTCGAGGATGTCGCTTTCGTGGTGCAGGACTGGCCACGGACTGTTCTGCGCGTATCCCCAGTTCATGATCTCGACGACGTACCTATACGTCGTGAATGCGACAATGCGCGCGATGGCGCGGGACCAGCGGTCGTTGTTTGTCGTGGTGTCCTGGGCATCGACGGAGAGCAAATCTATTGGCGCGCCGAGCATTCTGTACACCTTCCCTTTTTTGAGGCTGAAACCTCGGTACTTCATGCCGCAGTCATCCAGAATGGCGGCGATGCGTGGGCGGAGCACTTCAAAGGCGGCGAGCTCGGGGGACATGGGATCCAAGGGCCGCGTGACTAAGGGCATAGGGTGGAGATTGGACCAGCCTGCGCGGTAGCGTGTCACGACTGGTTCAATGTGGGAGTGCTCGTTGTCCATGATTGTGGTGCTGGTTGTGGTGCTGGGATTCGGGGTGGTAATGATGTTTGTGGTGGTTTACGAGAAGACAGTAGAGAGATCGTTCTTATAGGTTTGTAAAGAGCTGGTCAAAAGACTAACTAGTTAAACTAGGCGGCGACAACCACAGGTAGCGGATTCTCGGCTTTAGAACCCACGAATTGCGGTCTCATCGGCTATCACGGTATAATAGGGGATTTAACTGAGCCTACCACTACCGTGAACGTTGAACGAAGCCTGTTTGACTACTGCACTCTCTTGTAGATAAATGACCTTCTCTCTTTTCAATCCTTTCTTTCGCTCGTTCTCTCTTTTTCTTTTTTTCCTTGTCTCAAGCCCAGACATTGGGAAATCTTTTCTGTACCTAGCACCACATCTATTACTCCGGAACTTAACACACTTTGCGGTCAAATTACATTTCTAGCTGCCAAGACCCCACTGTGGTCAAACCAAGTATTACTTTTTTCTTTTATTAGCAGTCATGAACGTAATTGTATATACAGTGAAGCTCCTTGCCAGTACTACGACCATGCTCAGTATATTAGTCGTCGGCGGCGAGAATGCCGTGTCCGGAGCAGCTGCCGGGCTCTATTACCTACTGTTCGCGCTCCTTAAGCAAGTTCGTGGCTTTCGTATCGCATGTTAGCACATCTTCAGCAGCATTGCGAGCGGACTCAGTACGTACGGCCACCTTCAGCACCTAGTATAAGCATTCCACTCGGTCGGTCAGAAAATATCGCACAAAAAACCGCTGGGTCTCTTGCTCTCCCTCCACGACGGCTTTGTTCCGGTCAAGAGAACCGCTGGAAGCATCTGTGGAATCCTCCTGGTCCTTCAGTCTGCGCAACCAGCCAGCACAGCCGGCACGGCCAACAACCGCGCCAGCGTACGTTTCATCTCGCCGCTGATGTTGTGCTGTCCCGCGCCCCGGCAGCGGCTTGCTCGGCGTCGGCGACCCGAATGTCCTTCACCGCCCGTTGACAGCATGCATGCGGTCGCGCTCTGTTCGTGGTTTTTTCTTCCCGGTGTGAGGGTAGGGTAGTAACGCATTGGCGAGGGTAACTTCGGTAGTGAGGGTGGTGGAGACAGATTAACGGAAGTTGACTCTGCCAAGCGCCGTTAGCATCTAGTTCTACAAGCATGTTTGCGATGGTCGAGACAGTGGAAAGTGATGGGCAGGCCGTGTAGGGCGCTCTCGGACTATGACAGGAGACGCATCGTACAGACTGGTAGAAGGTGAATGCAGAATTGGTGTATCAGTTCGAGTTGGACAGGGTCGAGATGGAGAAAGCGGCATACCTGCGACAACACTGCATCAACTTCAAGACCATCTTCCCGAAACGCAAACAAGCCACTGCGGGCAGTGGCAAACAAATCTTAAAAATGTGGAGGCTTCCTCAATGGGCCAATAGCATTGCATTGCGCTCGACAACGTCGTCCGCGGAGGTAAGAGCCACTCGCCGGACTTGAAGCTACATGGGATTTGCCATTTTCCCAGTCGCTGATGCTGAAATGTCGTGAAGTATGCTTGGTGCCGCCATCACGGTGGCCGAGAGCGGGAAAGTGGTTTGCGTATCAGAGGAGCATTTCGCTGAACTCGGGGCTGGTCGACTCTTGGGGCGCCGGAGGCTTGTCCGTGGCAGGGGACGTCGTTGAGGAAGTCTGCTCAACTTGATACGTGGTAAGCCTCAGCTCCTTTGAAAGGCGGGTCTGTGAGCACACGTGGTGGTTGCTATTTCAAGGAAGTGGCGCGGAAAGAATTTCTCTGCGGGAGTCATCAGCCTTGCGGAACGAAGTCAAGAAAGAAGACCGAGACCTTACATGCATGGGAGTGCAGTCTAGCACAGTCTTGTCAACCAGCCATGTCCATGTCCGAGACGTAGACCAGCGAAGCCTTCTCTAAACCCATTGTTATCCTTGTCCACTACTGAAGGTCATCGCTTGACGTGACGGATGACTGGAACGATGCTTCCGGAAGGCACGAACGGTTTGTGCAGATGTATAGCGAGTTGATTGAGAGCAGACTCTCGATAGAATAGAGTAGCGGTCGCGGAACGGCAGAGATATTGGGGAAAGCAGCGGAGTCGCCGAGCGAGTGAATGAGTGAGTATGGACTGGCGCAAAAGTTGTGAAAGGCAACCAGCGGGATCGAAAAGCTGCGAGCAAGTTCGGCAGGCTTCCAGCCTCCAGGCCTTGTGCACTCGCCTTGGGAGAAGTCTTCAAAAGTCGTTGTCTTCTAAGAATCCCGCAGAAAGTTGCCAGCGGGAACAATGCCACTGCGACAACACGAATGAAACAACTAGTTGACGCTAGCGTGAGCAAACATCGAGCATGCAAGCGGCAGAGCTTTTAGCAAATACAAACCTCCAGGCTTAACTTCGACCGCCCCGTCCACCGACCCAGCGCAACATTTCCGCCAGCCACATGCTCAACGCCCAACGCGCACACAGAAAACTCTTCTTCGAAACAGCGAGCACATCCACCGCAAATCGCCCACGCAATCGCAATCGCAATCGCGGCGCCACTGCCCCGGCCTCATCTACCCGCGCGTCCTCCGTCCCTCCACCAGCCGGCGCTACTGCACGCCGCTAAGCGACAGCGCCGTCGATCGACCTGCCTCTCTCGCACAAGTGGCTGGCAGCTGAACGTGCGCGGCGTTGGTGGCGCACACCACCCGTTTGGTCGGACACGGCTCGCGCTGATAGCGTAGTGGCCTGGCGCTTAGTATGTGGATGTGCGTCCTACGTTCGGAGGGGAGTAAATGTTGTTCATACCCACGGAGAGCCGTACCCTGCGAAGGCCAGGACATGCTAAAGGCGATTTGGGTTTGGAAATTAGAGGTATCGCCGTCGTGCCTACATGCTCTTGTAAGGAGATAAAAGTACTCCCTATGGATCACTTCTTGTGTAGACCTAGGGGCTTGCGTTCGTAGCTTTGCTTGTCGTTTTCCGGGGTACAAGGGAAGCACCAGTTCAACACTCTACAGCCCACCCAACCTGAAGCACAGAAGACGTCAGCATCTCTATCCGGGTTGATTTGTCCTTATTCGCTTTCCGGTATACTACTCCTATTACGATCACATCACTGAGCAGCCAGGAGCCGCGCAGCCGCACAGTAATAATATTCTTCATTAACTACGTGAACTAGATGAACCATAGCAAGCTTCATATCTATCCGCCGCTCACAAACCGTAGCATTGTCCACACGCATTTGGTGTTGCCGTACAAGCGCACTCTAGTCAGAGCCGAGCTCGCGTCCGCAAGTATCATGATACCATGTATGCCAGCCTACGCCTGATTAGCATACATGCAAAACGCAAACATCAAGTGCATGCTTACCATAATCACCACAATTCTTATGTAGCGAGCCATGATTGACGGCGGAAAACCTACGGTCGCGAGTACTGGATTAGCATGAGAAAACCTGCTGTGATGGCTTATAGAAAGAACAACTTGCCTTTTACCAATGATCAAACCGATCTATCCAAGCTCGTGGATAGTCATGAGACCAGTCCACCCTGGTTGTTGACTCTGCAGTGGGGTATGATCGGCGGACGCAGTTTGGCGCGACAAGGCTAAAAGCGGACGGCGAGGCTAGTAGGCCAGTGAATATGTCTGTCTCCTCCATTCATGCTTGATTTTTTGATTTGTATCCAGGTTTCGCGTATGTGAATGCAGTACTGACGACGTAGTGGTAAAGGTAGCCATGGCCGGTGGAGTCGGGTCGGTCGTGCCATGGCGGAAAGATGAGGAGGAAGAGGTAGGTCCGGGGCTGCGTGGAGAGACAATCGACGGCGCCAACAGAGAGGTTTTGGGAACAGGAAGGTCAGGCGAGGAGCTTTATTCCGTGAAGGCGACTGAGGCGAAAGCAAACGAGCGGCGGCGCACTGGCGGAGATGAGGAGTGCGAAACAAACGCGCTCGACGGAAGAAACTTTTCATGGTACTGCGTCGCTGCGGTCGGAGAATCGGACGCGTATTCATTGCCGCAAGTACCTAGGTACCTATGCGAAAGTCATAGCACCACAGCCAAAAGCTTCCGTCTCTTGCGCATCCAACTCCACAGACCTTTTCAGGTTCAGACAACAATACCGCATCGTGCCCAGCAACAGAAAAGGCAAAATCATCAGCCTCTACGCTCGTCCACTCGACTCACAACATCCCACAAAGCCTGACAATCTGACTGGGTCTTAAGATCACAACCGCCAGCTCACAGAAAAGACTTGAAAGCAGACAATAACTGTTGGTCAGAAGGTGACAGCATGTGTTTTTGCAAGGGAATGAAAGCAAAACAGGGTTGAAAAGGTCTTGCTTGCTTTGACAAGGAAAAACAGAGGGAGTCTGTGCATTTGACAAGGAGAAAACAGATAACGGTTTGTGCCTTTGGTTGTGACGCTTGAAGAAGAAAGGAGAAAGGAAGTTGTGTAATTGTGATTCTGCTTCGGGTTGCCTTGCTAGCTTTGTGACAAGTCAAAAATTTTAAACTAGAATAGCGTTGTTGCAAGGTTTGGAACTACCATCTTGAGCATGCGACGACTGCAACAACCGGAGTCCGTGGTTGTGGGACATACTGTGAGACTCCAAATGGCTGGAGAAGGACAACTACGTCTTGCTTCCGTGAATTAAGGTAGTTGCAGCCTTGACTGCGCTGAAAGGCCTCGGGTGCTCAACATCTGAATATCAGTGAGCGGCCTTTGGTGTCCAGTCCATGAGTTGTGGTTTTTTGGCAAGTAGATGACCTTTTGTCGGACCGAAGGCTACTTTGCATGTGCCGTTGTCCATTCCGGACTTGGTGCCATTGCTGTTGTCATTGAAGCCAAGGTGCCAATAACCTGTGACTTTGGCCTTTCTAGATCTCTTGAAAGCACTTTAGGCGGCGTTACTTTCGTTATGTGATCCAATGCAGCATGGGCCGAGAGATATTTGAAAGTTGTTTAGTTGATTTTTCCGGATGGTTGTTGGCGCTCTGCGAGAGCGTGTTGGAACCGGATCTGAAATTCAGTGTTCTCCAGAAGCGTAAATTGGTGCCAACGTGGCTGCGGAGCGGGAGCAACATGTCCTTTGCCTCCGAAACTACCCGTAGTGACTGGATAGTTCCCTTTCCGATGGAAACCTGAGCCATTGTTGAATGAGTGGATGTAAATCTGGATCAGAGTCCTCCCGGCTGAGGATGCCGTGAGTCTTATACGCCGTCACCAATCTAGTTTATTGTGCGTGGTGGTTCAATAGCTTCAACTAATGCTCGTGTTAGCGGAGTTCGCCGGAAGATGGCACTAGGATGGGCCCATACCTGCATGAATTTTATTGGTGCCGAAGAGTTGCGATTAAGTTCTCCGTTACTGCGGAGCTGCGCTTTGTGCTATCATTCGATCCGTAGACGAAGGGCTTTTTCATGGCCAGGAGGCAGGATCTTCGATGGGAAACTTGACGCTTGTGATTTCAGATGTGCAGCGCAATGAAATGCGTATCCCAGATTCGTGCGTCGACAGTGTGTTGTAGACAGCATTGAAGTTGCCTTGAGAATGGTCTGTTTGAATTGCGCTTTGATTAAGCTTGAGGTTGCTTCTCGTTTCGCTTCCGGCATCAGGCCCTGATGGATAGCAGTGACCTTGGTAGCCTTTATTGCAGAGATGAACTCGATGCTTTGGCCTTCGATGTGTCTTCCGGCAGCATGGCAAGAGTTAAACCCCTTGAGATTGGAAGACGAGTTGTCTGACAGCTCGATTCAGAGCATGATGAGCAGCTCGGTCAAGGTGTTGGTTTAATGCATAGAGAAGCATTTGTTTGTACCCGATGTGCGCATCTATGGGTCAAGCTCCAGCCTCTTGGTTGAAAGCGCTGAGCTTCTGCTCAAACTGATGTCTGTGCATTTGACCTTGAGCAGTACGTGCTTGCCAGGACAATGGCTGCACACTCCGTTGCGGATTTTGCGCATCTGGATGAACGGCTTGTTCGCGTGTTGAAAGCTTGATTGTGCTAAGTGCTGAGCGTCGTTTTGAATGTCCGAATAGACGGGTTGACTTTGAGCCTGTGATACCTCTAGAGGTACGGTGGGCAGTTTCTAGCTTCTAGACAGGCGCGGTTCTGGTTGTTTGATTCCGCTGTGTGCCTGGGTGCCGGGAAAAAGGTTGGAGGCGTGGCTAGACAACTTTCGCATCCTGTTGAAGGGATTTCTGCGCGTCTGATTGAAGATGTTGTATGTGATCTTGACCAAGGGCCGTATTTCTGATTTGACAACTTGCATCCGGGCTTTGACAAGGACTGTGGGTATGATTTGGAGGATTTTATTCGGGCCTGGACAAGGGCCGTAGGTTTGGTTTGACAGAATTGTACCCTGGCCTGGACAAGGACCGTGGGTATGGTTGGAAAGACTTCAACCGGGCCTGGACAAGGGCCGTAGATTTGAACGAAAGAGTTGCATCCGAGCCTGGACAAGGGCTGTGTATTCGTTGGATGCCTCCTCGCGTCTGGATGAGTGTGTGTTTAAGCGTTCGGGTGGAAGCCTTGCGCATGAGCCTGGACAAGGGCTGTGTGGTTGTTTGAAGAGCTGATCGCGCCGGAATGGACAGTTCCTTGCGACATGTTGGACATATTGTTGCGTCTAGATGAATGCTTTTTTGGACATCTGATTCGACGACTTTGTGCTTGAGCCTGGACAAGGGCTGTATGTTCGTTTGAACGGTTGTGCGCGACAGGTTGGACAGTGTGTTGCGACTTGTTGGACAGATTGTTGCGTCTGGATGAATGCGTGTTTGAGCATTTGGTTCGACAACTTGTGACTGAGCCTGGACAAGGGCTGTGTGCTTGGTTGAATAGACATCGCGACCGGTTGGACGGTTTGTTGCGACTTGCTGAACAGCGTTGTTGCGTCTGAATGAACGTGTGTTTGAACGTTCGGTTTGACGACTTGTGTGAAAGCCTGGACAAGGGCTGTGGGTTTGATCGAACCAGCTGTGTGGAAGGTCGATCGGATTTGTGCTTGGACGCGTGGTCGCAGTTCGAGTGAACGTGATTGATTCGAGCCGTGACAAAGGCTGAAAGCGTCGGTGTTGTTTGTTTGAGCGGAATGACCGTGGAGTGAAGGTCTGTTGCTGAGCGGGCAACGGTCTGCAGTGATTGGTTTTTTGTGCAGTTGGACGGGTGTCTCGGCTGTGTCGTAGGTAGTTGCCTCGACTGGTAGCTTGCTTAGCTTCTCAGGACAGGTCGCCGGTTGATTGTCGGCTGTTTGGTTGTTTCCTGTTTTGAATCCTGAGAATTGATCCCCAACGCCACGAAGAGGCGCAAGCTGTGTTGGGGGGCCAGGGTCTCTCGAAGAGTTCGTCATGCAGGCCACAGTGTTTGCGGTCTCCCCTGCTTACTATGACTCCCTAGCTGCCCACGGCGAAGGACCCGGGTGGGCTATGCCTTACGAACCGTGGGACTTTGGCCGGTGCTCCACCCTAGCACCTGGAGAATGGCCTAGGAAGCGGAGGTTGTCAAGCTCCGGCTTCCGGGGTGAGGTAAGTTGTCCATCTCAACCTCAATATCACTCGAGTGTCCAGCTCGGCGATTGACTGCATGCGCAGGTACGGTAACGGCTGGGCTGAGAACAGGCTGCTCAGGCGCTGCTCCCATCGCTCGCTGGGCATCCAAGACCCAGGGCGCCCACGCTGTTCCGTCCTGGAGCATCCGTGCGATCGGAGGTTCGACCCAGAAGAGAGGCCATTGCCACCAGGGACCCATGTTCATCCAACTGTTTTGACGACAGCCAGAATCCCACGGGTTTAACGCCTGGTAGGAAATGGTCTTCTGCTGTCCATCCTTCCATATCGTCACGTAGACGCCTTCAAGGTCCTTCGGTCTGGAATTGCGGAAAACAATGTCGCGCCATTTGACGCGCGCAAAGTTGACCAGCCATGGCAGAATGAGACCAAAAAATCCCACAGCCGCCAGGTAAGCTTTCTCCAGGCCACCATTCCGGCTCCTAACAGACAACTGCCAAGCGCCCATGCCGACCGAAAATGCCAAGTGAACAGGAATCCAAAAGAGAGCCCAAAGGTACGCCTTCTGGCTTCCAAGATAAACGGGTCCACAAAGACACGGACAAAAGTGATCGTAAACCGGCAAGCACCGGCCCACAGCCCTGCAGTGACGCGCCCTGTCCGGCTTGTCGATCTTGCAGAATTTGCACCAGCGGCGATCTCCGTTCCGTCCCTCAGCCTGGTAGATTGTGCTCGGCCCAGCGCTGTCCAGACGCAGGCGGCGCGCAGTCCAAAAGCGACAAAAAAGGAAGTAGCCGAGGGGTCCCACCCAGAGAAAAGAGAGGAGAGGAGGGAAGACCAGGAGAACGAGACCAAGCGTCGGAGAACGGTCGACGAGATCGCCCAAACTGTCGGCCACGTACAGCCCCATGTTCTCTCGCCATCCCCAACGGAAGGACAGCATCCCAGCGGACGAGCCCAGCAGGGAACCCAGGAGACCGAACATGAGAACGGAGTACGCGTAACGAGAGACGGCGGTGAGGAGACTGAAAGGCATGGTGACGGCGGGACGACTCGGAGAAGTGAAAACCGAGGAAAGAAACTGAAGTGAAGTTGGGCGTCTGCCTTTTATACCCAGAGGTGAAATGAATGCACCTGCCATGACCACAGGTGAAAATGCAACCTGGCCATTGGTTCTCACTTCACTTCGGCAGCAGCATCCTACAACTGGAAGTGACATCGTGGCACACAAGCAGCGGAACCATGGTTCACATCATCAAGTGAGAGCAGGTGAGGGAAAGATCGCCGAACTGGAAGTGAGGCAGCAGGCGCTGGATACAGTGTCATTCTGCATTGCTACTGCCTTTTTGTCACCACGCCTGCATCCGTCATCATCAACCCTGCTACGATTCCCGACTTCATCCCGATATAGGCTTCCGTCTCTTCTTCGCCTCCATTCAGACTTTCTCTCGCAGCAGCTCCAAGCTGCATAAACTCGTGCCAAAGATCCAGCTCGGCGTTCGGACTACGACTCATCGCCCACGAGACGAGACCCTCCACGTCCGCCACCGCCTCTGCCAGTGCTCCGACATTGTCCTGCTGCTGCTGCAGGTGCAGGAAGCCGTTGATATCACACGCAATGACAGCGGTTGCGTGCGCGATGTGTGCGTCAAGAGCGGAGTCAGTGGTGCCGGGAGTATGGGTGAACGATGTGAAGAGATGTTGTAGCGCGGGATGCTCGTAGACGCGGGAATTGCGACGGATGGCGAGGTGGAGCCAATGCTGTAGTCGGACCTGAGATGAGTGGTGGGCGTTTGTTGGAGAGGGAACGGAGCGGGAACGGTTGAAGACGCGTTGACGCTTGCGAGCGGGCTGGGAGAGAGGCGTTGAGGGGGTGGAGTGGGGTGGCAAGGAATCTGTTGGTTCACGGATGCTGGAGGTAGAGACAGAGTGGGTGCAAGAGACTCTGTCCATACGGTAGGAGTCTTCCACTGTAAGGCCCTCGGACGGAGGTTTGCTTGAATGGCATTCCGGAGACAAGTGTCCTGCAGAATGGTCTTCGACAAGATGGTCTTGGTTGGGCTGCTTTTCCGCAATACGGTCGTTGACGGGATGGTCCTCGGTTGGATAGTTGCTGAAAGGATGGTCACCGTCATGGTTTTCGACGGGAGAATTCCCGATCGGGGTGCTTCCGACGGGGCAGTCATTGGCTAAGTTCTCAATCTCCAACTCGTCAGGGAAAATGGGCATCGGCCACGATGACTGGCTAGCACCCAGATCCCACGACACAAGAGAACCTTCAATGGAATTCATGTCAGCAAAAGACGAAACCCTTTCAGAAACTTCCATGCATACCTTTTTCCGAAGGTACCGATTCTGGGACGGGAGAATCGCCTGGGCTCACTGGCAAACTCAAGACATGGCGAAGAAAACGGGTGGCAGCGGGCGTATCCGGAACTTGTACGAAATGGAGTTGGGACGATAGCGCATATGCGGGTGGCGTTGTGGCTGGCGGTGGGCTCTTCTCGTAGGCAGGAGTTTCATTGTCTGAGAGTCTGGGTGGAACAGTGCCTTTTCCTTGTTTCCGCCTCGTGCCCTTCACCATCTCCCGTGTGGCGATCATGGCGCTACGGCCATCGTAGAGTGTGCGAAACTCTTCGGGCGGTAGAAATTGCAAAGGCTCACGCAGGGCAGCATCGAGGACGGCAAGACCCATGTCGGCGTAATTGCTGATTCCCATGTACACGACGAACTCGCGGGTTTCTGCAAGACAGAAAAGTCCAGACAGCAGGTCAAGCGCGGTGTCGGAAGTTGCGACAAAATTTCCTTCATTCTTATGAGGTGTGATGACTTTGGATGTATCTTCAGACAGATTGATTTGTACACGGTGCAGCTTGCCAGAGCGCGAAAGACGCGCCTTGCATATCGCATCACGAACCGAAGTCTCTTGAATGCCAGTAAGCGTGATACTACGCCTCTCGAAGTGCGATGTGTGCAGCGGGATGACAAGATCGAAAGGGCGGGACTTGGCCCGGCCTCCGCCTTTGACGGTGACGGCGATCCGCAGCAGCGCGAGGACCTTGCCCTGCTCGAGGAAGACGGTGAACATTAAGCTGGGGTCGGAATCATTAATTGGTGTCGCGCACCCCAGCCCACACGCTTCGCCGCTCTCGTTCCGCCACTCCACCACCGCCCTCTCGACTAATGTCTCCTTCGCCATATTGGGGACCTGGTGAAGGTAGTCAGCGCTACAAACAGTCATGATACGAACCCATCCCCCGCTTCTCAGCAGGATCCCGCCCGCCCAGGCTTCTGAACAGTGTCTGTTTTAGGCAGCCCTGACCTATCTGTGCGCGCGACTCCAAACCCACTCTTCCGAAGGACAACCACCGGAAAAGGCAAGGGGCAGTTCTGAACCGTGCCGGAGAACTGCCACCGATGGGTGAGATCGGGGCGGTTCTGGGCGTCTGATCGGAGGACCGCCACCAACCTAGGGCCTTGTGGGGTCGTTCTGGGTCGAGTGGAGGGATTGAAGAGGACGGCGACTGAAAGGGTCAGCGGGCGCGTAAGGGCGTGGGAGCGGGGTATATGTACCAGTGAGCAGCGGTGCTGGACAAGCAGGCACGGCGGTGTTGAGTTGAAGAGGCGCGTTAAACTCCAGCGATGGGTTGTAGAGTACGGTGATGATGTTGGCGCGTAGAGGATGCGTTGACGTTGGACGTTGGACGCGTTGTGCACAGACTTTGTCCCGTGACTTGCGAAAGCGGACGACATGACTCAGATTACATAGTCCGTGCAGAACCCGCATCATGGCGGCCGACACGCCACCAACGCCGACGACATCTCCATCCCGCTGCATCACAGGGCGGCACTTTGCTTCATTTTCACCTCTTCATCACTGCACAATCTTATGCATTGCAGCCTACTGCATGCTTCCAACCCATGTCTCGCCGCCATTTTGCGCATCCTTACGGAAAACAGCGGTATTCTGGTTTCGCCTTCCCACTTTAATACAACAAACGGACGGCGGAGATGTGCATCCAAGGCCAGCAATCCGGACTTTGATTGAATCAAGGAGCCCTCCCGTACGTGGCCGTTGATTTTGCGAACAGAATTTCGTGCGGCCGGCCGATGCCAGAGACCTGTACCTTGAAATGTGCGGCATCATGATCTGAGAAGCAACGTCTGGTCGACAAATCCCGACAGCCTTCGTAATGCGTTCGGGTGGCCTTATTACTGACGGAGCAAGCGTTGAAATGCATCAAAAGCTACCCATAGAGAAGAGCTTACAGTACATTGACTAGTCAGGCTCATATGTTCGGTACCTGTAAGAAGCAAACCTTGACGGGTAAAGCAGGTTCCTGGGCGACATTAGGCCTGACTATAAAACGTATCTTCCCTTCGATCGCTGAGCCTTCAGTTTGGCTACTACACCTTTGTCCAATCAACGGCAATCCGCACACTTTCAACGCCAGCGAAACCCATGCGCACTACCCCGAAAGGTCTTAGCCAGCCTCTCGGTTGCAACTGACAACAAGATGGCAGTCTTCATCTGATGAGCGGAGGGCTGCGTTTCAACAACTCTTCCGTACCGGCGAGCCCACTGTCGGTTGTTTGGGATGCTTCAGCAAGAAGCTGGCTGGCTCCACTGTTTCTGTTCTTCCGTTAGGAAAACCCGATCTCATTCTGTATCAATCTTCATCAGTCTCGTTGTTTCTCCCTCCTAGTACTACATTTTCCTTTTCATTCAACCATGTCGACAAAGAAAAGACAATGCGAAACCCCTCAAGGCGACACACCGTCTCCGAAGCGCCACCTCCCTGACCAGAATGACGAGGAAATCAAGATGCGGTATTCTTCTCTCGTCAAGCAGACATCAAGCACTTCAGCGTTGCCTACCGCCCAGCCCTCTGGTCCAAACACGCCTGGCATTTCTCCTACCGTCACTGTTGACACTCATGTCAGCGTCGGCACGACCAACACTCTTGACAGGGCCAGGCAACAGTGATGCCTCTACCGCCGTTGCTGGTACTCCCACCAGAGACGCCACGACCACCGTTTCACTGCCATTGACGCGCAACAACGTGAGCGGCACTGTCTTCTCCCCCTTCATCTCTGCTAGTACTTTCTACAACGCCAAGATGCCCAGCCTCCCGTCGTCACCGGCGCACAACGGTGCTGTCAAGATCGACGTCTATGTCAACATTGTCATCAGTGGCAGCAACACAACCAGCCCCACCACCCCCACCACCACGGCTGCCACAACCGCCGTCGCGTCGGACAAACTCCTCTTGGGATGTCTACACCATGCTCCCTTCCGCAAGCGCCAACCTCGCCACTACCATTGGCATCAACAGCATCAGCTTTCTTGCCAGCAGCAGCACCAATTCAGGTTTTGAAGATGAGGTTTGCCCACGCCTCTTCCGTCGCCCGTACCGGGCCAAGTCGGCTCCAATCGCTACAATCGAGATTCCTCAAGACTCTTCTAATCGAATGAATGTCCAAATCAAGTCAACCACACCCAGACCAGCACGTAAGCGCACAAGAAGCTCAATTCTGACCACATCAACATCGTGACATTATCAGCGGGTCAGGATCGAGGGTCCTGGTAGTAACGGGAGAGGAGGGACATCTCAGAGAGGATAACCCCGGATTGGGATGGGAAGGAGACTCGGGTGGACTATGTCACCCACATTGCGAACCATCTGGTCCTCAGGTGGATGGCGGCCGAGGGATCAACACGTGCAACCACCATCACTATCGCAACTACTGCTCAGAGATGGATCATAACTTCTGCTTATTTCGCATAAGCTATAATTGTGGCCTCCTCCCCGACCTGAGCAACAGCTACTTCAGCGAAGCCAGCCTCTTGCAGAGGCCACCGCGCGGACGCGATGAATACAACCGTACCTCTATCAATGATGGTAGTTGCTGTGGTTTTTAGCGTATGCTGATTGGACGAAAAAGAGCACTCTGCTGTCTAGTAGCGGATCCAACTAATCAGCATGTGGCCAAAATTCGATATACTAACTACCAACCTTACTGAATATGACGCCACATGTGGATAAAATCGCTTACAACAGCCTATTAGTAGTAGTTATGTAGCTAGGTGACGCCGTATTATCGACACTGACGTCTAAAACAGTCGTGTAGTGAGGTGGGGGCAGCGCACCACGAGACCTTAAGGGTTAGTAGCGGATCAGCATATTACCACGAAGCGGAGTCCGAAGCGTATCAATGAGCTCAGCTCCAACCCTGAATTCAACATGGTATGACATTGGAGAAGTATATTAAGAGGCATTTACCTCTTTTTCCGCCTTCGTCATTTGAAATTCAGTTTTATAGTTCTCCTACTACCCTTCTTCAAGATGCGCTTCTTCCAGGTCCTCTCTACTGTGATGACCTTTATGAGCGTTGCCCAATCATTCGGCTATGCTCCAGGACCACTAGACACCTCTGGACTCCCGGAGTGTATGGTAAATAGAGCCTGATAATAATATCTTAGGTCTGCCAAGTGGCTGAACTACAACAGGCACAATGTATGCGAAGTAATGAAGATTTCTACGATATCTCGAAATCAACAGCCAGAAAGTTCTGTGAAACAAACCTAAATAGAGTCTCACAATTTATAAGGAATCGTATCATTCCTTGCGCCGACCAGGAATGTCCAAATGAGCAGTGGGTTCGTGACGGTAGGGACTCTTACCTTTGACTTGCTACGTATATGCTAACCTTCATTAGCAAACCATAAATGGTGGCGTGATACCTGCGGACGTAGTACGATAGACTAGGGTATCATCGTATTGGTAGATCTGTCTGGTGGAGTCTATTCTAGCATTCGACGTGGTTGCTCGCGATGAAAATGTTAAGTGTGGAAATTTTTGCGAGAGCCAAGCTTACCAGCACAATCAAAGGACCAAATACAATTCTTCTTATTGGTTTAGGCTTGACCTTCACCTCCGGGGAGTAGATCTGCCTTACTTCAGCATCGAATCGCGCACCTATCAAGCTGAAATTACGCAGACGCACATGTACGAGCCAGGACCAAAGTGTGATAAATGGCACCTTCAGCCGGAGTTGTGATGCTGTGCGTGGATTCATCCAGAACAACAAGCAGATCTATATCGCTTCCAAGTCAAAGACCTATTTCCTTCTATTATTGCTGCCTGGCTGTATGTCAGCTTACATGCAAGGAGAGACCAAAAAGCATGACACCAAAAGGAAAGAATGCGGGGAGTGAGACTAGCGGAAAGTTAAAGCTACTGCGCGTACACAAATGACATTTTGAAGTTGGTAAGCTGAGGTGCCTAGGTCACTTCGTTGTTAGCTTATATTCCAACGATATAAGCGCTTCACATAATGTACTTTTATTGGTTCATATCTGCGTCGCTAATGCACCTAAAATGCTAGTGCGCGGATGAGAATCTCACTTCATGCTTTTCCAGAGGTCGGAAGCAACGACGATACAAAGGAGCTGAAGCGGGGCTCGTCTATAAAATCAACGTCCAGGCGCTCAAATGAGAGAGCATCAACAGCTCTCAACTCGACACTTCTGTACAATGCACTTGAATCTTGCTACTGTTCTCGTGGTTCTAGTCACAGGCACCTCGCTGGTTGTCGCAGCTCCAGCTGATGCGAACGCCAATGCCCCTGTCGGGAAAAGGTTTAACTGGGAAGGGGTTAGTAGCAACTCAAGCTCCGTTTATGTTACTCTGTATTTTAAACCCAGCTAACGTTCCGTTTCTGTCCACAGAAGTGCAACGGAACCTCCTGCAAGATCGGCCTTATCAATTACAAGTGCACACGCGGATCGGTATGTTCATCGGACCTTTACTTCATAAGTTTGTTTTTGCCATAAAGAAATCTGCTGAAGTTCTTGCAGTGCGTTGGGCCCGGAGGTGGCGATGGAAAGAGGTGCTACTCGAGCGGGTCTTTGGCTCAGGGGCCGTATATCTGCCCTGGCGGCTAGTCGCAGGCCGAACGTATCTGATTTCTGAGAGAGAATATTCATCATTCTTAGGGTTTGGCAAGATGGGGTGAGGAACTAAGGGCCATGTAGCTAACTGTCGCTTCATTCGGGTCATTGGGGGTTGAATCCTACACACTGATCTATAAACCATTCAGTACACAACCAAAAACCTTAACTCTTCCGTGAAGGTAGAAAGGCAGACCTTTGACGTGTTTTAGGTGCATACTACTTAGGCTGTTGGAAGTAGTATATCACCACGGGTAGTAGTCGCCAGGTAGCTACAATGGCAACATGATTCGAGAATACCAGAAATTTCAGAATGGTACAACCACATACATTTGCAAGAGCGCGAAGGTATGCTGTAATAGGATGAAGAGAGAAATATGCGTGGGCACGGAGGTGTTCAGAAGGAGTTGAAACCATGGACCTTCAAAATGCGAGGGCATCCCATAAAGGTATGAATAGCAAATGCCACGATGGAACGTGAGTAACCAAGAGTGTACGAGGGTACAGATATACAACAGCGTGAGGGCATCCCATAACAGTACAAAGGGAAGGAGAGCGAGAAACACAAGGACTTCCAAATATATACAGGATTATGAACGTACAAGAGCTTGAGTGTATCCTACATAGGTACGAAACGAAAAACATCCGAGGGTACTAGAATGTTCGAAAGGGTACAAGGATATGGATATTCAAGAGCGCGAGGATCTACTGTAGGAGTACAAGGAAGAAAACGACCGCTGGCACAAGAGCGTTCAAAAAGATACAACAACACCGGTCTACAAGAGCTTAAGGGCGTGCCAGAAAGGTACGAAGGTGCGGAATAGAAGGAAGGAAAGGCAAGCCATATATCTTCAGTGTAATACCACGAGTAATAATGAGGTTGTTTGAGGAAACTGCAGCTACATTGAGCCTGGGTGTAGGGTCGTGCCTACCATACACAGAGGACTGTGTCAGCTGAGATCTGTTCTCTTTCTTCGTTTTCTTCCTCTTTTTCTTCTCTCTTCGGGCCACCGACATCGCACGCACGCACGCAAGCACGCAAGCAAGCAAGCACACACACACCCTCTCTCCCTCTCTCTCCATCTCTCTCTCTCTCTCTCTCTCTCTCTCTCTCTCTCTCTCTCTCTCTCTCTCTCTCTCTCTCTCTCTCTCTCTCGCCATGGTAAGCCTAATCTCGATCCGAGAATGCATATGTTGTGTATGTACAGTAGCACTAACAAATTTATAGGATAAGGGCGGGTCTGGCACGGCGCCGTGGGTGTCGTTTGGGTTGTTGATGCCGTTGTTGCTGGCCTTCTAATGGCTGAGCGCAAAGTGGTTGCTGTACGCCGTCCAACGCAAATGCATTCATCCGTATGAGGATACCCTGTTAACGTCCGGTCCCTTGTAGCCAGCAGCGCCGCCGCGCGCGCGGTGGCCGTCAGGGGCCTCCCCCTCGGCACCATGACCACCCCCGCCTTCGCCCCGGCCTCACCCCGCGCCGCCGCCGCCGCTACTGCTACTGCTGCTACTGCTGCTACTGCTGCTTTTGCTGCTGCTACTGCTCCTTCTCCTGCTGCTCCCGCCGCTGCTGCTGAGGAGGGTGCCGCTGCCGCTGCCGCTACTGCTACTGCTACTGCTACTGCTACTGCTGCTCCCGCCACCGCCGCCGAGGCCGAGGATGAGGACGAGGACGAGGCCGCCTAGGCGGCAGGCAGGCAGGCAGGCAGACAGACAGACAGACTGGCTGGCTGGCTGGATGGATGGATTGATGGATGGATGAATGGATGAATGGATGAATGGATGGATAGATGGACGGATGGACGGACGACAGCGCGCGCGTTGTGCGCAGTAGTATAGTTTGCTCAGTATTTTTAGACCACGACGACGAAAGACACCTTTTTTGACCGCGAGGCAACGAAAAGAAAAGAAAAATAAAATAAAATAAAATAAAAAAAATGAATTGAAAGTGAAAAGATGTATATTGTCAAAGACATGTCGTCCAACCCCCCACGAACCCACCCAACACCGCAGCCAATCAAACGCGCCCAATTCCCCAATTCCCCACGAAACAAGCCCGCCCATCGGCCCGTGCGCGCGCACTACAACCCCGCACCCGCGCGCCCTGCCAGTGACAAGCAACCTTCAACGGCGATGACGGAGCCACCACCAACCAACAGGCGTCGCGCCCACCTTCCCCGCAAAGCCCGTCCCTAGCCGCGAGGAGATGCCGAAATCGGCGCGGGGCGCGGCCTCTTAAGGTCTTCGCGGGCCGGAGTCATCGTCGTCGTACAGTACCTACCTACCGTATCTACCTTTGCGCTACAGTACAGGACAGAGCAGGCACACCTACCTACCTACCTAACTACCTACCTTGGACGACACGAGACTAGCGCCACCATGACAACAACGCGCGCCCCCCGCCCCATCATCGCCGTAGTCGGCGCCGGCGTCGTGGGCATGGCCTCCGCGCTACTGCTCACGGAAGCAGGCTACACGGTGAAGATCGTAGCGCGGGACCTGCCAGGGGACAGTGGGACGGAGTGGGCGAGTCCGTGGTGCGTAGCTAGCGTCAACCGCACGCCCTCCCAAAAACGCACACAGCAACCAGTGACTGACGCACACACAGGGCCGGCGCGCTGCTGGCGCCCTTCCCCGAAGGCGACGCCGCGATGCAGGAAGAGTCGCTGCGCCACTACGCGCGCCTCGCGGCCACGGAGCCCTGGTGCGGCGTGCGCACGCTGCCGATTACCGAGTACTACGACGACCACACGACAGACGGCATGATCTGGTTCCGGCACCTCTTCCCGGACTTCCGGTGGCTGGCGCAGTCCCAGCTGCCCGGGCACGCGAAACTCGGCTTCAGCTACACGGGCAAAGTCGTGAACCCGACGTTTTTCCTGCCGTGGCTGTCGGCGAAGCTGACGGGGCTGGGCGTGACATTTACGCGGGCGACGGTGTCGTCGCTCGCGGAGGCGGTGCAGCTCACCGGCGCGGCGGTCGTGGTGAACGCGAGTGGGAACGGTGCGCGAGTGCTGGCGGGCGATGAGGGCGCGGTGCCCGTGCGGGGCCAGACGATGTTTGTGCGGAAGAGCGGGTTCGACCGCGCCGTCATGTACCAGGGCTCCGAGTACACGTACGCGATTCCGCGGACGTTTTCGGGGGGCGTGATTATTGGCGGGGTGAAGGGGGAGGGGTCGACGGATGCGAAGGTCGACAAGGACACCAAGAGGGATATTTTGCGCCGGATTAATGCTATTACGGATGGCTCGTTTGCGGACGTCGATCTCGAGAGGGATGTCCAGGATATTGTGGGGTTTAGGCCGGGCCGCAAGGCTGGCGTTAGGGTCGAGAGGGAGGGCGATGTCGTGCATGCTTATGGCGCGGGGGGGCTGGGCTATTTGTATGCGTTTGGCATTGCGACGAAGGTGCGGAGTTTGGTGCAGGCGCGGGCGAAGATATGATTGTGAAAGAGGGGGGCTGGTTGGTATAACTGTTTCGTTTTGTTGCGAGCGTTTAGAAGTCAAAAAGAGGAGTGTGTCATTGCCATTGGGGCGTCGAGAATTATTTCTTTATTTTTCTTCAAAGAAGCACTGCGTTTGGTTGGTCGTTAACCTCAGCTTCTGCCGATCTCGGAGGCCAACCCAGTAAGTACATACTCTACTTCCCCAGACGCCTCACTCGACCACCTCCTCATCATCGTTGCTAACCGTGCTCGTCCCGCCAGCCCCACTCTCACTAATCACCTGCGTGGCAACCACAGCTCCGGAATCATCGCTATAAACCAAGCACACGACGCTCAGGCCGGGGAAGGGGTGGTAAACGTAGCCACGCTCGTGGACCTCCTTGCCATCTCTCTCCGTCGGCGTATCCAGCCCATTAAACACCATCAGCTGGTCATAGCTGCCCACGACCTTCTGGCCGTGCATCTCGCCACCGTTATCCAGCATCTCGTCGACGACGTCTCCCCGCTGCGTGAGCACGCGGTTCGTGTGCGTGTTCCCGCTGTAGTCGTTGACCGAGTAGAGCACGCCATGGCGTAGGTTATACGAGGTTGCATCTCGCGCTTCAAGGCCACTGGCAGCAGCAGCAGCAGCAGTCGACGACGACGAGCTCGACGCCGACCCCGACCCCGACAGGCCGGCCGCGGTATCGTTGACCAGGCCGCCCACGGCGTCGCCCACGGTCGCAATCACGGGATTCAGATCGATCGAGTCGAGCACATTCCCGACCATGGATACCAGGTTCGCGAGGCGCGCCTCCAGCAGCACTTCCGCAGAGATGTTCTGCAGCAGCAAGCTGACGCGGTCGATGGACGCGTCGACGCCCGCGTTGAAGCTGAGCAGGTCCAGCACTTGCGCGTCGAGGTTCACTTTCGCGGTCAGGTTCTGCACTTGGATGTCGATTTCGCCGACGTGCACGCTGGCGTTGAGGAAGACGTCCGGGGGCGGGTAGGTCGTCGAGACGTTGGCGGGCGTGGAGGCGGTCTCGTAGATGGCTGAGTCCGGGTCGCCGCGGTGCGTGAGCTTGTAGCCGATGTAGCCGGAGTCGGAATCGGATTGTGCGGCGACGACGGCGGCGAGGGGGACGAGGAAGAGGAGGAGGTGGTGTGGGGAAGGCATTGTGGTTGGTGGGGGTGGGAATGAGGGTTGCGATGGCGCGGATGCGCGCAGTGGAGGGCTCGGACTCGTTTTGAGCACACCTAGCACAAACCCCCGGCTTGCAGAGCTTAGCGTAAGCCCCAGCCAGAAAACAGGTACGTACGTGGGAAGGAAAACGGGGAGCAACAAAATAAAAAGAGGGAATAAAAACCGGCGAGCAAGCAGAGAAACAGGAAACATAACACGAGCGAGCTATAGCCATATAGCTATATCGCTCCTCCATTAACGCCTCCCCACCAGGCATCTAGCCAAGTTTCTGCAGGCTCCGGGATGGCGCGGGTCCCGCATGAGGCATTTGCGCCGGTGCCTTGGAAGGGAAGCCAATGCGCTGAAACGCGCCGCCGGCGGAAACGGCCTGTTCGAGAATCTAGATCGCGCTTGGTCCCGCGTCCCCGGATTTGCTTGGTTTATTATGACGGAGGGGGCCGGCGCGCTGGGCGTGTGTGGGCTTGTTTGTGCTGTTCTTGCGCCTTGTTCAATTGCTCCCTCTCTCTCTCTCTCTCTCTCCTCTCTCCTCCTCTCTTTCTAGCAGCCTGTCTCAGCACAAGCACAAGCACCCGCCGCCACAGAAACAATGCTGCCACTCGCGCGCAGCAGCCTGCTCGCGCTCTGCTGCATCCTCTTCAGCACGCTCAGCGCGGCGCAAACGGCCACAGCACCAGCACCGGCCTCCAACGCCGCGACGACGACGTCCGCAAGCCCCACCTCATCACCCTCTTCGTCCTTCGCAACCGCCTCGGCCTCGCGCAACACCACCACCACCACCGGCCGCACGAGCACCACCTCCAGCAGCGCATTCGACCCCTCGGCCCCGCCCGACGTCTACCTCAACGTGCCGCGCCTGCACGTCGGCCGCATCGAGCTGGACGTCGACGACCTGCGCGCCGACATCAACCTGAACGCTGTCGTGGCGCGAGGGCTCGTGAGCATAAACGCGGGGGTGGCCGTCAGCGTGCAGAAAGTGAACATCACGATCGCAGACGTGGACGCTGAGCTCGAGCTGGTTGTACGACTGGGCCATCTCGTCGACATTGTGAACCGCGTCTTCGACAGCCTGGACCTGAACCCCCTGCTCATCAGCACGGTCAGCAACGTCACCAGCATCCTGGACGACGTAGTTGTCGGCGCCGTCGACGGCCTGCTCGGCAGTGTCACGCAGGGCGGCACGAAGCTGTCGTTCTTGGTTGACAATCTCGGCAATATCGTCCAGGAGGTGACGGGCGGCGCGGATGGCGCTGTCAGCTCGATTGTCGGGAACTACAAGGCGAATATGACGGAGACGGGCGCCCAGCAGAGCTTGGGCGACGGGTACGTCAAGAAGACGTTTTCGTACTCGCCGCTGAACGCGCTCGTCGACATTGTGTTTGATTCCGCGGGGAGGGTCGTGCAGGCCGTGGTGCAGGGGAAGGGGGGGAGCGGCGGTGGTAGTGGGAGTGGGAGTCAGACGAGTTCGTCGGCCGCGGGGACGAGTACGGTCGGGGGGACGAGTACGCCTGTTGCTAGATAGATAGGGTGGGTTTCAGGGAGTAGGCGGGCAGTGGGATGGGTTTTAAATCCTCGCCGAAGTAACCACCGCTCCCCGGACATGTTTTTTACATAGCTGCGAGCGCACAATCTCGCTTCATAGGCACAGATGCTAATTGGGTAGAGCTTGATTAGGCTGGAAGTTATGAAACCTATCCAGTGTTTCTCGGCTGCGAAACATTCTGAAAGGCAGGCTATCGCGTGTCTGAGGACGGCTTATGTACCCTTTTTCTGGTTCGGTGTCTCGGTTCCGGAAGACCATCTGAAATCCCGGTTGTTGTACGTTCTTGGTTCATTATCCTGGGATAAGTATTGCTTTGCTTGGCTTGAGGAGAGGACCTGGAGGTTTTGGACAAATGTAAATATGGATGCAGACTCTTTTTCTTGGGACATGTTGCTCACCAAAGAAGCTTTAATTCCGTCTGCGCTACAATCACAGTTTGGAGTAGGCGACGAAGCAAGAGCAGCAGTTACAGCGGCATTAAAGTCCGGTATAGCTCGCACAGCGCCGAGCGATTCCCCTCGGAGATGCTGCGCAGGAGCCTCATCACCGTCGGCACCAGTGCTCATGGCCAGCTTAAGGCCTGCCGCCTTGGCGTGCGCCTTTTCCGCCCCCGGATCCCTTGCTGTGCGCAAGCTGGCGTATTGGAAGTAGAAGCACACGGTTAGAACCGAGAGAAGTACCGTCACCGCCAACGTAACCGGCAAGTACGCTTTGCGGGGCAACTGAGTAAACTCGAAGATTTCCTTGTCCAGCTCTGTCAGCAACATGGGCTACGTCATGGAAAAGAGCACAGGTCGAAACAACACTCACCGCAAATGTCCCGGCGGGGAGGAAGAGCGCTGTGATGCCAGCCATGGCTAATGCTATCGTCCCATTCCTTTCCGTTTTCTCCGAGAGGGCCTGCATGTCTCCCGTTATGTCCCGTGTCGCTTTCAACGCCTCGTTGGCCGCATCCGCTGTATCGTTTTGTTTCTGTAGCAATTCGTGCTGCTTTTGGAGCACTCGCTGAATCGTCAAGCTTGTTTTCAACCCGTCGAATCCGATGTCTAGCTGTACGCCCTCCGCGACGCTAGCGTGCAAATAGTCCGCGCGTTCCCGGAATCGCTGGTACACCAGGCGGTATCCTTCATTCCTTGATTCGATCGCATCCAGATATTGGAGGCAACTGTCTCCGATCTCTTGCGGTCGGCTTCTCAAGAACCTTAGTAAGTTCGTCACGGCTGTTATTTGGAGCCTTTGGCACGTTATGCGGCCGTCGAGATCGGTTGACGTGCGCCTACGGTAGTCAATTACGAACTCTTTCGATGAATCTGTTCGTAGGTTTTGGAAAATAGAATATAGCGTTTTGGAAATGTAGTATCGGTCTTCACACATTTCGGCATCTTGAGAGGAAACTCCGACTCCGAACTGTGCCATAGCTACTAAAGGAAGAAGAGGATTACCGATCATCTTGGCGAGGCTTTTGAGATTCCGAAGATACCTGTCACTTCTCTCTTTGCGGTCTAGCACAGTCCCAAAGATTGACTGGGTTTTGTGATAGTACCTGTACGAAATGAGAGTTGAGCAGTTGATTGTGATTGCAGACCTGCAATGTATCACTGAATAACGTTAGCGCGAGTGAAAAGGCACTCAGAGAGTAATTTCTATGTGCTCACCGAAATCATCTTCATCAAGAGGAATCCGTAAGCAGTAGGTAGACATCTGTGGAACTTGACTGTACATTGCGAGTTCTGGAGGAAGCCCGTGATGACCAACGATCTTCTTGAAAGAATCCTGCGAAGTATACATCGCATTTTCTCCGGTGTGAGTTGGTACAAAACTGCCACCCAGTCTATTAGTATACTTCAATGGGCACACAAGGAGCTTATATGAGCTTTTACTAACACGAGCCTGATAGAGGGGCCGCAGGAAAGAGGTGTTTCAAGCCAGCTATCTAGCTCACTTTCAGCGACCACTCCGGTTTGGAGTTCATTCCGGTTTTCCTGCAGGAGACGATGAATTTACTTGTATTACGTTTAACGCCGATGCACTCACCTCATCTTGCCAAAAGTCTGCATAAGAGACGCTAGCATAGGAAGAGGGATCCGTTGCATCATTCGGCTCCGGAGGGGGTGAGGTATCGACCGCAGTAGTGGTGGTTGCTTCTGAGGTGGATTGGTCAGAAGGGCTCTCGTTGGGAAATGTCAGTGACAGGCTTGCGGTCGTATTTTCTACGCTTGTAGGGCAATGTAGTGCTTCCACGTGGTTTTCTTGGTCCGGTGTAAAGCTGGAATCTACGGTTACTGTTTCCTGGTGTAGACTTGCCTGAGGCGTTGAAGATGGGGTCCTTTGGCGGTCCATCCCTACATACGTTGAAGAAACACTTGACAGCGATGCTGAACTGGCTTCCAGATGAGTGGATGGCCTAGAAATCCCATGGAACGATGATCTATCCACTGTCAAAGTAGAACCCGGCCTCTCGCTGTTGACATTTTTCGCCGCTTGTTCTGGCTTTGGGCGGGACAGTGTAACCTCTTGGGTTTTTATGTTTCGATAGTAAAGCTGGCCTGAACGAAGTTTTTAAGTGGTCGCTCAAACAGGAATAATGATGGACTGACCTGCGGGACTTGTACATGCTTCCCAGCCTCTTGGTATTGGCTCCGCGTCTTCCTGCTGAGATTGGATGACCTGTTGAAGCTTGTTGGACAATTTTCCTTGAGGCATGAGTGCAGGAGGATCTCCGTGCCTGAAATCAGGTCTTTCTGCACTGGGATCAAACAGATAGGACTCGTAAGTTTCGTCTTTCATTGTGAATTGATCGGATGCAGAGAAGGTTTGAAGATTGATGGAATTCAGATGGTGACGCCGGCTTCGACGAGAATCTCCGTATCGTTTTTGTAGGCAGCAAAGCACAGCCTTCCAAAGACGGAAGCGTGAAGAAGGCGCTAGAATAATGGGGTAGAATACCACACGGCCATTTGACAGTGACAGTGCTTCATCGGAGACCTATACAAGGTTGGAGGCTAGATATACCGCTTTCAGCTGCGCATTGGCGGACAGATAAGGCAGACACGCGTGTCAAACCATCATTGTTCGATGCAGGCGCACACAAGGCTGAGAGCATTAGAAGAACGGCCTCAGACAGATGCTTAACCCCCAAAGGATCGATATAGTTGACAAAAAACCGGAGAAATTAGAGACAAGGCTGTGTAAAGTGCACCATACCCCATAGACAATGGATAGGCCAAGTTCAAGGTTAATCGTATTGTATGACAGCGAGCGTGGGGTTTCATCGTCAGCCACGTTAGACGCAGGAGGCGACACATGACTAAGTGCGCCGTAAGCAGCCCTTGCAGCCGCAACGAATGAGCTCGTTTCGGGTATGGAAGCATGCAGCTACCGGTCAACCCCACCAAATTTAAAACCTGTAATAATTTTGGAAGAAAAGAGGATGGCAGAAGGTTATAGGGGGAGGTCTCTCTTCCATCAAAAACTTCAGCGATATTTTGTATGTTGGTCGCTGCTTGCGCTCAGTTGAAGTTGGCTTGATTCCTCACCTGGAACGAAGCACTCTTGTGCTACTTGCCTTCTAGTTGCCCTATAGTAGACCGATACAGCAATGCCTTCCTTACTTAACCACAAGACCAACCTGTCGGCTTAGCGCAAGCCTGGAAGTAAATTGGTTGTCTCGGGATTTTCTGACATGATGCGGCAACTTGCTGGGTGGCATGAGCCTGTAATGTAGATTTTGAAGATTCTAAGAGAAATGAAAAGGAGTCCCTATGCTGTTATTTGCCGACTGAGTGTGACGTGAGCGACGATAGATGGACAGGAGGTGACTACTATCAACGTTAGCAAAACCCAGCACTCTTATGCCATCAAAAAGCACTTCATGAAGACCAACCCACCCGCACTCATCGAACCCTTAAACATTACCAACTCGATCCTACCATTACCTCCACATCACTGCAAGGCTTTCTTCTCTGTTGCCTCTCTCCCCTGTTCTCCACGCCCCACGTCCGTGACAATGGTGCCCAGGATCCAGCAGTTGATCAGGAAGAACACGATGCTCGAGGCCCACAGCCCGGGGACGAACGTCGAGTTCCCCAAAAACTCGAGCTGGTAGCCCTGCTGGAGCCACAGCGCCTGCAGCACGGTATCAGTCAGCTTCTCTCCGTTCCTCCGACTGGAGATCTGGTGTCTACGTACCTGGCCAACCACCCACAACGCCGCGGCAGCGAGGCCCTTGGTCGGGTTGCGCAGCAGCGAGGACTCCGGCAGGTAGAACGGCAGGAAGACGAGGTACCACAGGAAGTACTGGGACGCGTCAGCAGAGAGTGCGGGGAGCCGCGGGGGCGGGGGCGGGGGCGGGGGCGGGGAGCATCAACCTGGCTCGTGCAGACTTTGTTGAAGGTGACGAAGGCGAAGGTTTGGGCGAGGAGGGTCGAGGGGAGGTCTTTCTTCGCGAGGGCGAGGGGGATGGCCACGGTGCTGAGGAGCAGCTGCGGCACGAAGGCCAGGGATTCGAGGCGTAGAGAGGAAGAGCCTTGTGGAGAGGAGTTCAGGTACAGCAGCGTGTTGTAGGGCGAGAAGTTGTGGCGATGGTCAATCCGTGTGACGTGGTGGAGGTAGGTGTGTTGCAGAAAGGGGAATCCGTAGCTTATGGGAGGTGGGCGTTAGTGCGGCAGACAGGCGGGGAGAGGTATGGATGGGTTTTACGCACGCGTAGTACATGAGAACATTGCAGGCCATAAATGTGGCCAAGCTGTACACGGCGAGGATGATGCGCTCTTTATTGAAAAAGGCCAGGATTTTGGACTGCACCGAAGCTGACTTGCTGTCACCGCTGGGGCTGGGCTTGCCCAGACGCTCATTGTCCAACCACCAAACAATAGCAGGAGCATAAATGAAGGGATAGATTTTGAAATGAACGGAAAACCCGAGCAGGAACCCAGCAAGCTCGATGCGCCTCTGCGTGACGGCCCACAGCAACGCCGTGACAAGCACGCCGAGCAAGCCCTCGGAGCTGCCCCGGGTGCTGATCTGTGCTACCATGGGGTTCAGCAGCCAGATGCTTGCAAACTTCAGCGCCCGCTCCGTCGGCATCTTAGCAGTGGAGCGGAGAATGAGCAGGATGAGATAGCCGGCAACGACATCGCCCAGGGCGAACAGGACCTTGCCGTAGCAGAACCAACCTGACCACGTGGTCGGGTAGATGAGCCAAGCGAGCAGAGGCGTGTACCTGTACGTATCGCGCGCGTACGGCGATTTCCCCTGGGCAATGAAGCGCGCGGCATCGGTGAAGACGAAGTAGTCGATGTCTGTATACTTGAGAGGGGAGAAGGCGTCCTGGAATAACCCGTAGACGAGCAGGACGGCGCGCAGGGCAATGGCCGCGGAGAAGACGAAGCGCGGACTGGACATTGATAGCGCCATGATGGCGGGGCACGATGGTGTTGAGGAGCAATGGGAGGGGAGTTGAGATGGATGCACAGATGGAGCTCTGGCAGGCGGGCGGGGCAAGTTTAGCCGAAGCGACAAAGCCCGCGGGTTCATCATTTGCGTCACGGTGGTGTCGGGCGAGCAGCAGCAGCAGCAGCGGCAGCAGCAGCACAAGCAGCAACATCCATGGGCCAGAAGCGCAGCTACACCGAAGCCATGGCGGACGCACCCAAGCCCCAGCAGTCGCAGCAGCGCCAATCGCCCTTCCTGCCCATGTTCGAGACGTTCCGCGCCGAGCTCGACGAGCACCACGACCGGCGCGAGCGCATCATCAAGGCCTCGCGCGACATCACCGCCTCCAGCAAGAAGATGTGCGTCTCACTCTCACTCCTTCTGCGCCCAATGCGCCCGTGCTGACAATCTACTGCAGCATCTTCTCGCTCCAGAGGTACCTTCCGCCGTCCCCACGTACCCACGCACGCCCGTCGCTGATCGTTGCGTAGGATCCGCAAATTGAACCAGCCTCTGCCGCCCAACATCACAAAAGCAAACAAGCAGTACTGGGACACGATCAAGACAGCATACGCCGCCATTTCCAAAGACCTGCAGGGCATCAATGCCTACCGCTACGCCCGCAACATCACCGGCGGCCACCAGGAATTCATCGAATCGCTGAGCTTCCAGCACTACCTCGAGACGCAGACGATTATATCATACGAAGATGCGTGCAAGCAGCTGGCGGAGCTGGGAGCCAAGGACGGCGCAATCATGCTGACGCCCGAGGACTATCTGCTGGGCGTGTTTGACATGGTGGGCGAGCTCATGCGATTTGCAGTCACGGCCATGGCGACGAGCGGCGCGCTGCCTGGCGGAGAGGCGCGACGGGCGCCGGCCGGAGACAAGGACGCGATGGATGTGGACGAGCCGGAAAAGGCTCAGGGCCCGCAGCGCAACGTGCTGCAGGACATGCGCGAGCTGCGGATGCACCTGGAGGGCGTGGATGCGCGCTCGGACTTCAAGTTCCAGAGCGACGTGGAGAAGAAGATGGGGGTGATGCGGACATGCGTGGAAAAGGTTGAGACGGGCTTGTACGGGCTGGTGGTGCGCGGGCGCGAGCGTCCAAAGGGGTGGATGCCGGAGCTGGGAGGCGAGCGGCGCGAAGTAGAGTAGAGAGAAGTAGATCAGGCCGGGTGGCTGGCTACCTAACCGTGGGAGGGCGCACATCAGCCGAGTCGCTCTTCTGACTACAACTTCCAACTTTCCCCCCCAAAACCGTGAAGCCATGCGCTCGCCTTAACGCCGGCCGCCAGCCCGCTCGCACTCGAGCAACAAGCCCCCCCTGAACTGACCTGACATGCCCCCCGCTGCTGCCATCCCGCATCCGCACCCGCTGCCCTACAGGATGCGCTCCCACGCCCCGCCCCGCCCGCACCCGCCGTCCGACCCGCCCGCGCGCAAGGTCTTCAACTGCATCGTCGACGAGACGGCTTTTGTGGCCGGCGTCAAGAAGAGCACCCGCGATGGCATCCGCAAGTGGATCAACAACGGCTCGATGCGCCTGTTTGTGCCGCTGTACAGTATGCATGCGGCCCCCGGACTCCGATTCTCGCCTGGCTAACCACCACCACCCCCCACAGCCCTCGAGCAGGTCGATCGCCTGAAGCGCGCCGGCGGCAAGACCAGCGCCGATGCCACCGAGGCCCTGATGTGGCTCGACGATGTCACGTCGCTGCCCGAAGTCCACCAGGCCGGCCTCGTCCAGCTGCAGGGCGGCGACGAAATGTATACCAGGTGGGCAGACGTCGAGGCTTTCCTGCTGCCCGAGACGCTGCTCTCCATGCCCGAAGAGGTCGATGAGCCCAGCGACGACGACTCGCCCGACACCAAGACCCCCGAGTCGCCGCGCTCCGTCGCTTCAAACGCGCGCACCAACAAAACCAACGGCACCACCAACGGCAAGCACCACCGCGCTAAATCCACTGTGCCCCCGGCCATGCAGCCCTTCTTCAACCACCTCATCTGGCGCATTCACCACGAGCAGAACCCAAACTTCCCCGCCGAGTCCTTCATCCTCCTCACCAACGACCCCAAGAAACAAGCCATCGCCCAGCGCTTCAGCGTGCGCGCCAAACGCCTCGAGCAGATGCGTGACATCATAGGTCGCGAGGAGCGTGACTACAAGAACCGGCAGGCCTTCCTCAAGCGCGAGGAGAAGGAGGAGAAGACACTCAAGGTCGAAGCGGAGGAAAAGGACGCCTCCGATGACGAGGAGGAAGACGAGGTCGTCTTCAAGTCGCGCGGCTCCTCCGTCTCGCGCCCCAAGTCCGGCCAGCAGCAAGTCCTGGACCCGGACGACTTTGGCCGCTCGCGCGCCGTTGCGCCGCCCGTCGCTCCCGCAGCGCCTGCTGCCCCGCGCGGTGGTCGCGGCGGTGGTCGTGGCGGCTTCAGAGGCGGCCGTGGTGCCGCGTCTGCTGCTGCTCCCAGCACGCCCCGTGGCGGCGGAGGAGGTGGCAGAGGCGAAGGCACCCCGCGCCCCGCGGAGCCGCCCTCCGGCCCCATCGATCCCGACTCGTTCACGCGTCCGGCGCCAGCGGTGCGCACACTCCGTGGCGGACGCCGCAAACTGTGGGAGCCGGCGTAGGTGAGCTGACCCGGGAAGCGCTCTACAGCCACAAAATGGAGAGAGCGACTGGACACATTTTCTCACTCGGCAACGACAAGACGGAGAGAGAAGAAGAGATAACGAGAGCACACGGATCGCATCTGGATGACGGTCGTTGAATCGAACCGAATCGACAGACCAATCAACTCCCCAAATCATGATGGATTCGCGGCACCTCGCTCACAACTTTCCCCATTCTCGGACGCATTGTACGTGCATCTCGAAGGTCTCGGCAAAGCATGTTCTGCTCCACCTTTGCGGTCGAATGGGGGAAGGGCAAAAAGGTCACCAGTCAGTCCTGATTTTCTCCGTTGCGCGGCTCGAATCGATCATCAGTCAGTCAGTCAGTCAATGAAGCGGCGGCACGGCGAGCTTCCATGCACATGGATGAATGGGAGCACGCCTTGCCTCTGCGCTCACGGCCTCTCTGCACGGTGCTACTCCCAGTCAGTCAGTCAGTCAGCCAGTCAGTCCATCAACAACAACGCCATCGTCGTCATCGTCATCGTCGTCCTTTATCGGTTTCGCGCAGCCCGACACACGGGCTCTGAAGCCTCATCGACGCTGCTGCTGTCAATGCTAGCTGCTGGCCGCCTTTCTGCACTCGTTGAAGTCGCGCCGTCGTCGTTGTCCTCTACTTACTACATACACAGCACACACACAAACACACACTCAAAAATGATATTTCGCAGAGCAAAGCACACAAACAAACAAGCGAGCGAGCAAGATTGGGAAGGATGGATGAAGAAGATGGGTGAGATTGGTGCTCTGCCATGCTTTACTGCTAGGCATGGGTACGGGATGGAGAGGGAGCTGGCTGGCTTGTTTGCACGCTGGTCCATTGATTGGTTGGTAAATTGGTTGGGCTTTTGCGATTTTGTGGGTGGGCTTGTTATGTTAGGCTTTGCTGCTGCTGCTGCTGCTGCTGTTGTTGTTGTTGTTGTTGTCGCTGTCGCTATGTTTGGACTATCTTTTTCTGCTAAACTCTCCTTTGTCCGCGCGCTGTTTGATTTGGTTTGCTATTTTTGACTTTTTGTTTTGGGAATGCTACTAGCTTATTGAGATTGTGACATGGTTGGCTTGTCTGCCGTCTTTTTTCTCCCTGTCTCTCTATCTCTATCTCTCTCTTTTTGGGGGGCGTGTGATGCGTGCGTGCGTACGTAAGTAGGCAGGCAGGTAGGTAGGTAATATAAACTGCTTCTCTACTCGCCTTCTTCCCCAGCCACTTGCGCGCGCTCTCTTGCGCTCTGCTCTGCATTGCATTCCCGATACATCACTGACTGGGGGGCTCGCGTCCTGTCACTCCCACACCCCACACTCCACGCCCCGCGCCCGCCTCTCCCGTCCGTCTCCGTAGCGACATTACTCGCCACAGTGCCACAATGCCACACGCCACCATTACTGCTCGGCACTACTTGTCACCATGGCGCGTCGGCGGCGGCGAGCGCCGTTGGCGCTGCTGGGGGTGTGGGGTTGGGGGGAAGCGTGTGTGTGGGGGGAGAGAAAGGGAGTGGGGGGGTTGGGGGGAAGTGTGTGCAGTCGCGTACGCCTTTTGGCTCTGTAGGAAGATGGGTTTGTATGTATGTGCGTTGTTGGGGGGGTGGGGAGAGGGGGTTTATATGGCTTCTTCCTCTATGGGGGGGTAGGCGCGTGTTTGCGTTCGCTGCTGACCCAACAACAACAACCAAACGACCAACACACACAACACCTCGCATGTAGGTCTTTACCCCAACGTCGCCACAGCTTCCGACAACGCTCAACAATGTCGTTTCACGAAGCTCGGGATGCCGCCCTCGCGGAGTCAACAAAACCTACAGTCCAAACTGAATAGGTCAGCATGAACGAGCAACAAAACATACCGCCAGTGAGCGAAGACGACCGTACGATCTTCCGCGAGTGGCTGGACCGCGTCAAGTTTCCGGGGGCAAAACATCCAGGGATATGGGAAAACAGCAGGTCCAACTGGGCGAGCTTCCTATCAGCGACCAGCCGAGCACCGCAGGAGGCATTGGCACCGAGATGCAAGGTAGAAGGTGAATGGGGAAGAGCTCGGGGCTGGGAAGAGCAGCCAGAGACAAAGGCGGAGAGCGCAAAGAGATTCGGCACAGACGAAAGGCGGCGTCGGCGCATCAGAAAACAGTTATGGGAGCTGCTAGATGGCCTTGAAGCCCTGGCCGAGAGATGGCCGTGCAAAGCTCGGGTCGTCCTAAACCGTGCAGCTACACGGAAGTGAGGCTGGCGAGCCCTACGCAAGCTGGATGTCAAATGAGGAACTAGGGCGGTGCCGGCGCGGAAACGCGGTTTGGACGAGCTTGGTCAGCTTTCTCGTGTACTGCGAAGAGGAGGAGTAAAGTCTGCGGGAAATGGGTCTTGAGCTCGACGAGAAGATGCTCGATGCCATCGGCGAGGTCAGAGATTATCCAGAATCGAGCGCGGACATCGACCTTTTGCGCCTGTTTGTCCTTGACACCAACGCCGACTGACTTCCATCACAATCTCTTGCTCTGCGGCTTGGAAGGATCTCCTTGAGCGGTTGGAAGAAAGCCGCGAGAAGCATCTAAAGGGGCATGGTGCTCCTATTGCGCAAATCCTGCCGCTGCTCAGACAGTCCCGCAGAGAAGGCTCGAAACGAGATGCTGGAGAGGACTTCGACGTTGAAGGAGTTGCTAAAAGACTGAAACGGGAAGTGTCTTGAGTTTATCTGTTGCAAGTACCTCTTCTTGTCTCTTCACCTGTGGAGCAAGGATCCGGGGAGTTACTAGGAGTTCTGGGAGCAGTACAATAGCACTTATCGCCGCCATCATCAAGTCTTTCCATTGGCCGAATTCGCAATACAGAGCTTATCTTATCCATGCACGCACCACGCAATGCGGGGATTCTGGCACGGCTCTCGGGCCTCGGGGAGTTCGGGCGATTGAAGCGGGCAGCGCGTCAACATCTTGTAACTACGACACAGCAAGCAGAGCTAGCAAGTCCGAGGTCATTGACGCTATTACGGCGCCTTCGGGGCGCAGTGGGGAAAGATGCTTCCATCTCTTATACAGCGCAACATCTCCATTCCTGTCTAGCTAGCTACATACACCAGAAGCCATCCATCCAATTCCAAGCATCCATCTCGTCCCGTCCCACCTTCACAGCCACCACCACACCACAGCCATGTTCTACGAGCCCGGAAAAAGTCACCACAACCTCCCCCACGACCCATTCAAGGTCCCACCCCCACGCCCCCCAACTAAGTTCCAACCCCCCACTTACGCCACCAGGCCTGCGTGATCCCCCGCCCCATCGGCTGGATCTCCACCCTCTCGCCCACCGGCACCGCCAACCTAGCCCCATACAGCCAATTCACGAACCTCACCTTCGACCCGCCGTACGTGCTCTTCTCAGCGAACCGCACCCCCTCCGGAACGCAAAAAGACACGCCGCGCAACGCAGCCGCCACCGGCGCCTTCGTCTGGAACCTGGCGACGTGGGAGCTGCGCGAGGCCGTGAACGCCACAGCCGAGGGGCTGGCGTACGGGGAGGACGAGTTTGCGCGCGCGGGGCTCGAGGCCGAGGACGCGTGCGTTGTGGCTGCCGCTGTTGAGTGTGAGGGCGGAGAGCGAGCGAGCCGCGCCCTGCCGATGGTGAAGCGCAGTCCGGTCAAGTTCGAGTGCGTGTTCCATAGCATGCTGCAGCTGCCTGGGAACCCGCCGATGGGCAGCGCGGACGTCGTCATCGGTCGCGTCGTCGGCGTCCATGTTGCTGAGTGGGCGCTGACGGATGGGCGTCTGGACGTCGCCAAGACGGCGCCCATTGCCCGCTGCGGGTATTATCAGTATGCGGTTGTGCGCGAGACGTTCGATATGGTTATTCCGTCATCCGGGGGGGCGGAGGGCGAGGACTTGTTGGCCGGGTTGGAGGGGAGCGTGACGAGGCATCGAGGGATTGCTGCTAGGGATGAGGGTGGGGAGGAGAATGGAGAGGGTGAGAAGGGCGAGGGCGCAGAAAGAAAGGAGGCGTGAAGTGCGAAGCGCTGCATGACAGGCATCGATTTAAACACTAAGGTATCAGTACATATATCAACAAAAGAAATATTCATCCCAATGATCGCATCCACCAGTTCCCTTACCGTCCGAACCTACATCACGAACTACTCGATATTGTATCATGCTCAATCCGCACAACCATTTTCTTTTTGATAATCATCTTCGTACTCCCGCAGCTCTCCACGCTCACCGCGTCTCCATCTGCCGCCCGCACGACCCCTGCGCTGCGCTCGTAAAAATCCGGCCGCAAGCCATGATCATGGTACCCCTCCGCCAGGCCCTTCTGCAGGCGCTGGAGGCAGATAGCATCGCCATCTTCGATGCCACCATCGTCGCGGTGGGAGTAGCGGGGGTGTGGATGCTGGTGCGCGGAGGCATGGTGGTAGCTCGTGTTGGGCTCGTTGTCGAATGGCCGTAGGAAGGGCCCCAAGCATGCGATTGTGCTGGCCATGATCGCAAAGTCGAGCTGGAACTGGCTGCAGACGGTGACATAGGCGGCATTGATGGAGGCGTCGCCGACTGTGCGCGCGGTGCCGAGGACATCGATGTAGTGCAGGCGTGCTGCGGCGGCTATGATGACACTAATATAAGGAGAAATGTGAGTGCGGGTAATGTAGGTTTGGTTTTGGGGGCCTGGGGCAGATAAGATATGTCTGGTTACAAAGGTGCTGAGGGATCGAGAAATGAGGGAACAGGGGTCAATCGAACTTACGGTAGTCGCAGACCAAACGCAAGGATGACAAGGGCTTTCAGTCTCAACGCCATGTGTAGGCGTGACACGATAAGGATGGCGATGCCGAAGAGCGAGACTTCGGTGGCGATATCAAGGGCACCAACTACGTTCCATCTTGTCGCCTGTCAGAGATAAAGTCAGCGTAAGACTCGCTCGAAAAAGCCAAAGCGAGACTTACGATGCTAAGGGCGCATGCTTCCGGGCTCTGCGTCCAGGAGTCTAGCGGGTTGCAGCGGATGGAGATCAGGGTCTCAGAGAAGACCATCCAGATGGCACTGGCGCCAAGAGTGATCTTGGAGGCGAGGGCGTGAATGCGGGAGGGCGAGAGGCGAAGGTAGAGGAGTACGACCACGGCTTTGGATAGGAAGAGCGTAAATATGTAAAGTGTGAGCTGGACGAAGTTGGCCTGAGAGTGACGGATTCAGCGTCAGCTTGGCTGCTGTCCATGTTTTCTGATAAACGGGCTTACCGTTCCAATCTTCCTAAAGTTTGCACGTTTAGTGTCTCTCGCACCCAGACCATTGTGTACCTGGACGTACACGGCAGCAGCTTGGAAGCCGCAGAAGAGCTGTCGGGGCCTCAGTCAAAGATTGTTGGAGAGCCGTGCTTGAAAAGGAGACATACCGTGGCTAACGCAAGCAGCCAATCATCGCGCTTCCACTCCTGAACCCGCAGCCGTGTGTAGAGTCGGATGAGTAGACAGACACCGATGAAGGCCAGCGTGGTTGTCGTCACAACCACGACAAGGCCGCGCTTGTCATCCGGAGTGATCTTGTACGGCGCGGGAATGATCGTCACATTATTGGCGGACATGGGGTTAGTCAAGGCTTTCCACAGGCGAGAGAGACAATGCCAAAACCCAACATAAGAGAGCAGCGAGACGAAGTCTAAAAGAGGGACGCGCGCTGGAGATCATTGGAGTGAGATCCGAAAAATCGTGCAAGATCGGGGGATGATCATGAAGCGCGGTCAGGGATTGTGTGTGTAGCCTTGTCTTTGGGACTTGCCGGCAGATCATCGTACCACAAGGCCGGTGTAATGGTACCTAGCCACACTAGCAGGATGCGACTTGTTCCGTGGAAGGACGACACGAGGAAACGTGGAGGAACGTGTCGGGGGTACGGGACATATCCATGCTTCGTGTCGGTAGTCTCCTATGCTTCTATTTTCTTCCTGGTCTCTAAGCCACAAAGTCATGGTCCGAATCTTGATTCATGGTGATCGTGTTGAAGTCGCGTGTGTAGTGGTGCTGGGATGGCACACATACAGCGCCATGGCCGGTCGGTGAGCCTGATAAACGAATTGCGGCCGCAAAGGATCTGGACACTAGTATTGGTAGCTGGGGTGGATTCCAGGTGGAGTGTATAGGTAATCTAACGGCCTCGACCGTGAAGCATGGTTGGTGGATCGTGGATGGACAAGCTCCACTAGACGGGCGGGCCGTAGGAAATCGCCTGTCAACGGTATTTCAGCCGCGCAGGATGCGCTTAGACAACCAGTAGGATCCTTCGGATCTGCTTCCGCGGCGATCGTGTCGTGGGCTGCTAACGAGGGATCGGAAGCGCGAGTCGAGAGGCGCCGGCTGGCAAAATAGAGGATGCAACCCTCTCATCTCTGGATGGTGCCAAGGTGCGTTTGTCGCGCTAAGAACGGAGGGTGGATAGAGAGGAGATTGGGAAGCGAAAATACATGAAATGGCCAATGGTGGAGTGCGGAGTAGCGGAGGCTTCATTGAACTTTCACGGTGCGGGGCGCGCCGCGCGCTCCGACGTCGCGTTGGGGGCCATGGCTGCCCCACCAAACCTCCTCCACTGTTCTCTCTCTACTGCCTTAGCCTACAGTAACATGCAGGCCCTCGGTCTCCTCCCCCTCACGGTAAGGCTGTCTTCCACACCATGGCGTAGAGGGTCGAGGCCTCGTCTATTCGCTACTTGTCTATCAGCTGTAAGGTTACATAGCAGTGGTGGCGGTCATGACTTCCACCTGCAGCAATGTCAGCCGATATACCCTGCACGACTCCCATGAACCGATTCGTTTCGTCGCACTCTCTTTTGCCCCCTTGCATTTTTCTTCAAGTCGGCGCGCCTGCCCTGCCCTTCCCTCTTTCAACTCAGGCTGCGCAGCAAAATGTCCGACGTATCCTCCTCCGAATCCACCGTCTTCGCTGGCGCACATGTCAAGGTGACGCACGAAGCCACATCGACTGAACTTCCCGGGCAGTACGCGCTGAATGGTGTTGATGAGGACTATCCTCGTTTCCAAGGCCACACTCACAATGATGAAAAAGACATGGGGCGCATGGGCAAGGTCCAGCAGCTGAAGGTAAGCCGCGCGAGTACCGAAATGGCAAAATTGTCGCTCATCGCACGTCGTGCAGAGAAATTACCGCCCGCTTTCCGCTTTGGCGTTCACTGTCATCTTGCAGGGAACATGGGAGGTTCTTTTGACGTCAGTATACGCGTTCCGGGTGATTTTAAGCGAGAGCCTTCCATTGACTTTGCTACAGAGCAACCACGCAAGGCCTGGCAGATGGCGGAGTGGCGGGTCTGCTATGGTCCTACGTATGGACGTTTTTCGGTACCAGTTTCATTGTTGCCTCGCTGGCCGAGATGTCCTCCATGGCGCCGACCAGTGGTGGACAATACCACTGGGTTTCCGAGTTTGCTCCAGCAAAGTTTCAGCGGTTTCTGAGTTACTTTACAGGTATGCAAGCAGATGTGGCTCTTTTGTATATAAAGCTGACCTGTAAGGTTGGATGTCGACCATGTCATGGCAGGCTGGCAGTGCCTCTGGACCTTTGCTTGTCGGGACGCTCATCCAGTCTTGTGCCACCGTCGCATACCCTGAATATGCCCCTACAAACTGGCAAGGCACACTTATGGTGTTTGCTGTCCTCGGCCTCGTCGGCATCCTGAACATCTGGGGGTCCAGCGCAATGCCTGTCTTCCAGAACATGATGTTGGTTGTTCATGTTTTTGGGTTCTTGTCCCTAATTATCATCTTGTGGGTCTTGGCTCCGCACAATACTGCAGAGACTGTCTTCACTGGGTTCACCAACCAAGGCGGCTGGAGTACAATGGGCCTTAGCCTTATGGTTGGCCAAATCTCCGCGGTTTATGCTTGCATCTGTTGGTCTTCTGTTCCAAAAATCGCCCTCACATGCTAATACACACAGGCTTTGATGCGCCAGCACACATGTCAGAAGAGGTCAAGGATGCTGGAGTTACTGTCCCTCGGGCCATGGTTTGGTCATACGTCCTCAACGGTGCTCTCGGATTCGTCTTCCTCATCACTTACATGTTCGCGGTTACCAACATCGATGATGCACTGGCCGATATAACGGGTTATCCTCACATATGGGTATGTTGATCTGTCCTCACGAAAGTATTCCTGTATTGATATACTCGAAGGTCTTCCGTCAAGCTGTCTCCAGCGCCGGCGTCGTAGGCCTAAACGTCATTCCGACAGTACTGATCTTTGCCGGAACGGTTTCTTACAACCTTTCTACGTCTCGCCAAACCTGGTCTTTTGCTCGCGACAAAGGCCTTCCCTTCAGTAGCTGGATCGCCAAAGTGGACAAGAGATTGGAGTTGCCCACAAACTCTGTCCTCTTAACCTGTGGTATCACCCTCGCGCTTTCCTTGATCAACATCGGTTCCGATGTTGCCTTCAACGCAGGTATGCTCTCTCACTCCCTCGACACATTGCGTACTTTAACTTACATGCAAAAGTGATCTCCTTGAACGTTGTCTCTCTCATGATCACATATGTCTGCTCTATCAGCTGTCTATTGTGGCGACGCATCCGACACCCCGAAACTCTTCCGCACTGCAGATGGAGTCTAGGCGGCTGGGGTATTCCCATCAACATTTTTGGTCTTTTGTACTCGCTACACGTTTTCTTCTGGTGTTTCTGGCCAGAATCTACGCCTACCACCGTCGAAGATTTCAACTGGGCATCAGTCATGTTCGTAGCCGTTGCTATCGTTAGTACTGTCTACTACATCCTCGTCGGGCGCCATGTCTACAAGGGTCCGGTCGTGCTTGTAGAGGGCTGGAAGGGCGATTAATTCCGGATATACCCGGATGATCTGTCCGCTCCATTGATACTACGGCAGCATAGGTATATGACTTACTTTTACTCTTCGCCTTCAAAACCTCGCGCGCTTTCGAATTTTCCCGCACCTTTGTGTATTTTTTACCCTTCCACTCATACGGAATATTGCCCTGCTTTCGTCTATCCATACCTTTATGTCGTCTCGGATGTTCTCATACCACGCGCCTTCTCATCTTCGTAGCTATCTAGCGGCTACTGGGGGCAGCCTTTTACCTACTTCTAAGGATCGCGCAAGTACTTTGGAGACACAGTAAGCCTGATTTGCAATAAACGGCCGAGAGGCCGAAGAATTGGTCAAAAACGGTGAACAAATCACCCGAAGCCACAAACAAACTTCCCGCATTTACACACAAGCTCCACCGCTCTACGTCTGATACAGCAAATTCACATTCATTTGTCATCGATCGCGTGGGCACTTCCAGTCATAAGAATATTCCAGTGGTTCTTCAACAGACTCATCCCGGGAAAGAACATTCGAACAAAGCTTAATTTGGAAGCTAATACTTGCCTACGAGTCGGATGAACCGGAATTGCTGATCAGTGCTGTTTAAAGTATCAGGGACCATCCAGCCGTAAGGCACTAAAACCCCAGACCCCGCGTCAGGAGCGTTCGCGGTCCGAAGCTTGTCAACGTCATCCGGACTTAAACACAATCAGAGTCGGACTTAACTGAAATAGGCAATCATCCCACAGACATTCCAATGATAAAAAGGCTTGAGATTACGACCGGCTTCTCGATGAGCATCAGCACGCTTCCGAACTTTCCGAACTGTGCATATTTACATCGTCCGACAACATCCGGCTCTGGAAGACGGCAAAATGGCCACAGACACCATGACCATCATCTTCACAAGAGTCCACGACAAGCTCGAAGACATCTTCAGCCCCTCCAGCCATCACCTCGCCGCTGTGGTCCCCTCAAAGGGCTCCACACTCCAGATTGCGCACCGCCCCACACCCACGCCGGGTCCCGTCGAGTTGCTCATCGAGGTCAAATCCATCGCTCTCAACCCCGTCGATCACTACATGCGGGACAGCGGGTACGCCATCACCTCGTACCCCGCGGTCCTCGGGTCCGACATTGCCGGCACGGTCCTGGCCGCGGGGTCGCTCGTCCCGCCCACGGCCTTCAAGCCCGGCACGCGCATCGCCGCCTTCGCACAATGCTTCTTCGTGCACGGCGAGCCGGCGTACGGCGCGTTCCAGCAGCGCGTGTTGGTGCCCGCCGTGAACGCGGTGCCGCTGCCGGAGAGCATGAGCTTCAACGGGGCGGCGGTACTGCCGATGGCGGTGACGACGGCGTGGGCGGGCTTCGGCTTCGCGCTTGGCGTGCCGAGGGATGTCGCATGGCGGGCGGAGCAGGGCGAGGGCGTGCTCATTTGGGGCGGCGCGAGCAGTGTGGGGAGTGCGGCGGTGCAGGTCGCGCGGCTTTTGGGGTTCAAGGTCTATGTGACTGCGAGTGAGCGACATCATGCATACATGAAGTGCTTGGGCGCGAGCAGGGCGTTTGAGTATAAAGATGAGGATGTGGTGGAGAGGATTGTAAGAGCTGTGAAAGAGGATGGCGTTTCAATGAGGCTGGGATTTGATGCTGTGGGGCATCAGATGCAGTCGTCAATTGAGGTTTTGAAGAGGCTGAATGGCGGGCGAACGGCGAAGTTGGCATCGGCGGCACGGATCCCGGCTGGTTTAGAGGAGATGGAGGGTGTGAAGGTTACGTTTGTGAGGTCGCCGGAGGAAGAGATGGCCAGGATGGATTTCTTTCATTTCGTTTTCAACGTGTGGTTGAGACAGAAGTTGGAGAAGGGGCAGTTTATCCCGAGCCCAAAGATTCAGATCGTTGGAAAGGGGTTGGGGTCGGTGCAGGAGGGGTTGGATGTGTTGAAGAAAGGCGTGAGTGGGGTGAAGCTTGTGGTTGAGACGTAAAGGTGGTATTTACAAGCGGGAATTTAAGCATGTCTGACGTTTTGTAGGGAATTTTACGCTAAAATGAGAGCACGGCTAAACCTTTGTTTATAAACAATAGGCTTTGGGACTGTTTTCATTGAAAAACGCGTATAATTTCGTCCCGTCAGAACGGAGATCGTTCGCGGTTTCTGATTGGACGGAGTGGACTCCGTAGTGTTACAAATGGATCGAGGAAAACAACTGGCTCGGATCTTCTGACCGGAGACGTCTGTAGACGGGGGCAACTCCTCATCTCTGTTCTTGCCAATTCTTCTCGCTGCAACTCACGTCGAACATATCGTCTCTCTTGTTTCTTCCAGTGACTGATGGCCAACCCGCAACCGATCGTTGCCGCCCCGCGTTCGCATGTAGCGCGTGCGCCGTTACGATTCCCACCGAGGAGGAGCAGACCCGAAGGCATCCAACGCGCCGCTTGCACCGCCTGCCAGAAGCGCAAGACAAAAGTAGGAATCCTTTTGGTGCGACATGCATATGCTGACAACCGATGTTCTAGTGCGATGGCTTGCGACCGAGATGCAGCGCTTGCACAGTAAAGGAAACACCATGCGAGTACAAAGTGGCAGAAGGCCAGACGAGAGTGGGCGCCATGAAAGCGCGGAATGAAGAGCTTGAATCCCAGCTTGCCATCTCTCGGGAAATCATAAGGGCCTTGCGGACTGCCCCGATGCCTGAGGCTGCCCAGTTATTCGAGCGACTAAGGTCCGGCGCCGACCTTGCGGAGATCATTGACTCTGGACAACACAACAACCAGCAGGCACCGGGTCAGATAAGCGGCTCTGACGCGACAGAGCAGAACATTAACATTACAGAAAACAAGGGCTTAATATGGGCAAACCCGAGTCTTGGATCAGCTAAAGATCAGGAGGTGGCTGCCTCCAGCAGATCTAGTTCCAATCAACAAGTCGGTTTCGAATATGATTGCTCGCTAGCTACTCCTTTGGATATTTTGAAGTCGCCTGCCTGTTTCGACGCCTACAATCTCTTCATTGACTGCGTCGGAGTATTATTTTACGTTTACACCCAGGACCAAGTAAAGTCCGTCTTCGAAATTTTTCTTCGCCGTCCACCCGAACATGTACCTACATCCTTGTTGTGCGAAGCCTTCGCCATTGCAGCAGTAGGATCACTGTACTCTCACGACACCATTCCACCTGACATCGGAATCACGTTCTATAACATGGCCAAATGGTTTCTAAACGATCTTGTCAAGATAGATCCTCTTCGAGCCATGAAGGTCTGTGTTTTGTTGGCTGCGTACAACATTGTCACCAAGGAAACAGTCGCGCTATCTTTCATTGGTACTCGTTTCCCAAATATTGTCTTCCTCTTGCTAAGCAGATATACAGATATGGGCCTTAATCTGGGCCGCAGCCAAAGTATACATCGCGAGCAAGTGCCTGATTCTCTCACTGCTGCTGCGTGGATCGACTACAAAAGAACATGGAGAACTCTCATTTGCTTCAAAGGGTCTGTAAGCATGCGCATCAGTTAGTTCTCTTTCTTACAATAACAGATGGCTTGTTGCTACGCTGGGTTTTGTGCCCTGGAATGAATGGACAGACGATATTATTTGGGTATGTTTGCAGCTCAAGTCAAAAGCCCCATCACAACTTACCATGTGCTGATCGTCATACCAGTCCACGGTCGATCCTTCCCTAGAGAACATTACCATCCAGGAGACTATTCAAATACACCTAACAAAGATTGCCATTATCGAAGCTAAGATGTTTCGACAGATCTTTGCGCTCTCTGACCTGCGTCGGGAGCATGTGGACGAAGCAAGAGCAAACCTGCATCAATGGTATCAAGACTTACCTCCTTCCATTAAACTTGCAGCTCTATCAGAGTCACCTCTCGCCAATGGACCAAAAGTGGGCGTCTACCTTACGCACTTCATTCACCTTGGAGCGATGATAATGCTACAGCGACGGATCCTCCAGCATTACATACAAACGGCGGAAGCAAACCTAACATTGGCCAAAGAACGTATAACAGAACTTTCCGACGCCTTCGAAGATGGCTTTGTGGCCGCTCTGCAGACATCTCGGATGCTGGACCTACTGATGGACGAGGAAGCTGTCTTCCAGCGCTGTTGGATGTGCATGTGAAGCATTGCCCCCCCCCCCTTTTAAACTGACGCCTCACAGATACCAATCATATATAGCCACCATCGACATTCTCTTCGTAGTCGCGATCAAGCTCCTCCACGGACACACACCCGGATGTGTCGCGGAGCTAGTAGAAGCAAGTAAGGCAATCAAAGTGCTCGAATACTGCTCCGACGTCGATCCTCTGGCCTTGAAGTTCCTGCGCAGCCTCCGCGACCACTACGACATACTCCGAGCAGCGGCCGAAGCCGGCAGCGACTCGGCGGCAGATGACATGCCAGCGCTGCACCAGGACTGGGGCCACCTGCTGGACCTTGGGGCGGGTGACTCGCCGCTGCACAAGACCGCCCAAGCACTTGCCGCCATCCTCTGTACGCCATTCTCTGACGCGAGGAAAATGAGGAGGGAGGCGAGTGATGCGGCGAGTGATGCAGCGAGCGGTGCGGATGGCTTGTCGGCTGAGCCGTTGCCCGTGCTGGAGGAGGGGATGTCCGGCTTGCACTTGGATTGGACCTGTGAGTGTGCGGCGGGTGATGATGTGCGGTGCAGTGACCACGCGCAAAGTTATTTCGTCGGGGACACGGCGGCGCGGCTGGTGGGATGGGGCGGTGTAAAAGACAATGCGGGTGGTGACGTGCCTGCTGAAGATGCGATTTAATTTCAGTGCGGTGCGGCCGCAGGCCCGGCAATTCAACATTTGTTGTAAGGCCTTTGAGTCGCGTGAAAAGGTGTAAGTACAGTCTGGTCTCTTTCAGCTTTGACTGTGTGTAACGCCTTTCTCTTGGTGGTGCTCAAGCAATACAGCGGACTCCGCAACGCTTGGATAAATTGATTGGTGCCTCTTCAAGGTCCCAGTTTTGCTGACATTCTTGACAGCTATAACCAGTCTTGAAAGTATGTCAAGGGACGTGGTGGAACGTGCCGCGTCTTCGCGGAAAGCTATGCCATTGTAGCAACTACCTAGCCATCTACGGAACCAAGTTCTCCGTTCGTCTTGTCACCTACGGAACCAGATCCTCGGTCCCTTCTTGGAACTCCCGCAGCCGTCTTGCCATCAAATCGTTGTGGGGAGGCATCTCTACGACGATGGCTTGTCCCATCTGGGCCCTGAGGTAATCAGGCCAATGACGTGCATAGAACCCAGCAAGAGTCAATTTCTCCACATGCAAAGTTCCGAGACAGCGGACCAGTTCCATGTCTTTGCCTCCTCCATATTCACCATGTCTGACGTTTGCTTGCCATTCTATTGTGACAAGCCGCAAGTTTGTCGCTTCACGGCCCAGTTCGTTCAAAACCGCATACCAATCCGTTGGCCTGTCCTTCCCGGGTGGCGGTCCGCGCATCTTGTTAGGCTTCTCCACCGTGTACATAGGAGGCACAAAGACTTTGAGGTAGCGAAGGTACTTGACGTTGACAGGCCCGATGGTATCAAGCCAGTCAATGAAGAGGCGAGGCGACAAGAGGAATGAGTTTCTGGAGTAAAGGATGGGTGCGACTTCGTGGCAGATTTGCTTGCAGGTGCGGATGATGGCGGGAGTAAGTGTTTTATATCTGTAGTCGCCTATGTCCGCCTTGAAGCTGGTGATGCAACCTGGTTCGTCTTGGCGAAGGTTGACATAAATGATACCGCTGAGGACGTGATGATAGATCAGGAGACGGATTTCGGGTGAGAGGCCAAGAAAGTTGAACGGTGGCTTGGAGTCGCTCATTCTCGGTCGTGCTGAAATGAGGCTTGGTGGGCTGAAGAGAAGCTTGAGCTGCCTGGATTGTCTCTTAGCGTGTGTGCTGGCGGAGTCGCAAGAAAACGCTGGGATGCATTACTTACCAAGGAGCGATATTGCCGGTTTGATGCGAAGTGGCAGGCAAACGAACATGGTTGACAAGGTCCTGACAAGGTCGTGACAAGATGGTCGTGACGGAGCGGTAGCAGGCCGCAGGGACACTTGGGGAAGTCGCGTCCTTTACTTCCAACCCTTCAGACCGCCTCTTCCAGCTCCCCAGTCTCCAAGTTTCTTTCAGCCAAGATGTCAGGGGGCATCTTGTGCTAGCTTTGTAACATGACACTCTCATGATTTGGTCCAGTCGCAAACAAGGCATCAGATTTGGACTCAGTGCGGACGAGCAGACAAGCTCTGGCTGTCTTCTAGGCTCTTCCGTACGTAGGAGCGAGCCAACTCTTTACGCATGCAGAGCTCTTAGACACGTTTGTTGTTCTGCGTCGCTGGTGCCGAAGAGCAAACAGACAGTGGCAACCCACCTTACAGGCTACCCGCCTTACAGCGACGCTACCTGGCAGGACAAATGCCACAGCGCAAGCCACAGCGGACGCCATCGTGACTGGCAGCTTGTCAGGCGCATTAACAAAGCACGGACTCTCGCACAAGGCTGATTCCAACAAACCTTCCTAACCTTCCTTCTCCAATGGCAAGCATGATCTAGCGAAGACTTAAACGAGCTTTCTGCGACACGCCCTGGGGAACATTTGCAACTATGGAAAATACGAACGAACGTCCAAACGATGCCATCATGGAGGACGGAAACAATGCACAGGACGAAATGATGGAGCAGGAGCACAGCCAGGTGAGTTCATCTTTCATCCACAAGACAACGCGCTGTCAAGTGCCTACCCCTACCTATACCCTGGCTAACAGAATTAAAGCACGACGATTCCAAGCAAACGATTCATGAACTTCTCATGTCGCATACCAAGTGGAACCCCGACCTGCAATACTCCATCTCGGGCGACGCGGCGAAACCCTTTCTCAGAACGAGTGCACAGAATTTCGTAAGATCAAGCCACCGGTGGTTTAGCGACAGAGGTGTATCTGCAGCTCTGTACAAGGGTCCCGACTTCGACGAGAGGGGTCCCATTGTCGTTGCCGATTCACCTATGGCGGCCATTGGCCTTATCTACCGACTGCTTCCTGAAGATACCCTGCCGGCCGAGTCCTGGGACAAAATGATCTCGTCACTCCCAGTCGAGATACACAAGAACGGATCTTCCATTACTGAGACTAGACCTCAAGGTCACTTCGCTATCAGAGAAGCCGAAGGACAGCGGCCCGAAGCCGAGCAAGCATTGGCCACATCAGGGCACAGGACGCGAACCCTAGCTTCGCCCAGCATACAGTCAAGTGACTTGGGCGGAAATAGAATCTTAGGCACAGGACCTACTCCTGCAAAAAGAAGGCTGCTACTGCGCCTTGGAACCGGCGGCACTGTCACCGCTGCCAACACCAACGGCGAAACCACCATCTCCGGCAACGAGAGCGCGAAGGAGGACGGCACCACCACCACTGAAATACAGCAGCACGGAGCCGAAGGATTCTCGACTACACCAGACCGCGGTGCGTTAAACTTCAACGCGCAGACCACTCAGGCCGAAGACATGATCAGGAGTAGCGATCCGGTCCAGCAAGCTCCAGCACCTTTTCCTAACCAGCAAATACCCTCCCCTACCCTGCGGCAACCGGAGACTGGCAAGCGTAGCTTGAAGCGATCCTACACCCAAATGAAGAGCGAAGGAGCAAGAACAATAAAATGGAGCGAAAATGATCAACCTTTCAGAGCCGCCGTCAGAGAAAACTCAAAGATACATTTGACTACAATGGACGATTGTCAAACTAAACTTTTGGTTGAAAAAGCCAAAGCTGTTGCTAGTAAAGACGCATTCATAGATTTTGGTTTTATAATCACCAACTGGCGAGACCACGGCTCCCTCGTTGACCCACCGCCTGTCAATTCCCCGTCGCGACTGAACCATGTCTACCAAATGGTGAGCCAAACAGAGGGGAAAAATGGTATACCCTGTTTTGAATACCGACTGGCTTGCGCTCTGTTTGGCCACGGGTGTCAATTCGACGAGGAGAACTTCATGGATGAAAACGACAACTACTCATCCACTACGGCCGGCGAAGCGAAGAGGCATATTTTCTGGGAAGTTCATCCAGAGCTCACGAATGATGGACGACTTCCAGCAGTCCAGCACAAGCGTGCTTGGAAAAACTTTCTCCGGCGATGGGCTAATGCTAGGCGATGGGGCAAGCTCGCCAGTAAGCTCGGTTGGGGAGCGTTCTTCGTCCTGTCTCAAAATCGACTCCGCTCCAGATGGGTGCAGACTTTATCCAACACTGAGTTTGATATCTGGACGTCGGTCGTTCTTCAGTGCCACCACCCTATCCTCGAAGCCTGTAAGCGGTTGGTGGAGTCTCTGGTTTCCGTGCCGAAAGACCTGTTGACGATCGCCGCACCTACACACAAGCTGCGCTTGGAAAGCGAACTACTGCCTGATGATGACGCTGCTGATGAAGTCAAGGTCAGGTTGCTTGAGTTTGACAGCGCCAATGAGTAGTTATGGAGCTGCCCCTTCCGCTTCTGCCACTGCGACGGAGGCTGGCTCTGCTGCTGCTGTCGCTGAGATGTGGGAATCACCCATGCCTTTGCGGCTGATGCTGAAGCCACGACACATCACTGAGCGGTGGTGGTGGATACATCACCAATTGTTTTTTCAATGTTCATTTCGGTCTGTACAGTGGCGACAAAGGGAGGCTTTTTCCATAGACAGCGAGACGTTTTCAGGGAGGCTTTAATTGGTTTTGTTTGGTTTGGCTTAGTAGTTGGATACCCCGGTGGTTGCCTTTGCTTTGTATAATAGATATGGTTTTGGGCGCATGATGTACAGAAGCGAGCAAGGCCCCTCATTCACAACAGCGAAAGATGGGCAAGACACTGAGCTTACAATTGAGACTATGTACATACACAACCGCACTTGATAATTTCCTATAAATGATTATTGCCTATATACGAGATGAAGCCACCAGTGCCACTCAACGGTGTTCACAACTTCCATGATTCGCTTCTACACACGGCGCAATGCAGACGCTCTTCCGACAAGCCGTAAGCCAGAATAAAGCACGTCTCGCCCTCCCAGAAGGGCCAGCGCATCTGCATGCTCATGCTGCTGCGCATGTGTCGTCGCCCGACGGGGTGACACCAAAGCAGCCCTACACCGCACATTGGGTTACACAGCATGTCGGCGCATTTGTATGCTGCAGGGCCAGCGCAACGTCCATACCTACGCTTCCATGGCGCGGATTGCTGTTTTATCTCGCCATTGAATGCAATTGGTTTGCTGGGATGATGCAGGCTTTTGGCTGCGTCGGATGGTGCTGACTTTCTGCGTTGGTGGTGGAAAGCGGGAAGTGGCTTGACGCGTAGCGCGTTTGTGGCGCGGGAGTTGGCTTTCGCTGCTGGTGATGTGTACCCGACACAGTGGGAATAGTAGTCTCCTCCGCGAAGGGGGCTGATCCATGCGTGTGTGGGCTTGTTGGTGGCGGTCGGATCGTTGCTCGTGCAAACGGGGCTGGGCTTTATGCCACTCTACTCTCTAACCCTTGCGCTTTGGGCCTTGTCTCACGGGACCGTGGAGGTTTCCATTGGCGTGGTTCGTGGCGCGGTTTTGGAGAGGACAAGGAAGGCTTGTTTGGGATCCGTTTGTATGTTTCGTCCTGCTCTTACCTAGCCCTCCTTCGGGGCGGTGGCTTTCGGGCGGAGAAGTGACGTGGTGGGATGGCTGCCGCGGAGCAAACGCAATTTCGCAGAGGAGAAAGGTCAGTGAAGCAGGGGTAGCGGAGGCGAGGAGCCAGCTGACTGGTGGTGTCGTGGGTCTTATCACGTCACGTCTCAACGCGTTTACGCCTCCCGGAGCATGTCCACTGCATGGGGATGTTGCGTATCAGATAATGAGCCCATAACTCCGTTCTAGGCCGCTTCGACAAGAACGTAATACATGAGAGCTCCTCGTTCAAAGCCGGCCGTGGCATCGGACACTGACTCCCATTATACAACTTCCTGTTCCCATCAACCGCAGGAACACGGCACTTCTGTCCCCCCAGGTGGTACTTCTTCCCTTCCTCACATGTATCGCCGCTGACGTTTGATTATTTACCTAGCTTCGCCATCATCCCTTCGTTCATCATGGCTGACACGCCGGCCTCTCCTACTCATCCTCCGTCCGAAGAAGGAAACACCACACTCAAGCGCCTTCCGAGCGGCACCTCCGCATCAACCGACATCGTAGAGATCTCCGAAGACGAAGAAAGCGACTCCAGCATTCCTCTTCTCCACAAACGTCGTCGCATGTCGCAGGCTTACCGGCCCACACAATACGAACTTCCCCCAGTTCCGGCTCGGACGACGTTCTTACGCCGCCACGTCCCCTTCCCCGCTTCCGACAACGCCCCTCGCGGAATCGCTGGCCTTGCTGCCGCTCCGGATTTCCGCTCTTCTGGCTCCACACGCCTCCGCTTCTCCGACTACATTCGGGACAGCGCCCCGCTTCCTTTGGCTGGTGCTCATCGTGCGTCGACGGAGTCTGAAGTCAGGAGCTTGAAGGAGCTGGTCGCTGCTCTTGAGCGCACTGTGGTGGGCATGAAAACCGAGTTTTCCCTTCTTCGGGATGCGATGTATGCGGCCGTTAGCGCTTTGGAGCGAGAGGAGACAAACACAGACAGACGGGTTACAGCCTTACAGAGATCTGTGGAGGGTGCGGTCAAGAGGGTTGCGAAGTTGGAGTCTTCCGTAAAGGGTACTGGCCTGAGATGCTCCAAATTAGGATCATCTGTGGTGGGCACGGAAGAAAGGGACTTTGCGGTTGAAAAGAATCTCTAGGATCTTACTCAGAGAACCGAAGCTGAGATCGTCTACGAGAGATTTACTACTATGGGTTGTTGAATTGAAATGATATGCTCGATTTCTTGAAGAAGATATCGCGTTTGCCCATCTTCATCTCCATCACCTACTGGTCTGCTTAGAGTGCTTTGTGACTTTGTTTTCGTACAGACTTGAGATACTCTCGTAATTTCAAAAACTCCTACGCTCGTCTCTCGGTTCTGAATGCTTTCTACCATAATGATCTATTACTTTCGTGTATATAAATAACCTTTCGATCTCGAGATTTTTTATTTGGTAAAACAAGAGAAAGCGCTGTCAACTTCATGGAAAAAGGTAGCTGGATTGACCAAGCTCACTAGACTGTACGGGCTGTTGACCCTCTGAACACTGGTAAATGTGTGAAAACGGAAAATAAAAAATAAAATAAATAAGAAAAACAAAATGACAAAAATAGGAATCGAACACGCTTCCTCAGCTGGGCTCCCTACTCCAAACTCTAGCCACTTGTGTTTAGGACAGCATTAGCCGTTTTACCCCTACACCAGGCGCCCATTACTTGAGTTCGGGCAACTGAGCTTGACGGCTCGATTCCATGCTTAGAGATTGGCAACCCCATAACATATAGTACATGTTTAAAATCCGAGCACATTCACAGCGCTGTTGGCACGCTCTTCGTGTAGTTCTTCGTGTAGTTGCCCCATCGCCATGCGACATGCCTCTCGGCAGTCTCTACAGCACCGTCCGCCGCTACGCGTACTCTATCCACCTCACTGGGCCGTCGCATTGCCTTTAAGCCTCCGCACCGCCGCCCGTCACTACGGCCGCTCCTTCGAGTCGGTGTGCTTACCTAAAACGGCTTAGAGCGAATCTCTTCACATTTTCAATAGGTAGTCTCTTGTCTCCGTCTTTCCACCTGCACACACAACACACCTCCCCTCCCGACCTCGGCTCTTGTTGCCGAGTCCACCTTCACTTCCACCATCGTTGCCAGCCAATGGCGGGTTATTAAGATCGTTATTTGCCTCTGACTGGAGCTTCAGGCCGTCGCAAAGTCAGGACATGTCGACTCCGAGGCCGCCAGTTTTTGGCTTACCGGGCAATATGTCAACGGCCGTCCAACGTACCGACTCACCTCTCGGTGCGAATAACACCAGTCGCACTTTTAGCGCCAACAACATCAGTCAGTCTCTCGGTGCCAAGGAGGTCGCTCCTTCACTCGGTGTCAACAATGCCAGTTCATCTCTCGACACCAGCAAGGCCAAGCCTTTGTTGAAGCCTCTAAACGGAACATTCTTCACCCTAGAAGACATTTCGACCACAAGCCGTTCTGTCGGCCCTGAATTTGAAGAAGAACAGGCTAAGCTGTTTCCGGATGTCGAGATGTCGGACGACTTAACACCTCACAACAAACCTGAAGCCCAAGGCCAGGTGTGTCGTGCCTTCAAAAAGCCTCCCATACCAAAGGTCAACATTCCGACGACTCCTCAAGCTCAGCAGAAAGACGTCTCCAACGCTCAACAGAAACGCATTGCCAGCTTCTCGGAAACTCATGTTAAACACGACTCTGACAGTGACAGTGATCCTCCCACAAAAAGACCCCGAATCGAGCCTCCCTTCGGAAGTTTTTGGTCCAAGGCAGACTTTAGCAATCCTTGGCGCCTCGACTACAAGCCCACCACCAACGGAATCCCCGGAACCACTCCTGCGCCACAAGGTTTTCCCTCCTCTTCCTTCTCGTCGCCTGCTCCCGCTCGACAAACTTATCGGTCCTCGAGCGTTCTATTCGATTTCGCGCCTCCGTCATCGACCACTCGTGCCACTGATCCCAAGCTCGGTCCCGCGCCCATGGTTTCCAAACGCGAGCAAGTAGTGGAGCTCAAGCAGGCTGTGAAGGAGTTGAAAGATCAACTCACGGAAAGGAACAGCACCGTCAAGGACTTGAAGGATCAGAATGCTAAACTTACCTCCGAGGTTGGCCGAGCTGCGCACGTATATCAAGAATGTTGAGCAGGGCATGAGCGAGAAGATTTCGGGTCTTGAGAAGAACTTGGACACTGCGGTGAGCTGGATCAAGGCACTCGCGAACAATGCAGGCATGGACTAAGAGCGACATGGTTTTGTAAGAATATGGATATGGGCAAGTTCTCAAATGTGGTCATTGGGAAAATTGTAACAGGACTTTTTTCACTGAGACACGAAAATCTTGAAGTCCTTGTTGATGCCTTAAGTCTTCAATTAGCCACAATTATGGACAAATTCAATCAGCCTAGCCACACTGTCTGAGCTCTGCTCTCTGAATAAAAGAAAAACGCCGTCAATACAGCTCGAAATGGCTGGGCCTGCCGTCTAGTTCATTGACGAACATGACCGTGAGTTTCTCCGCTTTCTTCTCCATCTCGTCTATCGTCTCCAAGTTCTCCTTCAGCTCCTCTCTGATACTCTCGTCCAGTCCATGGAACAGTAGCGGCAAAAGGTCCGTCTTCCAGAGTTTGGCTTTCGAGCGAAAGCTTTTGATAATGACGGCTATTTGGAAGGCGACTGTGAGGAGGACAACCGAAGCCGGTAGAATGAACCAGGCCCATCGCACCTCAAAGTGAGGTACATTGGTGGAGCTCGTGCCTTTGAAGGGCTCGGTGTCATTTGCATACGGTATGTAGCCGTACAATTCCGGTTCCTTGACCGTTCGCATCCAAGTCGACATGCTCGAGGCGACGTTTTCCATGAGTTTCGAAATGTTTCCGGACTTCGACATGGCTTCTGCTGTGTTGGATTTATAGACCGGAAAATCATAGTTGCCATACTCAGGAGGGATTCGTAGAACGATTGCGCCGCCACTGAATTCGTTAAAGGCGTATGCGTTTAAAGCGAGAGCTGCGTCGTCGGATATCCAGAACTCATGCTTCTCCGGAGTAACGATACTGGATATGGTCCCCACATATGGTGCGTAGTTGTCAAATGGCCTGAATTGGGACCCCAAGGTAGAGATAATGCGCGTGAAGTTCTGTTCGTATATGCCATTGACGACTGTGCTGGTCAGGTTCTGAACGCAGAACATGAGTTCACATTCTGTCCCAGTCACCTCATCTGGTCTTTCTTTGTTATCGGCTAAAGCCGCAAACTGAATGATGGTTGTGTTGAGAGCGGAGTACTTGTTGTCGTTGAGATTACTGGTCCAGTTACGAGAAAGTGGATTCAATCCCATTTCCCCTACTGGCTTCATTGAGAACTTAGTCCTTATGTCTTCGGTGTATTTTGTGAAGAAAGATAGGTTTCTAGCCGGCGGGTAAAAGAATGTTGCATTGCCTTTGGTTCCACCTCTTTGAACCATATTTGTGATGTTCTTGCATTCACTGCACACCCCTAGGCTTCGATATGAATCCCAGGTACAATTCCCACTTGGGCACGAGAAAGGCGGGTCTTTCAGATATTTCTCCGTCAAAGGACTAGAGAGGCCACTGTCTATTGCCGATCTCATACCAGCAGTTATATTCAAGTCTATGGATTGTTAGAGTCTCGCAAACTACTATTCAAAGCAAAACTCTTACCGAGAATCTGGCGCTCGAAATCAAACTGAAGGCGTCCTTCGGTGTAGTTTTTGGCTAGCCATAGAACTGCTGTTTCAGAGTTTGACGGTTTTAAGGGGTATTGGACAAGTTGTTGCGAGAACGGGCCGATCAGGACATTTAGAGAGCCAACGAATGCCCCAAAAGCTACCATGATGCTAGAGAAATGCTTATCAGAAAATAGAAATTCATGGGAACTATTGGAGAACTGCACTCACCCCACTCGGTTCATTGCAAATGACCTAAATCGGCCGCATGTGCTCCGACTTGCGCTGTCAATGAGTTCAATGTTTAGAAGTGATTGCGGCTTCTGAGCGAAAGCGATCCATTTCATCTGTCCAAGGCCACTCGCGACTAGAAAAGCCAGGCAGCCCTCCATGCTTGTAACAATTGCCGAAATGACGGCATTGGGAGTAACGTCAGAGCTCCATTCACTCCGCGGCCGGCCGTCGAACGCTCTCAACATGATGGCGAGAGAGATGAGTAAAGCCAGGCAAAAAGCCATGCAAATACTTTCTGGAATCCAAGAGCCTGACGGTAGTGGAGCCTTAACTCTTTGCTTGAAACCTCTCTTGGTTTTTTGTCCACTCTTTATCGGGCTAGCGTCGTTTTCGAAGCTGCTAAAAGGCTGCAGTTCGGTGCTCTCAGGGTCACGCATCGTGGCTAGCCGTACTACAGAGCTATGGAAATAGCCTAATAGACTCGTACCGGAGCGGCGGGTAAATCCTGTCAGACGAAGATGGGATAGTGGCTCTTGTGAATGAAAATATAGCGACTTGTCAAGATGACTGAAACAAAACTTCCCACTCCAGAAAGCGATAGACGAGTATGCGCAGGAAATGAAAAGACTGAGGAATCGGGAAGCTATCTACCTAGATTGCAAGATATAACTATGAGCTCGGGCAACGCGGGTACAAGGGTCCAAAGCTGACATAAGTTATGCATAGCAGCTAACGAATGTGGCTTGCCAACGCAACTTGATTCGTTCGATCACCCCCGGTCTCCATGTTACACAACAGCGGTCGCGCCATAAGACTGAAAGTCCGTTTGAAGTGGCGTTTTCTCTTACATTGGTGCCTAAAAAGCTTGCAAGGCCGCAACTCTCCTGCACGTACAAGCTGTTCCCATCTTAAATGGCTCTACATTCTAAAGAAAGCTCTTTGACTAGCGTTGATATTGTCAATGAACTAAAACTCTACGTTGGGATTTATAGGAAAGGTAAGGGTGCTGTTAATTTAGTTGTATACCAGAGTGATCAGCGTTCAGCTGCGGCTGAGGTGCCTCCAGTGAGCTTACATTTTCACCCTCCCACCCCTATACCCTTGTAATTTTATAACATATCTTTATACTCTCAGCTTCCTGTATCATTATGTCTTTTCGAATACTTCCATATCCTTAAATCCTTTTGCATTTTTCACATGAATACGCTTAGCAAAGTGAAAAAAGAAAAAGAAATCCGTTTTCGAGGGCCTAAAACACCTGCATTTTCACCTTCCCAAACCCAGGCTCATAGTATAATCTACTGTGAAGCTGGGCGCGAGGAATTGGACGCCGCTTGTCCTCCTAAATTACTAATACCTATGGCGGTATATATGCTGCTATCTAAAAGAACACGTTTTCTCTTTAAGATCCTTATTCCCTTGCAGTGGATAAACGTGTGGTGTAAGGGGTAAGGCTGTAGTGTAACAACTGACTGTAATAAGGCTGAAAAAACGAGAGTTATCGGAGTGATCCTGGCTGACATCTACATAATCCCCGCTTGCCGTCTTTCTCGTTTCCAACGCACTCACAACCATCAAAACCACAGCCAACAGGAACAGCGCCAGCGTATAACACTTATACCAAGGCGAGGCGATACACGGCAGCGTCGTCGACTCTGTCTTGTCCACCAGCATATGTCAGAAAATGACGCCAACCGTAATTCCAGCAAGGAAGCAAAACAGAATGTTCTGCAACAGGTACGACAGCGAATAGTGATAGCCAGCAGTGTGGGTCAGCGTAAGGCCAAACAAGCCCAGCATCTGCAGTGCGAAATAAAGGCGCACGAGTATGCCGCGGACGCTGTTGTGCGGGAATCGCTCAAGCTCCAGCTCAAGTCTGTTCTCTGACTCGGACTCACAGTCCGGCACCGGCGTTGGTGTTGACGGCTCAGAAGACGGCAAAGTCGCGTAGAGCGCTCGATGCGGCGAGCCCGCGTCGTCGAAAAGCCAGAGCGCAGCCGGCAGGCGGAAGAGGCCCAGCGTCGCTATAGGCAGGAAGATAGTGCCGAGAGAGCGGGGGAAGGGGCGGCCATGGAAGCTCACGACGACCGCGTAGAGGGCCTGCACGCCCTGCACGGTGACGAGAAGCGACTTGAGCGCGGACACGGAAAGCAGCGCGACGCGGCGCTTTTGCTGCTGCGCGAATCCGTCGTTGATGAAGAAGACGCTTTCTTTAGCCGCTGTTGCGCTGCTGCTCTGCGAATTGTGCCACCCGCATCCGGACCAGATGGCCGTGTTGGCCGCGACCATGTCCGCGCCGCTCCAGTGCGGCGTCCGCACGCGCCGGTCCGTCACCGCGTAGTAGCGCCACACGATCGAGGTCGGGTTGGAGAGCGCGATGCGGTCGAGCCAGGTGGGAGGGCTGTCGCTGGTCGTGCCGGTTATCGCGCGTGGAGATCCCGTTAGGATGTGTGCGAGTACGGGGGCGAGGCAGAGCGTGAGTAGGTTGACCCACTCGTCGAGGCCGAGGTTTTGGGACTGGTAGTTGAATTTCACGCCTTCGGATCCAGGGCCGTGGAGTGTGGTCGTTGAGTTCGCCATGGCTTGCACTGAATCTTCTTCTTCTTCTTCTTCTTCTTCTTCTCCCGGTTTTCGGTAAGAACGAAAGACCTGATCATATGTGAAGTCGGTGATGGTTTGGAAGTTTGGCTGTTTTATGTTTTTGCTATAGGGCAGCTCGGGCTGAGAATTCTCGTGAAACCAAACTCGGTATCAGCATGGGGCGGTCGGCATGCCCGATACATACATTGCTAAACTAGGCAGCGTTGTGCGATAGTTAAAGTTGGTCTAAAGGATACAGCCGTACCGTCTTCTGCAAATTCATATAGCACCTGCCAGAGCTTGGTGAGCACATCCGACATGCAGCGCATCTACGGCCCAAATCCAGCGACACAGCCCACTGATAGGATCTTGTGTACACACACGCGCGCGCACACACACATCAGCCAACGTCGTACAAAGGAACGCTTGCAATCCACATTAGGGTCGGGATAACGCGCTCTCTCTCTTTATTTCCTGGCAAATCGGGTTGTATGCCGCAGAAAAAGTGAACATGCAGAGTCTACATTGAGCAAATGGCAAAGAATAGGAACTAACATCCTACATTTGATGTCCCGATTATAAATTACATAGATAGACACTCCTTCGCCCATTATGCTGTTGCCCTTTTTAGCCCTCCTCCCATTCCCACTTCAACTCCCACTCCGCTCTGCTCCGTAACCCCACAATGCCCTTAGTCACAAACGCCCAAAACCCAAACTCAACTAACGACGAGATAGCCCGCCTGACTGCCTAACTGGCAGCCAATCAGGAATTACTCCAGCCCAGTACTCACTTACTGGCCACCAAGCAACCTCCCCGCGCTACCCCCACCATCTCTACTCCCACTACTCTCACTACTACTCTCACTACTCTCGACTAACCTTCCATTCTCCCACCGCTGCGTCCTCGTCACTCTCTGCGTATGCGTCTCCATCTCCGGCTGCCCCAACTGCTGTCCCGGCGTCAGGAAGCCCTCAGGAATCTCTCCTCCCGGCATCTCCACCACCATCGACGTGGTATACGTCTCCAAGAAGCCGCGGTCCTGGGGGTCCAGCTCGTTGAATATGCGCGTGGCTTCCAGCTCCTGGACGTTATTATTCGGCTGCTCCGGCTCGCGCTCCTGCGGCCCCGGAGACGGAGGCGGCAAAGGCGACGGCGTCGTCGTCAGTGTCCGCACGTCCACCCAATCGCCATGCTGCTGCGGAGCATCCATCTCGCTGACCGCGGTCGGGGTCTCCAGCTCCTGCGGCTGTGCAGGTGGAAGCGGCGATGGCGTCCGCGGCGCTGCAGCACCTAGCTCTTGTACCGGAGGATCGGCTGCCGGCTGCGCGGGCGGGGGTCCAGAAACCGTCGGCGAGGCTCCGAGCTCCTGCGGCTGCGGTGCCGGCGGAGGAGGTGGTGGTGGGTTCGTGTCGACGCCGAGGCCGTGCATCTGCGCCGGTTCCTCGGGAAGCCGCTCGCCCTTCTCGGTGTCGCTCTTGCCGTCTTCCGCAGCTGCCACGGCGGCCTGGTTCTTTCGTCGGTTTCTGAGGAGCACGATCACCAGGACGACGACGCAGATGATGCCGATGACACCGCCGCCAACGCCGACGCCGATGCCTGCTTTTTCGCCAGTGGTCAGGGAGCTGGAGGATGCGTGCGAGTCGGCGGGAGTTTCAGGCTCCGCGACTGGCGCGACATGGATGGAACCGGCGGAGTTGTTGCAGTCGAGGCCGCCGGTGATGATACCTGCATCAGCCAGGTGCTTGAAGATGGAGCAGCTTGCATTGCCGGTTGATGCGAGGTCAAGGTGGCCGTCGAGGCCTTTCAAGGATGGGAAGGATATGCTAGAAGGCTTGTTAGCAAGTTTGTATTATCCAATGCGCGTCGCGTACTCACTTGGAGAAGTTTCCCCAAATAGTTGCATCGCCGCCGATGCTTGAGAGTGCGTTCAGGGCGATGTTTGTCAGGTTCATGTTGTCGGAAATGCCAATCTGTTGGACGGAGCCCAGTTTCGGAAGCGAGAGGTTGGAAAGCCGCGAATTGCCCACCAGCCCCAAGAAAGATTGAACCTGGGTAAGGTTGGGCGCGGAAAACGTATCGATTCCGGTGCCGTATATCCCCAAGGAGCCATTGACGCTCTGCAGAGACGGTACAGACAGCTCCGAGATGTTGCGGAGAGACATGTTTAGGGTCGTTGTGAGATTAGGCATGCTCAGGTTGAGATGTTGCCCATTGGCGGCGACTGTCAAGCTGGACGTGATTTGCTGGAGCTGTGGCAAGTGCAGCGTTTCCAGATACATGTTATCGGAAATGCGCCCCTCACCAATGCTTCGAAGGCGGTCCAACCCAAGGCCTTCCAGGGTCTCGAGGTGCGTGTTTCTAATATCGACTGTCGAGGCTTCGGTGATGTTCGTCGTGAAGTTCAACCTCGGGAGTGCGGTAAGCCCGTTCCACCGGATCTCCTCTACATGCGTGAGGTTCGGAAAAGTTATGTTCGAGAGGGTCTCCAGGTCTTCGAGAAAGAACTTGTTCATGGACCGCAGGCTTCCACTGGAGATACTTTTCAAGCGGTGAGATCCGGAGATGTTCAAGTTCCCTTTGATGACTTCGATTCCGTTGAGGGAAACATGGCCTCTAACATTTTGCCCTAAAGTCACATCGCCTGAGAACGTTGGGCAAGCGGCCAATGATTGCACATCCGCAGGTACGCTGATGGTGGTGGTTCCAGAGCAGCCTATATGGCTCATCGGTCAGCAAATACAGCCAATGGCTGGGAAGGTTTGGAGGCAACTTGCCTGCAGAGACTTGACGCAGCCAGACTGGCAGCAACAAGAAACTATACAGCATCATCTTGTGAAGGAGGGTGCGACGGAGGGCTTAGGAGCTAAGCATTGCGGGGGGAATAAAAGGTTCAAGTGATATTGCGCACGCCATGTGGACTTTTTTGCCTTCAACTAGAAGAGGTAGGTGCATGGCCGTGGACGGTGCCATTGTGGAGCAAACGTTGTTGTTGCGCGAATCCCATCTGATATACGGGCTCCAAGAGGCAATGAATTGCGGTTCAATTACTGGAATACGAAGTTGAAGCTGTGCTTTGACGCCCTATACCGTATTTATGAGCTCTAAGTGCTTAATCAAGTCAGTGATATAGCCTCGTTGCCCTATTAAGCCGGCCAGGGACAGACCGGTCGAAATGTACATCAAGGTCCGTGAGCTTTGCCCTGGATGATCTTGTACAGGTCAGAAAGGCGGTCCGGAAGCGGTGCCGATCGTTGACGGGTTTGGCCTTGAAGTGTGGAGACGATTTCTATGCCGGGGGCCAACAGAGTCATCGAACTGCAACCCGGTGCGGTGGTACGCCAAGACAGCTTCCTTCTCACCGTGCCAGCGACCGACAGCGGCCGAGGCTTTTGCGACGACGCGAGAGCTCTGCTCGCACTGCTGACACCCTCCAGAACACTGCCAACGCCTTATCACCCACCGCCATCGCCTTTGCGACTCGCATAATGAACCGATGCCGCCTGCTGCCACCGTCGGCGCCGGACCTTGCACGTTGGACGTGTTATCGATTGAACGTGTGCGCTTCGAACACTCGACGGCCCCTTTTCGACTGAACCTGCGAAACCGGCACCAGCGTCTCCGCCCCAAAGATGGTGTGCCACGGCCATTACCCTCTTGAACCGCACGACTCTGGCTCGTCGTCGGCCTATCTCCGGTCAAGCGAGCGCCGGAGGTAGAACCACGCCATCGCGCGAGACGAAGGCAGGCAACGGTTTGTCGCGGCGGCCGATACGGAGGTGGAACCGGAGCAAGATATCTGTGGCTTCGAAATGGTGCGAAACAGATGGGTGAACGACACTAGGGACTGAGGTGGTTCCATGTGGGAGACCTCGCGCGTGCGCCGGAGATTTGACGCCGCGAGCCGCCCACGCCAACGCGGGACCTCCATCTTTCCTTTCATCTACAAAGACATACTAACACAGAATAATCTTCTGCGACATTACAACGGCAAGACTCCAGAATACTGATACAGGTCTTCGTCCAAGAGCGCCCGCTACCAGCCAGACTTCTCCGCCTATCGCACTCTCAACTTTTCGTCACATTCCCGGTTAGGATGGCAAAGTATGCCTGCTTGGATCCAGGTCCAGCAGCATGGAACCTCTCGGGACGACACAACTAGCTCTTGAGTCAAGACTTTTTGTGTGGGTCTGCCTCCGCAGGGCCAGTATGACGAACATAACAGGCTGTCACTCGGCAGGAAAGCGTCATTGGCTCATATAAGGCTGATACTCACAGCATTTGTTCACCAAGGCAAGCTTTTATCGGACCAGTCTTTTCATTTTTCTGTCAATTTTTATCCTGTTTATCCGACGACAAAATATTGGCTGGGACAAGCCTGACTTGCTGCTGCGCTTACTGACATATCGCGTCGCAATCTGGGTGAAGATCAGCAAAAGCATTAACTTGGCAACGCGGGGAACCCCTCAGCTCTATGCGTATACATAGTAACGCTCATAACTGCTCTTGTTCCCACATATTCCTCGGAATTGCAGAATCACTGTTCCACCATGGCGTCCATTTTACTGTCTTTGCTTGGCGTTATCGCAAGTTTCCTTGTCTTGAAAATTTACGCGTTCATCAAAAACATTCGTCTGGCCAGAGCCACCGGACTTCCTTATGTTCTGTCTCCGTGGATAGATGTTGACGACATCACCATCATCGTTAGCCCATTACTGCGTAAATGGAATCGCAAATATCTTACGAAGGGCCAGGGATGGCCAAAGTGGATCCGCTTCATGGTCAGAGACTGGACATAAGAGGACAAATACAGGGCTCATGAGGAACACGGAGAAGTGTTCCTCGTTGTAGCACCTTCTGGCATTATATGCCAAGTGGGCAACAGCGGTCTGGCTTCGTACGTCACTGGCCATAGAAGGCAATTTACGAAAGCTCAGAAGAGATTCAGTATGTCTCTTTTGATCGACTTTACTTTCCTGATCCTTACAAATTACAGAAGTTTTGGAAATATTTGGTCCTAGTTTAGGCAGCACCGATGGGGATACGTGGAGACGTCATCAGCGCATCGTCCTGCCTGTCTTCGGAGACCAATTGAATGAAATTGCTTGGAAAGAAGCGGCCCGGCAAGCAAATCTCTTGAAAGCATCTTGGTCTACGCATGGAACGCAAAGCTTGGACAAAGCCTTCTATACCTTGACAGTAAATGTCATCGCTCACGCCTTGTATGGTCAACAAGTGGACTGGGAGGATGACGCTTCCATTCCGAGTGGCCACACAATGAACCTTGTTGGTTCTATCATGGGCATTATCAACAACCTTCTGGTCATACTTGTCCTTCCTCGTTGGCTTCTCAGATTATCACCGTGGCAGAAAGCATACAAGGCTGTCGTAGAAAACGAGCAGTTCATGCAGGAGTTCCTTGCTGCGGACGAGAGGCGGATCGTTTCCGGCCTCAACTCTGGCCCAAAAAGTGTCCTTACAGCTTTGGCGGAGAGTCGGATAACTAATTCTAAGGGAAGGTTTCAACTCGGTACCAATATTAAGACAGAAAAGGCATTGACTTATCAGGAGATAATGGGAAATTTATTCGTTTTCTTGTTGGCAGGTAAGTTTGCCTAAGTGCGCACAATGCAGATGAAGCTAATCTATTCAACTTTCTACTAGGATATGACATAACAGCACTTTCGCTACAATACGCCTTTGTCGTTCTTGCTTCACAAAAAGTCATTCAAGATCGGATCATCAATGAGATTGATGGCCTTTGTCGCGAAATTGCGCAGGCTGGTCAGAGCGAGCTCAATTACAGTCAACACTTTCCCAGACTGAGGTATACTCTTGCATTCATGGTAAGCCCGCTCCAAAGCGCTACGTGACTGTGCCAGGTTAACCTTGAACAGTTTGAGGTCTTACGAGTCTTCCCCATTGCCAATGTAGTGTCAAGGATAACCGAAGAGCCGCAAGAAATCCAATTCCAACCAACGCAAACCACACAACAGCACGATGAGGCATCTTCACCACGCCGCCATATCCTCCCCGCCGGAACCACCGTCCACATAAACATCCCCGGAATCGAACACGCGGCGCGCTACTGGCCGCAACCCTCGATCCTCGAGCCGCGGCGCTGGCTCCGCGACAATCCGAACGAGTGGGACCCACTCGCCATGGCCGGCGACCCGGACAGCACCACCGCACCTATCCCGAATTATGCGAAAGGCACGTTCATGGGTTTCAATGAGGGCGCGCATATGTGCCCTGGCCGCAAGTTCGCGCAGGCAGAGTTTGTGGCCGTGGTTGCGGAGCTGTTGCGCTGTCATCGCGTTGAGCTTTGCGATGATAAAGAGAGCGGGGTACTGGAAAGAGAGCTGAGGCTCCGGAATGGAGATTCGCCCGTCTTACTGTCGCCGCCTGTCGAGCTGAGGCTGAAACTTGTGCCGCGGGCTTAGCTGCATTAGTGGGATGCGGTCAGCACGGATGGCTGGTGTGTAATGCGGACCGCGCGGATGGCAGGTTGGTGGGGCAGATGTGTATTGCAAGGTGCTACAATTGGCTAACGCCTTCCAAACTCATAAAATCATCCCAGGGGGATTGCATGAGTGCTACCAGTTATGCTAACATTGTTAAAAGGGCTTAGCTTACGCCCATCCGTACCCCCACACTGGATTCCGTTTAACTCCATTTGCCCACATACATACGTAGTGTATGCGCACCGCAGTGAAATAATGCCGTTAGGTAGTAAGATGTCTTTGCACGGTATCCACATTAAACAGTTTATTGCCCCGATCTTCCTGTTTGCTTCCAGCTGACTGTTATAAATAAGGGCAACGCGCTCTAGTCAGCATCGGCAAAGAAATTTTTTTCTTCCTCGATCCTTCTGTCTCCGCTTGTGTGGTCGACGAGTTGTTCTCTGAAAGCCATGACAAATTTCACCACACTCCTACCTCGACATATATCATACACTTTTACATACCAGTCGCAGGATATCAATTTCGGAGAATGGACCACTCTGATAACGCTGTGCCTGGCCCCGGTTCTTACCCACATCCTCATTGGCGCTCCCGAACAAATTATTATTGCAAGACCTGGTCCATCCTGGCTTGACAGTATCTCTCACTACAACCCTATATCGATTTTCTGGAGATATTATGCAATCACAGACCGCAGAATCCGGACAACGAATTGGAATGCCGATGATATGGTGGCCGCGAACTCAGCCGTTTGGTCAGAATCGGGCTGGTATAGTCCTCAGATGTTGGACAAGAGAGCTTTGAATGGCACCTATGGTCAATTTCCCCGGAAGAACAGGATATCTCTGATCTCTACATCAGCCTTCAAAACACTGATCATCACGCTTCAAGGCGTACAATCGATGTATTACATAAGGCCCTTCCCTGGGTGGAAACTCTACTCGCGATCATTCGCTACTATCTTTGGCGCACTGGCAATGATGGGCTTCCTCCGCCTCTCCGCCGCACCCTGGCTTCTCGACGATTCCGCGTCTCTCCAGCCAGCCTATTCTGTGTATAACGCCTATCCTTCGACACTGAATCTCATGTCCGAGGACGACAGCGTAGCAGAAGACGACCCCATGTCAAGAAGACTTCCGCGACGCAGCAGCCGTGGAATAATTGTTCGTGTGTATTTCCTGTGGCTGGCGGCGGTAGTTCTGGGACTCGCAATTTCAAACTACGTTCTTACTTATAAAGGACCCGATATTTACATGTCAGCCACGTTCTTGGCCGAAACAATTTTCTTCTGTTTTCTCCTTGGCACCGGCACTTTCATCGCAGGATATTACATTATAACCGACAGATCGGACTCAACGATTCTACCTTGTTTCAATTCCTTGTGGTACAAATACTATACGGTGGTTTTGTATGCAATGGCCATTTCATTTATAGTGGTCTCTGCACTTGAGACGAGGAAGACACCTGAGGGAGCGTACGTAGACTATCCACCGGGCCGGAACGGAGCGGATTGATGCCAGGCTATCGGAGCTTTTTCTTTCCTCGACTTTCCCTTCATTACAAAGCTCTTTCAATATTTTCATTTTGTTTTCCGCTGTTTCGACGCTATACTAGCTCTCCTTACGTATTTAATGCGCGAGCACATAACTTCTTGAATTCCCTATGTACATAAAAGTAGCTGCTGGTTACTATTTGTGATCCAGCCTCGCTCTCATCTTTACTTGCACGATTCATTTAAGCATGCCAGAAGTTAAGCTTCTTGTAGCTTATGTGATATCCGCTAGATCAACCCTTCTTAATTCGCTGAACGGATCCACGCGGGTAAGTTCGTCAACGCCAAGTCAAATCCACCGCCCAACGAGATAATAACGCTTATACAAGTGAAAAAGAAATATGGTTAAAATAACTACAGTATGTATATGCTCTGTGACCTTTTTATTCATATCTATAACTCAATCTTATAGCTAGACAGGGATTATTTACAGGTACTGCTTGTATCCTTCCGTATCTCGCTAGATGGTGAGTCTCCCTGACGGTGCCGGACGTCATTATGTGCATGACAACACCTAGATCAACTGCCGCTTCATTAGGCCCGCATCTTAAGCAAACATTTGATTGTTCATCTCCATAAAAAGTTCGAAGACGGGAACAGAAAAGTGGGAGAAATCAAGTTGAGAGTATTTCCTAGTTTGGCAGCGGATGTGAGACTAAATGCCAAGGAATTGCAAGCATAACCAGATTTGGTAATCCTTGCGAGGCTGTGAGGCTCTTAAACCCCACCGGCACACGGTCCGGATCTCCGAGGAGTCACCACTCTAGTCTCTATCCGCACCCTCTTCCAACCAACAACTCTAACCCACGTTTCTTGGCCCGTGGCTTCCGCGGGACTTCCTCGGATCTCTGGATCTGCAACTTACTGCATCATAATTCAGGAAAATGTTCGGCTTTTTGTAGCGAATGATATCGCTGCTCTGTCCGAACTTGGAATGATCACGGAAACTTCTACGTGGGTGCACATGCTAGCCTTGCGGTATCGCGGACTGATGTTCATGCAAACCGTCAAAGCTATGTCCGTCCCATCTTTCCCCCGCTTCGTGTCACTTCCGAAATTCGGACTAGGAGATACAGGAAATAAGAATGTTGGGTATAAATTTAACATACCTACTGTGCATTTTATCCTCCATAAAATTCCCTGACACAGACGAGTTACTGGAACGTGTTGTTACTATTGTCTATCAAACCTATTTTCCTCACTGAACAAATATGAGGCCCAAAATTGGAACAATGGCACTGACCGCTTCTGCCATGGCTTGGGAACTTGGCACAAACCTAACGAACTCTCCAGAATGTGTACGTTACCTCAAATCTTGTCTTGAACTCTCACATCCTAACGTTCTTCAGTGTAACATCCTTCAAAAAGCCGGCCTTGCAAATGTTTACCTCCCAGGAGACGAAACCTACGCCGCGCAGATCTCGTCCTACTGGTCCGTCTCAGTCCAATTGCATCCCTACTGCATCGTGCAGCCAGAAACTACAGCCGATGTCTCAACGACCATCACCACACTGGTAGAAGAAACAAACTGCAAGTTCGCCATCCGCAGCGGCGGCCACTCTTCCAACCCCGGCGCCAACAACATCGAGAAAGGCGTCACCATTGACCTGAGTGAGCACTCCTCGCTTCCACCCTTCCACATGCAAGCACCACTGACGTACTTGGCCCAGGCCGCATGAACACCACAACGCTCTCCCCCACCGGCGACACCGTATCCATCCTTCCCGCCGCACGCTGGGGTCAGGTCTACCAGTACCTCGACGCACAAAACCGGGGCATCCCAGGCGGGCGCCTCGGCGCCGTCGGCGTCGGCGGCCTAGTCACCGGCGGCGGGCTTTCGTTCTACGTGAACCGGCAAGGCCTGGTATGCGACAACGTGCGCAACTTCGAGGCTGTGCTCGCGAGCGGAGAGGTCGTTGATGCGAATGCGACACACAATAGGGATTTATTCACTGCTTTGAAGGGCGGGTCCAGCAACTTCGGTGTTGTCACACGGATTGATATCGACACGTTCCCGACGTCCCCAATTTGGGGCGGCGAAAGGACGTACCCGGTGGCGCAGGCTGAGTACTTCTACCCTGTGATGGTGGACTGGACAAACAACATCGAGGAGTATCAGAATGGGTCGGCGCTTGTGTTCTTGTATCATGAGTCTTTGAGAAACGAGACGCTCATTCATGGCGTCTACACTGATGTTTCTGGTACTGTTGCTGCGCCGGCATTCGACAAATTTCTAGCTATCCCGGGACACACGTCTTCGAATTTGGGGATGACCAACATGTCCACTTTGTCCCGGGCATCACAAGCGCCAGGGTACCGGTAAGGCTCTGCGTTCTTCTTGGCTTTATCTCGCTGACAGAAGAAGGGATGTTTGGTTCACTGTTACCTTCAAGAATGATGAGCGTGTCATCAAGAAAGCTGTCGATCTTCATAATTCCCTCGTCGAAGAGTTAAAACAGGAGTCTTCCGATGGCGATTTCATCATGCAAGCTTTCTTCCAGCCATTTCCCACAGTCATCGGCAAGCATTCGGCCGAGAAAGGTGGCAACATTGCCGGGATTGATGCCATTGACGAAAACGCCATCGTAATGTTGGGATCGCTAGCCGTTAACGGAGCGGACCAAGAAGTCATGGGCCGAGAGAAAATGCTTGCTTGGAAAGATGTCGTGGAAGGTTATAGCGAGAGCATCGGTGCCGGTGTGAGCTTCCGCTACTCCAACTACGCCGACCGCTCTCAAGATGTGCTCCGCAGCTACGGCGAGGATAACGTTCGCAAGATGTGGGACGTTTCGAAAAAGTATGATCCGGAAGGTGTTTTCCAGACAAGGGCTCCTGGTGGTTTCAGATTGCCAACGGATTTGTGAGAACATATCTGTAAATGTATATAACTTGCTCTTTGCCCTTATATAGTTACAATGCCACGGAGAATCTGAATCCTCCTATTCCCTTTGACCTTCTGGAATTGGGACGGTGTGGGATAAAAAAGGCATTGTCGGCGAAGATGCATTAGACGCGCCGTCGCGTTTGTCGCGTAGTAGAAGAAGTCAGCCCATGAGATTCAGTCAGCAATCGCAGCGGTTCATCATACACCGAAAAGCTCGCTTTAACGGAAGCTTCTCGCTACAGCTGGCCAAAGCGTCGCGTAACCGGTAGCAAACGAAAGTGGGTCAGAATAAGTTAATTGGTACGAGCGAGCAATCATGCTGATCGAATACATGCTGGTTATAGATGCTGATCCTATAGACGCTGATCGAGATGCTGATCGAGCACATCCGACAATATACGTGGTATGCTGACTTGTGCTGCTTGCCCATCCATTCAGCTTTCGTCGATGGCCACCTGTTGCATGGTTTCAAGCGGAGATCGGGCTTTCTAGAATTTCACAGTGAAGAACAAGGAGTTTGTTATCAACAAGCAATTGATTTCTGCAGTCTTTGGGTATCCTGACTACAGCTTCTATAATTACATTACATTATTTCATGAAGTTCTTTGTTTCTTCCCCTCGCTCACATCACTTCTCAAAACCGCCAATCAGCACCCGCAACCACTTAGTTGGTGTAGGGGTTAGGAAGGCCAATGTTAGTGTAGCAAGAGGCCTTCTCAGAGCTGCACTGAGCCATGTTGGCGCCAGGGCCGGTACGGCAAGAGTTGTCCGCCTTATCGCAGCACTCCTTGGTCTGGCAAGCATCACCGGAGCGGCGCTTGGAGTAGGGGTTGGGGAGACCGGCATCGCTGTAGCACTGCGCCTTCTGAGCAGAGCAAGTAGCCATGTTGGCACCAGGGCCGGTACGGCACTTGTTGTCTGCCTCGTCGCAGGACTCCTTGGTGGCATCACGCTTGCCGTAGGGGCTGGGGAGACCGGCGTCGCTGTAGCACTGAGCCTTCTCAGCGGAGCAAGTAGCCATGTTGGCACCAGGGCCGACGCGGCACTTGTTGTCCGCCTCGTCGCAGGATTGCTTGGTGGGGGTGTCGCGCTTGCCGTAGGGGCTGGGCAGGCCGTTGTTGGTGTAGCAAGCATCCTTCTGAGCGCTGCAGAAGGACATGTTGGCGCCCTCGCCGACGCGGCACTTGTTGTCGACGTCGTCGCAGCAAGCCTTGTCCTTGCAGGAGGCAATGTCGGGGAACATGTCGTCGCGCTTGCCGTAAGGGTTGGGCAGGCCAATGTTGGTGTAGCACTGAGCCTTCTCAGCGGAGCAAGTGGCCATGTTGGCACCAGGACCGACGCGGCACTGGGAGTCGGCGGTGTCGCAGCACTGCTGAGTCTGGCAGGCGTCGCCACTGCGGAAGTTGCCACCGCTAGGGAAGGCGTAACCGGAGGAGAGGAGAGCCGCAACGGCGAGGATGGTGGCCTTGGTGAACTGCATCTTGATTGGTGGAGGGAAAGACTGTATGTAGCTGTCTTGACTGGTTGAGCGAGTGGTTGTGTGATGGAGTGAGAATATGGCGTGCGGCTTGAGGCAGTATATATACCTGTCTGTTGCCCAGCGACGACCGTTCGAGCTTGGTCCTTTCTCTTGCAGCTTGGCAGGGCGACCATTCTCCCACAGTTTGTTACACTGACCTCGTATTGGCTTTCTTTAGAACGGACCGGACCATGATGATCCGCAAGCCTGTTCCCACCTCTGTAGGGCTCACGGAAGTCTCACCCCATCAATCATCTTTCTTTGGATCAGTATCGCCGACCGTTGTGGTAAACAGTGATGCAGCTTCAGGACTGCAGTCTCGACAACAACCACAAAGCGTACCCAGGATGCCAGAATTCTTCTCTGAGATGGCAGACTTCTGTCGACAATGAACACGGACTTCTTTTACAAACGCGTCAGCAACGGAGAGAGGTGCATAGCCTCTCGGTCAATGCTCCGACCTACCGAACACGAGGGTCCTGAGTTTCATAAAGTCGGATGTTCACCGTGCGTCTGGTCATAGTTCCGAGAGTGACGTTCCAAAAATTCCGCAATGGGTAAAGTTCAAAGCCGATCGCCTTCCGTCCCGTTCGTATTCTATACGCCTCTCCCGTCATTCTTGTGGAGTATGTATGGGGTAAACGCTTGTATCCGCAATCAATGCTGTTGGCTGTAGGGGGACGAGAGACGGTAGTTCAAGAAAGCAAAGTTGAGTCGTCAAGAAGTGCTGTGCTGACAAGGCCGCTTAGGTCGTTGTTTGTTTGTGGACTTTCGCGCTGTTCTCATTTCCGGATGCGTGATTTTCCTTACAGCGGCACAGCAAAGCGAAGGACAAGTCCCTAGTCCGGCACATCCGGTTCTGACTTCTTCCCCGGTCTTGGAACACGATCGAATCTTAAGCGTGGTGGGCTGCTCGTACTGACCCCTGATTGACGTAGGTGGCTACCCGATTGGGTTATCTGAAACGGGCCGACAGAAGGAATGAGATCTCAAGACTCAAATCCATGAACGATTGCCGACATGCGAAGGCGCCCAGCTAGAAGCAAGCCTTTCGAATCTTGGCCTTACTAAAATCAGTACAACGTAGGTAGTTGACCCGGTGATAACTACGTCAGATTGCTTGGAGTAATTACGATGCGACGCGCAAGATATTATTAATCTGCCAACCTGTCTGTCCTCTGATGTCGGTCATCGGGATACGAATTGTGCTGGCAGCATTCTACGGGACTGGTGTTGCGCTCGAACAGTTGAGCGACTGGGGTCTCTCGTAACCTGTAGCTTAGGTGGTGTGGCCTGCGGATTAGGGGGCCTTTTGGTGGCACCTTGCTTTCCAGCAGCGAGCTTGCCAGCACGTCTCTTCAGGTGGCATCAAGGGGCACAGGGGCAACCGGACATCAGCCCAACGGGGTTGTGCTCCAAGTCCAAGCCACGATTGCCCTGGGCTGCCGGTAACCCACGGGATCGTTGATGGCTCCCGCCGCTAACGACGTGGCTGTAGCATTGATCCATTGCCGACCGGTGTGTGAGCCAGTCGAGGACCACATGATGGGCCGCCTCGAGCGAATGCCCATTCTGCTGTCTGCAATTCATTTTTGCTGTCTTTGCCTTGTCGTGAGAACAGCCGCTAGGGAGGGATAAGGTGTTCCAAGTAGAACCCGAGACCATGAAATGGTGCGTAGAGTTGACAGTATTCAATGGACTGAAATTGGTGCTAAATCTTGGTATGATCTTTCCAATTGACGCGGCAGGGGAACGTGCCGTTCATGACTACTTCGGCGGCTTTCCAATTGCGCGGTCGAAAGAGCCCCACACTATGTCCGGCGGCCTGAGCAAAGTAAACGACAATGCTTTGCTGCAGACTACGGATCCGTACGACAGGCCAATTGAGCGGATGTTGTGGTCATAAGCGCTATAAGATGTAATATATGAGTCGAAATTGAAGAGTGAGATGCAATGGCGGCACCGTCGTCGACTACTCCTACTTCATACTCCGAATCATGGACGGGACTGAGAAGGAGCCACGAGGGTTCTTCGCCACTTGAATAGCTTGCGCATCGCTCAGAGCCGAGGCACAACCAGCGATGCTGGTTTCTCCATAATGCTGCATATGGATGTGGTCGAGACAAAAGGTTGAGCAAGTATCGGCGAAGAGCTGGAGTGACAGCTCACGCCGCGGGCGGGGAAAAACGCAACGGAAGAACCGCTCTGTCACGTGATAAAAGAAACTCATAGGTACACACCCCAAGTCTCAATCCACAAACCACTCAACAAACGGATCCTGACAATTTCTAAACAGACGAGAGATAGAACAGCCAAGTCTTTTCATGATAACGCTTCTCGCATTCGAGAGAGGTGCGCCGTCCAGCGAGACAATGCCTTCAACATCTCATTTAGATGAGTTCCATGCGCAGTCGCTCTGACTTTGAAAATCCGAAACGCTATTGCAATGCCTTAATACGTTGACAAAAGGATACGAGCAGTTTCCATGGAGTACTCTTTCATTGTCTCTTTAGGAAGAGATTCTTGATAAATGATGACCAACGGTAGGAGCGTTGTTACATTTGCTATTCGACGGAACTTGTTGGTTGAACATCCGTCACATGCTAGTCACGTGCCTTAGCCTACAATGCGGCACAGCCCTTGCCGTAGCCTCACTTCTCTTCAACCCGCGTACGTCACTTCAATATCCCATTAGCAAGTCTGCCACAGGTGACGATGCTTTCTTTTCCGATGATACTGAGCTCGACTACTGCTCATCAACATGTCATCATCTCATCTTCGAAGGAATTATTAGCTAAAACCTTGTCAGTCATCACATGCACATGCGTGCAACTCTGGCAATGGGGGGCAGCTCAAAGTCACAAGGAATCTGCGTAAAATCGACCTTGGGTTATGCGTTTATTACGCAAACGTTGCCAGTAAAATGGCAGAAAATGGATCGTTGAAATTCGAGCTGACAATTTTCCAGAAATTTCTGTTTACCATTTGTGCTCGAAACGAGCTCTTCTTATAACAATATACCCCCTTTCTTTCTCATACCCCCCTTCTCATGCTTTCCGTTGCTAAAAACCAGAAGAACGGTGGGCCGAGTTCGGCAAACCCCGAAGGCTTTACGACTCCATCGCAAATTTGGACCGCGCCATGGAACGCTGGTGCTATGGACTCGGCTAGGTAAGTTTGTGGCACTCCGCGATTTGCAAAAGGTTCATCGTGATAGGTTCTTGCCGTTTAATACAGGGCAAACAAGATGGATAGTGTTATCCCGTGGGTACTTCAAAGCATCTCGGTCGCTTCCGTACTTTTCAAACAATATGTCAACATCGTTCAATTAATCGAGGCTAGCAAGTGGCTTGATGAGGGAGGCCTCGAGATGCGAAAGAAGGCTGGGCTCTTACGCGACCGGAAGCAACACTGATTTCCTGCCTGGCACATGCGCCAATGGAAGATAAGTCTTTCATTTACGCAGCTGTGTACTGTGCTTGATTCTGGAGTGGTTTGGAACTTTAAAGTTTTACAGGACACCTTGATCTGGGATCAAGCGCGGAAAGAAGCACAGGTCATAAAATGGCAGGAGAAACTTCGATGAACAAGGCGACGAACTAACGTAAGCATGGTACTGATACACTTGGGATCATCACATGGAACTAAGTCAGGCTTCTGATCGGCTTTGCTAAACATCCTATCACTTCCACTGAAAGTAAAAACAAAGACTACGGTCCCGGAAACCCTTACAATTCTGAAGATACCGACAGCTTCCCAACACATCCTTCTGTTCTGATGGACATATTCACAGCCTTGAATTGTCATCGGGGCCCATAAAATGAGTTGATGGCGGGGTAGTTCTGATCCCAACCGGGATGGCATCCGCATCATCATTTTCCGCTGCATTCCACGCGAGCTTGTATAAGCCATCCTGAGTCGTAACCTTGGCATAGAAGAGAGATTCAAAAATGCCGCTATCTGCCTTCCGGAACAGAGTGGACCCGTAGAAGACAAAACCGGTATTGGTATAATCGTCAGAGGGCGCCGTGGCAACAATTTGAAGGGGCTCGAATGCGTCATCAGCAGTGTCGACGAAGAGGTACTTGGTGGCCGCCCAGTTCACTCTGGTGGTGTTGGAGTTGATGACGGCAGCCTCAGAGGCCGAAGTCCAAGTCACTATAAGCTGTCAGCATTTGTGGCTTTCGTTGATGGTGAAAGACTTGGGTCTCATACTGGTAATATTGCTGACCACAGAAGCACCCGAGGGAACTACTTGACCAATGTATGCGGTACCTGCGCCATTGTTAGCATACGGCAATTATCATCGAAGGCCCGATCTCACCGTCTGCATAGAAAACGGGCAAGCCACCCATCGAATCATCACGACCGCCTCCATAGGCAAATAGTTGTACGCCCGACTTGACTGCGCGTTCCTCCAGAGGAGATGCCAGGGCAAAGCTGCTGGCAAGCAACAGCTGGCAAATAGAGGCCAACATCATCTTGTGATCGACTTTGCAGTGGGGTCGAAATTGATCGGTACAAAAATCTGAAGAGTGAAGAAAGGAACGTTAAGAGCCGGGGGCCTTGAGCGCTTTTTCTAGCAATGAACAGCCTCCTATGAGCGGTAAGGGTGTCTGACAGAGTCCAACATTGTTTTGCTTATGGGGAGGTCAAGAAACACAAACCCAATCACTACCTTGTAGTGGTCTCGGAACGACTCTAGACTCAGCCTGCCTCGTGGACGACGCACGCGGCCTCGCCATTCACATCCTTGTTGCCGCGTCTCAGGATCTGCAGAGGGACCACATGGGCTAAGCCTCCCAAGTCCCCCGAAGGCCGCGATTGAAAATTACCACAAAAAGACTAGCGTGGTTCTGCACGGACGGACGCCTTCCCAACTCGGCTTGAAGCGAGCGCGATTTAGCCCGGACTGTCTGTACCGAACTGAGACCTCTACTTCAATGGCGCAGCAGTTGAACAGAGCGTGACGCAAGCCTTCTGGGGAAGGTTGTGCCGGAGTGGAGACCATTGAATAGTTGGAGGTTTTGCAACTCGCGTGCGACCTGCAGGCAATGCGTCCATCTCCCGTCCCGTTCCTTGGCTTTACCTCATTAGAAGGTACGTGCACTGCTGCTGAGCCATCTATGATCTGGTATTGCTGACGACGACTTCTAGAGCTTATTCCAATAAGCCTTACTTGGCCGGCGTGGCGTAGCCACAGTCAAGCCTCGTGAGGCTTGAAAGCATTCGCGTCTCCGCAAAAGGCACCGGCCTCGGGAGTTAGCGCCAGATACCCCTTATTGATGTCTTACAATGCAACATTGCCTTGGGAAGCCGCTGGTGCGCACGGCACCTTTAGCAGCCTTACCGCACCCGTCTACTGCAGCTCGGTTTAGAACCAAGCCAATAGCGAAACAGGTACAATCAGCACATTGCAGTAACATATCGCGACAGCTGCATTATGCTTCAACGCTTGCAAATTGCAATTTAGTTCTTGCAAACGGTTCGCGGTCTCGATTAAGTTTTGCTTTCCCAATATCACCGGTCCTTGTCCGAGAAGAGACCCAACAGAGCCGTCCAGTCAGTATACTGATTTTCGAGTCAGAGGACAATCTCCGGCCCGATTTGAACGTCAGTGAAGAAGATTGACGTCTCTTTTCGTGGATCGTCCATCGAAGAGGCCAAATCCGGAATGTCTGTTCCTCCAGCTAGACGTATATAGCCCCTTCTACTAAGAGTTCTTACGATGCTTCTAACGAGTACTTAGACACTACCTCAAGGCGCACCGCTTACGCGTTCAAACTCCTCCGAGGTCTCCACTTGCATCGAGTATTCCTGTCCTGCGGATCGGGATGGTAGTACAAGCAGAGCATTCGGAATCACCAAATCGCGTTACCATTCTCCATTGGCAATCATCTGATTGAGCATGCACGCCTGAGGGTCAGCTCCGTGCTTACGGGAAGACACGCGTACCATGTCGAACATGCAGTTCTCTCCCGTTACACGTTCCAATTATGGCCCTTGCGAAGAGAACCGCCAGCTTGGTACCGACAGGAATCGTTCATGCGTCAGTCTTGACCGCAGCAGAGTCATCAACTCTATAAATCATAGCAGTGAGCTTCAGTTGACAATACCACACTTGCCTTCGTTGTCATTCATCTGGGCAAGGTCGTTTGTTCCTCACCTCTCCTTTCCAATCTATCACTTCGTTCTCTTCCAATCAATTTTCTTCGAGCATGCAGCACAAAATGATTGCAACAGTGTCTCTCCTGGGATGGGCTGCTGCTGCTGCTGCTGCCACTGTCAACACGACTTCGGTAGCTTCGGCAACCGCTACAACCACTGAAAGCGCTGGCACCACATGCTCTGGCAATACCGCAGCTTCGAGGACTGCCTGGTGCGACTACGACATCTCCACAGACTACTACAGCACCGTGCCCAATACCGGCGTGACTCGCGAGTATTGGTTCGATCTACAGGAGACGACGGTATCTCCAGATGGCATTGAGCGCTCAGCTCTCACTGTCAACGGCAGTATCCCTGGGCCTACCATCTTCGCCGACTGGGGAGACACTGTTGTCGTACACGTTTCGAACAGCCTCACAACCAGCCAAAATGGCACCAGCATTCATTTCCATGGCATCAGGCAGAACTACACGAACCAGATGGACGGTGTTACGTCGATTACTCAGTGCCCTACTGGTAAGTTGATGCCAAACGTTTGATTTGTCTGTTGGCAATGGCTATCACCCCAATAACTGAATCGTCACTACCATTGATCCCCAGCACCATTTAGCCAAAGGCAGTTACCTTGACAGAGTTTCGCTAACACCATCAAACCAGCACCTGGTCAGAGCTACACTTACACCTGGAGAGCTGAACAATACGGATCCTCATGGTACCATTCGCACTGGGCGCTTCAGGCATGGGAGGGTATTTTTGGACGTAAGTTCGCACTTTTTCTAAGAAGTGTGCCTCTGGCGGGGCCCTCCTTAGCTGCGGAATAACAACGAACAGCGATTTGAAAAGCTGACATTTCTCAGCAATCATTATCAATGGGCCGGCATCTTCAAACTACGATGAAGACTTGGGCAGTCTCTTCCTCAACGACTGGAGCCATCAAACCGTGGACGAGCTTTATGATTCAGCTCAGACGGATGGCCCTCCCACGTTGGACAATGGATTGATTAACGGCACGAACCTCTACAACAGCTCTGGCACCGTCACTGGCTCTCGCTTTGAGACTACTTGGACGGAAGGCACGTCGTATCGTCTGCGGATCGTGAACGGAGCAGTCGACACGCACTTCAAGTTCATGGTCGACAACCACACCATGACGGTCATTGCCAACGACTTTGTCCCGATTGTCCCCTATGAGGCAACTGTTCTCGATATTGCGATGGGTAAGGCACTGTCCTCCGGCTTGCAAGACGAGGTTCTGCTAACACTCACTGATCAGGCCAACGCTACGATGTTATTATCACAGCCGACCAGGCCGACGTTGCCAGCGACTTCTGGCTGCGTGCGATTCCTCAGACAGCCTGCTCCGACAACGACTCCACAAACAACATCAAAGGCATCGTGCACTACGGCACTTCCACCGGCATGCCCGCTACCACCGCCTACTCATACACCGACGGCTGCGACGACGAAGACCTGAGCAACCTCGTCCCTTACGTGTCGAAAGACGCGTCATCAGGAACCTCGCTTGCGGAGTCGGTAGCCGTTGGCCAGAACGACGACAACCTGTTCCGCTGGTTCATGAACTCGACCAGCATGCAAGTGTACTGGGAAGACGTATGTGTCACCTTCTCTCCACAAGCCGCAAGCTCTAGCTAACCACACACCTAGCCCACGCTGCTGCAAGTCTACAACGACGACCTGAACTTCACGACTGAGAGCGGCGTCGTGCAGCTCGACAGCGCCAACCAGTGGTACTACCTCGTAATCGAGACGTCGAACGCGGTGCCGCACCCGATCCATCTTCACGGGCACGATATGAGCATCCTGGCGCAGGGGACGGGCAGCTACGACTCTGCAGACGTGTCGCTGGATCTCACGAACCCGCCGCGCAGGGACACGGCCATGCTTCCCGCGTCCGGGTACCTTGTGATAGCGTTCGAGACGGACAACCCGGGCTCATGGCTCTGCCATTGCCATATTGGCTGGCACACGAGCGAGGGCTTTGCGATCCAGATCCTGGAGCGGTACACGGAGCTGCAGGAGATGATCGACTCTGACGTCCTGAACAGCAACTGCGAGGCTTGGACGACTTATGCTGAAGGCTCGAGCGTGGAGGAGGTGAATGACTCTGGTATTTAAATGTGCTGATGAGCGTGCGGACGCGGAGACGGCAGTGGTACTGTTAGTGGGGCTTGTGGGGTAGCTTTATGGTTGGGCTTTATTGATAAGTGTTACTCTGCGCTGTTCGGCTTACCTTGTGAGGAGGGGAGTATAGGGTGTTGAGTGTTTTATGTATTCAAGGATGAAAAATACTCTTGTATGGGCAGAATGGCCATGAACTCTGAGATTATCGTGAATACTTATACACCTTTACATCTCAAGATCCGCGTACCTACAGATGACTCTGTGGGTAGATCTAAACAGTTTTCTGAATAGGCCAGTCCGCTTAGTCGCATTGCCTAGTAATTTGAGCCGTTCCGCACCCTAGGTACAGGTGAAACCCAAAAGAGAGGCGGACTCCAAGCAGACGCTTATCTAGTTTTCCACTCGTGTAGAATCAAACAAAACAGTAACAAGTCGGCAGCAATTGCAGCTTGCAAAGAGGTAAGAATCTTATTACAGTGACTGACAAAAATATTTACAAGCGATTTTGCCCTGTGATTTAGCTCTGGTTCTACACTAACATTTCTCACTGCAGTTCGAATTCCTCGCTTTTATACTTTCCATTTCTTAAGCCTTCGATTGCCTCGCCGCGCATAAAGCCAAGAGCATAGCATTGGCCAACGAATGAGTAGAATCCACCACTCCTTGGACGCAACACCACTGGGATACTACAACCATAAAGAACACAAACCAAGTCGTTCTGCCCAGCCTCTTGCGGAACAAATAAAAAGTTTGCATTCTGTGATACTGCAAAGCAAAGCATTTTCTGTTGAGCGTGATACAACAGCTCCGTAAAAGGCTTTAAAGACACAATACGCTCACCGTCGATGTTAGTTGTTTCGAGCAGATCCTTGAAGACTTGGTATGCTTCATCTGTATCATTCTTGCCAGTACGAATTACACTCTCACAGGTGATGGTGCGGATCAGATCTTCCAAACAAAGCGTACTTCCTCTCGTGTCTCTTGCAATACGGCACCAGCCATCAAGAATCTCATATAACTCATCGTTGGAGCTTCTTCCCATTAGAGTGGGTCCGATCTCTTGTATTTGTCCAGTAGATAGTCCCAGGCATCGTAGTGCTTTCTTATTTGGACTGAGCTCAACCCTTGGAGTTTCCGAAATACCCGCACGAAACGGTCCATCTTGACCTGTCGCCAATATTCGCGGTCGATGTGGGGACGGATATGACCAATCGGCAAGCCATGTTGGAAAGTCGCTGCTGGAAGGTGTGCCAGCCCTAGCATAGCAAAGAACATCGAGACATGCTTCACCTCGGGGCCTCTCGTGCCTGTCGAAAACTGAATATTCAAAAGCTGAAGTAAAGCCTTCCTGTAAGCTTTTAGAGTAATCCGTTTGGAGTCTATACGCATCTGATGGGAAGTGACGTTTTGTTGAGAGCATGGTTGAAACCGTGCGAGTAAAGAGAGAACGCGGCTTGATTCTTGGATGAGTGACTGGCAGCGAGCTTTATATACATGAAGAGGTAGAGCAGTCATGTGCTCGCTTGTAGAAAGTAACAGGGGAGTAGCAGGGTGCTGAAACAACGAAAAAGCAATGTGAATATAGAGAATAATGCAAGAGAAGAGATGATGTGATACAAAGAAATATGGCCTGATAGTCCAACACGTTTCAGTAAGCCTAATAAACCAAACACCCTGTCTTTTGGTTAGGTTGCTTTCGCGTTCATGCCTATGTCAAGATTTGAAAGCAGCCAGACCCCTCCCAATCGGTGAATTTTTGCGGAGTCTTTTAGCATTTTCAGGCTTATTATATTGGATAGATAGTCACGTTTATTTTGTTGAGCCCACACTAAATACAAGCTTTTATAATACAAAATATCGAAGACTTCAGCGGCCTGGTCCTAGTCGACTTTAATACTTCCGCACTGGACAATTACTTTTTTGGCTAGTGCTATCTCTTGGCGAATCCACATCCGGTACTAGTAACCTCGATTTTCGATAAGGTCTTTTACTGTAAGTCGAAGACGATTGTATTGTTGGTGCCGTTGAGCCAGATGGATAAATAGGAGTCTTCGTGCTTCACGACTCCTACTTTTAAAATGCGTAAGGATCATTCCAATAGTATTTAGGGGACCGAGAGCTAAATCACTATCTGGGGTAGATAGTCCAATCCAGCAAATAACGGGGGCGGCCCCCTGGTAGATCCGATCCATGTCTACGACTTGTTTATTCCTTTCCATGGTGTTGCACTGATTGATGTAAAGGGCATCTACCTAAAGGATTCGACGACTCCTTTTATTGCCTTAAAGCGCGTAGTGCATCCCAGAGATTTTCCTGATTTCTACTTGTCGGTTATTCAGGATGATCCGCTTTCGCTCGTCCGTTCCCTATTTATTTGAGAGGGCTTTATAGCTCGGGGCAAAAGTAGCTGGCCAGCATTGGAGCTTGCAATGATTTTCTTCGGATCCATATCTTGCCGGCTTAAGATATAGTAGCCTGAATTCATCATCTTTGATGTTTTCCTAAACCGGGAGTTTAGGCCCGTCAGATATGTCGGGCCGACTGGAGGACGACATTGTAGGCGAATCTATATACCTTGACGCAGCGTAGGTATTGTAGTTGGATTCACTTTTCGGGGAGACAAGTAAGCGTAACAGATCATCGACGCGAATGGTTATATATAAAAGCTAAACGAGACGAATGTATTATATTGTATAACCATGCGTTGTAGTCGCCAAGTTAACTTTCTGCTAGATGCTTTACCGCTTTAGGCAGGTAGCGGGGTTAGGGTGGGTGGAAAGTAAGTCGAGCCCTTTTGATTTGCTCGATCACTCGCTCACTCGTTCGTTCATTCGTTCTGTGCACGCACGGCATGTATCTATGGCATTATTTATCCATTTATCTATCCATCCATCTATCCAGACAAACATTCGTTACTTTTCCAACCGCTGCTTTCCAACAGCTGCTTTCCAACCTCTGATTTCCAACCACCATACCCACACCCACTACACCACAAATCCCGCCCCCTCCCCGCTCGCATCCCCCAAGCTCCCCCCAACCCAAACGCGATACGCGCCGCGCTCAACTCTCCACTCCTGCGCCCCTGTATCCCAAACACTGACATCCCTCCGCCTCAACCCAAACACCACCTCGCTGCTCTCGCCCTTATCCAACTCGACCTTTTCGAACCCCCTCAACTGCCGCAGCGGCTGTCCCGCGCTGTCCGGAAACCCCACGTACAGCTGAGCGACAACCTTGCCCGTGCGGTGGCCCGCGTTCGTCACTCTTGCCGAGACCTGCAGCATCTCGTCCCAGAGGTCTGCGCGACCGCCGGGCCCGCGCGGCCCGCTCGCATACGGCGCTGCTAGGGCCGAGGCGTTTGTTTTCGTCACCGCCACGTCCGAGAAGGTGAAGCTGGTGTAGCTGAGCCCGAAGCCGAATTCGTACCGCGGCGTCACGTTGCGTGCGTCGAAGGAGCGGTAGTCGATGTACACGCCCTCGGCGAAGTCGCATTGCGCCGTGTAGCAGACGCCGACGGTGTAGTCGGATTCGTTTTTCGCGATCGTGTGCGTGAGTTTGCCTGAGGGGTTCACGTCGCCGTACAGGACGTCTGCGATGGCATTGCCCGACTCTTGGCCTAGTGGGCCGCCGTACAGCAGTGCCGTCACGTTTGCGTGTTCGATCCATTGGTCGACCAGGCGCGCGCCCACCGTGTTGATCACTACCATCGTGTTGTTGCACGTGCTGGCGACCGTGTTGACGAGGGCGTCTTGCTCCGCGTTGGCCAGCTCGGTGCGGTCTGCGCCTTCGCCCGCGTACGCGTTCAGGAACACTAGACACGCTTCCGCGTTGTCGGCGTAGCTTTCGATACCCGGCGTCACGGCTGTGCCCTGCCCCAGACTGCTTAAGTCGACGCCGCCGCTGCCCGAGTCGCCGCCCATGCTGCTGCTGGAGCTGCCGTACGTGTCGTTCAGGACCCAGCGGATCATGGTGCCGTCGGCGACGGCGCGGGTGGTCAGGCTATTGAACGGCGTGATGAGGTAAGCAAACGAGTCCTGGCCCGAGCCCGAGCCCGACGCCATATGGCCCTGATAAGTCGAGCCGACGCCCTGGACCGAGAAAGCCTGGTTCGGACCAGCCATGACGGGGCCGGCGTGGGCGCCGAACACGGCCATTGTACGCGGACGGTTGAGCGGAAGACCGCCGCCGTTGGCGTTGTTGTTCTTCAGCAGGACCAAAGACTCTGCACCGATCTTACGGATAAGCGCCGCGTGGTTCGCTCGCACGTCGCGGTAGTCGGTGGCGCTGGCCGTCTCGGGCTGCTTCCCGTCGTCCAGACCGGCGAAGTAGTACGGTGCGACGTTGCGAATGACCATGTCGTCGAGGCGCGCCTGCGTGAACGATCCATTGGCAATACCTGCGCCCAGCGTCTCCGTGGTCCACATCGTGCTTGAGCCGTAATCGAGACCACCGTTGGCAGAGCCTACCGCCGTCGACTGCGCGTTCATGTCGGGGAAGACCAGGCCCGGAAACCCAAGCTCTTCTTTCAAGAGGCCATTGAGCAGGGCGCTGTTCTCGCAGGACAGCGTGCCGTTGACTTTGTTCATTGCGCACATGACACCGCCCAGGCCGGCTCTTACGCCATCGTAGAACGGCCAAAGATAAGCTTCGTGGATGGTCTTGTCGTCCGCGTTGCTCGAGTAAATGGCCGTGGTCGTGGTAGAGATGGATACCGTCCGGTTTGTTTCCTGCTCGTTAAGAAGAAAGTGCTTGCCACCGGCAATCACGCCGCTCTGCCTTATCCCCTTGACCATCTCGCCGAAGGCGATACCATTGAGGTAGGGGTCGGGAGTGAATGTCTCGGCAAGGCGCCCGCCCCAAGGCGTGCGACCGAGGGGCTCGCTCGTGGGCCCGTTGAGGACCTGATAGCCTTCCAGGTAGAACTCTGAGCCAACTGCCTTCGCTTGGGAGAGGAAATGGTCCTTGTCCCAGGTCATGGCCAAGGCGCTGGTCACACTGAAGCTAGATCTTCACGGGGTTAGCTCAGTGCAGCGGACAGACAATAGTCCACATACACGAAATACTGCCATTGGACGCCCATCATGCCATCTTTGAAGCTCAGAGCGTTCCAGGTATTGTTGCCAGAAATAGAGCCACCAGTGATGATGGTGATCTTCTCATCGTTGGTAAGACCAACGACCAATGAGGCCGCCTTCTCATAAGCAGATTGCCATTCGCCAAGGCGGTCTGACGGAAGATTAGCATCAGGGATTCAGCACATGGTGCCCAAAGGAGGCTCACTCTTTCCCGATGAAAGGACGCTCGGGGAAGTGGAGTTTAGAGCAGGCGGCCAACCCTTTTCCGCCGACAGAACGCCCGGGGGAGGGGGAGGGGGGTTTAGAGCAGCTCCGACGTTGCCAAGGAGTGACAGGCCGAACGCCACAGAAGCCTTCATGTTTGGGGAGAGAGAAAAGTGAGGAATGACGAAAAAGAAACAAACGCGGCGGCAGTCCTCTAGCGGACGCCACGCCAGCTGCTTTTGATTGCCGACCCCAGCATTATGATATAGGGCCAAGGGGACAGGGATCGTATAATGGCAACGGTGTTAGCTTAAAGGGATTAGTGGACGGGTCGGCGGTTGACCGCCAGCCAGCGCGGTCCGGCAGAAGGCTCGAGGCCGGCACCTCCTTGCGATAGCGGAAGCGAAACAGAGAGGCGAGAAGCTTGAGTCGGCGGGAGGATGAAGAAACGGCGTCTTGGCGTCGCCCTCGGAGCTCGGAGCTCGATTTTACCCGCATCGACATCCACGCAAGCTTCCATGCAGTTATGGGTCCGACTGCGCCGCTGTCTCCCATTAATGGCCTCCTGCATCGATCTGCTCCCGCTCTCGCGTGTCGTCATGCCGGACCAATCTCGGACCCCTCCCCGTTCTGTATCCTCTCTCGGACTGTCTTCACTGCTCGGCACTTATGACTAGCTGGCCAATATAAAGCGGGGGTCTGGTTGTTAGGAGTGCTGGACAACTGCCGTGTATAAAGGTAGGTTCGTGTAACCCAACTACTGCCGGCCATCACCGTTTTCCCTTCTGAGACAGTCTCCCTTGGCTAGCGCAATTGCGCCGTCACCCCAGCACTTCACTCCAGCATGAAGACCGCCGTGCTCGCCTCCGCGGCCGCCGCCGTCTCCGCCACGCCCTGGAGCGGCAGCCTGTACGTCGACACGGCGCCGCCGACGCCACGCCCGTACGTGCTGCCCAAGCTGTCCGGGCAAGCCGTGTCCATCGGCAGCCAGATCTACCGCTTCGCCGTAACCGGCAACTCGTCAGGCGGCGCCTTTACGCTGATGAACACGCACGCGCCCGACTCGCCCGCCCTCGGCGTCCTGCCGCACATCCACCGCCGCCACTACGAGAACTTCTACTGCGCCAAGGGCCGCGTCAACCTCTGGGCCGCGCGCAACGAGACGGGCCACCACGCCCGCGAACTCTCGCCCGGCGATTATGGCGCCGTGCCCCCCGGCACTACCCACACGTTCCAGATGACGGACCCGGACACGCAGCTCACGGGCGTCATCGCCCCCGGCGGCTTCGAAGAACTCTTCATCGCCATCGGCGACGGCGCGTACGCCTCCCCCACGGGAGCGGAATTCGTGCCGGCAGCCGCGCCGGGCCCGCCTCCGGGCACGAACAACAGCGGGCCGGGGGCAGCCGGCCCTCCCCCAGGCATGATCTCGCAGCTGCAGTCCTTCGACGTGTTCGCGCAGCTCGACTTCCAGCCGCGCCAAGACATGGTCAACGGCAGCGCACCCGTAGACGCGACCTGGCACACGGGCTCCTCAGCGCAGGCACTAGCGCCGAGCCCGCGCGCGCCCGCCTTCGTCGCCAAGAACCGCGGCCCCAAGTTCCTGCACGCCCCGGCCGGCGCGTCCGCGTACCAGCTCGTTGCGCCGCTGTCGCGGGCCGCGCACACGCGCGCCAACTTCAGCATGGGCACCATCACGATGAGCGCGCCGTTTGCGAACGCGTCTGCAACGTCTCCTTCGTCACTGACGCTCCCCCAGCCCGTGGCGTTCCAGCTCGAGGAGGGCGAGCTGCACGTCTCGGTCGGGAAGAATGCCTCCGCCCGCCTCATCCAGGGCGACGTGCTGTTTGTGCCGGCGGGGACAGAGTTTTCGTATACCGCTACTCGCCCGTTCACGCGCTGGCTGTATGTCACTGGCGGTGGGGAGGGGAGTCTGGACGAGCTGCTGATTGCGCAGGGCAAGCGCTGGGACTGGGCGTCGTATCCGGTTGCGCCGGGCGTGGTGGTGCAGGGCTAGGGGGGCGGGGGCAGGGGGAGAGGGAGGGGCAGCGTAATGCTGTGATGTGATAATATCGATGCGATGCGATGTGATGGAAAACTAGCTAATAACTATACATGATCTCGGTATATATGTATATATATATATATACAAACACAAAAATACTCTTCCGTATCTACTTGGTTGTGTTACGCTCTTCTAGCGCTGCAACAACACCTCGCATACATAGGTACTATATCCTCCCCAGCGTTTTCCCCCCCAACACACACACACACACACACACACACACACACACACGCACCTTCGCCCCAGCGCCAGCGCCCCGTGCCAGCGTCAGCGCAGTGCAGTGCACTGCATGGCCCAGCAGCGCGCATGCACATCCATCCATCCATCCAAACCATACCAAACGCAAACGCAAACGCAAACGCAAACGCAAACCAACGCCAACGCCAACGCCATCATTAGGTCTTGTCTTTTCTTACCTTTTTTTGTTTTTATGTAGTATATATATGTACCGAAACAGGCGCGTACGAGCCCCCTAGGAATACATAGACGGGGCGCAGTGCGTTTGCGCTCGCCGCGCGCCATGCTTGGGTTGGACTTGCTCGCGTCGTCCTTGTATGTGCGTGCTCTAGACTTAAGCCCCGTCTACCCGCCACGTCAGTAAATAGGTATGTATGTAGGTAGGTGGGTAAGTAGGTATGTAAGTAAGTGGGTATGTAAGTAGGTGGGTAAGTAAGTAGGTGGGTAAATATCGTTCATCCTAGCTCTATTCTATACATACACAATACATAATACATATGGGTATCATCATCTCAGCGCGCTAAAGCAGTACGTACCACGATGTACGCAAATGTCCGTCTCAACCATGCCAACCTGTCCCATGCCATGCCATGCCATGCCATGCCGTTGGAGTGGCGTTTGTTTTGTTCTGTTTCGCCCCTCTCTTTTTTCTCTCTTCCTCATTACACCTCCTCTCAACCAACAACCCCGCTCCCCCACCACCACCTACGCCTCACAAGGATACCGACTCTTCCTTCTCAACGTCTCCCCCCAGCGCACAAAACACCACGGAATAACCGCCATAGCGACGCTTACAAAGCCCAGCAAACTCGTCGCCCAGCCCACGCCCAACTTCTCGTACATCTGGAGGATAAAGAGCGGAAACGCGCAGCCCAAGACATATCTCAGCAGGGAGCAGGCGGCCATGGCGCTGGCGCCGTACAGCGGGCCGTACGTGTTCATCAGGTACAGGGTGCAGGCCATGAAGATCAGCAGCATCGACACGCCGAACAGCGTCTCCGCGATGACGGGCACGATCCAGTGCACTTTGTACGCGGCGGTCCAGGCGAAGAGAAAGAGCGACGACGGAAGCAGGAAGGAGCCTGGGTACGCGATGAAGAGGGTGAACTCCGGGGGCGGGTTGCGCGGGAGCGCGGGGACGGGGGGCGCGGCATCAGCGCCGGGTTCCGCTTTAGCTTGTTCCTCCTCTTGCTGCTGCGCGAGCTGCGCTTGTTGTGCGCGCCAGCGTTGCGCGCGCGGCCGCTCGAAGAGGTAGAAGTTCCCTACGATGGTCGAGAAGCCCACGAAGCACCCGACGCCCAGACCCAGGAATGTCAGGCCCTGCGAGCCGAGGTTGAAGCCGTACTGCGTGCGGAAAACCCACGGGAAGGCCGCGAAGAAGGCGTACTGCATCGCGAAGACGAAGGCGACGTACAGCGAGAACAGACCGATGATGGGTTCCGTGAAGAGCATGTGCACGGGGCGGCCGACCGTGTTCATCAGGAGGGCGCGGGCGCCCGATGCTGCGCGCGAGGAGCGCGATGCGTTGGTCTGCGTGCGCGTGAGGTCCAGGCCGGCCTTTTTGGCGCGGGTAAGCAGGATTTGCTTTTTGTAGGTTTCGCTCATGAGGAAAGCGGGGCAGAGGAAGGCGACCATGAAGAAGAGAATCACCCATTCGGTCCAGCGCCAGGACTCGCCTTCGACGACGAAGCCGCCAATGAGAGGGCTGTGTGGATGTTAGTATCGCTCGTTAAGTGATAGAGAGGAAAAGGCAGTGCTCACCCCAATGTCGGCCCAAGAAACGGGCAACACACAATCAACGCCATCGGCACGGCGCGCTCATGCGGGCGCCACACATCCGATAACGTTGCATTTCCAACACTGAGCGCAGGGGAGCCAAAAGCGCCCGCGAAGAAACGGCAAATGGTCAGCGCGGCGATGTTGTTAGAGAAACCAGCGCCCAGGATGAACAGCCCGAAGATGGGCGTGCACACAAAGTAGACCGCGCGGCGGCCAAAGTTCTCGCTGCATGGCGATGCGATCAGCGGGCCTAGCGCCAGGCCCAGTGTGTAGAGAGCGAAAGGCAGGATCGCGACGACCGATCCCACTCCGAATTGCGTCATAATTTCCGCGCGGCCAGGCGTGTAGACTGAGGAACCGAAGGTTGTGACAAAGGCAATGGCAGCTGGGTCTTGGTCAGCTTTTTCTTCTTCCTCGTCTTGTCCTTTTTCTTCAAATGCGGGATGGATCAAGGGCGGGACGGCGTACATGGCACAACGGTATGCAGAATGCGCTTCCCCATGGGCCAGTTATGAGGGTTCTCTGGGTCATCGGCCCAGTCGATTTTCGAAAAGTTGTTCTCATCGTCCGAGGACGTTGGCAGCGGACCGCCCTTCTCGGGATCAGGGCTATCGTTGCGCGGCGTAGGGGTATCCCATGATGCTGATGCAGGCGGATGCGAGTCGGTAGTCGTGGTGTCGTGTGTCATCGTCGAAGGTCGTGAAGCATCAAGTTCCGTATGAGGATGTCTGTAGGAAGCAGCAAAACGCTTGACGAGCGAGGGGGGCCGCACGTGGCTATGTATATATCTTGGCCTGCAAGCCTCTTCCTACTAGCCGTGCCAGTAGCCGTGGCCGCGAGACCCGCCATACAAGCAGTTGTTTTCGTAGGGCTCTGTCTATACGACCAATCACGCGCCAGAGCGCCGTAACGACCGGCAGCGCGCAGGCTTGAAGGAGCGACCCACACTCAGGTGAGCCGGGCGCTCGGTAACAGAACGCGGGAAAGCCAGCGTTGGCGGCTGCTCTTGGCCTTCTCTTCCCAGCTCTTCGATCGCCAACCAGTGCCGCGCCGACCGCCCTTAGCTGCGATGCTTGTTCCAACAACATGTGCTTGATAATGGTGCTGCACGCCGCTGGCGTCATGCAGCTGCTTGCTAATCCTCTTCTCCCTCTCTTACATGCAGCTGTTTTTTGTCTCCCGCCCCATCTCCGAAGGGCGCCCGTCCCAGGTGCCAGGTCGCCATGTGTGGCTCCAATTTTGCAGGCTCGGTAGTTGTCGTCGGAGTGCGCGCAGGAAGACTTGGAAGAGAATGGAACGAACGATGGATTTTCGCAGGGGTTGCGTGCCCGAGCGCCACGCCGCCGCGGCCCGAACTTTGAGGCTCGGCCGAGTCCGCCGACGGAAGGCGCATCGCATCGTCTATCATCGCCCCAAGGCTTGTCGCATCCCTCTGATCTGATCTATGTCCATCACCAAACCGTCCATCTCGAGTCCGCTGATCGCGTCAGCCTTACCGCGCGACCCGTCGTCCCAGCTGTTGGGATTCTGCTGCATCTGGCTGCACGCATCTTCGGCCCCACCCAACGCCGCCGCATGCATCTAAGCATCACCTCAGCAGCCCGGTGGTGCCAGCTCCTTCTGGGGCCCCATCCGACGCCTCGACACGGCTCTCGTCCTTATATCTGTCGCCGTTGCCCCACCACCTTAAGCCAGTTTCTCCCCGGGATGTAGTACGACGAGAAAAAATCGACAAATTCGAGGTCCCGCGCCGTCGTCTTGTACACCTCGAGCTGTGTATCGGCAAAACGCCTGAAGAAGGCCCCAAGCGTCACATAAATTTCGCAGTATGCCAGTCTACTGTGTGTCAGAAAGCGCGGCTTCGGCCGACGTGGGGTGAGCACTCACGGCATGCCGACGCATTGTCGCGAACCGCGTCCGAACGGGATCATGTAGCGGTCGAGGCGGCGCGCGTCCTCCGGGTCGAGCCATCTCGAGGGCTCGAACTTCATCGGCTCGGGGAATGCCGCCTCGTCACGGTGCATAAGCCACGAGCTCATCCCGACGATTGTCTGTTATCTTGTCAGTGTGTTCTGATAAGAAATTTGTTCAGAGCTTAAGTTCACGTACGCCCTCGGGAACATAGTAGCCGTTGAACGTTGCACCGCCTTCCGGTGTCACTCTGGGCAAACGCCCAGGAACGCCAAAGGATAATCTGGATTTCTGTGTTAGCTCATGTACCCCATACGCCACGTTTCTAAATTGTCTTTGCTCTCGTCAGGGGTATCAGAATAGGACTCAACAAAAAAGGAAAGACGGTGAACACGTGGATATCGGACGAGCCAATTGGCACGCGGACAAACCCGCGTCATGGCTTTACGCTAGCAACCAGGGGGGAACATATTGTAAAAGCACGCAGGGGCCAGATGAACGCACCTTAATCCCTCCTTGATCACTGCAGTCTAACCACACACGTTAGTATTTGCCACATATTCCAACGTCGACTACTCACGAGATATGGTAGCCGCTCCAAAGCGACAAAGTCCAATGGCGCCTCCGGGTCCGGGAACGCGTCGACGAGCTCGTCACGCAGACGAGAATGGATCCCCTTGTTTGCAAGCACATGGTACGTAGCAGTACTCATGGCATTGCCCGTTGTGTCCGCCGCCGCCGCAAGGAAGCTGTACGCCTCGTCCTTAAGTTGCATAGGCGTCGGAATTGGCAAGACGTCGCTGTTTTCAGGGTTGAGTAGCTCCGAGAATACAGTCGGGCGCTCGGAGGGCATCTTTCCGGTCGCCATGCGTGCCTGCACATCTTTGACCTGCTCAACGCATTTCTACAACAATATCAGCATCTGCAGCCAGGAATCAAAAGGGATAACCTCACCGTCTGCAACTTCGTCACCTGCCCCAGTGGCTCGCTCAACCACGGAGCCAGCCACGGCGGAATCTTCAGCGCCAGGCGCTGCAAAGCCGGAGCGGCCTGGAAGATCCAGAGTGACGGGCCGACGCCTGCAACCATGCGGAAGAAGCGCGCGCCCAGGTCCGGCTTGTCAAGCAAATGATACGACTCGCCAAACGCATAGTCAGTTATGACATCAACACTAACCGCGCGGAACGCATGATGCAGGTCGACAGGTATGCCGTCCCGGACGCCGGCTTCCATGCGTGAGACCAGCCGTGCTGCTTTGTCCTGCACAACAGCCTCGAGGTCAAGGACGCGTCGCCGCGAAAAGAGCGGGCTGATGAGGCTGCGCTTGAGCTTGTGCAGGCTGTTGCTGGGGGTGCCAAAGGTGGAGTAGGGCACGTTGATGCCGTTGTAGAAGATAGGCGGCTTGCTGTAAGGCGAGCCGATGTGGTAGATGGTGTCGTAGTTCGCTGGGTCGGCGAGGTGGATTTCGTCGGGCGTGATGCGCACGACAGGGCCTATAAAGCGTGAGCAAACGAGCCGCCCGCTAGTGTTTGTAAGTCCTGCACGTACCGTATCGCTGATGCATTTCCTCAATCTTGCGATAGTATCGCCCATTGTAAAATGTCTGGTACAGCACTGTCACAGCTGGCAAAAACGGTCCGGGAATCTTGGCGAGTGGATGGAAATAGCGGCGATAGACGACAGTGAAAGTGACATAGGCGGGGAGAACGATCGCAAGGACAAGAGCAAGGGTGGGAGCAGATGGGATGGTGAGGGTCGTGGAGAGCATAGTGACGGAAGACAAAGCGCGTTGGTGGTGAGTAAAACGGAAACTGCGACTGCTGCAACTGCTGTCGCGGAAGGCGCAAACCCAGCCAGCGCGTTTTTAAAAAATAACTTCGCCGCGACATCTCCGCACGCATTGCTACCCAGATAGGTAGGTCGCTGGGGCGCTTCCTCGGTTATGCTATGTGGTTTATCTAGTTGCTATCGAGCATGGTGGTGATCGTCGCTGCGGCCCGCGTGAGTGGTGATAGGCGGTTGTGGATGGTATGGCACGGGCCGATCCCCCGCCTTGCCGTGCCGGGGGCTGGTTAGGAGCGGGGTTTGCTTCTACATGTGGATTGGTTCGTTGTCATGGTGATGTTTGAGTCGTGTAATCCGTACGGAGTACCACGTAGTGCGTGTTGAGAAATACTCTCGCTTTTGCATTGTTCTGTTCATGAGCTGTATGTGTTAGCTGCGTACTGGAAAAAGTTCCGTCCTCTATTTCATACACAGACTATGATGCGGGATTAAGGACGGGTGTCAGATAATCGGGCGCGGTTTGTGGGTTGTTGAAGGTGCTTCAGTGGGCTAAACAGCTATTAACGCTGTTTAGCTCGGTAGAAAACGAGTGGTAAGGAATTTTCGCAGATGAGCCTCTTTGCCCAGGCCTGTGTATAGGGAACTGCGCATCTTGACAGAGTACAAGTGGTGGTTGACGTTCTTGGTTGGTCGTGTACGCATATGAAGCTCGCTGGTGTGGATTATGTTGTAATATAGCTGATTGGCTGCTGGTTTTACCCGGCGCGTGATGTCTTCGCGAGATTTTTCCCTCTGTACAACGCGAGACCTGGCCAGCCGTACCAGCCTCTTCGAAGAACTTTCAGTCGAGATACTGAAGCTCGCCCTGTCAAGCTCCAGCTGTATCTTCCTCCCCATGTGTATCGCTCCTTCATTATCACCCTCAATGCCCACCATCACCGACCCTCCGCTTTGTCCTTCAGCCCCTTCGCCCACAGCTCCAGCCCCTCCTGCACCTTCGCGCCCACCACAAACTTGACGATCCACGCAAACGGCCCGTCGAACGTCATGTACGTGCGGTACGTGCACCGCGCCTCGCCGTCTTCATCAGCCTCCTCCTCGACGATCTCGTTCACGCGCAGCGTCCGCATCAGCCACGCCGGCATCATGTCCTGCACCCAACCGACGCGGTAGACGCCATCTGCGCCGGGCGTTTCCAGCAGCGAGACCTTCTCGACGCTGCCGCCTGGGACGATGCGCGGGCGGCCGAATATGGGTGCTTGGACGGTGAATTGGAGGCGTTGGTGCAGCTTGAGGTGCCCGTCATCATCGGAGGAGGGTGTGGGAGTGAGGGTGGTGGAGGGGAGCAGGTCGGCGCGTGGGATGAATGGGTTCCAGGTGGGCCAGGTGGTGCGGTCGGTGAGGAGCTCGAAGACACGGTCGCTGGACGCGGCGATGGCGATGCTGGTGCTGGGGCTGAAGACGGAGGCCATTGTTGGTGTGGTAGAGTGTGGAGAGGAAAGGGCAAGGTGTCGTTATTGGAGTGGAGAAGCGTACGGTTGACGAGGCGGCGTAATTCCGTTGAACCTCCGGGAAAGGAAATTTCTCCTTGCGTCATCGTTGCAGTTTCATCTAACATGATCACGAACACAGCTTGAGCTGCCATCTTCATCTATCAAACACTGTTCCTTGCGCCATTCATACAAGTAAAGCAAAACCCTCTCAACCTCCGCTTCCGTTGGCCGTGTTGCTCCTCTTTCCGGGTTGCCCTTCGACGGCTATGACGGCTTATTGATGATGTCTCCTTTCGCTAGGTATCCAATAATCCAGGGCATTCGAAGTGCCAGTGCAAGACGTTAAGAACCTCGAAGATCGACTGGGAAAGTAACCATCTCCTACACGTCGCGTTAGGAAAGACAATCTCTCACGGTTGGTTGAGTGGCCAGGTATTGAATTACCGTACCTCATCAGCAATGGGAATGGGCCAGATTATCCCAGCCTCGAAGCTCGTTTGGGTGCGGATCGCGTACATGCAACGGGCTCCAGGTCGATAGTAGAATCTTTGGCCCAGTTCTGCTACATGCTGACTTGTGTTCGGCACTGGAGTACGTTAGGTTTGACTGCTATTCCACAAGAGCCTTCCCTCCGAGCTTACACTCTGGTTCTCTGTTCCGTTGCCTTCTCTTGAGACACTTCCACAGCAAAAGAGCTACCGGCGGGCTAGCGATAAAGAGGCCGACAACAGCGACAATGGACTCGATTGACAGCGACATTTTCACAAAAGAGCTTGGAATTAGCACAAGAAATGGAGGGAATGGAGAGTGAAGGAACATCGGATATAAAACTTGAGGATCAGGGCAGTGCCAACGGCATTGGAGCATACGGTGTGTACTTTGCACGCGTTGCACATTCCCTCTTGTCCACAGCCTCCACAGCGGGAGCGATTTCAGACGTGCCTATTCGTTGATGAATCTCATGGGCGCAGGGATCAGGACGAACCGATTTTGTGCATTACAGTAGCCGGCTCCAGATTTTGGACGTGCCCAATCATTCCGCTCTTTCAGAATGTGGAGGAGTCTAACGGACACAGGCATCAGGCTGAGTCGGTGTCTCTTGGTCGTGCATTACGGTAGCCGACTCCAGATTTTGGTATTGGCCAATAAGATTGAGAGCCAAAGCGAGGCAAGGCTGATCCACTGGCGTCTGCCAAAGGATTTGGATTGTTTTTGTTTTCGAAATGAGGGGTCGAGTAGCTGGTCTTGTGTCACGGTATGTGACGTGTAGCTGCACAGCCTCGGACGCGTATCAGGCTGCCGGCGAACGGGAGGGATTCAGCTGGTGGACGTGTGCCTGCAGGAGGTTTTGGAACGGGCCAATCATCAACAACCGGGAACCACGAGGGGATGTCTAACAGATTTTGACAATAGCCAATCATGCAAAGCTCACCGGTCGGCCGCCAAAATTCAGCCTTGTCAAGAGAAACATAAATCATCCACTCCCCCAACCTTTCTTCCTCATCGCACCGACCTTTTCCTTCCTTTGACACCCAGATCATTCATCCAAATCGAACAAAATGACAGACACCGACAAGCAATGGGAACGCCATAAAAACACCATTAGTCGTCTCTATCTTGCCGAAGGCTTGACCAGACACCAAGTCGTAGCCGAAATGGCAGAAAAACATGGTTTTCATGCAGAGTAATTCTTACCCTCGTATTTGCAGCTTCCATCGGCTCTACCTAACTTAGTATCTACTCAGCGCGGGCCAATACGAGCGACAGTTCAAGAAGTGGAAACTCCGCAAGGGATTGAAACCTGACGAATGGAAAAAAGTTGCTCGACGTGTCCAGAAAAGGAAACTAGACGGCAAAGAAAGCGACCTCTGGGTAGACGGCATATTGATTCCCAAAGCGAAGGTCTACAAAGCAATATCAAGGTACCAGCCCTCTACGCTGGAACGGTTTCAGCCAGGTAAAGCTTTTTAAACTACTTTGCTATCAACTGTCAAGTTTATTGACTGGTTAACACTCCTCCAGCTTTGGACCGTCGTAGCCGTACGCCAGAAGGGTTTGTAGTTGCAACACCCCCAGCCTTTGCACAGGAAGCATCCGAACTCACGGCACCCTTGAGTTCTGAAATAGAAGCCCCCGAAATTGCGGCATCCTCAAATTCTGCAATGGAAGGTATCAAAACTGAGTCACCATTGACCCTTACAATGGAGGTACCTGATATCGCAGACCCTTTAAAGCCTGCACTGAAAGAACTCAAATCCCCGATCCCCTCGACTTCGAAACTAAACTCCTCGCAACTTGATAAGTTTCCTTCTTTCCAGTTTCGGAAACTTTTTGGGGATCAAGCTTTGGGTGCAGTTCAGTCCAGCATACCATGTTCGCGGGATGCGCTTTTACCGACCAAGGACGAGATATTACCTCAGATATTTGAAGTTGTTATGATGAACCTGTCCAGAACCGGCCAAGATGGAACAGAAAAGCCTGGAGCCTTGACTTCCGGAGCCGAAAACAGTAATACCATCCAGGATGCTTTTCAGCTAGCATTTCATCTGCTATCCAACCACGTGGGCAATGATTTCACCTACGAGCTGGGAGAAATCGTTGTTCATTGGATTCAAAAACAGCCAACTTTTTGTATTCTTGAACAACTCTCGTCAATCGGTGGGCCGACCATTGAGGCTTTCTCGGAGTTTCTTCTCAGTGAGGCTATTCGACTGAAAGACAACAAACTGGCAAAGTTTCTATTGCGGCAGTTTAAAGTCAATCCAAACTCATGCTCCGGCATCGGAGGAAGGTCCTTTGACCGTATGACGGCCCTAGAACAGGCCGTCGTCACGAAAAATTCAGCTCTATTACGCCTCCTACTGGAACGTGGAGTCGGATTGGATCCTATGGTGCTAAAGCAATATCTCCCAAACAAGTCGATCGAAACGGATGATATGGCGATATTGCGTACCATTCTAGATGCTGGTTCCGAAGCACGACCTGATTTACTCTCGGCGATCGGTTCACTTGACAACATAAATTTGGTTGAGGTTGTTTTGAATGATTCGCAATCCTTCTGGATCTTGAGTGGAGATTATAAGCACGCACTTCAGATTGCTTTGGAAAGAAACAACGCTTCAACTGTTCGACTTATTTTGAAATATGGACTGCATTTGAAACACAAATGCCAATTAGGTGGTGAAACAGAAGATATGGTTTACAATGCAGCTTCATTCGATACTATGGAAGCTCTTCAGCTACTTTTGGACGCTGGCGTCACTTTTGACTCCTATGTTGGAGTCAAGACCGTCCCCCAAAAGGCCCTCACCGTAGTACCCACGAAGTTCCCTACGGCCTCTCCTCTGGTATCAGACAATGTTAGCAACTGGTATTGTTGCGGATGCGGGACTGTCAACAACTATGGCGTTGCGCCAGAAAGGTGTCCTATCTGCGCGCATTTGAGGTTCGGTGGGGCTGCTGATGAGGCGTCGAGCCAATGTGGATGCGGAGGCAGCGAGTCGTTCATTCCACCCCCGAGTCCGGCCACAAAATTTCGATGACAGCGATATGGCAATGGGGGTTTTAGTATTCAGTGACAGCATGGATATGGTCAACGCTCTTCCAAAGGTAGAAAATCGTTTGATATACCGGGCTCGAAGCTTTCTGTATTCACATTTCTTTACAACCTTGCGAATGTATAATTATTAGGTATCTTCCAACTTTAAGAGTGCCATCTCTTTTACCTCCGGTATTGTACAGTACCTACCCACAGTACTCAATCTTTCAGTAGATGACAAAGATTTATCCGGGATTACCAAATTATTTCAAGCTGAAAATGGTGTAAGCTATGTATAGCCGATGGATACCGATAACTACGAGAAAGCGACTGCGCTCTAAGGCAATATTAGCTCTCCCAAGGTTTGACACTGCGGCAAATCAGGTTCGGCTTAAAAGTGGTACAGTCCTTTGTAGATATATTATCATATGGAGTGGGGGAAAGACCTAGAAAAGGGGTGGACAAATTATCTAAGGCCTTGCATGTTAAGAGCTGCACTGCCGCTAAGAACAAGACTCTTTCCACATCTGGTCGTATGCTGTGTCGTTCTGATTGGCTGCTAGCGAGAGTCCGTTAACGTCGGAAACCACTTCTGCCTCAGGCTCACCACCACAACTTCCATCTCACCATCAACCATCGCCATCTTATCTTGAGCCATTAACTCCCCGCATCCGGCTTTCATCCAAGTGTTTCACTACCGCATCAACGCAGTCAGCATCTCACTTGCTGAGCGAGCAGCAGCAGCGAGCTCTCGGCACTTGATCGGTCAACGAATGCGAGACGATCCGAGACAAGGCGGGGTTTCTCTTGGAGACCACGGTGCCCTGCTAGCCGCAATGTATAAGCACAATGCATCAGATGTCAGAGACGCGCAACAACATTGGCAAAAGTATCCACCCACACACGCAGCTGCCGGCCCAAATGGCCGTCAAACGAAGCGTTGAAGTTGCTACGAACTACGCGCAATCAGCGGATCGTAGCATAGGTAAAGGCTTTATCTAGAGGCACTCAGGTGGAGTTTTCGTCTTTCTGTTTCTCTCTTTTTTGCTGTTTCGTATGACAACCCACTGGTCGCATTTTCCTGCCGCGAGCATCATCATCTCACAATTACCGGCATCATCCCCTGCAGCCCAGTTCTAATCCCAGCTATTACCTATCCTCCTAGACAAACAAACTTTTTGTGCCCTGCACGCCCGTTATGCGCGCACCGTTACCCCACATCGGCGACCAGGACTTGCCGCCCGCAAAAGCGGGTCCCCTTTGTACTGCTGCAACCACATCCACGTCCAGCAGCGATGCCAACACGCTAATTCGCTGCATCCGGATGGATGTGACGTTGACTTACTAGGCTCGAGGTCGGACGGGGTAAGAGCGCTGATCGATACTTGAACGTCGGGAATCTAGGTAACGTGTGAGTGGACAAGTGGGTGGGTGAGCAAACGGCGGGGCATGATTGGGGCGGGAAAAGGGTATCAGAAAAATCTATAAAGCGCTCTGCGCGAGCACGCATGGGCGGTCGATCTCCTACTTTTCTTCGGATCCGCGAGATCAGGACTCTACAGTACGCACTGGAAGACGGGCCCCGCGGATTTGTGAGCACAGAATAGCAGTCCGGATCGCACTGGAGTACACCAGACCAAGATGCCCTCGACCATTGTGCTCGTCGCGAGCGTCACTCTCGCACTCGCGCTCCTATGGCGCTTCCGCCGCGTCGGTTTGCGCCCGAAAGACTTCCCTCCGGGACCGCCATGTTTGCCCATCTTGGGAAACCTGCACCAGGTACGTATTTTACACAACAGTTGCAGGACAGAAAAGCAAGAAAACCCGCTAACATGCACTTAGATGCCCACACACGACTCACACAAGCAGTTTGCCGCCTGGGCGCAAGAGTACGGTCCAATTTACAGCCTAATCTTAGGCACCAAGACTGTGATTGTGTTGTCAGACGGCCAGGGCGTCAAAGACTTGCTGGACCGACGCAGCGCTTCCTACAGTGATCGCATGGATATGTATGTGGGGACCGAGCTTTGCAGTGGGGGGTTGAGACTGCTGCTGATGGTGGGTTTGTTGTCTAATGAAGAGAGTTTTGTGGCTTGCTGACTGATGCTTACAGCGGTACGGGGCACAATGGCGCATGGTACGTACCAACCCTGCATAAGATCTGCCCAATCTTTAGAATGCTGACATAGGTGTTGCTTAGCTCCGGAGATTGGTTCATCAGTTGCTGAACGTCAATGTTTCCGCTTCATATGTGTGTAATACTTCTTTTTTCTCATGGGATGATGGCTGAATTAGACGTCTTCCGCACAGGTTCCATATCAGGACCTTGAGAACAAGCAGATGCTCGTCGAGTTCTTAGATGATCCGGACCATTTCCTCGAGCACATTCGGCGCTTCACCAACTCCCTAACAACGAGCATGGTATACGGGTAAGCATGAATACACATCCCCTGTATCCGCCTTTTTTTAGACCCAAATAACCATCATTCCAGCTGGCGCCAGACGAACAGCTACTCCCCAGCCATCGCCGCCATCTTCGCCAGCATCGAAGGTTTCACCACCCTTACGCAGCGCAGTGTCTCCGCAATCGTCGACTTTTACCCCTTGCTCCGCCGCCTTCCCGCATCCTTGTTCCCCATCTCTGCCGCAGCGCAGCGGCACCACGTCCGCGAGAAGGAGCTCTACCGCAGGCTCTGGCTCGAGGCCAAGCATGCGGTGGAAGCCGGTACAGCGCGCCCATGCTTCTGCGTTGGAATGGCGGCAAAGCAGCGGGAAGCCGAGGCCGCAGCAATAGCAGCAGTCCTAGCAGCTGAGAAAGGCAGACCCGGCAGCGGGGCAGAGGCCGAGCGCATCTCGGACGACCTGGCGGCGTACATGGCAGGGACGCTGCTGGAGGCCGGCTCAGAGACGACAGCCGCGACGCTCTACGCGTTCGTGCAGGCGATGCTGCTGTTCCCGGAGGCGCAAGCGCGCGCGCAAGCCGAGCTCGACGCGGTCATTGGGCCGGGCCGGCTGCCCGTGTTGGCGGACGCGCCGGCACTGCCCGCTGTGCGGGCGTGCGTGAAGGAGGCGCTGAGATGGATGCCCACGGCGCCGACGGGCGGCGTGCCCCATGCCACGACCAAGGAGGACACGTACCGCGGGTTTCGGATCCCGAAGGGGGCGGGCATCATCTTCAACACGTGGGGCATCCATATGGATGAGCGGCGGTATGCGAATCCGCGCGAGTTTCGCTTCGAGCGGTATTTGGGGGATGATATGGGGGCGGCGGAGTCGGCGGGACGGGGCGGCTGGGAGCAGAGAGACCATTATGGGTTTGGAGCCGGACGGCGGATTTGCGCTGGTGAGTCAGGGAATTTGGGTTTTGGTACATACATGCGTGCGTTGCAGCAGCTAACGGTATACCAGGCCTCCACGTCGCGGAACGCAGCCTCTTCCTCGGCATCTCGCGTCTGCTGTGGGGGTTTTCGATCTCAGCTAAGTCGGGCACTCGACCGGACCCGGACGCTTTGACGCAGGGCTTCGTTGCTATGCCGCTGCCGTTCGAGGCGAAGATCATGCCGCGCTCGCCAGAGCACGCCGAAGTGATGCGCGGTGCGTGGAAGGAGGCGAGCGAGGTTTTAGACCCGGAGGGGCAGTGGGTGAGGGAGAAGGTGCCGGTGCCTAAGGGGGGCGGCGGGTTGTGGGGGAACGGAGAGGGGGATGTGGGGGAGGGCGTGTAGTGAGTGGAGTGATGGGGATGGGGAGGGGTGAGTAAGGGTTAGTTAAATTTAACGAATTTCTCTTCTCCTGCTGTTTTTCCCGTGGTTACTTCGCAGCAGGTATTCCGGGCCAAATCCCGAAGCCTATAAAGCCAATATCCCTCTACTGCACCAAAGCAATGCATGTGCACAATATTACAAGACCAACTTCTATTGGCACAGGCAATCTTGGGAGCATATATGCCCCGAAAGTCCCTGCAAACGAGTTTGACGTCGCTCTTCCTGCCTCTTCAACTATAGGAAGACGCATGGCAAACAGGAAAGCAAACAGAAATCACAAAGGCTTAATGACGATTGCCAACAGTTTGGCAAAGCTACAAACAGCATTATCGCTCAGTGAACGTGCCGGACAGTAGCAATAAGTATAAAGGCTTTGTTTGGTGTGGTAGTTTCGAAGAAGCTAGTTATGTTGGTGTTGCTGTTGTGATGAGACACCCCGGAGGCCAGCAAATTGACACCCCGGGTAGACGTCTGGTCGCTGAATCGACCCGGTAGCGAACTCTGCGAGCACAGGCTTCGCGTAGGACTGCATCAGGGGAAATATCTCGAATTTTAAACACGTCCGCCGCTTTTACTTGGATATGCTAGCCGCGCTTTCGTACTTGTGGGCTCTTGTCATTGCTTTGACAAGAGGATTGTTTTGCTGTTTTTATGGGTTAATTTTATCAGATAACGTCCGTCACCGTTAATCGAGATTCACCACGAAGCGAGATGGTGATACTTATATGGATTAGAAGAAGAGACCTAGCTAAGATATGTAGAGTCCACATATGCTCTATAACCTTTTTATCTATGCCTAGAACTAGGCCTAGGAGCTGGGCAAGAAGTGCTCTGTAGGGACTGCTTGTATCGTCCCCTGTCTTTGTCTGGCTATACGCTGGATCTCGGTACCCGATGACGGACGTTACTCCTTGCTGTAGGGAAATTCGCTATTGCTGCATTTGGTGTACTTATGCTTCTCTTACGGTCGTGTTTAGGTTGCTTTTTTATGCAGACGAAGATGTCTGTAGCAAGACTGCAAGCAAAAGTCACAGCTCATGCAGTGGGAAAGGAGTGTTGTCCATGACTGTTTCCAGCGCGGTGAGGAAGGTGGTTTCCGCGTCACTAATTTATGGCTCAGCGGCTGGGGTTGTTGAGGTACGTAAAAAAACAATTAAGTTTGAGGATGGTGTAGTTTATTGTGAGCGGCCACTGAAGGGAACTCACTGAAGTTGATCCGCATGGTATGGTGTGGTATTGTGGTTTGTGAATACTGGATTGGTGCATGCATTGCTCCATTCTGGGGCGGCACAATCAACTATTTAAGAAGCACCGCGCTCCACAGGCATTGATTCAGCGTCAAATCCACGAGATCCAGATTCTGAAGATGAAAGGGAAAACTACACGTCGTGGTGGTTCCTTCCGTTAAAATTCTTCGTGGTGGAAATAACTACTACAGAATTCCATGGCCGGATGTGCGGCCATACTGGCACGAAACACTTCAGCATTTTCTCTTAGTATCACTCACCACCATCACCTCACGCTGTTACACATCACCACCGCCAGTGGCTTCATCATCACAGCTAGTTACACACCAGTCCTCCTCCGCTTCCCAAGCCGCAGGTATTATTTTAAAGAGTGCGCCGCGGACGACACACATTTAGGATGTCTTGCATTCCAAGTTCGTTCTGAACATCTCGATCTAGGACTGTGATGCCATGATCTGAGGCCGGCAATGGGGTTTTATAGACATCTCATACTGGTATGCCCATTCACTGTCTCGCCGTATCCCAAGCAATCCCCACCACTGCAGCCTCAATCTCAACAACAAACAAACTCAGCCAAATTCCAACTAATCCTTCAGCTTTCTTCTGCTACGTAACATCTACACTTACGAAACAGCTGCATAGTGCACGCCCCATGTTACGACCCCTTACCATCACTCTCCCACCAGCACAGACATTTTGCTCGCTCCACCGGAGTGGCTATTTACGCGGAGTTAGCAAGATAGCTAATTAGATACGTTATAGTAAGCCGTCACTCCGTCTATCATTACTTAACGTCCGTCACAGTAAAGCGAGATGGTGATACTTATACGGAGTAGTAGAAGAAGAGACCTAGTTGAGATATATAGAGTTGTGTGCACTCTAGGACCTTTTCACCTATACCCAGGACTCGGACTGAGAGCTAGGCAAGGAGTACTCTATAGGGACTACTTATATCATCTCCTGTCTCGCTAGACGGTAGATTAGGGTTCGCGGTGGCGGATGTTAAAAGGGATGCAACAAGGCGATCAAACACCCAAGAAAAGGCAAGGACGATTGCGTTCAGAGTAGCACGGCAGAGTATAAACTGTCGCAAAGACGACTAGTCATCTTCTTCTTTACATGGACATCTGCACTATACACTGGTCCAGAAGCAGAGAAACGATAACATGTGGTCGATGCGGCGGCCATCCACCACAAACCGGCCCTGTCGTACCGTATCACTCTCCCTACAGACATACTCTGGTTCTTTCCAGATATTCATCGTGGAGGGAACATGACCAGCAGCAATTTCCAGCACTCCCGCTCGTTTCCAGCACACGGCAATGATGACGAACTACGAAAAGACGAGGGAAAAAGAAAACGAAAAAGAAGAAAACAATCCGAACTCACAAGAACAGCAACATTACAGCAGCAGCCCCGGATGATCCCTCCACTTACAGTTGCCGCAACACCATCCCAGGAACCCGATCAGGCCCGTAATGGGCTACGAGTTAATCGAAGGCACTGCTGGTTTGCGCAGTGCTCGCTGCCGCGTTTATGTCAGCTTGCCGTTGAGCTGATTGTCGAGGGCCGTTTTTCTGTGTCACTCACTACCTACCTAAACACCCCTTCCTAATCCCACTCCCCCACAAGCCCACGCAACTCCCCCACCCCAGCCCACACACACACACACACCCTTCCCCCATAAACAAGCAAACAAACAAACAAGTAAACATGCGCCCTCTCCTTACCACTACCACCACCATATCCAGGCATACAGACCTCCAGACACCCATCCATGTGTACCTAAAACCGCTCGCATTCACAGCTACATAGGTAGCTACTTTATATCCCTCCCTCCCTTCCTCCCTCCCTCCCTCCCTCACTCGGAAAGCCGTGCGTGTGTGCGTGTAGAGATATTGGTGGGGAAGGGGAGGTTATACTAAACATTCAATACCCACCAACCAACCCCTGAACAGATGAGTGCCTAGGCGCAGGCACAGCACGCACAGCTTCAAAACCCCGCGGTGGGGAGACGGCGTAGGAACGAGCAGAACGAGCGAGAGAGAGCAAGAGAGAGAGAGAGAGAGAGAGAGAGAGAGAGAGAGAGAGAAAAGGAAAACAAAATGTTTTATGATTTGCACTTTTAGTATCGTCATACCTTGGTTTCCCTTTTAGCTGCCTGTTTTCGTTGCTTTTTTTCTGTTTTTGCTGTTACTCCCGCTTCTGCCTCTGCTTTTGCTGCTTCTTCTTCTCCGTTAAGCGAAGGGTATCATACACGCAAATCATCATCGTACAGTTTCATCACACGTACAGCCCGAGCACGCCTACACCTGCATCAGCGCCTGCGCGTGTAGCCAGCCAGCCAGCGCACCAAAACGCCCCCGCCGTTACTTTTTCTCCTCTGCACCAGCCCTACACACACATTCTCCCTCAACACCCAACCACGCATACCACCGCCTCATTCTCTCCCCTTAACAACAAGGCCCTCCTCGTCCCCCGCGCGCATCGCCCACTCCGTCCAGCTACCATCGTAGACGCGGCGGCCCTCCTCCGGGAACCCCGCCTCCGCGAGCGCGGCGTCCAGCACGGCGGCCATGACGCCCGTCCCGCAGCTGCTGATGACCTGCTTGTCCGGGCTGACGCCGTGGTCGGCGAAGATGGTTTTGAGCTCGGCGGCCGGGCGGAGCGTTTTGTGTTCTGGGTCGAGGAGGGTGGGGAGGGGAAGCGAGAGCGACGAGGGAATGTGGCCGGAGGAGAGGCCTGCGGAGCGCGTTAGCGATGAAGGAGGCGAGCGAGAAGAGTCTGTGAGTGAGTGAGTGGGGGAGCGGGAAGGGCTTACCGGGACGAGGCTCGGGCTGCGTTCCCTCCCAGCGGCCCTTGCTGCGCGCGTCCAGAATCTGCACGTCGCGCGAGCCCTCCTTCGCCTGCTTGCGCGCAATGTCTCTGACCTGCTCGAAGCTGGCCACGCGGGCCCGGTCCAGCTCCGGGACCGGGTACTCGACTTCCTCGGGGTGTTCAATGGGGTCGCCCCACGCCGTCGGCAGCCCAAGCTCGCACCACAGCTTGAAGTTATTGAGGACGTGGACGCTCTGATGGCCGAAAGCACGCAGGGTCCACGCGACCCTGGGGGCGCTGAAGACGCCCTCCTCCTCGCTGTCGTACACGACGACGCTGTCGTCGCGACGGATGCCCAGCTTGCCCATGGCGGCGGCAAAGTCCGGCGCCGAGGGCAGCATGTGCGGGTACGGGCTCTGGGCGTCCTTGACCTTGTCCAGGTCGAAGAAGCGCGCCGACGGGATGCGGCATTTGTGGAAGACGTCGGCGCCGGTGCGCTTGCGCGCGTCGTTGGGCAGGAACCACGTCCCGCACAGCGGGATCACGCGCGGCGCCGTCGACAGCTTGCTGTTCACGTTCTTCTGCAGCGCGTCGTTCAGCTGCTCCGGCGTCACCAGGTACGAGGTTAGGTTGTACGAGGTGCTCATGGCGCGCGTCGGGCAGCGGGAGCTGGCGGGTTTGAGGCGGAGAGGTATGAGGAGCGTGGGCGCGACGCGCGTGGTGCGTAGGAGCATGGTGGGTGGGATGGAGCGCGTTGGGGCGCGGAGCGGTGATATAGGTGTCTGCAGTGGGATGATTAATTGTGGAGAGCAGCACTCGGAAGGCGAGGTTGGATGGAGAGTGGGAGAGTGGGTGACGAGGTGAGGAGAAGCTGGCGAATGGAGAGCGGGAAGCTGTCTGTGGTGACGGCCCCGCCATCTCGCGTCATCGAGCTCCGGGTCGCCTTATTGTTGTTGTGCTGTTTGATCCACAGGCACCAAAACAATCACCACCACTTCAACCTATCACGCTTCACCCCGGTCTCCACCACCACGAACCATGCGCGTCACCCTCAAGCAGTGGAGCGCCGTCGCCGCCTGGCGCTGGGACATGCCCGCCGACGACATGTGCGGCATCTGCCGCAACCCCTACGACAGCACCTGCTCGGCCTGCAAGTTTCCCGGTGATGCTTGTCCGCTGCGTATGCTTCCCCTTCCTAACCTCAATTCCAACCCTCAAACCCTACCCACTCTAAATACAAAGTACACTTACTGACATACTGATTTCCTACGTCTAGTCATGGGCCAATGCAACCACTCCTTCCACATGGTGCGTTTGTTTCCCCTCTCACATCTTCCATCCTCAATCTCCCTTTTCTTCTTCTCCCCTGTCATGCTCTTCTCCCTCCATTCAAACCAACCAAACTAACTACCCACACCCACAACAGCACTGCATAGAAGACTGGCTGCGGCAAGACGCCTCGCAGGAAAAATGCCCCATGTGTCGACAGCGTGCGTCTCTCTCACCTCTAACCCCTTTGCACACACGCCAAACTAACCCCACCCACCGCAGCATTCACGGTCAAAGGCGCCGCCGGCACCGGCAACGGTAACGGCAGCGCCAACGGCAACGGCAACGCCGCTCCCGCCGCGCAAGCGGCATGACGAAGGGAGCAAGCAGGAAGCATGGCGAAGGCAAGAGGCATGAAGTACGAAGGAAGCAGCATGAAGAAAGCATGGTGAATGAAGACAGTAAGAAGCAGCACAAAAGCGCACGAAAGTGTTCCAGCCATAAGTACCCATCAAACGAGGCAGACACCCGCACAGCTCAGAACAGCACAGCACAGTACAGCGCAATCAACCAAGATACCCGGGCACCTATGCGTATGCGTATGTTTACGCGTTCGTCTATAATTGCGATTGCGAGTACTATTGTGACTGTGCTTATAATTGCAATTACAACAACACACAAAGCCCCCATCTGTCTATCCGATCCGATTTGATCCCTGTGCGTGTATGTATGAACCTACGAACCCGCCTGCCCAACCGCCCCATGTAAGTTACGCCGTCTAGACCGCGCATGTAACAATCATAGAACTAGCTTAAGGAAATGATAAACTGTGAACGAGCCCTGACGCCGTGGATGTTGTGTAGATGCTGAGGTGTGTGCTGTGCTGTGCTGCGACGTGTGTGGTGTGTGTGAGTGCTTTAACGTCGGGCACTGGACGCTCTAGCGGGAGTGCAGGGGTGCGCCGCTTCTTCTGCTTCTTCTTCTTCTTCTTCTTCTTCTGCTTCTGTGTGCATGTGTGTTCATACTGTGGCGTGGCATAGCGTAGCGTAGCGCGGTGCGCAAACCGGGGTATCGTGCGTGCGTGCGTGCGTGAAGGACCTACTCCTAGTGCAGGAAGGAAGGGGAGGGGGAGGATGGTGACGCAGTTGGTAGGTATGTGGACGGTTGAAAGTAAGTGGGGAGAGAGGGGGGAGTGTGTGAGAGAGCCCGGGTTTGAGAGTTGTGCGTGGGGTGCTTTTTACTCTCACTTCCTCACCGGCCCCCCACCGCCGAAAACACCTCTTCTCCCTCTCGTCCCATGTCCTCTTCTATACTCGCCTCCACACCTGCACCCACGCCCAGCCCCGCATCTCCATCCACGTCTTCATTCGCCTCTTCACCCGCCTCTTCACCCACGTCTTCACCCACATGTCCACCGCCACCGCCACCCCCATCCGCATCGGCATCCACGCACGTATCCACGCCCGCATCCACGTCCACGTCCGCATCCGCATCCGCATCCGCATCCGCATCCGCATCCACATCCCCCCCAACAACCTTCCCCAGCACCTCGACTCCGCGCTCAAACCGTGCCCACAGTTCCTCCATCGCAGGCACCGCCTCCCCACCAACCCTCCTCCGCGCCTCATCCATCAACAACGCCTCCACATGCGCCTGAGCCTCTTCAACCGCGCCCTCACTCATGCCACCGAGCCCCTGCCCCGGTAGTCCCCCCATTCCCGCGCCAAATCCAGCAGCTCCTGTGCCCAACCCCCCAGCCCCAACACTGACCCCCTCAACCCTCAGCATCAGCCCTGCGTTCCCCGCTCCAGGCAAGCCCCCCTCGCCCACCTCGCCCTCATCAACCGCGAACGTCGGCGCCGCCGCAATCGCCGCCGAGCAGACCTGCCAACCAGGACTCAGGCTGCGGGCAGCGCGGACAGCGAGGCCTGCGGCACCGCCCGCGGCAGCGGCGTCGACGACGTCCAGGTCGAGCAGGATGACGCGCTCTTCGACGCCGGGCGGCTGTGTTTGGGCGCCGGGGCTGTAGCCGTGGGTGGGGGTGTGGGTGTGGTTGTACGCGTACGAGTAATTGTACGCCTGCAGGTCCTCGGGCGCGGTGCCCTTTGCGCGCAGGAGCGCGCTGGTGAGGACGTCGGGCTCGTCGTCCTCGAAGACGTAGTGCACGGCGGTGGGGTGGGCGACATCGTTCGAGTGGGCGTCCTCGATCAGGGTGAAGAACGGGGCGAACGAGAGCGGGAGCGCGGGTGGAGGGGGCGGGGGAGGCGGCGACGGCGGGCTGTGCGTGTCGTCCGGGTGGGTGGGCGGGACGGGCTGCGTGGGCGAGATGTCGTCGTTACACGTGGTTGGCGAGATGCCGCCCAAGACGTCTGCGTCGTGCGGGTCGAGGTTGAGGTTGTGCCGCCTGCTATGTCTGTCCAGAGGGGAGGCCGCTCCACCGAACCGCCCACTCGGCGCCGTCTTTGCCTCAGAACTTTCCTCTCCTCCTCGAAACATGGCCCTCGGATCCTGCTGCAGGGGCGAGAGCGGCGACAGCGGGGACACAGGCGGGCGCGGCGACCTCGATCGCGTCTCCCGTGACGGGACGCGCGCGAGCGGCGGCAGCTGCGGCGACCGGGTGGCTCTGTATGACATTTACGCGTCTTGTTTGAGTATGTATGTGAGTGGTCCGTATAGGTGGTTAGGTAGACGCTCCGGTGGCATGAGAGAGAATGAGAGAAAGGGTGTGCAAGCGGAGAGCCGGGGGAGCTCGAGAGCTGGGGGAGCTGCGCGCTGGGACGCGGCGCGCAGGCGGGTGTCCGCTCTAGGCCCGGGGCAGCTTCCGGAGCTTGAGCTTGGACGGGGCCCGGCCTGGACCCTGACACGTGATGCAGTCGTTGAGGAAAGACACTACGGAGTATATTTGTAGATAGGTAGAACAGACAGCCAAACAGCCTCGATATGCAAAGCCTTACTGACATTAGCTCGCTATACACAAAGCCCACCCTTTCCCCTTTCCAATCCAAGAACAAAAAGCAGCAGCAGCAGTAGCAGTCTAGCCAACCTAGGGTATCAATCGACACGTACCAACGCCAACACCATCCAAACCCACCCAAGCTAGCAATAAAAGGAACGAACAAGAACCATATGTTCCCTCTCCTCTTATTCACACTCCATTTCAAAAACCCCACCCCACTCACGCCCTCCCAACAACCAGCGCCTTCATCTCCGCCATTTGCTCTCGAAGCGCCTTCAGCTCCTCGCTCATACTCCTCACCTCCCCCCTTAACGCCTTACAGCACGCCGATCCGCACTCGCAGCCCGCTTCGCCATCGCCCTCCGTAGCGGATCCAAACCCGCTCTTTCCGCGCACCCGCCGCTTCCCGCCCCCCGGCACCAGCGAGCTGCTGCGTGGGAAGTACTCCTCGACGTCGACCGGGCCCTCCGGCGACAATGCCGACCCAGGCTCCAGCCCCCGCGGCGAGCGCATCGCCACGGTAGCGTTAGCGTCGGCGTCGGCATCGGCGCCAGCTTCCGCACTCGCGGCACGGCGCCGCTGCGAGGCCTGTCGGAGGCGGCGGTGAGGCGTCCCCGCCTCGTCGTCCGACGTCAGCCAAATGTCTTCCGACTGTGGGATTGAGGCAGGGGACTTGACGTCCTCGAACGCAGGCGCGGGTACGGGTTCCGGTTCTGGTTCAGGTGCGGGGGCGGGGGCCTTTTGCGACTGCACGGCGATTGCAGGCGACTTTGCGGCTCCGGCACGCGGCGTGCTTTTGGGGTTCATGTACGGTGCCAGGATGGCCAGGCCGCTCTTCTTGCCCGAGCCCGTCTCGCCGATGCGTCGGATGTCGGATAGGATCTTGCTGCTGGCGGAGGGGTTCGCCGAGCTGCTGGAGGGCATGCGCACGTTGTTCGAGACGCGCCGGTTCTTACGCGCGCGGGGCGTACGGTTGTTGGGCGTCTTTGCGATGCGGATTTCTTGCGTAGGATGCTCTGGAGATGCGCTTCGGGTTGAAAAGGCCTGTTGGCCCGCCGCGTCGGGGATGAATCCTCGCATGCTGCCGTGCTGCAGCTGTCCAATGTCATCCTCCGGCGCTGCAGGGTCCTCTTGGGCCTTGGGGTGTGGCAGAGAAGGAATGACAGCAGACAACTGCGGAATCTTTGATGGCGACGAAGAACCCGAGGCGCCGTTGTCCTTGAAAGTCGTGCTCAAAATCCTCGGCCGAAGTCGTGCGCGAGGCGACCGTCGCTGCTGAGCCGGCTGCTTGACAGGGGAGAACAGATCCATAAAGTTCGTCGCAGCGATTGCTGATATGTCTTGCGGAGCCAGACCTCCAGCAGGCGCTGCAGAAGGCGATCGGTTGACGTTGACTGTTCCGCTGTCTTCGGCAAACACGTGCTTAACAGTACCTGTGTCCTCGTCCTCCGTCATTTCGGGTTCTCCAGTTGACATGGCCTCGGACTCGGAGACATCCTGAGAGGCAGCGGTCTCCTCGTCATCCGTCTGTGCCTCGACTGCAAAATCAACGCTCTTTCTGGCCTTCTTCTTCGGTATATCCTTGGGAGCAGAGCTTTTCCCAGTCTTTGACTCAGGCCTAGCCTTGACGGGACTAGCTTGCCGCGATTTGCTGGCAGGCTTCAATCCAGGGCCCTTCATCCACTCAATGTCGATTACCTGCCCTGCCTCCGCATCCACAGTTTGTTCCTTAAGCAACAGCCCGACTGGATCGAACAAAAGTACTTTTCCATCTTGCCTGCCAACAGCGATAATGTAGTTCGCAAAACCATTTGCGCCCGCCTCGTTCTGTTCAGTTGCTGATTTGCTCGCCTGGGCCAGTCTCCGCCGGAACCCTGCTGTTTTGGGCATCGGAAGAGAAAGCACCGATAAAGAGGTGGCCGGAGCCTTGGCATGCCATGTGCGGAGGATGTTTGCGCCGCTATCGAAGTCGACAATACGGCACCTGCCATCCCCTCCAACACTAACCGCCCTGGAACGGTGGCCTGGGAGGAACGCTGCGCCAGTGATTCCGACCGCGACGCTGCCAATACTGACGGTGCCAATACTCTCACTGTATCCGTTTTCTTCCTCGTCTGGGTTGGCCGTGCTTATGTTCACCACAGTGTGCAAGTCATTGAAATGACCAATCTCTCCGCCTTGCCCGCCCCGAGCGCTCTTGCCCAATATCCGAGTCGCATCGTACGCAGCGAGGGTGCCGTCCTTGAATGCAATGAGGAAAACGTTCGGACGCTCCGGATGGAAGGAAGCGGTGACAGCAGCGGACGACGATGCGCGAGGCTGGATAAGAACAGGCGGGGTGCGCAGCGTCAGGTTCTGGAGGTATATCGTGGGCGGGTTTTCGGAGGCCGAGAGAAGTAGATGGGAGGTGTTGGATGTCGCTAGGACTGTCGGCGGCGAGGGGTGCGTATGTGCGGGCTCGAGCAGGCAAGATCGACGGAGGGAGTAAGACTGCACAGCATTCTGCAGGGTGGTGGTGAAGAAGAGGCTCTTGGAGTCGTCGGAATATTCCAGGAGTCGGATTTGGCCCTGTCACTGGCGTTAGCAGGGTGAATAGGGCTTTTGTCACATTAATCCACGCTGCGCCGCGTTTCCTCGACGTACATCGGTTCCTTTTAGCCTGTAGCTCTTCTCCATGCCGCGGTTGGTGTCGTGTAACAGCACGACCTGGCTGTCGGCAATAGCGAGCAAGTTGCTCCCATCTTTTGCTTCCTTGGCCGCATGAATTCCGCCGGATCCGGAGGTGAATGCTCTGGTCAAGCCGCGCGCATCCCACGACAGGACATTCTGTTGGGTGGTGACGACAAGGTGGTGGTCCTTGGGAAAGGCGAAGCGCTGGGCGGGCGGCTCAGCGGGAGCGGGCCGCGCTTGCTGGGCGACGCGAATGGGAGGCATATAGGTGGTAGTGGAGGAGGAGCGCGTGCCTGGAGCGCGTGCAGGCGTGGTGTATATGGCGGCGGTGACAGCGAGACGCGCGGTGGCGCAACAAACCTCGGTTGGCGGGGTGAGTGCGACGTGAGCTGGCTGGGCACGAATCGATCCATGACCCCACCCGCCACGACGCATCTCGTATCAACGCCCGCCCGACTTCCCGACTCACCTGCTTCTTTCTGCCGTGCCTGCATGTACGCGCGCGCATCTCACCCTCCGGATCGCGATCGTCGAAGCTGTTGATATTGGCTCGCGCAGCATCTCACCTCATTACCCCTCACTCTGTCATCTCGACGCTCTCTGTTTTCTCTCCAACTCCCATCTCCACCTTTACCTAAAGTCTAAAATCCGCGGCCCAATCCTTCTTCTGCGAGCTGAATTGTCGTTCAGCTCTAGGACTCACTTTCGGTGCCACCTCAGCTCCGCAAGCCCCATGACAAGCTCATATCCAAGTTCTTTGTCTGCTCATTCACGCTAAGCAGCTGGTGCTTTGCGGCTTTGCGGCTTTGCTACTCAAATATCCACTTTCATCGTCTTTGACTGGACAGCGTTCGACGGCAACAGTCCTGTGTGCTGGTCAGTGGCGTCGCGCCAGCAAGAATTTGGACTGTAAATCAAAAAGAGGCCGGTGCACGCGTTGAGATACGTAGTAGTTGACCGTTGAACAGTCATGTGGCTTTCAAGCTCTGACGTTTGTGTGTTTGATTTCTATTTTCGTACGACTGCCTAGTGCTACATATAAGCTGCGCCTTCCGGTGGGCTGTACACAGTACGCAGGTCACTCCGCGCATGAACCCAGAGCTTACTAGCTATTGGCTCAAACAGGCAACTCCTGGGAAAGTCCAAGGTCGAACGTCGAAGATCTATGTACGAACTGCGAGAGTGAGAGCTAACTGCTTCGTACTAGCCCAAAACGGCTACTCAATCCTTCAACGTCGAACGTCGAGGATGATCCTCATCACCAACATCGGACGACTGGTGAATGCCTACCTACGTGCATTGGCTTACTAACCCCGTCGCCTAAAAGGAAAGTGAAGACCATAACATCGAATGTCAGGATTTTACATAAAATAGTCCTACGCGAGCAATCAACTCGGGAACATGGCACATCTAAATATGTGTATAACCATCTCGCACGGGCGCGTAAATATGTATAGAATACATCACCAGGCAATCACATGACAGTAACGTCCGTCACCGTAAAGCGAGATTCACCGTCTTGCGAGATGAAGATGGCGTAGAAGAAGAAATCTAGCTAGGGTGCTTGTGAGAGTGAGACGGTCTCGGAGCCTGTACGTATGATCTAAGACTTAGGATTGGAAGTAGATAGGGAGTATTTTGTAGGGACTGGTTATATCCTTCTCTATCTGTCGTTGGAGCCCATACATACTATGGAGATAAGTTATAGAGTAATTCGTATTTGTGTGAGAGAGGTTGTATGGGCATGTGTTATTGTAATACACAACCCTATGAAAGGGTGCGGGTAGGTTCGGTGGAAATATCTCTTTATATTCGACTTTTTGTTCTTCTCCGTCTTCTTTTCCTTTTACCACGCTTTGTTAAATAGATCTAGTAGGCTGTGAAGAAAGAGGTCGCCGAGGCTCATACACTGATTGACATGGGCTTATTTGCCTGAAGGAATTTCATTTGCAATGGTATCAACGCCGGTTCACTGGTACCATCGTCCGTCACTGTGAGGCGAGATTTACCGTCTTGCGGGACGGTGATGCTTTTACCGAGTGGAAGAAGAGACCCAGTTTAGATATGCAGAGTCTGTGTGTGTGCTCTAAGACCTTTTTACCCATACCTAGGACTCGGGCTGGGAGCTAGGCAGGGAGTACTCTGTAGGTACTGCTTGCATTGTCCCCTGTCTCGCTAGACGGTGATCTCGGTTTGTGGTGATGGGCGTTACAATAGAATTGGATATTCCATAAGCCGTCTTCATGATAAATACATACAAGACAAACTAACAAACCTAAACAAACAATAAACAACCAAACCATATGTACTACTAATTAACCATCAGCCAGCCGACCGCCCGCCCAAGGCGCCATCCGATATGCCTTATGCAGATTCGTGACTAACATAACCAATAAAAAGCCAGACGCTATGCGATAGACCGAACAGAACCTGGAGTAAAAAAGAAAGTCAAGAACCAGAAGCAGCGGTAGGAGAAAAGCACCAAACCCCATCAAAAACCCATCAACAGCACATTACCACTTCCCCCACTCTCTTCCCTTCCCTCACACACCTAAATCGGCTTCCCCCTCAAGCTCTGCACGGCAGACATCCCTCCCGCCGTCGACATCGCCGGCCCAGCCCCCATCTCCGCTTCCATCTCAACCTCCTCGCCCGCGCCGTCGCCGCCATGTTCACCGCCGCGAAGCTTCATTGGCCGGATCTGGATCTGCTGCGTGCTGGCGTTGAAAGCGTGCCAGAAGTCAGGCGCTTGCAGAATGTACGTAGACATGGCGACGCGGAAGCGCTGGCGGTAATCCTTGGGCGACGTGACTGTTGGCTTGTTCTTGCCGCGGTCTTTGATCCACGTTTCGAGCTTCTTATCCCACGTGTATGTGCGGATGCAGTCTGTTAGGCATGAAGGTCAGCAACGGGTTCGGCTAGGGAAGGGGTTAGAGGGGACGTACCAATGATGCCAACAACAATCTCTCGCGTCGCGTCGTTGAAACCGGCCATGAGACTGTAGTCCATGACATTCTGCTTGGAGAGGAATAGCGTGTCATTGTACACACTGAGGGTCAACGTCTTCTTCGTGTGCTCACGTACGAAGATGGGCTTTTCGAAGATGATGTCGACAAGGTTCTCGTCCAGCAGCACTTCGTCTTGCTCGCCTGTGCTCTGGATTTTGCGGTTCCGCATTGATCCCTTCAGGTCGAATCGGCGGAGATCGTTGCCCCGATCATAGAACAGGTTTTCCATACAAAGCATGAAGCAGTCGAAGTCGCGCCCGCTCGATGGGTTCTTAATAGTCACCTGGAACAGGCCAAACATCTTGGCGATGACCGACGGGAGGTTGTTGAAAAGGTTTTGGTGGATGAAGGAAAAGTAGTCCGGCGCGAATTTGAAAAAGGCATTAACTTCGACCGAAGATAGAGACTTGAGCACGAATCGGTCATCTAACGTCTTCAAGAAGATAGACTTGGTCTTTCCTCCCTTGCTGTCCCATTTCAGGCAACGAGACATGGACTCAACGAACCGATCCGCAACTCCGCACTTGCGCCGCAGGGCATCAAAGGATTGCGCAAAGAATATCTTACACGTGGCCTTCACTGTCCGGTTCTGGAAAGTGTATTTAATGTTGGTGTTGGACCGATGACGCAGGTTGCGTTCAATGTTGTCGTCTTCCGTAAGTACAGTGCTCTCACTGTGCGCATCCCCAGAGCTCGGCTCCGAGCGGAATTCGTTGAGTTTTTTCAAGTAGTCCGCATTTGATAAAGCCAATGCGATAATAGAACTCGGTTCATCCTCGCGGACGATAATATCCGAGTCCTCCCAAACATGCTCGATAGGTGCGAATGGGTAGTCCAACGGAGTCCATCCGCTTGCAGAACGCTCTGACCAGAAGTTGTTGAGCATCTTCATCATGAACGACTTCTCGTGCTTGGGGAGGTCGACGCTTAGGTCCATAGAAGAGTCCATCGGCGGCAAGACCTGAGAGTCATCGGAAATATCAGGGATCCCTATATCATCAAGCATGCTGTGTTCAGTATCGCTGGTACCTCCTTCGGTGTCAGACTCTAGATGCAAACTAGAGGTATCCCCAGCGCTTTCACCACCATCTGTGGGCCTCGCGACCTTAGCCCTCTCATGTCGTTCTTCAACAGGTGAGTGAGGCCCAGTGGTTGGCTCAGTGGTCGATGCGTAGCCACTCTCATTGATAGTACTGGTTTCTGCACTCAACCGAGGAGGAGGCGTAGCCGGGGTCCGATCTTCGTCAGATTCTTTCTCCTCAACGGCGTCGTGGGCATCTCGGTACACTTCCACGATGGGTTTCGAAGAAGCAAGAGGGAAAGCTCGAGTTTGACGACTCTTCAGCGCCCGTTGATTCCGCTCACGCAACCGCTGCCTCTCAAATTCCTTACTCAGCTGCTCGAAGTGCTTGGCAAGAGTCGAAACCTTGGAGTCTCGCCTGTTTGTGGGCACAGAGCGAGGAATCATGGAGTGCGTCGACTTGTTGGACTTGAAAGAACCAAGTCCAAGACCAGACAATCGCTTCTCCAATGCACGAGCCGACTCCGAAAAACTTGGTTTCGAAGGATCAGGCTTTGTGGTAGCAGTCGGAGCCAGCAGAGTATTAGAGGGTGTTGCGCCCTGTTGCAAACGGGGGATTCCGGTGGTCGACTGTGTCCTGTTCATCATAGATGAAGCTCCATCACCCCTTATACTGCCTAACAGGCGAGGAATGCGCGACTCTGAAGGCGCATCAGGCACATCGCCAATACGGGGCATGTTCTCCACCATATCGGACAGAGTCCGTGACAACGGCGCTGGAGGGGTCATAGGGGCAACATCTGTGGCGACGGTGGTAGTAGTTGTCCGGGAAAGGTTCGGTGGTGGCGGTTGCATAGATGGCTGCTGTTGCTCTGGCGCTTCTGGTGTGGGTGCAGGCGGCGCATCAGCTGAGACCGCGAGATCCAGGTGGCGCACGCGTTGTTGCTGAACCGCTTCTGATTGCGACCCGACTTTAATCAAAGGAGTACCTTCATCCTGTGCTTCTGTAGTGAGGTCTGGTTCCTGCACTCCCAGAGTTGGAGCCTCCGCCTCGTGACCTTCGGTATGATCTTTCTCCGAGATCTTTCTGATGCCACCTTGGTTTTGCTCTACAACAGAAGTGAGCATATTACGGGTTTCTTCCGGCGACATGCTCGATGGTGTAGGGGTAATCTTGATGCTGTCTTGCTTCTCATTCGTGTGACCACCATCTAGAACAGCAGAAGCTTCCTCGACGCCCTCCTCGATTGAATTCACAGAAGACTGTGATTCGTCCCGGTCAAGAAATATTTTCTTCAGCTGCAGAACAGCAAGGCGCTGGATATCTTTTTCTGATGGGAAAAATGCGCGTTCGAATTTAACGAAGGTGTCATCCCAAGCCAGTGCCTTCTCGTGAATTGCCCTGACTGCTCTGTTTAGCGGGATAATTTCGTAGTAGCGCGAGCTCAAGTATTTGTCCTGCAGCTTCCATCTAAGCCACTCGTGTTCGTCATTGGCTCTCTTCATTAGCTTCTCGACTTCTATGCTGCACGCCTCGACCTTCTCGGGAACAACACTCTCAGCGCGGATGCTCTTGATACGGGCTTTGACTGAAGCCATGAACCTGTCAAGGCGCTCCTCTATTTTGAGGAACTGCTCGTTTTTCAGCCGAAGGTCCCGATCGACCTTCCAGGTGATGGTCGGCCTCGGTACGATGACGTCATACAAGTCGATAGGATCGTACTGTATGCGCAGCGCAATATCATTGAAACCGAAATAGCGCACATGATTGCGATGAATGTCGTGGGGACAAACATCGGCCCTTGGGTGCAGATTTGTGCTCCAGAAAGTCAACTCGAGATACTTGGCGAAAGAATACTTCCACGTGCTTTCAGACATGGGTATCGTCTGCGTCTCCTGGCCACAAATCCTGCAGCTGCTCCACATGAGCATTGTGTTATGCAAGCCTTTGATCTTGGAAGGATATTTCTCAACGACGACACTCATCTGCCCTTCGCCGTGGATGTAGTGACGATGATGATCAAGCATTCTCTTCCCACAGGCCATTTGTGTGCATTGAGAGAGTGCACCGTAGCACAAATCTTCGACATACTGTCCAAGCGTGCAGTCTGCCGCGAATCCAGGCTCAAGATCATGTTCCTTGTAAAACTCCAAAGCAACGATTTCTGGTCCTTGACAGGGTGTTGACGTAACAGAGTTGACGAGGCTGTAAAGAAATGCGATCTTTTGATGAGTAAAAGGATCGAAAAGGTCGGTGTTAGCCGACAAGTAGGTCTCCCACTGCCGCTTTTGCGTGAGGTAATTGTGCATTGCCTTGTCGTATTCTGCATCGTGAACAGCATGGAGGAAATCCCTGACTGGACGAGATGCCTTTTCCACTACAGTATGAACCATCTCTGGTTGTACCAGTTCAAACTTCTGTGTCATGTCTTTCTCCTCAGTCTCCGATACTTCGCGACCATATTGATCCCGCAGGCGCCGGAGATACGCAAGTCGCCGCTCTTGCTCTCTGGCTTGAGTGAGGAGGTATGGTTGCATAAAGTTGATGAATGGAGAGGCCGAGAGAATCTTGGTTTTGTGCTTTTCTACGATGTCTCCATAGAACGAGGGCATCGGTACATCCTCCGGGATAGTGAGCTCCTGACTGGCCGACGTACTGACAGGCCTCAGTTGATCCGAAGGTTGATCATCATTTATTGAAATCTTCTCAGGATCCGTCGAGCCGTCGTTCGAAGCCGCCTCAGACGGCTTCTCGGCGTCGCCAGCAGAAGCTTCAATAACTCCACTATCAGGCACAACCGGCTTTGCCTCATCCACAGCAGTCTTGGGTTTTTTGGAGGATGCGGCATCGGTAACAGACGGTATGAGAATAAACTCATCTCGCATGAGGCAGGTCTCCAGCTTTAGGTTGTAGACGACGTAGCAAAGGAATTCTGTAATGTGCTTGAGCTTCCTCAAAGTCGAATTTTCAGCGCCGCGTAGGACGATGGTGCAGCCAAGCTCTTTCTTGCATCCAGAAAGATAGATGTATGTCTTCTTCGTTTGTCCGTACACATATGTCTTGACGTCAAAGCTTTGGCACCGACCAAGAGTCGAAGGATCAGTAGCAAGCTTGTCGATCGAAGAGATCATCCTCAACTCGAGACATCTGGCTACAGCGTTGAGCACGGACGGTTTGACGTTGTAGACCACGGTGATATTCGCTTCCGCAAGATACTGTAGTGCGAGCCCAGAGACATTTCGTTGAACTAGAAGAACTTGAGGGTTCAATGCGGCAATGCGTCCAACGAGATTTCTCAAAAACTCTTTTTCTTGAATGATAACCGGGTCCAAGCTCATGAAGTGCTGTTGGTGGCGAGCGTATTCGATTGGAAAAGTAACAATGAGCACACGGGGCTGAGGGATGCTTCTTGGCATGCTCTTGAGAGCAACATTCTTGGTGAAGACGACGCCAGAAATGTATGAGGTGTCACCCGGTCTGCCTCCAGGGATCTTCTTCAGTTTGATGTAGTGCCGAATGTCAATGTCGTCGTTGCGCTGGACATCGGGATTGACGTCGTCCGTACAGCGTAGCAGGATGGGAATGAGAGCTCTCTCCCAGCTTGAAACGTTCACCACCTCCGCGTCTTGCAGCATCTGACGAAGCAGCTTGCGTACATGTTGCAGACTGGCTCGGTTGAGCTCCACAGCAGGCGCTTGCTTACCCCTCATCGATGCGCTTCGCACCATCTTTGAGTTGCTGCCACTGACCTGCGCAAGGGTTTGTAGTGCACCCTGTTGTCCCCCAACAATATTGGGAAAGTTTATGCTGAAGGGTTTCAACAAAGAATTACTCTTTGACCTTCTTGGAGTGGCCTTTCCGTGCGAAAGACTGCTGACGCTCATATTACGTTGCCGCCGAGAGTAACCAGGCAAGCGCTTGCTCGACATGCTAAGGTTGTCATTGTCGCGGAAAGGCACTGCCAAGTAGCCAGTCGTAGTTCGATCTCCCGCACGCGACTTCCCTTTCTTGATTGCTGCTAACAAGCCGCCAAGGCCATTTCTATCACCTTCGTTTTCCTGCCCTTCATTGTTCAGTGTAGCGAAAATGCTAGGCGCCTCATCCTCGCTTGACTCGTCATCCGACATGAACGCTGCAAGATCCGGGTCGATGATGCTATCGTGGTGGAACGCAGGTAATGTTCTCTTCTTGTCGAAATCCTCAGTCTGGTGACGGTGAAATGGAGCGCGCTCATCCCTGTGAATGCGCATGTTTTGGTGGCGGGAATGGTGGCGTCTGTGGCCTGAAGAAAGCGGTCTCATATTGAGAGAGCGAAGTGATCGTGACGAACTCGGACGAGGAAGAACTGGCTGGCCAGCACTGAACTCAATGACAGCACCACGCTGTCTCTTTTCACCGGGCTTCCGTGAAGTCGGTATACCCATCATAGGGGTACCAATCTTAGTATGATCTCTGCTAAGATGATTGCTCTTCATGGACGGCTGGTCTTTCACGGTCCCACGCCCACTGGTGCTCTTGATGTTAATGGGCTGCGAAGTATCTCCCTGGTCAAAAAGCGAGCTTTGATCGGCATCCTCAGAATAATCCGAGGAATCATCATCGTTGCCATTGATGATCACTTCGCAAGGCTTGCAGACTCGAAGGCTACCGGACTGGCCAAAAAGCTTTCCCGATACTAAAGACGTGCATTTGGAATCGAATATTTGACCGCAGGTACCTAGACTGTATTAGTATATATGCCAACCAGACGATCAATCAGAATGTAGGACATACGGCAGTGATGTTTCCTCCGGAACGTCGAGAAAGCCTCGCCGCAGTTGAAGCAGTCCTTGGCGTTTTCGTCCCTCATCCAAAACTCTTTGCCTAATACTCTCCGCTTCATCTGCGCAAGAGTGCTTCCGCTGCGCGCGTCGCTCGGCCTCTTCTCCGATTCCGTACCAGCGTACTCATTTATGTCTTGGAATGACGGTCTTCGCGCAGGAGCCACGGTAGTAACCGAACTAAGTCCGTCCGAAGATGATGCACGCGATACCCGGTATCCCGGAAGATGAGATGGACCTATCTGCACAAGCGGAGGCCTTTGGAGAGTGGTCGTAGCAGGCGTCGCTGGTTCCGTGTCGCTAGGTTTGATTGTCAAGTCAGAATCGCTTGTGACATTTGATGGCCTTGAAGTTCTAATCGTGTCTTTCCCAACAGTGTTTTGCGTGTCTTGACTGCTTCTCCGACCAGCCGGCGGGCTCTGTATTATTGGTCCTGGCTGACCTCCCTGCAATGATTGTCTACGGCTCGCCCACGAGGTTGGATCAGAAAAGAGAGGCTCGTCTATCAGGACAATGTCTTCTTCGCCGAAGATGCTTGAATCATCGTCTTCCGATTGTCTAGGGTTCAAAATGCTTGAGCGCGCCCTGTCTGGTGCTTGAGGATCACTCCTGGGTATATTTCGAAATCTGTCTGAGTATGTTATGCGGGAAGATGTTGTCGAGTTGCTCGATCGTCTAGCATGTCCAGGGACAAGATCGGATCTATAGTCTGTGGACGAGCTGCCGCGAGATTTGCCCATGGCGTGTTCAACGGGTGTTAGTCCAAACAACGGTTTCGACTTTGCCTGCATTGCCAACGGAGAATGAGGGCTGCCTATAGACGCTCTAGACGTGGCAGACGAAGGGATTATGTCCGAAGAGCTTGGAAGTGCGCCGCTCTCCCGAAAGGTGGATGTCAAGGGCGACTGCAAGCGCGATGGAGGCGTCGATACAACAACCGGCGAAGACACTGTAGTCCCCGCGGAGCTCTTGGCCGTGGGATGCCTGCCATTCGTCCTCGAACTAGCGATGGACCCATTGTCGCTGTCATAGCCGCCAGTGGAGCCGGCTGTCCCCCCAGTATAGTCTTTGCCTCGCCCGACCGATGTCCTGAACCGGTTGTAAAGGCCACTCAGCCCCCCTTGCACAAACTCCCCTGTTATGCCTTTACTATCATTGATGGATGAGGGCGGCGGGGCAGCGAACTGGTCGAATGTCGTGAGAGTCTCCGACTTCGAGGCGGACGTGTGGATGGTATCGAGAGCTTGCGCCAAGACTTCCTTGTCCACTGGACCACGAGAGGACAAAGAGGCTATGGAGCCTCTGCGGGAGCGGAGGCCCAGAGGGCCAAGGGAAAGACGGAGGCCTGGGGCTGAAGGGCTGCCCGCCTCTTGCATTTGCGACGAGGGCATAGTGAGTCGCGAGGTCAGGACGGTAGCATCTGAAGGCCTTTACACGGACGTGGACTATCGGTGGTCAGGAATGACAGATGGTGTCAGCCAGTATGTGGAAGTATCCCGACGCGCAGCGCTATGATGGCGGGAAGGTGACAGCGGCTCCGATGTCCCCGATCTTTCGACGTCTGAGCCTCAACCGCGGTGTCGCAGGCTCGTGAGCCGTTGTAGCGGTCAAAGCTTGCATAGGCATAAGCGGGACCTCGGGATTCGGTGGCGAAAGTACGTTGATTCTTCTAATCTACATCTACCCATTCCAAGCACGACTCCCGGTACGTCGCTGGGGCGGATGACGAAACTAGAAGCGGGGAATTGTTTTGCCGAGACCCCGGAGACCGGGCCAGGCCCCACCACCCTCGAGATCACGGGCAGTCGCGTCTCCGATCACCACGCGTCACTTCGTGTTCCGCAGCTTCACTTTCCCGCCGAAAATGCGCGCAAAGGCGCACTTCTAACCAGTTCTCAACACACCATGGCGGGCGTCCTACAAGAATGGCTAGGCTCGTTCATCGAAGACGAAGTCGACTCAGCCGTCCAATGGATACGCATGAATGACGACCAGAAAGCGCAGACAGAAAACTCCCAACATCTCGAGGAGCTGTACGAGAATGATGGGAGCAACCTCCGCATACAAGGCGATCCCAAAAACTTTGCGAACTCGACAGTGCTCCAGATTATCCGGGTAAGTTGCAGCCTCACATTGTCACAGAACGTGTTGACAGTAGTGCGAAGTACACACATACCGATGAAAACGATCCGGTTGAGGCCATCTTATCGGATGGTCATACGTCAGTAAAGGCCACGTTTTCTAGCGATGCGGTTGAGACATTTCGTCGTAAGCACCAGCGAAAAATCACGAGCCGCACTCAGGGTGGGATCATCTCCGTATATCGCCTCGAGATTGTCATCTCTCTTTTCGGTTCTGGAGAAGATGACAGAGTAACTTTCCTGGTGAAATCCATGAATTTCCGGGGGTCCCCCGGCGCAGCAATACGAGGAAATCCGAGACCCATTCAAGAGCGCCCGAAGATTCAAAGATATCTCGCTTTACTAGGAGTGAAAATCGAAGACGAATCAGACGTTGAGGGTACCCAGTTATTAAACGAGCCCGAACTTCGACAGAATGATCCTCTTGAGGAGGTTCTCTCTCAAGGAGAACAGGAGCCAATGCAGGATGCGTCACTAATGACACAAACGCAGTTTGATACTCAGATGGTTCACCCATCACAGGGACAGCCTATGACACCTGTGAGGCCTGTCGGTGACGTCAATTTGGCACGTCCACAACCTTCCAACGCAGGTCAGAGTACCGATGTACGCGAAAGCAAACATTCGCAGTTGTTGAACTTGTTGAAAAAGAGTAGACCCACGCTGCCCGCTATACCGCCGACAACTACCAATGGACCGCAAAGGAATCAGCACGATCCTAAGTTGGCTATCAAGAACATTGGAACACAGAACCCCAAGCATGCCCTTGGAGCTGAAAAATCTTCAGGTGTGGGCAATAAGGACACAGCAAACGTCGGGGGCGATGACATTTTGAAGACAACTGAACGCGGCAACTCGCAAATACGTTCAATAGCGGCGATAAAAAAAGAACCTTCACAAAGGGATGACAAATCTAAGGACGTACCTTCGAGTTCCATGCCAGTTGTTGATGGTATTCCGACTTCCTACCAAAAGGCCCGCCCTATTTCAAGCCTCGAATCCAACGGGTCTAATGCAGCTCCAGCAATTGAAAAAGAGCATTCACCAACTGCACAGACACAGCTTCCACAATCCTCTGGCAATGATGACGGGCCTTGGAAGGTAAACACTGCAGACCTAAGCATTCATGGGTAAACACTAAGACTTCATTCAGACCGCCTTGCCCTTGACGCGAGCTACTTGCAGAATTCCCAGTAACCAAAGGCGATTGCTTAACAAACCTCTATGTCAGTCGCGTATAAACTCGCCGAATCGTTGCATAGGACTAACCCATCTGTTTAATTTAGCCTGGTTTCCTCCGAGAGTCGGACATGGATTTTTTCCAGCTATACCAGTAGAAATACTGAATAGCTTCAGTGGACCAACAGAGGCCAAAAAGGAACGTCGCCGTTCCGGCTCCCGTGAAGATTCTGACTCTGGCGATGACTTGTCCGATTCCAGTAATGCGAGTACAGCGAAAGGCCCTGATGCTGCTCCTTTTTCTCCATCCAAGTCAGAAGAGAAGGCGGTAGAAGCACCACCATCTTCTCAAGAGATACCGTGGTCTTCGTCCCCTGTACGACCGGTGAAACGCCAAGCCGATCTCCCTCCAGATAGTAGTGCAGAAGAATTGAGGGCCCTAACATCCCTACCCTCACCTCCAAAGCAAGACGAGGTAGAGCATGCGGTCTCGCCTATTTTGTCCAGCACTATGCCGCCTCCCAAAACTGCATACAAGGGAACAGTTGCCCTTGAAGAGCAAGCAGACACTCGCGTGGCTAGTAGCCCAGACCTTCCATCATCACCTCCGCCATTACCTCCTAATGAGGATGAGATGGCCAACGCCATGGTGGAAAACAATGAGGATGAAAACAACGAGGATGATTTGGAAATGGATGTGCCGAAAGCATTTACAAAAACAAACCATCCTGAGAGATTTTCAACCGAGCCTGATGCCATGAAGGAGACCGGCCTCAGAACCGATAGAGCATCACAAAAACCCTCTCATAGCAAGGACCTAGCCAACGAGGTTCCTTCCATGACGCTTGCTGCGCCTCCGGTTGGCGCCTTCCAAAAACCCTCTTATGGTAAGGACTTGGCCAACGAAATTCCTTCCTCGACGCTTGCCGCGCGTCCGGCTGGTGCCTTCAAGAACAAAACTCAAGGTAAGGACTTGTACAACGAAATTCCTTCATCGACGCTTGTCGCATGTCCTGGTGGATTTGCTCACGGCTCAAATTCCGTCATCACGTCGCATATTACGCCTACCATGCAAAGCTTCGTTGAGGATTCGCACAACATTCACCCCACACGATTAAGAATGATCCGCAACATAGATGGAACTGATTCTGGATTTGAATCCTCAGATATCGACGATCCCGTAGAGCGACAAATTCGCAACGAGATGGCTAGCCAATTGCAGCCGCGCAGGATGGCACTATCAAGCCCTGAGAGTCGTGACAAGCCCTCTCAGTCCCACCAAGGCCCTCCATCCCAAGTAGAGAAACTAACATTGACAAATTCACCTGCAGAGAATTCTACCAAACCATCCAAGCGCGATATTGTTTCCCCTACTCATAACCCGCACAAGAAACTCAAATATTCCCATGCTTCCTATGGGTTCAGCCAAGAGAGCCCGGTGGTGCAGGATCCAGCTATGCGTCTTCGACAAGGGCGCAACAAGTTCATGACTGAAATGAGAGCCAGGCGATCTATGTCTTCCTCTCAGTCAGGCAGTGGTGAGGTTCGTCAAAACGTCTTGGGTTCTTCTGACAATGATGACCACATTGACGAGCCCAAAGCCGTCAAAAATAAGAATGATGATGAGGAAGTGCTGAAGGATGCTCCCGTCAAACAAATTGACCAAGAAAACCCCCCTGCGAATCCCGTAAAGACTACAGGTTCCCGCTCGGCAGATGAAAAAATCGAGAAAGACAGGAAGGTATCAGAAGACAGTGTCTCAAAAGACAAGATCCCAGAAGAGGTGAAACCCGCAGGCGAGGAGAAACCTGAAAAGGAGGATATCTTTGGACAGTTTTGCGAAAAGTACCCAGAGTATTCTGGTGACCGTAAGCATTTCACCGGATTATGCCGCATGATCCATAAACTCCAGAGCACAGGCGCGATTCTGCCCAAGTTCCTTTGGGACGACTTCATCCTGAGACACAAGGTCGAATACAGGGAGTACATTGCCAAGTGCAGCGACGAAGGCCAAGACCCCGTGTCATACCAAGCCTTCTACAACGAAGAGATCGACGAACCAAAGTACCAGAAGCGGTTCATGAACGGGGGAAAGCTGCACCGCGTGCTCGAGCTCGAGGACGGCCAGGCACCAAAGCGCGAACCCGTCACGAGGTTCATGTCAGAGACGTACGCGGACAGAGAGCAGCCAGCCCCGTCCCAGTACGGCCCGGACCCTAGCGGCGCAGACCTCCGTGGCGACTACTACCGTCCGATGTACGCGCAGGTTGAACGGCCGAAAAAGTCGAAAAGGTCGAAGCGGAAGAGCTTGCCCGAGCGGGTAGTGCAACTGCAGGAAAGCGAGCAGGGGCGGCGCAGGAACTCGGACGCGGGCGGTAGTGTATTGAAGCGCAACGCGGACGCTCCGCTGATGATGATGCCGCTGCCTGCAAAGCCAGTAGCAGCAGCAACAAAAACAACAACAACAAGCCAGACGCCGAGGAACCTGGTCGCGGGCACCGCCAACACCGCACCAAAACCATCCAAACTGCCAAAGCCGTCCGCAAAGCCCGCCGCTGCTCCCACTACCTCTAACGCACCCACACCCACACCCGCCGCCGCTCCGGCCGCTCCACCAAAGCCAGCCACAACCACGACAGCAACAGCACCCAAACCGTTAGCGCCCCCGACGCGCAAGCGCGCCTCCTCGAGCGCGAACACGGGCTCGGCGGCCAAGAAGCCAGCGGTCGAGAACAGCTTTACGATTTTTAAGCAGAGGTACAATAAGCCGAGACCTGGTGGCGGTGGTGGTGGTGGGGGTTGAGTTGGGTTGTGTGGGGTGGTGTGGGTTCTTCTCTTCCTTCCTTCCATTGGGGTTGGGGGTGGCTGGGGGTGTGTGAATGGGGTGGATGTGCAGTCAGTCAGTCGGGAGGCCAGGAGGTCAGAGCGCGCGCTAGTTCGCTTTACTTTGCTTTGCTGGTCCGCTTTGCTTTGTTTGTTTTCCTTACCTAGTCTAGTTGCTTTATGCACGCACGCGCGCGCGTGGGGGACGAGAAGTGGGAGTGGGGGAATGAGGGTGTAGGTAGGTAGGTACCTAGTTCGATGGCATCGCTAGCTAGCATCGACAGCATCGACAGCATCGTATGCGTACAGTATGACTAGCTTTCTTTTGCGTCTGAGCTTTGTATCTATTGCGCGTTTGTCTACAGTATAGTATGCAGGTGGTGGTGGTGGTACAGTCTAGTTCTTTCCTCTTCCTCTGTTCGCTCTGCGCTTGTGTTGTTGTTTTGGTTTACTTCCGTTCTCTTCTCGCCTAGTTTTTTCCACGTATACAAGGCCATTCATGCATGCCTCGACAGCCGCGCGCGTGCTCGCACCTTCTCGCAGCCCCTACCTACATACCTACGGCACGCTAACCCCGCCCCTCGGCCTCCGCCCCTCATCCTCAACAACATCGACATCGGCGCGCACCTCGACGGCCGGGCGTCCGTGTCCGTGCCCCTGCCCGTGCCCCTCCCCCTCCGCCCGCGCCTGCATCTCCCTGTCCCGCACAACCTGCCTCTCGAAATCCATCTGCGCCCCCAAGCCCGCGAGCATAGCGCCGGCCGAGAAATCTGCCACGCCGAGATCCCAATCCGCGAGCGACGCCTCCTCGACGCGTTGCGCCGCCGCCTCGTTCACAAACAGCACGTCTTCAGGGCCGGGGTGCTTGTGCGCGTACACGGCGCCGGCGAGCAGGGCGGCAGCGGCGGTGGCGGCGGCGCCAGCGAGGCCGTGCAGGAGGCGCTGCGGGGGGTGGTGCGGGGGCTTGCCCTTTGGGGGGCGGACGGGGTCGGGGGACGCGAAGGCGCTGAGGCCCGGGAGGCGGGCGACGAGCGCGGCGGCGATGGAGGTGGCGGCGGTGGCGAGGGAGGGGGGTGCGGGCGGCGACCAAGGGAGCGAGAGCCCCAGCTCTTTGCGCCCTTTGGACACGATTTCGGGGCTCCCCCGGAGGTCGATCAGCGCGAGCAGGTCGGCGGGTTTGGGGCTCTCGGCGCCGATGGTTAGGAAGCGCATCCGGTCGGTGTACGCGGCGAGGCGGGGGAAGCGCGTTAGTAGCGTGTCGGCGAGCCAGGGGGCCGGGAGGACGGGGTATTGCATGAGGGCGAGGTAGCCGAGGGCGAGGCAGTCGAGGCTGCATGGCGCGGCGGAGGTGTGCTTGGTGTTGGTGTTGGTGTGGTCGCTGTCATCGTCATTGTTGGTGTTGGTGTTGTCCTCGTCATCGCGCAGCAGCAGCGCCTTGTCGCCCAGCAGCTCGTCCAAGGGGCCGAGACAGGCGTCGGCGAGGGCGGCCAGCTTGAAGCGCGCGGCGTACTCGGGCGCGCTGAGCATGCTGCGCAGGCCGCGGCGGCGGCGGCCGAACAGCAGGCTCGCGCGCTTCTCGATGGGCCTGTCGCCGGGGATGCCGGCCTCGCGCTTTTCCTGCGACAGGCGGTCGTCATCTGGCTCGTCGTCGGCGATGCTGTCGAGGTCGAGGGCGCTGAGACGCAGGTGCTGGGTGCGGGCGCGGGCGGCGCTGCGGCGTGCCGGCGGGATGGTGTAGTTGAGGTACCAGGGCAGGAGGGCGGTAAAGGCCGACGAGGTGGCGTTGTAGTAGTTTGCCGACGAGACGAAGAGGTTGAGGTCGAGGAGGGGCAGGGCGGTGGTGCGCAGGAAGGAGGAAAAGGCCGTCACGTCGGCGCGCTCCTTGTTGGAGAGCGGCTCGTCGAGGTCGCGCTCCAGGGCGCTGTGCCTGCGCAGGTAGAGGACGATGGCGTGGAAGCCGCCGATCCAGGTGGAGCCATTGCGCAGGGCGGGGTATTCCTCTGATGTGTTGTTGTTAGCGAATTCAGGTCACAATGGTGCATGTCCATTGAGTGCGCACTGGTCGGGCTCTTGTCGACATCGTAGGCGTTGACGAGGGCCCACTGGCCATCCCTGAGGGCCTGCTTTGCGTAGGCGATGGCGGCAATGCACTCGGCGTCGATCGAGGGCAGGCCAAAGGCGGGGCCCCAGACGTGCAGTTCCAGCACCATCTTTTCAAGCTCCTGAGGGTTTTGTCGCTGGCGTCTCTCGGGGGAGCGAAGGAGTCGACGCCGGCCCGCAATCTTGGCGTGTGTCATCGCCCTGTCGCTCATCATCACAACCACGAGTACATACAATACAATGGCTCCCACTCGTCGCTATCTGCGCATCACCCGCTACTCCGCCCTCGAGGTCCGCGTCTATCTCGACAATCCCGCCCTCCAAGATACCTGGCTGCTACGTCCCTCGGACCCCGCCCTGCCGCGCATCATCCAGGCCGTGCGCCCACTCGTGCTGCCGAAGCTTTGGGAGGAGAGCGAGCGCGTCAAAGGCAAGGCCAAGGGCAACAACAAAGGCGTGCGCGACGTCGTGGCCGGAGGTACAAGCCGTGAACTGAACATTCACGCGCTGAGCTGACCGTCAATCGCAGACGACTTTGAAGTCTCCATCTTCCTGACCGAGAACTCGTCGCCGCACTCGCTCCTCACAAAATCAAAGACGTTCAAAGACAAGCCTCGACTCAAGTCCAACTCGGGCAAGCTGACCGCCTGGCTCAGCGCCGGCAACACCAGCGACAAGCCGGTCGACGTCGACGACGACGCGCCCCTTGCCCTCAACGACATCCCCGAAGCCACTCCCCCAACCAGACCAAGCAGGCGGCGCTCAGGAAACAAGCGGCAGCGCGCGTTGCAGGAAGAGGACGAAATCGACGAGGACGCCCTCTTCGTCAGCCAGCCCGACCACCCCGACCCCGACAGCAGCGAGTCGTCAGACGACGCCTACGAGCGACCCACGAAGCGCAAGCGGCGAAGCCCGCCCAAAGACGACGCGCCCGCCGACGACAAGAAGAAGCTCGCGCTCAACACGTCCTACGACGGCTTCAGCATCTACGGACGCGTGCTGTGTCTGGTCGTGAAGCGCAAGGGCGGCGGCAGCAGCAGCGCGCAAAAGGCGACCACCGGCCCAGCCGCGCAGCAGCAGTCCAGCAGCACCGCGGCGTCAAGCTAGTTAGTTGATGATGGCGAGCAGGGTGTCGACACCGGCGGCCGGAAAGAGCCAAAAGGCTGTGCCCAACAAGCACCTCCATTCACGCATCTCCTACCTCTACCAAGCGGCCACCTATCTAGCCGCCCAAGCCATGCCAGGCCCAGACCCGCTCATAGAAACCACTGCACCCACACAACCAGCCACCCAGAAAGCCTCGAGCGCACAGCCCAGTCTGCCATACTCCTACCATCTCATTTCCCATCTGCAGCTCGTCTCGCTGAAGGCCCAAGTCCGCCTCTCCCACCAAGTCAAGCACTCCATCTGCAAGCGCTGCAGCGCCATCCTCGTCGCCGGGAGCACCTCCTCCAGCAGCGTAGAGAACCCGAGTCGGGGCGGCAAGAAGCCTTGGGCGGATGTTCTTGTTGTCGAGTGTAGTGTTTGTGGAGCAAGGAAACGCTTCCCTGTTGGTGCTACGCGGCAGCTTAAGAAGAAAGACAGAGTCAAACTCAAGGTCGAGAAACTGAAGCCGCCTGTTGTTACCGCCCTGTCGCCCGCTTGTTGACGCGTGAACGTGTTATACCTATCGTGCTTATGCTTTATAGTCGCGGTAGACTATTACTACGCGTGTATACGCGGTCTAGGGATTATCTACCTAGTATGGTTTAGTAACACACATACACACACATACACACGGCACCGCACACGACAGGGCTGAGAACTAAGCCAGCGCGCACGAGAATGAACGAGCTGCCCGAAAGCCGACCGCCGCCCGTTGCCCGCTGCCGTGAGGAGCTAGCTGGTTGCTGCTCGGTACGGCCGCTACAACAAACAGCAGCCGCTGCTTGCTTGCTGGCTAGCTGCCGGGCGCGCCCGAGACGGCGTTATGCAGCACCAAGCCCGATCAGAGCTGGGGGCATGCAACAAGCGCCGCGGATAAAGCCCGCAGGCTCGGGACCGGGCTCGGTGGTTTGGTTTGGTGTGGTGAGCGGCGTGTCGGGACTATCTGTGAAGCGCAGCGCGGTAAATACCTTAGTAGCGTGGTACATAGCGCAGCAAGCAAGCAAGCGAGCGTGCGTGTGTGTGCGTGCGGTGAAGCGGAGCAGAGCAGAGCAGAGCAGAGCAGAGCAGTACCTAGGTACAGTGCAACAACAGCCCGAACAAAAAACGCGACGCACGAACCAGGCCGAGCCGCACAGAAGGCTCGCACGGGCACGGCCGGAAGAAAAATTTCTTTCTCGAAGCCTTCTCGAAGGGAAAAAAGAACAGCTGGCGTGCCCCCACAGCCGCGAATCGAATCGAATCGGCGGTGGAGCTGGGGGAGCGCGCGCAGTGCTCGCGCAATGGCAGTTAGGTGGAGATTTGGGCGGCGTTGAGATTGCGGCACGCCTGATGGATTGGCGGGATTCAAGGGTCCACGCCTGGGCAGGGTCCGGGGTTTGGGGCGGCGGTGGCGCGATTGTGATTGGAACGGGGAGGCTAATTAATCCCTCGGCCACGCACCCTCGGTGCATGTTCACAACTTTTGCGGATACAGTATGTACGCTCGCTAGGTACGACTACGCGCGCACGCGCAACCGGTCAGAGTCACGCTGGCTGGCTAGCTAGCTAAGGGCTTCCAATTCGAATGGCGAATGGCGGGGCGGGGAGATAGGCGCACCGTATTCTGTCCCTCTAATCCGTATCGTATCTATCTGTGATCAGTGTCTGTCTGTCGTCGGGCTTTCCGAGCACTGCACAGCTCCCTTCCAGCGCGGCGCGGCGCGGCGCAGCCTCTCACAGCCTTGTAGGGCTGGCGACTGTACGTGCTGTTGGCTTGCTGACCTGTGCCGTGCCCGCACGCGGCTCTTGCTTGCTCTAGGTACTACTCTAGGTCCGTACGCTATCTACTACAGTTACAGTGCACAAAGCGAAACGAGGCTCAAACTCGGGGCAAGCGCCGGGCAGACGAGCTCGTGGGCGTGCATGTGGTGGCGAATGCGAGGGAGTGGCGAGGCCTGCTAAGATAACAACAACATGATAACAACACCCATGCAGGCACGCGTACGTGCTTGCATATGCTGTCTATCTACTCTAGGCGTACGTATGCACACGCAGGAGGACGGTGGCAAAGCAGAAGAAGAAGAAGAAGAAGGGTCCAGAGCAGTTTCAGCGCATGCTGGCTGCGACGCGACGATGGTGGGACAGACTACAGATTCGCGGACTGTCCTCGTCCTTGCTTGTCGGCACTGGGGTGGGGTGCGTGCGTGCGTGCTGTTTCTGCTAAGGCACCCGTAGGGCACCGGTAGTTAGGTAGTGGTGGGCGGTGTGCGTGGAGGCGTGGCGTGGCAGACATGGATGTAGACGTGGACATGGGTGTGGATGTGGATGTGTGAGTGAGTAAGTGAGTGAGTAAGTGATGGCGAGCAGGGAGCGCGCCGAGGCGGAGACTTCTTCTGCTGCTGCTGGGAGGGCGCGCTGCCGCGTCCGCCGTATGTACATACCTGGTGGTGGCAACGCTGCTGCTGCTGCTGCTGCTGCGCCGCACGGCACCGCGCGTCGCCGTCGCGTCGGGGAAGACTGCCGTTTTGCGTCGACGTCTTGGGCGCGAGCCGCGCGACGGGGACAGGGAGCGAGCGTGAAGGCGAATGAGTGAGTGGGTGAGTCGATTCGAGACGAGTCGAGTGAGGCAGTGTTTGATGTCGAGGTCGATAGCGCGGGCTGCGTAGTCATGTACCTAGTCCATCTGTACCTATGGATGGATGCGCGTGCCTGTGCATGGGTGCGGAAACACGAGACGACGCGCTCGTTCCGCGTGCGCGGTTCGTGAGGGCTGGAGAGAGAGTCAGCTAGCCTGTCTGTCTGTCTGTCTGTCTGTCTGTCAGTGTGCATGCTTGCGTGCATGGCAGGGTGTTGCAGCCTCACTTTTACGAATTGCGAGGGACCTAGGCTTGTCTTGGTTTGGGGATGGGGTAATTGGTATTGAGAGGGAGTCTTGCCTGTCACTTGTCTGTCAGTCAGTCAGTCAGTTATCCGGCGGCGTGGTTGCGTTGCCAGTGTTATTGTTCTGTGCCGGTGTCGTGGTGGTTGAGCATTAGCACACTCTGTTAAGCAGCGCCTTACTGTAAATCAATAAAGTGGTCGATGCTCAGTCAGCACTCAGCTTGTCTGTGTACCCTGGGACGTTGCCCTTGCCTGCTTCCGCCAGGTACCGTCAGGTAGTCAGTCAGGCAGGCAATAAGTCGTCAATAATCAGTCAGCACCACCACCCTCCCTCCCCATATCTCTCATCATCGCTGTCAGGTACGGCTTACGGCATACAGCATACGAACGAACCAGGCACGGCTTACAGGGATTCTCTCGCTACTCTCGCTTCCAACCCTACCCCGGCCGCTCTCGTGACTACAACCAGAAACGCCTCCGGGTTTCGAGCGGCTGGCTGGCACGCAGTGGCGTGTTTCGGCTCGCGTAGACGCGTTTGAGCTCAGAGTCCGGAGGCGCGGACATGGTCGACACGCGATACGATACGACGGACACGCGATGGACACGCGGGGTGTCGTGCCGTGCAATGCCGGGCCGGGCAGGGTATAGCAGGCAGCAGCAGCAGTTGCTGCTGCTGCTGCTGCGACTAGGTGTCGACGTCGTGGCGTGCCGTGGCTTGGCTGGGCAGGGACGAAACGGCGCGGGTAAACGGCTGTGTTGTTGTGTTGGGTTTTGGGATTGTGTTTTAGGATTGTATTTGCGCTGGGGTATGGGTGTGCGTGCCTGGTGGTTAGGCTTGTTTTGGGTATGCGGTGTGCCAGGGAGTGGGGAGATGAGTAAGACGGATGGGCGCGGATGGATGCTTAGAGAAGGGTAAGCTGCGTGGGTGCGTGGACGTCCGGTTGGGGCTAAGGCAAAAGGTTGGCACAAGGCATGAAAAGGCGGGACAGGGGGGGATGTATTGGATACCATGATGGGTTGAGGATAAGTGTGAGTTTGTTTCTGTTTGTGTATGCGTACGAGTTAAGTGAGGGAGTTGCGGGCAGGGAGAGCGCAGAGACTAGGTACCTAGTAGTGTGTTGGGCTGTGCAATGCGTCCGTATGCGCCCTCCGTCCACACAGAAGCCGTGCCCCATCACATACGGCGCACGCGCTCAGCAATGTCCAAACCCCTCTACGCGGCACGCCCGGCATGGTGCCAGGCGTCGCACCATCGACCGCGTGCGCGTGCGCGCGTGCCGTGGCAGTGTTTGCGATCCCGTCGTGGGGACGAGGACACCTGACAGCTGACAGACAGACTAACTGACCGGTCAACCACCCAATCCCATCCTCTAGCCACGCCCTCTCATTTCCCCTCTGCGGCTCTAACTACTACCTAGCCAGGCACACGCCGGCAGCGCGGCCGGCCGGCTCCTTCCATCCTTGGTGCTCCCGGGGGAGCGTGGTTCCTTCCGCCGTTTCTGGACCCTTCTTTGTGTGCTCCTTTATTCTTCGGGGGCTCTAGAAACCTTCTAGAGGGCTTCGGGGGCGCGCACGCACCCCGTCCTCCTGCATGCACGCAGTGTCGGTATGCAGGCACGCCGTCTTCCTTCCTTCCTTGGCGCGCAGTGGCGGTGTCCGTGGCGCGACGTGGCGTGCTGAAGAGCGGTGTCGGTGCCTGAGTAGATAGCCTGGCTCCGTATCTGTAATTGGGCACGCGCCCTGTGCGCGAGCCCGTCGCCTGCGCCGTGGTGTGCTGTTGGGCGTGATTGTTGTCTGCTTGTCTGTCCGTTCGGCCGGTTTGGCGTGTTGGTCCCTTGTAGGGCTGACTAGCTGGCTGTCTGTGCGGGAGGATCAGGCACAGGGCTTAGTGCTTGGGGAAGGCGGTGGAAGGCGAGGGAATCCGTGGTTTGCTTTGCCGGGATGCCCGGTCTGCTTGAGTGTTGTGCTTGCTTGTGCATGTAGGGGTCGGAGGCGGGGAGCGCTATCTTGCTCGTATGTTCTCGAATGTGCTCGTGTTGAAGGGGGAGCCGTTGACTTAGTTGCTTGGCTATGCGAGGGTGGTGGGTGGTAGGTGAGTGGTAGAATTGATTAGATGTGGTTGTGGTTAAGTAATTTGATAGATCGGAATATGCGGGGGATATATAAAATATAAATAATACAAAAATCGACAACGAAAATAAATCTCAAGACGAGTATAAGAAAGTAAGCCCCTAATAATAAATGTAGAGACGCAAGAAGAGCAGAAAAGGAAAAAAGGTAGCAAGTGACATGATATAAAAATAAATTAAATTAAAAATTAAAAGCTTACCCACCGATTTACCTATCCTTCACTCCAGCCCTAAGCTAAACCACACTCTCAAGACCTCACTTACAAATCTAGCACACTTGCCCTACCACTAGCCCGTTTCAACGACGTCGTCCCCCCTGTTTCCTCACACGCTATAGCACAACGCAGATTAGAGCCTCACCCGCGCCCGTCCCGCCGCACAGGCAGCGCAACAGAGCTCTACTCTACATCGTAGAGTACTCTACTACATAGCAACAGGCTTACCTAGCACTAGCGCAGCACACAGCTAGCCACAGTACAGCAAACCTCGGGCGCAGACGCAGCGACCGAACGGAAAAGAAGACGAAGACAAAGAGCAACAGCACCAGCAACAGCAGCAAGAACCAGACCAGCGAAACAGCAAAGCCCAAGAGAAAAAAGCGCTAACCACGCAGCACCCCCGTCCCAAAACGGCAAGTACAAGCACCCAGCCACCAACGCGCACCTTAAAATCCAGACTCCGCGCCCACGTCAGCACGTTACGCGCCACCGTAGCAGTACTCTAGAGTAGGAGTGCTCTATAGTAGCAGGGTAACATAGCATCCATCCATCCATCACGCGTCACCGGCACCCGGGGCAGCATCGACCGACCCGCCCCCCACGAACCTGGACCTAGACCTCTCCACCATCGCTTGCTCGCTAGCTTCGGGAGCGAGCAGACGGGAGTGCGTGCGCGCGGCACCGCGGCACCGCGCTCGGCAAGTGGGTTTTAGGTTCGAAGGGGGGATAGAGTTGGGGGGGCGTAGGTTTCGGGGCGCGCGCTTATGGGCAGCGAGAGTGAGCTGGCTGTAGTGGTAGCGAGCGGGTGGTAGTGAGCGGTAGTGAGCGGTAGTGAGTGGTATTGAGTGGTATCGAGGAAGTGGGCAAGTGAGCGAATAAGAAGGTGCGGATGCGTAGATGAGAATATGGGTGAGCGAATGAGAGGGCCCGGATGGGCGAGGAAAACGATGCGCGAGGTGCGAGGTGCTGGGCCGCGTGCCGTGGTACTCTAGGTGTTGGCGAGGGCGCTAGTGGGGTAGTTTAAATGGCGTGAGGGGTGGGTGGGTGGGTGGCCAAGACTTGTCGGAGGGGGCCGATGGAGGCTGGCTGGTTGTGCGTGTACTGTGTACGTGTGTGGGGGAGGAGAGGGAGGTGATTTTTTCGTGTGGAGTTGTTGGTGGTTGTGGTTGTGGTGGTGGTACATATGGAGTACGGCCTTCGAATGGTAATACAAAGTATTGTAGAGGCGGACGTCTGCATACACGCATGCATGTACTCTGCCCGCCTACCTAGAGTACCTAATCTACCTACGCTCTCCCTCCCTGCACCCCCATCACGCCTCACGCCTCACGCCTCACACTCGCGCCCGCCGCCTCACCCACGCAAAAAGCAACACCACAGCCCCAAAACCCGACAGGAAGCACACCACCACCAGCAGTAGCAGCAGCAGCAGGCGCAGCAGCACACCACCTTGCCAAGCGCCGCACCGCCAGCACCATCTGCAGGTACACGCACACGCACACGCACTAGCGCCCTCGTCCCACCCCCAAACCAACCAGCATACCCAACCAAGCAAGCACGAGGACGAGTAGAGTAAGCAAATCCAACCCAGCCCCAGCCCCTCCTCCCGGGTGGCCCGCGGACCGGGCTACTGGCGCGCAGCATGCATGCAGCAGGGCCCTGCGTCCCCGGGGGCTCGGGACTCGGGACAGAGCAATGGGGTACGAGCAGAGGGCTTGCTTGCTTGCTTTGTTGATCGAGTAGGTATGCTTGCTAACTCTAGAGTACCTTACTATCGATCGCGCAAAGCGCACTGCACTGCACTGCACCCACTCATAGTAACGATAGCCACCCACTCGACTCGAGGACGCCGCTCTTTGCCGCAAAGCCCGAGCCCCGACGCGCAGAGTAGAGTAGGTTTGGCGGCGCAGTGGTGGCTGGCGTCTACGTGCGTTACGCTGCCGCAGGCCGGCGGCGTTGTGGTTTTGCAGCAGCGGAGAGGAGCGGGACGAGAGGAGGAGAGGAGCTACTCTAGAGTGCTTTACTCTGGGTACTCCTAGAGTAGGACTGCCCAGGAGGAGGACTGCCCTGGGTGGGAAGGGGGATGGTGGAGGGGGCGCAACAACGATGACGCAAGCCGACCCCCTCTAGAGTACCTACTCTAGAGCAGGCACGCGCACTCTACCCGTGATGACTCCCGTCTCCGCCTGTGAACCTAAATCTATTTCTAGCGAAAGGAGCGCGCGCGTGCTTGCGTGTTTGCGAGCTTGCGTGCGCGCTTGTGTGGAGATAAGCAGCAGAGCAAGCAGATCGAGCACCTACCTATCCGGGCAAGCGTTGCGGGGTCGACTGTGGAGAAGGAGGGGGAAGTGCGGTGCGGGATTGATCGGCGGTGTGGAGAGAGAGGGATGAGGAGTCGGCGAGTGGAGATGAGGGGAACCCTACTCGTAGGACTCACTGCTAGCGGCGGGAGACGCGCCGAGAGGGGTTTGGTGCGCTGAGTAGTACTCCCAGAGTACTCGTAGAGAGGAGCAGCGGGGGTGCGAGCGAGTCGAGTCGTGAGCGGTGCCTACTAGGGGTGAATAGCTGGGTACTCTAGGTACCCGGAGTATGGGTAGAGTTGAGGAGGCGACGAACTACTCGTACCACCAGTACCACTGATAGGAACGCTACACAGCTACGCTGCTGACAAGACGGACGAAAGACGAGCGCGGGAGCTGCTGTGAAGAACTCTATTGGCTGGTTGGCTGGCAGTGGCAGAGAGTCGTTGCCCATTGGCCGCTGCCATGCTTTGGTAGCCGGACTCGTCGCTATCAGCCTAGCTACCCAGCAATCTCAGCAAGCAACAGCACCACCCGCTCCGCTGCGCCCACGCCCCCCCTACTACTCTACTCCTATCCCGCACCCCAAACCACGCCGTCGTCAACGACATCACGCTGCCCGCAACGCACTGCCGCCCCCTATCATTTCGTCTCGTCCCGTCTCCCTTTCCTTCCCGCCCCGTCGTCGTTGTCGTCTACTCTACTCGCTGTACACACGGGGCGCGCGCCGTCGCCGCCTCTCGCCCAATGCGCCCCTCCCCCATCCCATCTCCTCCCGCACCCCGGGCCTCACCGGACAAAGACAAGACGCAAAAGCCTGCTGCGCCTCGACAGCGCCCGCACGCCCGCGCGCACGCGTCCCGCCGCTGCCTCTGCCTTGTGAGACGAACGCGCAATGCATGAGCTTGGTCTGGACTCTGGCGGCTCGGAGCCCATGCGCCACCGGGCATGTCTCTCGAGCAACCGACGCTGCTATAATTATCCGTGACGGCATGCGTGTGCGCGCAGCCATTGCGATCATGCGGCTCTCGCTGTGGTGAGTCTGGACCCGCCGCCCCGGGGATGGCGCACTTTGGGGGCTTGCGCGCGGGCGTCTTGGCCTCGAGCATGGATGGGGGCGGGAACCAGGCCAGTGACGAGACAAGACAGCGACGGCGGCGGGACCACGCGAGCACTGGCAATATTGCGACGACGATATTGGCGGTGTGGCTGGTCGAGACGGGACGGGACGGAATGAAAAAAAAAAAAAAAAAAAAAAAAAAAAAAAAAAAAAAAAAAAAAGACATACCAATAGCGCCGCGTACGCCCGGATAATGGGAAGGATTGGACTCGATAGCAAAGGCGGCGGCGCCAGACTGTGAAGGCCACTCCGCACGCGCAACGGTTTTATAGCTTGAGGCGTGTTTTGCAAGTCGTGGCAGAGATAGAGTCATGCGTCGACGAATTGAGACGAGGGCGCGGACGGATCGGGCAAGGGCGGGCTTTGCTAGCGGACGGGATCGTGATTGCGATCGTAATCACAACGCCGCCATCCGTGATGCTTACTTTGGATGGATATGGATGAAGACGGGTCGGGACTCGGGACGACGGTCGTACGAGGGGACGCGTCTCCGTATTGGTGAGAAGAAGCAAGGCGATTTGGAAGGAGCAGTTCTGACGTGCCCGTGGATCCTACTTGGACGTTGGTGCGACGGGCACGTGGAAAAAAGAGGCTGGGATAGAGAGTGTTTGCGTGTCGTGCTAAAGTCTGGGGTTGTCAGGTTAACGCGCGGGCAATGAATTGAGTCAACGACGATCGAGCGACCCGGTGTGCTGGAACCTTGGCTGGATGTCTCGGATAGGCAATTAGCAGGAGGCTGTAACAGCGCGGGAATTTTCCTGGGGGATGCGCAGCTCATCTCATCATCATCAGCAGGCAATCAGACAGCACCATCTCCTGTTGCTCATCATACTCGCCGAAACAAGGAGAATCTGCAAGTCTGGAGATGATGAGCGCACGCGGCGCGCGGCGCGACGGGCGGGACGCCGCAGCAGGAGACGGCGACGCAATCGCAGCCCATCTCCCAGCCTGCGCAGTGCGTCCGTCAACACAGCCAGCCTGTGCGACGTTTGCGAGTGTTGCGTCTCGTGATGCGTGGAATGCCAGAGAAGTTGCGGTGATGGGGAGTGGATGCCCCTGACGATCCGGGAGACGCCGCAGACGACGTTGGTTTTGGTTGGAGTCGTCGTCCAGTGGCGCAGAATGAGGGCAGAATGATGTCGGCGATCAAATTATCACAGAGTCGATCTCTCGCAGGGAGCTTATCTGAACGGGCGGATGACGTGAAGATGGCTGGCGGCCGTTCGTGTTGCCGCGCGCGCTGGCGTTTCGAAGCAGCGGTGGCGTGAGGGCGTCAGGCGCGCGACCCGAGGCAAAAAAGTAAAGCCAATCTCCGGAGTGCTGGCGAGGATCGATTTAGTGATGGAAGACCGGGAGAAGGAGTATGGAAGGGTCCGTGGGTTTGTGCAGGCGCAGTCGGGCCTTTGAGGGCAACGAGCAATCTCCTGCCTGTTCCTGGCCTGTTCCTGGCGAGGGCAGCCTGATGTCACTCGGCTGAAACAACTGCGGTCAGACCGCCTCAGCCCTCTGCACAAACACCCTCCCCTTTACCCCTGCAACGCCCCCCGGCCCTCATGCCTGCTCCACCCAAGCCGCTATGGCCAGCGCCAGCTTATTACACCATTGTCCGTGGATGCCTGTGACTTTTTTGCCTGTCCAAGCCATAAATACGTCCTCAGCCCGCCGCTACTTTGTTTGCTCATCATCACCATCAACCACCATCACCAGCAATCCAACACTCTCCAACACTCTCCAACAAACAACAAAGTCTCTCTCAAAGACTCTCACCCTCTTCACCAAAATGCCTGCCGCCACCACTCTTCCTCCTTGCCCCGGCCCCCCGCCTACCAGGCCTCTTCCTCCGGTTCCTACCAAATAAAGAAACCGCCATCGACGACGACGACGACGACGACGAGTAGTCTCTTCTCTCTCATCACAGTCTTCTCTCTCCTCTACCAACAACAACAACAACAACAACAACGGCTCTCACGACTCTTGTCACGCAATCGCTTCATGTCGACCCATTACATCATGGCATCGGAAAATCATCTCTCTCGCGTCAATCTCCCCTCGTCGCGCCCGCAGATCCAGCGTTTCAGCGTCCGTCACGGGTAGAGCGACCCCACCAACACCGCCTTTCCTCTTCGAAGCGCAAAATCCATGCAGCGCCAGCGAGCAGTCAGCAGCCAGCACCCACCAGCGGGTACGGCGGACCTGCCGCCGCCGCTACTCCAGCCGACCGTCGACCATGACCGCTTGGGGTTTCGGCCTTAATGCGACGCTTGGCCGATCGAGCGCTGCCTCCGCAGATCGCCCTTCACATGCGCTGCAACCCGACTCTTTGCGAGCAGCAGCGCCTTATCGCGACATCTTTTACAGCCTCCGCCGCCTGACTCTCGCTGCTCCTCGCTCGCCCGCCAATGACAAGGCTGCGGGCTCGGCCTCGTCCCTGTGGGATCGGGCTCTAATCGTTCGCTTGAACCACCACCACCACCACTCAACCAACCATTGTAATTGATAGCGCCTTCAGTTGTCTTTTACCTTTGGGAGTTTTTCTTTCCTCTTTCTTGTTTTTGTTTTGCAATCACAGCATCAGTGGCGCCGGGGAATTGTAAGAATACGGAATCATGTCTTGGGGGGATCTGTATCATCTATGGTTTTCTGTTGTTTGCCTCTTTTACGCGTTCGTTTTTTGTTTGAACATACCCGGGTTGCCCATCGATGCGCCCACTCGTATCCTAGTCGCTTTTAGCAATCAGCCTGCCTCAGGCGAATGCCAAACACATGCTCAAAAAAACCTCTTCGTTCTTGCTTTGCAGTAGTGATGTTTTTTGCTTGCTTTTTCCGCCCGCGGCGATCGCCCTGCTTACTTGCTTCTGCCGCTGCTGTTGCCTTGGCTGCCCGCCTTCCTCATCCTGTCAGCCTTGCATGTTTTTGCCGCCTCTGCTGCTATAATTGAAGATGCTGATGAATTCATGCATGCAAAGTAAGCCTCGCATTTTCTCCTACGGAACATGCCCCTCGCGCCTCGTACCTTGCCTTAGAGGCATCGAGGCGTCGACGCTGTGCGACCACACCGCCTCACCACCATCACCAGACGCGGAAGACATTTCCCCCGCCGGACCGGGCGTCCGAGCATCCTCATCAGCAGCAGCAGGAGGAAGGAAGGAAGGAAGGAAGGAGCTCGCGGCACCAGCGCCACCACGACAGGAGAAGACCATGGAAGGCGAGCCGGAGCCGAGCGTCCGTCCGCCCGCCGACCCGCCCACCCATCCACCTATCCGCCGCCTTGGGTGGAGAGGGGGGAAGGGGGGAGGAGAAACAGCGCGCATTCCACTCCACCGCCGGTTCCTCCTCCTCCTCCTCCTCCACCACCAGCAAAGCAAAGCAGGACTTCCTCCCTTGGGGCGGCGCCGATCCCCGCACGCCTCCGCGCTGATCCGTCCCGTCGCAGGAGCAGGTGGCTTGATGATGATGAGTTGGGAGGGGTGCGGTATTTGCGGCGCTGCGGGTCTACAAAGTGGCATGCGTTAGCAAGGTGGGTGGGCACGTGTGGAGGGAGGAATCAGCATCAACCTAGGGCGTAGGGAGCAGAAGCACGTACGCAGCAGAGCACGCAGGACGCACGCTCGGCGCCAGCAAGCACGTGTGTGCCATGTGTGCATCCGTCCACTAGCTAACTCTACGCGCTGACGATATGACGCAGTCGCAGCCCGATACGCGAGCGGTTCATGCGGTCGCCGAGTGCGACACACACTAGTTGCCTACCACGCTACTACCTATCGCGCGCACACGCTGGCGGTCTTGGATGCGAGCTCGGCCGTGTCGATGGCTGGCTGGCTTCGTCGCAGGCTCGCGAGCGGCGGCACGAAAGGCAGACAGACAGCGCCGCGCCAAGGCCTCGCCTGCACGTCCTGCTGCACTGCACTGTCGCTCGCGCTCCTCCTCCTCATCTTCCCTCTCCTCGTCCTCTTACATACTCTGGCTTGCAGCTTGGCTTGGCAGGGCAGGGCAGGGCAGTGCAGCTCGCTCACGAGCCAGCAGCAATCCCGCGTGCGCGCCTGCGCGCCTGCATGGCTGTTCGGCTCGGCAGCAGCGGGAGCAAGGTGCAAGGGCAAGGGAGAGATAGAACTCGAGAGAGAGTAGTGTGGAGAGGCCCTCGTTTCGGGGCGCAGAGCGTCGTGCTGGGGGGATGGATGATGGCACGAACGATAGCACGGCGGTGTTATGATTGCGCTGGGGGCAGCCATGCCTGCCCATCGTCATCATCACCAGCCTACCATCATCATCAAACCTCTGGCCGCCGTCCCGCATGCGCGGAAATCACGGCTGCGCTATCAGAGATGAGCTGCTTTACTAGCAGTGCTAGCGCTGCTGGCTTGATTGCTTGCTTGCTTAATTGATTGCGAGTTATCTCTCCTCAGCATCATCATCAGCAGCACCTAGCAATCATCTCTCCTCTTTTTTTTCGCCCCCGGACCGCTGCCCACTGCCCGCTGCCCGCTGCCCGCAGGTCAGCATCTCCGCATGGCCATGCAGGGCGCGTGCGTGCCGTGTCGTGAGTCTTGTCTCAACTAACGAAACGCCAACCTAGCTTGCTAGCCCTTGGGGCGGGAAAGGCGCAAAGCCGCCAAAGCAAGCAGCGGGTACGGCGGCTACGACACACGACGTCGACACACTCGAAAAGCCCGTGAGCCGCACCAGCACCTACACCAGCACCAGCACTGCCAGCAGCACCATAAAAAAAAAATAGCATCAAGAGCTCCCAAGCGGCTCTGCCGCTCTGACCCTCGGACCCCCGCCCCAGAATAAAATGTTAAAAAAAAAAAAAAAAAGAAAGGTCTTAGTAGTTACCAATGCCAACGACCAGCCGAATACGCAGGCCCTAGGTGCCTACATACCCGCAGTCACCCAGCACGACAACTACAGCGGGCGCCGCGCAGCGCAGCAGCCGTAAAGCCCGTAAATCCGCAATACCCGCAGCGAAGCCAAGCCAGGCGACAGCAGCGGGCAGCACTTAGCACAGCAATGCGGAGCGGCGGAGATAGCGCACAGCAGATCATCCGCGGCGGCTTAGACCCTTTTTTCATGCCTTGCTTAATGCTTTCGCTTTCTCTCTCTCGCTTGCCCGCTCCCGTTTCGCGCGCCGCGCCCGTCGTGGGTGTATCGGCGCTAGCTGGGCTTGGGCTCCCGCTCCGACGACGGCCGGCAATAATAGTAGTAATCTGCGCTTCAATCAATCTTGCTGGGGCCGCTGGTGCTCGTGCTGGTGCGTTTTTGGCGACCCGGTGGCGCCCGAGTGCGCGGATGGAAGGGCAGCTTGTTTGTTTGCTTGTGTGCGTGTTTACGTCTGTGTGTTTGTGTGTGTGTTTATGTGTCTGTGTGGGTGCGGGAGCGCTGCGCGCGTGCGTTTTTGCATTGATGATGGATGGTGTTGGGTGCTTTGCTTTGCCCGCGTTTGCCTACTTTCTACCTACCTACCTACCTAGGTACCTACCTACTTGACCGTTTTGCCACCGCGCTCGTTCTCTCTTCCTTTGCATTGCCATTGCAGACCCAGTCCTCCGCAGGTAGAGTGCCTGCAGCAGGGGCGCATAGGTATTCCCCGCAGCCGAGGATCCCGCGCGCACGCGCAAGAGAGAGGAAAGTAAAGATCCGGTCCCTCCCGCAGGCGCAAAGCGCCGCAACAGCAACAGCAACAGCAGCAGCAACAGCAGCGCCGATACCTGCCGCGTTGAACGGTGAGGCGGGCGGGCGGGCAGCACGATTTCGCCCGCCCGCCGGACCAGCAATAATAGCAATGGCAATGCGCGCAGCGGCAGCTTGGCAGCGATTCAGCAAACAAACAAGCAGAACAACCTAAGCTCCACTCTCTCGTCTCGCGCTCGCATGGACGCAACCGACATTGTGCCTTCGAATCCGCATTCCGGTACGGAGGACGGAGTACCTACGGAGTATCGGCGCAACAAAAACGCAGCGGCGCGCACTGGGCGGGCGGCAGCATGCATTGCCCACATGGCCTCGCGAGCGCCCACCGCTTGCTGTCGCCCACTTTGAGAGCTCGCGTTCTGTACCGAGTATCGCACTGCGCGCAGAGGCAATGCCACGCCATTGCTGCCACGCTGCTGCGGCTGCCACGAGAGAGCGTGCGTGCAAGGACAGGCTGTGACAGTGGCGCCGAGACGGCACCACCAACTACCACCACCACCACTGCACCGCTACTTCAAGCACCACCTACCTCCCGCTACCGCCTTTTCCCCCAACCAACCTAACCGACGTAATAGTTGCCCACTACTGGCGCTGGACCGTTCACCACCACCCACGTTGTCGTTGTTCTCCTCTCATCACTCGCGAGGGACGAGCGAGTCAATGCAAGACCAATCCCCCAGTGTGACATCATCCCTAATCAGCCCATCGCGCACATCCACATCTACTACGTATGTACCGCTGCGGCCAGGGCCTGCGGGCCTAGCTCCAGATACATAGTGTAGCCGAAATCGCCAAGACGGGACGGGCCCGAAGGTTAATCGCACGCCGCGGTTGGCATTGTCGCTGGTGTCACCAGCTAGTACCTAGTACCTAGTACAAAGTATCGCCGCAAAGGTAGCGAGCATACCACGTACTATGTATGTACAGCACAGCAAAACCCCGTGAGTAGAAACCTTCGAACGTACGCGAGAGAGAGAGAGAGAGAAAGAGAAAGAGCGGCAAACCTCCCGACGAAAACGACATCCCGCCGCCCGAAGCAGGCAAGCCCGCTGCCGCTGCGTTCATGCAAGCGGCGCCCGCTTCCGGCGGGGTTTTGCTCTCTCTGCCTCTGCCTCTGACTCTCTCTCTCTCTCTCTCTCGTACCAGGCAGATCAAGGCGCGCAGTGGGCACCCGCACACGGCAGCGCAGGACCGGAGAAAACGTCGACGAGTCGGCCGTGGCCGTGAGTGAGGCTGCCGAAACGGGCTGCGCGCAGCCGGACGATTGCGGACAGCGGGTGCGGCTCTTTTCCACGACGAGAGATTTGTTGTGGGCAAGTAGGCGTGGTGGTGCACCTGAACCGCTGCGCTGGAAACACCGCTCTTGGCTCTCTGCGGCGGCGGCCCCACATACTTGCGAGACTCTTTGAGTGAGACTGAGGAAGAGGGGGACTTGGCGGTCATGCAAACTTGCTGGGTAGAGGTAGAGGTGGGTAGGTACCGTGGTAGGTAGGGTTGGTTGTTGGTGCGAATGCCTACAACATACAACGGCAACCCCATGCCGTCAAGCCCTCGAACCTACCTTACCACGCAGGTAGGCAGCCCGCTCAGCGCGGCTCAACCGGCGCAGCGGCATGCCGCATCTCCGTGTGCACAATACACAAGCAGGAGTCCCACATGGCGCAGATAGGTCCCTCGCGCCACGGCTTACGGAGTATTTCCTACACACCCACCTACCTATCCGCACAACAACCTAACACCACTCACCACCCAGCCCCCCTAGTCACTCTCTCCACAACCAACTTACCACGCCGCCGGTCCTGGACAGCTGGCTGTTTTTCCTTTCTGCACGCCTGAAACATCCACTCCTGCACGTAAAATGATTGCATAGCATAGCTTGCGCATGCGCACAGACAGACCAGACGCCCGCACTTGCTCACTTACTCACTTACTCGCTTGCACGCTTGCTCGCTGTCGCTCGCCATCGTCTGCTTCTCGCCACCCCCTGCCTCCTGCATTGCCGCTGCGCAGTGCAGCGCAGGGCGAGCGGACAAGCGGACAAGCGGACAAGCGGACAAGCCGGGCGGGCGTCGGGGCAGATCCTCATTTCAGGGCTCCGCAGTCTGCTCTGCCCTCGGGAGTGGACGTACAATAGTATGTGCACACACACACACACACACACACACACACACACGCTCTCGCTCGCCCCTCTCTATCTATCTCTCGTGCGTGCGTGCGTGGGTAAAAGCTGCGCTGCGGAGAAACCAAGGGCAAGGGCAAACACAAGGGGAAACAGCACAGACAGAAGAAACACGCAAGTCGCAACGCAGCCCCGTGCGCCCTGCCCCGCCACCGCTCCACAAGCGGAAATTTTCTGGAAGCCGCTGCGAAGGCCGCTAGAAGGGAGGGCGGGCGCCGCACGGGGCGCCAAACATATTGTACGTACTCGCAAACGCACCGCACCACACCACGTCAGGCGGGCGCAGGGCGCGGAAGGCGTCCCGCGTGCCTGACTCCCCTTCTACAATACGCGGGCTGGTTGGCGCTGTGGTTGCGCTGTGGTGAAGGGGCGAGTGCACTGGACGCCAGAGCGGCTGTATATATGTACATAGTCCTAGGGCCATGGGCGTAGGTACCTAGGGGAGAGCAGCAGGCAGGCAGACAGCGCCGGTGCCGCCGCGCTTTCCCTTGTTTCGTTTGTTTTTCGCGGTTTTGGGCGCTGCTGGTCTCTGCGCGCTTGCTGCGGGGTGTGCGCGAGGGGTCAGGACACGGTGGTATGTTTTGCAGGCGAGGACCTAGGGAGGGGAGGCAGGAGCCCGTGCTGCGTCGTTGTCGCTGTTGCTTGTGCTGGTGCTGGTGCTTGCTGCGCCTCGTTGGAAATAGATGGATGCACGTGTTTCAGCTGTTGGCTGTTGTCCATTTGGCAGCTTCAGCGGCCCGTGTGTTTCAGGGAGGACGACTTGACGAGGTGTCGTGGTTGTTTCTATTGCCCGCCCCCGCCGTATTGTATGATTGCGACGGAGGGTTGCTGGCTGCTAGTTTACTACCTCTGCTCCTGCTGCTGCTGCTGCTTGGCATGGCGGGTGCAGGCCGGGGGGGGCTGCAGCTTGCACTCTACTCTGCACGCCGGGCGTCTCTGGGGCGAGGGCGCGACATGAGGATCGGCCGGCATCGTCGTCCTAGGTGCATACAGTACATACAGGACGGGATCGGCCTGGCACGGGGATCATGGGTGATTTGGAAGGCCACGAGCTGCGAGCGAGCGAAAAACGCAGCTTGGCAAGGGTATGTAGTTATTGTATTGTAGCGGGTTTCAAGACTGCGTGTGCGTTTCTCCACACGTGTTTGGCGTCTTGCATGGCAATGCCTGCCGTCTGCAAGCAGCGGTGTTCCCGAACCCCGTCTTCGGCCTGCCCGTTGAGCCGCAACCTAAGCGCACCCACGGCACCACCACCGTCAAGGTCGGAGCACTCAGGGTCCAATCTCGGGGGCAGGAAGCGGTCAGCACGTAGGATAGGCCGGACGATGACTCCAGCGTGCCAGCGCACCGGGCGGCTGATACGGAGCAGAAAGGAAGGAAACGGGAAGAAAAATTTCCTCGACTGTCACTGGTGGGCGGCCGGGATCACCACCCAACAGTGGGACGGGGGGCGGGTGCTGCACTGGCTGGCTTTCTCCAGTCGCGCTGTCTCCATAGTTAATCCATCTCTCTCTCCATATCCTGCTCGCATCAATCAGCAGAAATCGCGGCTTGCTGGCACGCATGCAGGAAGAGCCGCCGGCGTTTGGGGCACCCTGGGCGCGGATCCACCGCTGCCCGCCAGCTTGCACATGCGGTGTGCGACGTCGCGCATTTTTTTTTTTCTTTGCTTTTTTTTTCTTCTAAACTAGCTAGTTTTACTCTGCAAAGCAGCATGTGTCAAGGCGTAGAGCAGAAAAGCGCGAAACAAGCAAGCGAGAGGGAAAAGCACCAGCCAGCAGCGCCATGTGCGCTTCCTGCGGACAGGGCGAGCAGGCAGCGCTTTCGGCGCAGGCCGAGCGAGGAAGAAAAAAGCGGGACGCGAGATGGGGATGGGATGGGAGATTTGAGCGTCAGTGTGCGGGTGGGGTCGCGCCGGCGAAAGGCGGGAGAGCTCAAGACTCGATGCCCGCGCGTGCCAAGGATCGTGCAAGGCGGTGGGCGCGTGCTGTGTTGTGAGGTTGAGAGAAGAACATACATCAAGGCGTGTGGAGCTATTTCGGGGCGATCATTGTTGAGGGCGTTCAATTTCGCCTCACGTGCTCATGCGTCGTCTCGTATCTCGCATCAGTCGCGCGCGCGTGTCGCTCTCGCTTTCTCCGACTTCTCTGACTCTCTCCATCTTTTGCCGCCATCATGATTGTCGTCGTGGCCCCCGAAAATACGCAAAGGCCATCTTCCAATGACGCAGGATCGCCTTGCTTCTCGAGTCATCAGCCTTGCCTTGATTGAAGCTTCATGCTTTCCGTCCTATCCGTCACGGCAACATCGTATCGCATGTGCCTGACTACCGTACCACGTTCTTCCCTGGCGCCTTGCCACGCCAGTCCCGCGCCCGAGCGAGCGAGCCGTGCCATGGCTGCCGGCCGGTAGGAGTCGCGTGGTGAGATGGGGCGGCCTGAAGGCCCTCTCACCTTCCTGAAGCTTCCTCCCTTCTACAGCCTTACCGCATGCGGCATAGCAGCAGATCACGACACACGGACGAAGCGCGCGGCCTCCCCGCTGCCCTGCTACCTACAGGTTTTTTTTTCTGCTTGATTTTTTTTCTTTTCTTTTCGTCCGCGTGCTAAAGCTTATCGCCGCGCTTTTTCTCCAGACTCACACCGCTGCAGCCGCGCGCGCGCGTGCCCGCTGCCCAGCATCCCAATCCATCGCCAATCTCCCCCGCCCAGCATAGCCACACTGTCTTTGCTGGCACTGATCGCACCGGCGTTGGCGCTCGTTGGCGCCCTGCGCAGGGTTGTCACTGGCCGCTTCTTCCTGCTTGCCGTGATTGCCTTTCCTTGCAAGCTTGCCTTGCCTGCCCTCGACCGTCTTTTTCCCTGCACCTGACGTGCAGTAGCATCGCTGAGCACCGGCCACCACCATGTTCTCTGCCGCCCGTCTTTCATTGCCCGTCAGCCTGCCGCTGCTGCACTGCCGGCCTGATCTTCTGTCGATCGAGCAAGCGGGCATTGCTGCCACGCCGTTTGGGCACTCAGTGGGCAGTTATGCAACGGCGACGGCAGCGGCGCGTGCGGGAAAGAAAGATACAGCACGGGTTTGCGCGTGCTACCGCGGCTTCAGCAGCTTGTGAGTCACGGCGCTCTGTTGTCGGCCTGCTGCTATCACGGGCTGCCGTGTCAATCTTCACTGTCACTGCCACCGCCAGCGTCTTGGGCTCTACCCACACCACCAGGAATAGCAACACCACGACGACTCACCTCTGCACACCCATACCGCCAACGGCCCAACCAACCACCACCACCCAGCCTCTCACACGGAAGCACACACAGCAGACGGGCACCCAACACGCATCCGCAAACGTCACCACCCATTCACAAACCCAAATCCCCAAGTCTAAGTCCAAGTCCAAGCTCCGCAAGCGCAAACCCACGTCTCCATCCCGCCACCTCGCCTACGCCCTTCCAGAAGCCTGCCTACAAGGTACGCCGTCCTTCCTCCGTACTCGGGACGCACGAGCAGCGCCCCTCTCTCGGGCCCGGCACGGCAAGCAGCCTCATCACGCGTCTTCTCCCGCCCTTCTGGAAGCCTCGCCCGCCACAAAGCGTAAATAAAAGGCAAACCACAAAACCGGTTCACGGCGGGCCCGTGCGCAGTGCGCGGGCGCGTCTGCAGGCCGCGCGCGTGTGGCGATGACGCGGGGTTGGCGTTGGCGTTGCTGGTGGCCTTGAGACGAGTGAGTGTCGCCCGGCTCGTAGGGCTGATGATGAAGGTGGCTGGAGGTGGGTGGCTGGTGCGAGATTAGCTGGGCAGCCTGGCAGGGCAGTGGCGAATTAGGATGGGGGGGTTGGCGGTTGCTGGGGTGATGGGCATGCGCATGCGTATGTGTGCGTGTGTGTGTGTGTGTGTGTGCGCGACAGTGTCACAGCTGGTGTCGTGTGAGTGAGGTCACTCTCTCACTCACGGCGCAGTGGTTTGTGCGCGCGCGTGCGTGCTGTCTGAGGAAGCATGGTGAAACGCCTAGGTGCCTGGTTTCGGGTGCTTCCCCATCTTCTTCTCTTCTGCCTTGCCACCTTCCTTGCCTGGCTTGCGTGCCTCACCTCCTTCTGCCTTGTGCCGTGCCTGAGTGATCGACACGATCTGAGACGCGCACGATCTGAGACGAGACGAGACGAGGGCTAGGCTGGCACACTGGACTCTACCACGTAGAGATAGGCGGCGGTGATCGTCGCCGCGCGTGCTGCGTTGCGTGGATATTAAGACGGGCGCACGTGCTGCTACGTATGCGGTTGTGATTGTGATTGATTGCGGGTGTCCTTGTGCCGTGGTGTTGATCTTTCCACCTCACTGCTCGTCACTGCTTGTCACAGTCACAGTCACACTCGTCCTCGTGCACACGGCCTACAATACATCATAGGTGCGTGCTGCTCGCCTCACTATAGCTGTCTATCTGCCTATCGTGGAGGTACGATAGTAGGTAGGTACGTGATAGGCAGGCAGCAAGCAGTGCAGTGCAGTGCCTCTCTCCTTGTCTTCCTTGTCTCCTCTCCTCTCCTGGCCTGGTCTGGCCTAGCCTAGTCTGTACAGTACAGTACGTTCGTTATTCTTTCCTGTTTCGGCACTCTTTGGCCAGACCAGGCTGTTGGGTTTTCTTTCTTGCTCAATCAGCCTCAGCCTCTGCAGCCGCTCGCCCGGTGCGCGCGAGATATCCCCGCCGCCTTGCTCCGCCGTTGCCGTGGCTGGGCTGGGCTGGGCGTAGGTGGGTGGTCTGGCCACCATGGAAGTGAGTAGCTGGGTGTGCGCCTGATGATGCGATGCCGCAAGGCAAGGCAAGGCTGTGGTGGCGCGGCTGCTTGCGGCCGCACGTGGGAACTGCGCACGCACGCACGCACGTATACGGCGTAGGCGGTAGGTAGTAGGTGCTACATAGGCAGCGCGTCTGTGCGGCGTACCCGTCTGCGCGGCACCTACGTAGGACGCAGCTCGAGGACATTGGATAAGGACGTAATTGGCAGACACGCACGCACGCACGCACGCTGCGAGCAAGGTTAGGAGGGCGGGAGGATTCGCGCATAACGTATCCGCTCGCAGGGAGGGAGGCCAGTCAGCCAGCAGGAAGCAGCAACAGGCACGCAAAAGAGATGAACAGGTCGTCTGTGCACGCGCAATACCCGCAAGGCCTAACAGAGGCAGTTACGTAGGTGGGCGAATTGGGGGCGCGGACTGGGAAGGGGAAAGGGGGTTGGTTGGCCGGTAGGGCGGCAGGTGAGATTAGGGTTTGTAGTTGGCGTGGCGCACGGGCTTTGGTGGCGGCTTTGTGGCGTCTGGTTTAGGAGCGGCGGGTTTGGTGCTGCTTGGGTTTGGACAAGGTGATGATGCGGTGGTGGTGGTGAGCGGTGAGCGGTGAGGTTTGTGTACGGAGGGAGAGGAGGTGTGCACGGTATGTGCGTTTGTGGATGTGGGTGTGGCGTTGAAAAGGAGGAAGGATTGAGGGATGAACATGAATGAGGTCACGGCAGGGAGTTGCTGCTCTTGCACTAACAGGTACAGACAACGACAACACGAGCAAAAATGACTTATGCTTTGTGTTTGGGAATGCATGTTGCATGCCGTCAATGCATTCTTGAACTTGTGTCTGCATGCGTGCATCGGCATGAGACAACGAGCTAGCTAGGAGGTCGGCCTAGCATAAAGGATCATTAAACACTTCATCTCCAACACGATCATCTACCCTTCAAAGCTTGGATGTGAAAGGATGTCCTCTCCCCCCAAAAAGATCTTCCAGACCTCGCCCTGGCTCTCATCATCTCTCGCCCCTTCTACCACGAACTTGGCCCGAATCTCTCCCCGTCTGCTACCTGCCGCTGCACCGCCGTGCCCTGCGCGTCCATGGTAGACTGGACGACGCGATTGCCCCACCAGTTGGGCTGTGTGTATGATGGTTAGCGTCAGTGTTGATGATGATGGTAAGTGAGCGGTGGAGACAATGATAAGAACAGTGATGGCTGGACGGACATCAAAGAGGATGAAGGCAACAATGAGATAAGGGATGGCGAGAGAGGTGTAAAGAGCAACAGTGATGACAGCAGAAAGACCAACAAAGCCGGAGAAGAAGTCGTATGCAGAAGCTAACGTACCGGGTCGACCTGCGGCAGCAGCAGCGCGAAGAATATGACAATCGTGCTAAGCGCAAGACCCGAGTCCAGCGCTGCAGACGTGATGTAATTATAGCGGAGCCACCAGGGTCTACGAAGAAGGTTTCAGGCGTTAAAAATAGCAAAGACGATTAGCGAGGGGTTTGGAACAGTACCTGAAGCGCGAGCGAATAAGCTTATTGAAAACGAAACCGACGATGCCCCAGCTGAGGTAGATCAACTAAAAACAAACACGAAACGTCAGCCACCATCATACACCAAGACAAAGGGCGTACAAACCGGCGTCGCAGGCGGAATGTAGGAAAGCTGGCCAAACATGACCGGCGCGTTGAGGTAGCGTGCCGGCGAGCGCGGCCACGTCCGCCCTGCGAAGTAGAAGATGACGGGCGTGACGGCGCCGAGGAGCCAGAACCACTGCAGGTTGCTGTAGATTGCGGAGCCAGAGAACATGCGGCCGGCTACGGGGGTGCTGGGTTAGCGGGCTTGCGCATGGAAGGAGGAGAGTGAGTGAGTGGGCTTACGTCCGATGGCGCCCCAGATGATGGAGGCGTTGAAGAAGACGCGCCCGTTGGGGCAGGTGAAGCGTGCGGATTGGTCGCTGGTGCAGATGCCGTTGATGTTCTTGAAGGCCCAGTCGAGGCTACAAGGGATGTGTGTTAGCTAGTGTGTCCCGCGTCTTTGGGTTCCTGTTGGAGCCGTCACTGAACATCAGTGCCCCGACTTACACGACAATCTGCACGATGCTGCCCCAGATGGTCGCGATTGCTTGTGCCCAGAACAGCGACCTTGGAGGCACTTTCATGTAGTGCGCCATCTTTAGGTCCTGAGTGTAGAGCAGGCCTTGGTACATGGTGATGTACCCGAGCGTCTTGAAGCACATCATGGCGAGCGGGCGGCCCTGTGCTGTGTCAGTGATGGTAGAGTGTTAACTCGTATTGGAGGAACTGACAGGGAGCATGTATCCGATGATGAATTCAGTGAAAACATTTAGTCCGATCTGGATATCTGGCTTGCTGTCAGTGCTTGGTGTAGCAAAGGGGGATGTTTCTTTGGTCAAATTATCGGCCAGTTGCGTTTTGTTAGGCGTTGGATCTCTCGAGTGGAGATAATCGCATATCAAATGGAGACTTACTGGTAATTCCCCAAATCATTCCAACGGGAACAACTGCAGTCTCCAATTAGCCAGTATCCAGTAGCTCAAAAGTATTTCGTGGACTTACACCATACGGCGGCGATAATTATAGCAATGAAGAACGCCCACCAGGTCTACATGCTTTAGCGTATACCCACTACTTGAACCGGAGGAAATGCTCACCAGGTGAGTCGGATAGCCCAGAACAGTTCCAAGCCCCATGGCGAAGATTACGATGAACAGGGCCCAAAACCACCAGTCGGGAGCTTCCTTGTACCTCTTCATAAGCTTCATATGGATGTCGTCTTCCTGGTCACGCGATGCTTTGAAGCGGTACCAGATTTCACGACGGTGGTACAGGAAGGTGTGGACCATTGTCGCAATAATAGAAGCGAAGCTTAGCCCGTAACACATGGCGAAGGTGGTGCTGTTTGAAGTTAATTAGCCTTAAACGGAAGGATCTGGACTGTCTTCTTTACCTAAGGAAGATTGGCGAATATTCTTTGTACTTGGCTAGGCTGAAGTTGTAGTTTTCATCCAAGATCCTGGTTACGTTGTAAGGCGAAGCGGTATTGTCGTAGCTATTATTGGTGAGAACATGCCCTTCGGAAATAATGAGGGTCCAGTTTACCTGTCGGAGTCACTCATTGGGAGGTACTCCGAATACCACGACTTGGTGTAACTGGTTATCATCAGAAACCTCTACAAATACTCTGATTACACAGGACTCACTGTATTCCCAAAGGCGTGATAATCATGAAGACCACAAGGCCAATCACTGTTATACTCAGTAGCAATCCTTATACTAAAATACAAACGAAGACTTACTGGCATTGGCAATAGCATGCCAAGGCGGGATCAACGGGGACTGGATGTATGCCTTTTAAAAGTGAGCCACAAGTATCGACTGGACATCTCACAACTGTTGCTTTCATGTAACATACCGTAATGTACGTCCAATCAACTATCCGTTCAATCAGCTTTGTTCGAATTTATATGGCGCCAGACAACCTACACGTAATGGGAACTAGCGAAAGACCGCTGAAGCCACCAAACAGTTGATTGATAACAGGGCTGTTTGGCTTGATCCAAGTGATGAATGCAAAAACACTCTGGCAAACCGTGAGCTTAGTATAGAAATGCTAGTGAACAAGTACTCACCAGACCTTGCCAGATAAAACCCGGGACGAAATACCAAACAAACCCGCCAGCGACGACGTAAAGAAACCAGCGGTATCGGGAGATAGACCATCCATTTGTCTGACTCGGGTCCGTGGCGTCGTTTTTCTTGTGCAGAGCATGAAAAAGAGCACAGTTAGGTAAGACACTGTAATGGTAAGGCGTGAATTTCTAGACCCGAGTACAGTTATACGTTGAGACTTACACTGGGAATATGATTGCAGCAGGGTATACGAGGAAACGGCGGAACGATCCCGCAAGGCCAAATCCAAGCATCTATAAGTATAAGCTTAGGATGCCTAGAAATTAATCTGACCGCACTCACCTGAGTCGTAAATGTGAATAGAAGATTGAAGCCATATCCCAAATCATAGCTGCTTACAAGTCAGTATCTTGATGTACAGATGTTATACTGGAGACCTTGCCCGTAAAATCCCCTAAGGGCTTCGATGGTATCGGTTGAGTAAGCTACACCACTGCCAAAGGTAACATTTGCCATTACGACGATAATGGTATGTTCTTTGACATTGAAGGGGCCAGGATTGAGATTAAATTTGAGACCGAAGACGTTGAACTGGCGATCCGGCATACATTTTTCCCATACTTGACTTTGATCAGCTTCTAAAACATGCATGTTTGTGAGAGTACCCACGCTTTCCGACTGGATAGCTCACAAGCTGGGCAACAAGCGAGCTAATGGTGATGCTTGGGTTCCGAAGAGAAAAAAGCATGTTGAGTCCGGAACCTGAAGGGGAATCAGCTCACAAAGAACATAATGGAGAATATTAAGGGCTGTCCTCACCGATCATGGTGAACAGGAGACCAATGACCCAAGCGCGGATGGTGTTCGCCGGTAAGTCTTCATCGACTGCCGGCACAGCTGCAATGACTTCTGGATATGGCGAGTTTTGTTCCAATACTCCCTCGAGAGCCACTTCCGCTTTGCTGTCTCCTTTCTGAATTGCATTCTCGATGGCATCTTGCTTATCTCTTTCCAAATTTGGGTCCCATCTGCGCAAGTTAGAACAGCAGAGATAGAAGTGACAAAGAACAGGCGTCGGAGACACTATCTGGGCTCATGTGCAATGATGTCACGCACCTATGAAGAGTGCTGAAAGCCTTGAGGTCAGCCTCCGCTTGGTTGGCCTTAGCTTCAGCGTCGACGCTCGTTTCTTTTACCTCTGCCATTTTAGCAGATACGGGTTCGATGGGGCTCAACGAGACATTGTCGGTATCACGCCGCGACACCGGCCAAGGTCGCCTGGTGCTGGGCATTTTGGTGTTGGAATGCTTCGCGCTTAGATGTCGTGCACACAATTACAACATTCAACCAGTCTTCACCGTGGGGCAACCTTGTTTATATAGACAACCGAAGATAAGGCGGAGTGGCAACCGTATCATGCACCCCTTGCGGGGCAGGCATGTTAGCTGTGAGACAAGAGCTGCGCGTCGTGTTTATCGAACCGACTATTATAATTTTCAGGGTTCGATAGGCTTAATATTTCCAAAGTTTCCTTCGCATCAGTTCATTTTAGGAAGGTCATGAGAGAGCAAATGCGATAATGAGATACTAGTGCAACCAATTAGTACAAAGGAAGGCCTCCCAGCAGGGTGGTACCACTAATAAGAGCCAGGTCATTTGAGCCGGCAGGCTTGATTAGTTCGGTACCGAACGGCAAATCGGCACGTGGGGTCGTGATAGATGTGGGATAATGACGATATTGGAGATGTGCGAATCGCCGAATGTGCTGCTGTCTACCAACGTGAAGCAGGTTTCTTCGTGGTAATACAATCTTTTAGGGTGGTAGCACCATGTTGACAAAGAATATTGGTGAAACAAATGAAGAGGAACAGACAACCATTCGCTATCATCTATAGCACAAACTTGTCCTGGATTCATAGAGTGGCGATGATTGGATGCGGATCAATGAAACGGACAATGTGTTTCGTCCATGATATATGCATGCACCTGGACATTGGGGCTTGCCGGGGTCCATGCAATGGCGGCTCTCTCAGCGGCTATATTCATCGGCAAAGGCATGGTTGTGCCTCTTGGATGCAAGCGACCAAGAAAAGAAGGGTAGAGAAGAGTGCGCCAGCAGATATGTAGCCGAGAAAGATGGCAACGATTGCGAGTGCGAGTGGTTGGCAGGTCAGATGTTGTCCATTATCTGCATCGTGTACATTGTACCCCGCGCTCTTTATCAAGATTAGACCAGGTAGCAGGGGCACCCCACTCTTGATCTGCCTTGGTAGATGCACTGTTGTTGCGGCGTACGGTCTCCCGAACCACAGTGATTTGTTGTACATCAGTCCATAGCAAATTTGAGGGAGAAATACAGCCCGCTCCAAGATTGCCATTGACTATGCAAAAATTCGTCTCTAACAATCAATTCGCTGGTCATCGAAGTTAGGCAAGTCAAGGCGTTTATCGTCGATTTCGCGGCGCATAGTTGCCGGATGCCAGGCCTTTTCGGCAGAAACGCCCCTTGTCCGAGAGATAGAATTCAGTTCTCTCAAGCTCCCCAAGCTCTTTTATTGTATTGTCAGTGCGTCTGTTATCGTAGGATCTGGCGAGATAGAGAAAGATATAAGTGAAGAGATCTTTAGGCGTATACATATATAAACTTACCAGGCAACAGCATCTGCAGAGAACTCATGATTGGATAAGCAATGGGGACAACCACACTACAACCAGTATGACGCGAGTCACTATGGAAGTGGCGCAATGCGCAGTAGTGGCGTCGTCAGTTAAACACCATCTGATATCTCATCCAACACTTAACTTTCACTCAAATGCAAACACACCTCTCCCAAGCGTTCGATACTTAAATAAAGCCACTCCCACTCTATGGCTATATATATACCTCGATTACTCAGAAACCTGCACATGAGGAAGAGAAGTGGAGGGGGGAAGAGAAGAGAAGAGAAGACGGGAATTAGCAAGCCTACGCCGAATCTCATGTGAATCAACCCAGCATCCACCGTCTATGTGCGATGAACCAACGACCTCTCGCCGCCGCAGCAACCGCAAACGCAAACCCAAATTACATGCTCTATTCGACTCGTCTTCCCTTGTATCCTTCAATGCGCGTTGGGCCCTGGGGTTGCTCCTCCGACTCTACGCTTTCGAAGAAATTTGCGCCTGGTATCTGAAAGCGCTATGGTGATCCTGATTGGCAAAACGGCCTTTTGGAATCTGGCACCCTGGAACAACAGTGACAAATCTGGCTTCTGCGCCCGTCGCATTGACTTGCATTTAGGCAGTGACAGTCGGGCCGTCAGCACTGCTCTTCCGCTGTGCCTCCTCCTTCTCCTTCTCCTTCTCCGAAGAACGCGAGTGGCTGTGCTTGGATTTCGACTTTCTCTTCTCGCTCTTGGTGTCCTTCTTAACCGCAGCCTCAGCCATCAGCCGCTCGAAAGCCACGAAGTCACCTTCTTCCTCTTCAGGATCGCGCTCAGCCTGTGACTATGCGTTAGCTTCCATCAATGTCAAAGGCTCCCCCGTACTGGGGGACACTGATCGGGGACACAGTAGTCTCACCTTCGAGAACATATCGCCAATGATAACCATTGCTTGGGCACGCTCCACCCGCTTCTCCAGCTTGATGCTCTTGTCGTTGAGCACCTTATCACAAACGTCTCTCAGCACGCTCTGGATTTCGAACTTGCTGCCGCGCCAGGCAGCGGCCAAAATCTTGCCGGTGACCAGCCGCTCATACTCAGCCTTCTTTTCGTCCGTCCAGTCCTCACCGCCTTCCTCCTCTGCCTTGCTCATCGCCTCCATGCTCATCTGCGCGTCAATGGCAGTGGATATCGTACCCCAGGTGTCCTTGGCAAGCTGGCCCTTGTCCTTCAGACGACCGAAGAAGCCGCCAATGCCAAGGAATTTTTGACTCTTGAGGAAGTTGCCAGCCTTGCTGTTGTAAGTGTTGCCAATGGCGTGCAGTATCTCCAAGCCGAAAGATTCCATCCTGAGGTTCTCGACCTCTAAGCGCATTTGTTCCTTGAAAGACTTCGTGACATCGGGGCCGTGATCGGTTTCAGTCCAAACGGATATCCGGTCGGTGAGCTTCTTGGCAAGAGTGTTAACGCGCTCCTCGCGCACCTTCTTGCGCTCCATTTCGTACTGCTGCAGCTCTTCGCGCTGTTCCTTAGTAAGGCCACCCTTCTTCTTCTCCTTCGCACGCAGCTCCTTCTCTTTCTCCGACACACCAGCAGCATCCAACCTGGCGTCCTCCTCGGACTTGTCCATGATGGCGAGACGAGTAGGGATTCCGCTGGGACGGGGCGTGCTAGTGCCCGAGGCCGGAGGGGAGGGGACATCGCTAGCGGTAGCAGAGGGAGTGGGATGTTCTGCGGCGGGGTGCTCGGCAGTGACACCAGGTGCTGCGGCATCTTCGGTGGTGGTGGTGGTGGCAGAGGCTTCGGCAGCTTGTTCGTCAGTGGACTTTTCGCCAGCGGGCTTTTCGCCAGCCTCTGCAGCCGCAGCCTCTTCCGCCTCCATCTCCTTCATGGTGATGTCCATGGTGTGAGTGAGGTCCTTCATAAGAGAGATCTCGCCAATCCTTATGCCATATTAGCCACATCCTTCAAGCTGGCGCAAGGTGTGCATACCAGTCCACGAAAGCTTCACCACCAAAGATCATGTTGAAGAACTCAGCCGGATCCTCTGCTACGCATTAGCGACGACGCGTTTTGACTTCCATAACACATCAACCTACCGAAGCCGGCGTTAGGCACCGCGCCTTCCTTGCCAAACTGGTCATATTGCTTTCTCAACTCGGTGTCGCTGAGGACTTGGTATGCTTCGCCGATCTAGTTTCTTGCGGTCAGAGTACGGTTCAGCGGAGTGCGGGGCAGGGTGTAAGTACGGCTTGGAACTTCTCGTGCGCGGTCTCATCGCCAGGATTCTTGTCTATGGCAGGGTGTCAGTATGTATCCGGAGCCTGGATGCGTAGCGCAGGGGGAAAAAGCGGTGTCTTACCCGGGTGCAGCTTGATCGCAAGTTTGCGATATGCCTTCTTAATCTCGAGCTCGGACGCCGTCGGCGGCACCTGCAAGGCGTCGTAGTAGGCGGTGTCGGCAACCATGGCGACAATATCGGGGTATCAAGGATTTGTAGGTATGAAAGAACGTAAGGAAGGGCGAGTGGAGGTGTAGGCTGGAGATTATGGCTTGAGTGTTGGCGTTGCCTACCAGCGGAAAAGCGGCGAGACCCTTGCTCAAGAAAATCATTGTTCGTCATCGGGCGCGCTCCGCAAGGCGCAGCCGGGCAGCAGCGCGTCAGGACCACTAAAGTTCAGTAGGCATGTGATACACGTGAAACAGTGCAGTAGACACATCTAAGCATAGCAAAGCTTTTGTGTTCTGTATATGCACACAGAAACCTCTGTCCCGAAGATACCCTCGTAAAGTCTGATGCAACCCTGGCAAACGCCATGCTAATCCGTGCCATGTATGAGAATCCCACTTCCCCAGAATATAAGACATCCGAGAGGGCCACTTGTTCCACCTCTCATTTGCGATGTCTGCAACGTGAACGCCATGCAATGTCAGCCGCCTAAAAAAGACCCTCCTCGCTTAAGCCTCGGCAATGAAGCCGTCGTCGATAGTAACCAGAAGAGAAAAACCGCCCCCCCCTCGTGCCAGCTACGTCTTGGGATACTTTTGAACTCGTAACCTCGATAATCCGTCGCCATGAACAGCTCAGAGGATCTCTCGTGAGCAGCCAGTTCGACTCACTGCGCTTACGCGACGAACTTGGCCTTCGCGCGAGTGCTGCCCGAGTGCGCGCTGTCCGTATGACCCGAGAACTCGACCTGGTCGGTGTCCTTGAGGCCCAGGGCTTCCTTGAAGCGGTGGCCAATCCTCATCAGGACCTCCTTGCCCTGCTCGACGCTCCTGCCCTTGCCGCCAGCAGTGTTGCCGTCGCCGCCGCCGGGGAAAGGCTTGCCGACAGTGCGCGTCCAGAGACCAATACGGTAGAAGCCCTTGCGGACGTTGACGACAACACCCATGACCTCGCCGTCGCCCTCCTCCTCAAGGGTCTCGCCAATCGCGGCAAGCATAACGTGAAGCCAAAGAGAGTCAATGTCGATGAGCTTCTTGTCGCGGAAAGAGAAAGCCCACTTGCCACCGTGCTTGTTCTGGGGGTCCTCCCATTCGGGGCGGACGCCCTTCTTGAACAAGTGGTAGTCGGACTTGAGAGCAAGCTGAGAGGTGGGGGTGATGTTGTTCTGTAGCAATGTGCGGTTAGCAGCTGGAATATCGAACACTCAATCGGAGTCAAACTTACGTAGATACCCCAGAACTCTTCGACAGAGTCGAACGAAATGACCTCCTTGAGCAGCTCATTCCAGTTGTCACCCTATGGGTCGTCAGTTACACCGTAGTGGTGGTGAGAGAATCAGCGCGCACTCGCGCAGAGCCAACGTACCTTGCCCGACGGGGGCTTGGTGAACCAGAGGGTCCAAGGGTTCATCAACGGGTGCTTGACGTTGAAGTTGTTCGGGTCATGGAAGACGGTGACCGGGTCGCTGTCGCTGGACTCATCCTTCGTGCCGTTGGTAATACCGCCATCGGGGGAGATGGGAATGGTGTCAAGAGGAACAGGCTCTTGGGGGTTCTCGGTCGAAGCCATGGCTGTGGTTGTTGTTTATTGCGAGCGATGTGGGTTGCGCGGGTGTGTGGATCTAGGGTGCGGGTGGTTGAAAGCGCAGATGAACGAAGCTTCAAACGTGCGTCAAGGATGAGACGTTAGAAGCTAGTGGGTCAGATCCAAGATCTACTCGAGATATTCCCGCCCGAAGACAATGACGAGCTATGCGCGACTGAGGTGGCGAGAAGGAACGGTTGCGGAGGAGTTGTGGTCGGTTTTTAGATGCTTGCGCCTTCTACCCTCAAAAAGAAAGTCAGTCGCGAACTGGCGACAAAGGTGAGTGCGTTCTTGGCGCTCATCACCCTACCGCCCGAGGCTCCGGGTAACTTCCGTGTTTCACCGCGCACATCGCCATTCGCGCAGCGTCACCAGCAGCGTCACCAGCAGCGTCACCAGGCCCTCAATGTCACGGCGACATGGCGCGCAGAGTGCTCATAGCAAAGAGTACAATTACATTCCATTTCAAGAGCTACCAGAATTATGTGTACCGCACCGACTGTCTTGAGCTCCACGGTAGAAAGAAGCGCAAAGACAGAAGTTCCCGATTACCGGGTAATGTAGGTCTATTTCAGCACATCTTCGGCACAACCTACGCCATTGCAGTGGCATGATTGTAATTTGACATCCGTGCTATTGGTTGTGGTCTCACTGAAACATCGTGGAAAAGGACGGGTGGGGGATTTACATGCATTGCGCTGTTGGTTATTATGTGCATTAGGCAGCCTTAGGATATCAAACGCGAAAAAGCAGATGTACGTGCCGTCGTTACAACTCCTCGTGCACCGCGTGCTGGGCTTGGTCGAATTTCTGAACGGTGTCCTGCACCTCGAGCGAACCAGGCTCGGGTGCACGGAAGACGCCCTTCTTGATCTGGTCAAAGGCAATATCGAACCTGGCGCCAGCGACCCAAGCCACGAAGACCTGCATTGAAAAAGTCAGTAGGTGGAGGAGTTGAGTGTTGTGCGAGCAGAAAATTTGAACTGACCATCATCAGGGTTACCAGGGTTAGCGTGCACACTACGGCAAGTCCCATGTAGATCATCTCCCACTTGGCCTCTTCCTTCAACGCCTTTTGTTTCTCCGCTTCCTCAGGGTTGACGACAGGCTTCATCTCCCTGTTCTTGGCTGTCTGCGACGGGAAAATGGACTCGATAAACTGTTCAATCTGCTCAAGTTATTAGTACTGTGACGTCAAGTAACGGGCCGACTGATGATCTGAACATACCTTGCCGCAAGCCATGCTAATTTGCAGGAAGTTGGGGTCTTTGGGGTTGTTCTTCTTCGCAATCTTCTTCGCAAACTTCCTGAAGATATCGCAGACGAGCTGCAAATTCTGAGTCGATTGGATCATCAATTCGCATGCTTGACCCTTGGTGATCTTGACGTTCTTCTTGAACACGTCTGGATTGCGGAAGCAAACATCCAGGGTAGCAATGGCCATTGCCTGAGGGATAGCGGCGAAGTTGAATACGCTCTGATCCCTAATGCCCGCCAAATAGTAGATACACTCAGGAGCTCTCTTGAGAGCAGTGAGGACCATCTCCGAGCTGCAGTTGAGCGCAGCGTCCAAGTTCTCCGGCTTGAAGAGATCTTCGAAGTTTTCGACATGCTTCGACCAGATCTCCCTCGGCCAGAACCTCCGCCCATCATCCAAGTCTTCCTTGATGTCTCTGATGATGTTGACTTGTTGCAGGAACTGGCCCATAGATTCGTGGAGCTCCGACCGCTTCAGCAATCCGTCGTTGGCAAGCTTGGCCTCGACGAAAAGCTGAGTCAGGCCCTCGCCGACCAGACCAGCGACGTAGTGGCAGTAGAGCTCGTAATCCTTGACCGTGTTGACACCCTTCTCATTGTGTTCCGCATTGTTCGCGTAGTCGGCCATTCCATCGCCCATCTTCTTCGTAATGTCCTTGATGATCGCCTGATAGGCGGGCTTGAGCTTTAGGTACTCCTCGATCACGTAGTTGAAGTGGACGAGCAACTCCCTATCCTTCTCGTTAGGCCCATTCTCCGTGAACGTCCAACCCTCCTTGGTTATGATCTTGTCAAAGTCGCGGAGGAGAGGCTCCTTCTTCTCGAGGGGAATTGTCATGTCATCTTCGATGGTATCGAGACCGCGGAGGATGAGGTAGAAGAGGCAGACCGGCACAAGAAGTTCGGGGTGCAGTTCCTTGATGACAGCGCTGAAACTACGGCTGGTCATATCAAGGTAGCTGAAGCACATGCGCAGCGAATGACATTCCTTGGACTCGTCGCGCTCGTGAACGGGGTTGTGCCAGATTTTCCTAGAGATCTGATCAGCTTACGCGGAAATCGCGTGTTGGCGCAAGGTTTTGTATACCATTGCATTATTGAGCGCAGCTCCTTCGCGTGGAACGCGTAGTATACAACATCCGAGACCTTGGGCATGTTGGCGGTGGTAGAAAGTCTTCCGCAAGGGGAATTGGTGGTTTCTGAAGAGAAAAGAGATTATCTGGTGAACGTAAGTCTCCGCCGGGGATGCATATAACTAAATGCGTTGTTGTTTACGCGAGCAGGAAGAGGAAGCAGACCGGATCTATGCTAACATGCTTCGACTGGGTAATTAGGGGAAACGCCGAGAACTGATCAGTGCAGTGGGGTGCTGTGAAATACTGGGGCGACACCGCCGGCCGCCGGCTTTTAGATTTTCCGTCCATCAATCCTGCGGCTTTGCGCCACCAACGCCGGTCACCTTCGATCATGCCATGGTTCGGCAGAACAGTCTCACCTTGAGAGAATGTGACTGCAGAACCAGTCACAGGAACGTGCAGAACTTGTGGTTTTCCGATGAATATTGTATCATTCACTCTAAACAGCGCTCGAAGAAGTTGCCATTCCCGGAGACCCGCGATCCCCCAAACGCCGACGCCGACTGACTGGAACAATCACACCAATTCAACTGCTTCATGAATTTACACAGAAGAGCCGGCGGCTTGTATAAGCGAATGTCAAAATTACAAAAAAGCGGACTCACACCCCAACGTGAATTAACATCATCCATTCGGACCATGGAACTCTTTCTTCTGAAACAATCGTTGACGAAACGTTGTGGCTATTGAGTGGTTCCTTGCTTGGGGTAGGTTATCACTTTCGCTCTCTGTTGGAATGGAAGAGATGGTGGAACCTCTCCGACTGGTCGATAACGCGACTCGACTGTTTTGCCGTTGCTTCTTTGTACGTCCTATGATGTCGTCAATTTCCGGGCTCGCTCTATGAGCCAGCTTTGCTGCATCGCGACCGTTCTTGTCCTTTTCTGTAAGATCTGCGCCATTTGCAAGCAGGATCTTGACGTTCTCGTAATACCTGCTCTGGATGGCAACGTGCAACGGGGTGGCCTCTGAAATATCTTTTGCTTCGATCTTCGCGCGATGCTCCAGGAGCAGTTGTATCAAAGCAGCCCCCTTGGTTCTCGCTGCAGCAACATGCAGGACCGTTTCGCCAGCCTTGTTTGTCGCGTTTGGATCCGCGCCCCTATGGAGAAGCAACGATGCCACCTCTGGACTACCGGCCTTCCGTATGGTCCGGTGTAGTGCTGTGTTGCCTTCATTATCAATAGCATTTATCGACGCACCGGCTCCTAACAGCAGACATATCATCTTGGTCTGCTTTTCTTCAGCTGCGATCATCAACGGTGTAGCACCTGACGACGTCCTGGCTTCGATGTCCGCGAGCTTTTCAAGAAGTATATGGCCGATTGATACGTTTCCAGCATAAGTCGCCATCAAGAGTGGCGTCCAACTCCAATCTGCAGTAACTGTCAGCTCACAATCTAGAGTTTCCTTGCAGTATTAACGTACCCGTGGAATTCGAACACCATGCCCGCGGTCCTCGAAATTCAAGGTCGGCATCGTCTCGCAAAAGAAGATCAACCATAGTCGCATTGCGCAGATCTGTCGCTCTGTGCAAGGCTGTCCAGCCACTGACCGTTGAATCAACAAAAGCACCTTCTGACAATAGAATCGCCGCGATCGTTTCATATCCCCGCTCCACAGCGTACATGAGCGGAGTTATACCTTTGTCACATCTGACTTCCAAATTGGCACCGATCCGCAGAAACTCCTGGACCATCTCCTCATTCCTTTCCTCTATGGCATGTATGAGGGGCGTCTTACCCTCGAGAAAGCGTGAGTCCTTCCTGATCCCAACGTTGAGCTCTATCAACAGAGAAGCGACCTTGCAATGACCTGCCTTAATTGCCCATTGCAAGGCTTTCGTGGCAAGCTCTTGTCTCTTGTTATCTCGCGTTCCACGAAGGATATCTTCTACAGCTATGTCATTGTTGTGCTCAGTTGCATATCGCATGGCCTTATACGGATCGAAGGCTGGTGATGCGATATCGTAACAAGCGTCTGCCGGCCATGGCATATCGCTGCTGCCTCCTATCGATGGTTCTGGTGCGGCTATCTCCTCACGACGAGGAAGTTGGTAATCGCGAAGGTAGTATTCCCGTAACCCTTTGGCCAATGTATGCTCCTGTTTTTGCTGATAAATCTGTGTCAAAAGTGCTACAGATTCGACAACAAGGGGGTCGTCCTCGCCCAAGGAGTTCTCCCGACCCCTGTAGGATCTCTTCGCAAAAGTTTCCGCATATTGGAGCTTGTCCTGCTCCTGGTAAATTTTGGCCAAGCAATAGTACCACCTCCACACTTCTGTCGTCTTCTCTTTCTCGTCCTTCTTGTCAGAAATAAGCCTGTTGTAAATCGCTTTCGCTTCGTCGAGCCTCTTTTCTTTGTGGTAAATGCGGGCCAAATCTTCCTGAACTTGAGCACGGTCATATGCTATACCATGCTTTGTCTGACCTTCTTCCAGGTGTTTGATGAGGCTCAACTGCGATGCTTCGGCCCTCTGGTAATGGCCCGCTTCCATCTCCTGCTTGACCGCATCTTTGAACCTCGCCACGATCGTTGCGTTGACCGGTGCTGAAAAATGATCCTCGGTTTCTGGTTCCGGATCATAATCGGTAGTAGCGTCAGATCCAATCCCGGAGTCGGCTGGAACCTTTTTGTCTGGCGGAATGCTATCAGATTCTATTGTCCGGATGGATCGATTCTCGTCAAGGTTGCTCGAAATGCGTCGAGTGTTAGCATTGGGAATGGAGTCGAGCCATATGGCAAATTGATTTCGGCCGAGAATCGATTCGTCGTCAGGGCAGTAGGAACTGGTACTCGTAACCTTTCCTACATTTTCGGCAGAGATTATGATCTTCTCAACGTCCGCCACCGCCTCCGCCTCCTCCTGCATGTCGGCTTCGCTCAGACCTTCATCCACATCCTCAACTCCGCGACCAATATGTCTGGCCGACAAAGTCACCCTGACTTCTTCGATCCTTTCGGACAGCACACTGATTGCTCCTTGGATCGAGTCGTGATTCTGCCACTGGGTGACGCTGCGAATGGTACGTTGATCAGCCTCGACTTCCTGAGGAATGGATGTATGGAAATTCATGGTGTCCGCTTACATGCTGATAGTCTGCAGGGACACTTGCAAGGCCTGGGTATAAGACTTCATGTGCTTCCTAAGGATATTGATTGAATGCGATTGCATGTTAAGCCGGATTTGGGTCTTGGGCATGCGCCCGATGCCCTGCGCGGAGGCACATCTGTCGAGGACGGCTTCGAGTTTCAGTAACGTTTTCCAGCAGCGCTTGAGAACGGAGTTGACATGTCCCCAGTGTTTTAGCTCGAGGCTCTGGATGTTTCGGGCCAAAGAAGTCTTCCTGGTGCTTTCAACGTTTACTAAGGTCTGCTGAAGGTTGGTAGTTTCGATGCGGAAGCCCTCAACGGTTGCATCGACGTTGGAGGCATCATCACAGAACTTGTAGAGGCTCTTGATGATGGTACCGCATAGCTGGGCGACGTTGGCGGCGCTGGCGCAAATCGATAGAGGATCCATGATAAGGTAAGGGCGGGAAAGTGGAGCACTGGAAACCTCCGCAATTGAAGGGTGGCAGGATCTGGGGCTCCGACCGGTGGAGAATTGTCCCGACGTAATCTTCGATGCACCCATGCATGCAGCATGGCCAGGGCACTGCCTACTTGGAGCAGGACACGCGACAGTTCGATGGTCCTCTAGAGGTAAGCTGATAGTCACTCGCGGCGCCGCCATCAGGCAAAGGGTTGCCTGGCCACGAATCCTAGGCGATGGCGGCGAAAGCACGAATCTCAAACGTCCACAACTCTATGCGGCGTCGATGGCTTGCGTACCAGTCAAAGCTGCGCCCCGCTCTGCACCCCAGCTAAATTGCTACCGCACTGTCAGCAACAGCCCGGTTACCTGAACGGGATACTCACTGCCGGTGAGCAGTTTCAGGCCCAAATGACGTCCCTCAGCGTCTTATAGCTGCGCAAACCTGGTGCACCAGCTGCGGCTCTGTGCGAGGCTCGAGTCCAATGGGTTCGAGGACACGTGGAGGGTGCGGCGACACCTATGCGAAGAAATCTTTGCGCAACACCAGCCGGGCGAGACCGAGAAGCAGGCACCGAAGGAGAGACCAGCTAGCGGCCTTGGACGCAGGAGCCTATCGGCCGGTGTGCTGCAGAGCTTGGGCTATGATTGCGCCCCCGGGATGCTGCAGGCCTTCCCCGAGTTTATAAGCGCAGATCTCCCCGCATACCTTTCGGCGCCCCCGCGCCCCCGCGCGTGAGATGCACGTTTTATTGGGGCAAGCCTCTCAGCTGGCCTTGGCGAAGGGCCAGGCAAGGCTGACCAACCCCCAGTCAAACCACAAAGTTGAGGCGACGGTCTGATCACGCCCACTGATGATTTGGCACTTACATCCTCAGTACCTGTTCATCGCGTCAGTTGCCCACCAGAGGGGGAACGAACGCATTGTTCTGATCATTGCAACATTCCTGGACCCTGCATGCCAGGGACTAGCGCGATGGAGGAGCCAATTAACCTCCGCGAGCGTACTATAGTGAGCACAACCCGGGCCCTGGCTTCGACTGGAGCTTCGTCCGTCTCTTACATGATCAGACGCCTTTCGACGACATGTTTCTCGACGGAAGACCAGAGTCGCGCAGCGGCGAGGACCTCAGGGTCTAGTAAGTTCTTCTCCACACCCCGATAGACGACGACGCGCCTGCCTGCCTACGGCTTGACGCTCATGCGTCGTCGTCTCCCGCGTTCGACCGTTTCGCTGAGCAACATTCTTCACAGCATCGAAAACCCTCTCCAGGGCCGATCACGGGAGGAACTCGAAGAGGACGTAGCTCGCTTCTGGCACCAGCATGATCTCGCTCCGGTGATCAAGCTGGAGCTGCTGCAGCGCGGTGCTCGCGTCGCTCAGAACCCGCGCATCTTCGAGGCCATCGAGGACCTTACCGTAGAGGAGAAGCAGGCTCTGCGCGACGAGGACACGCGCATGTTCAAGCAGCCGTTTGCGTTATGGCTAACGATTGCTTGCACCTCGATCGCCGCTGCTCTACAGTAAGCTCCGTTGCTGCCCTTCCGCATGCATGGCCGCTTTTCGCATCTTTGCCGTTAGACACTAACCTTGATCCTAGAGGCTGGGACCAAACAGGCTCGAACGCCGCTAACTTAAAATTCCCTCCCGCTCTGGGTCTGCACATCAACAATGATGACACTTCGAAAAACTGGAGAGACATCTGGATCTTTGGTCTCGTGAATGCCGCGCCTTACTTTTCCTCAGCATTCTTGTGAGTCCCTTTAACCACAAAGCTCGCTCCCAACCACTGACGCCCTGTTTTCCAGAGGATGCTGGTTGTCTGATCCGCTTAACAACTATGTCGGGCGACGTGGCACCATATTCTTCGCTGCCATTTTTTGCTTCGCTTCGGTTATTGGCTCCGCTTTCGTCCACACCTGGTTGCAACTCTTCTTTTGCCGCTGCCTCCTTGGCATAGGCATGGGAAGCAAGGCCTCGACCGTCCCCGTGTACGCTGCCGAGAACTCACCAGCGTTCTTCCGAGGAAGTTTTCTGGTGAGCTGGCAGCTTTGGGTGGCCTTTGGCACTTTTCTGTAAGTTCGTATTCAGTCCTTGCAGTACTTACCGAACTAACATGCTGCGCCAACCACAGCGGATTTTCAGCAAATTTGGTCGTTTATAATATCGGCGACATCGGATGGCGTTTGCAGCTCGGAAGTGCCTTCATCCCTGCGGTCCCTCTACTGATCCTTATTTGGTATGCTCCAGAGTCGCCTCGTTGGTACATCAAGCAGCGATGCTACCCGCAGGCCTACGGCTCTCTGGTTCGGCTTCGGAACGTCCCTCTCCAAGCGGCACGGGACCTGTATGCCATGCACGTGAAAATCGCACTCGAAGCACAGATGATCACGGCAGAGCAACGAGCGCGAAACGGATACGGCCCGGAGCGACCCCACCCCCGCACTCCGGTGGCAAAAGATATACACAAGGCGGCCCAATACGCTAGGCGCTTCGTCCAGCTCTTCACGATCAAGCGGGTGCGGAGGGCGACGGTAGCCGCCTGTACGGTCATGCTTGCGCAACAGATGTGTGGCGTCAACGTGCGTCGCTTGGTTTGCACCTATATTAAACTTCATCGCTGACAGAGCCCTCTCAGATCGTCGTCTTCTACAGTGGAACGCTGTTCACGGATGCGAAAGCGAGTGAGATTACGGCTCTCCTCGTCTCCTGGGGATTCGGGCTCGTGAACTTTGTGTAAGTAACAAAGTTCGCAATTGCGCGCAAACATGCTGATGTCTGGCTAGCTTTACTTTGCCAGCCGTTTACCAGATTGATACCCTCGGGCGCCGCACCTTGCTCCTGCTGACGTTTCCTGGAATGGCCTTGACCCTGCTCGGTGCTGGCTTCAGCTTCTACATCACGCCGCGAGAAGTGCATCTCGGGATGATTATTTTTTTTGTTTTCTTATTCGCGACGTTCTACAGCCCGGGAGAAGGACCAGTGCCGTTTACGTACGCCGCTGAGGTTTTCCCGCTGTCGCATCGTGGTAAGTAGAGCCAATGCCAGATTGAAACGTGTACGCCTATCTAACGCTTATCCAGAGGTCGGCATGAGTTTATCCGTGGCGACGAATCTGTTCTTCGCTGGCGTCCTGACACTGGTATTCCCGCGCATGACGGCTGCGTTGGGTAACACGGGCGCGCTGAGCTTCTTCGCGGGACTGAATGTCGTTGCATTTGCCATGATATTCCTGTGGGTGCCCGAGACGAAGCAGAGGACACTGGAGGAGATGGATTCTATTTGTGGGTGCTCCAATCCCGTGGTTCTCGTATTGTGCCGTTGCTGACTGGCTGCGAATAGTCAACGAGTCGACAAGAACGCATATGAAGTATCAGATTACGAAGTTCTTACCATGGATGTGGGACAAATACATCCGGCGCAAGGACGTGGAGTTGGCGCCCCTGTACGTGTTTAGGAGGTAGTCGTTGTGCCAGATGACGAGTTTATGATTCTGTTGATGTTTACGGTAAAGCAAAGGCTGCGGACGGGTATATAGATAGATAGAAGTACTTGTAGTGATCAATGTCACGATTAGAGAGGCGATGATAGAGAAGCCGTAGTGGCATCGAAACTTGAATCCGAGAATGCCGGCGACAGAAGTTGAACTCCAGTCCCTAAACGTGCGAGGGCACGTCACTGAGTCCGTTTACGGCTAGATAGAGCACCCAGCTTGGAATTTTCGGCGAACGAGAAAAATGATTTGCGGAACGACGCACGCACCTGGGACCGAGGGACCCACGATGTGATGAAGATGTGAGAAAGGGTCCAGGCTAGCGCCGATCGGGCGAAGAGAAGCGTGAGTGGCGCGACGATGGGACTCGTAAGCCAAGCGGCGAAGCGGTCGGGACTCGGGACTTGCGGAGTCGCAATTTCAAGGACATTGGACAGACGCTAGTTGCGGGGGCGGTGAGGGAGAGAGTGCGTGGCGGCGGCGCTTTCGAGCGTGTCTGGCGAGAAGCTTGATCGGATGGGATCTTCGAGGAGCGCCGGGAGATCAGTGGTGTCTGACGGGAGACATGGATGTCGCGGCTTGTCGCCACGACGAGAGCGTGACCCAACAAAGGGCGCCGGCGGCTCGGGGTGACGTCAACGGGCTGGATGACGCCCTGCGTCCTGCCTGCAAAACCCTTAAGAGTTTCCTCTCTTGTTCCTTGTTGCCCCCTTCGTAAACCCTACAAAACCCTCCACACCTCGGCTTCCTTGCTGAAGATCATCTCAATCAATCTTCCGACCGCTCCCCATCCGTGCTCTCGATTTTCGCCAAGACTCCCGACGCGTCCGCGCCCGACCGCAAACCCGCAACACCACCGCCCGCCATCATGCATCGTACCTACTCTATGCGCCAGTCGCGCGCTCCCACGGCCTCGCAGCTCCAGAACCCGCCTCCGCCTTCCTCTTCCACCAAGTCCGGCCGCTTCTTTGGCAAGTCCAACATTGGTGAGTACACCTCCCGCAACCCCGCCGCTGCCGCTGCCATCCGCGCCCGAGGCTCGCCGCACATCCGTCGCCATCAATGCCGTTGTGCTCCGATGCGAGAGCGATAGGTGCTCCGCATTGAGCCGTGTAGCTTTTCTTTCAGCGAACCCCCGCTAATCATGTTCTCTTCTCAGGCCACTCATGGCGCAAACAGACCGCCGGCGCCTTCGGGCCCGACCTCGCCAAGAAGCTCTCGCAGCTCGTCAAGATGGAGAAGAACGTCATGCGCAGCATGGAACTCGTCGGCAGGGAGCGTATGGAAGTTGCTGTAAGCACCGACCCCTCGAAGATTGTGGAAACACAAATGACTAAGCATGGAGTAGCAACAACTCTCCATCTGGGGAGAGGCATGTGATGATGATGTTTCTGATGTCACCGACAAGCTTGGTGTCCTCATCTACGAGATTGGCGAGCTCGAGGATCAGTTTGTTGACCGCTACGACCAATACCGTGTCACCATCAAGTCCATCCGCAACATTGAGGCTTCCGTGCAGCCTAGCCGTGACAGTACGTCATACCCGCCCAGATTCCAGACAAAGCAAGCTGACATTTGCGGCAAGGGAAGCAAAAGATCACCGACCAAATTGCCCAGCTGAAGTACAAGGAGCCCAACTCGCCCAAGATTGTTGTTCTTGAGCAGGAGCTCGTCCGTGCTGAGGCCGAGTCCCTCGTTGCCGAGGCCCAGCTGTCCAACATTACCCGCGAGAAGTTGAAGGCCGCTTTCACCTACCAGTTTGATGCTCTTCGTGAGCACTGCGAGAAGCTCGCTATTATTGCTGGCTACGGCAAGCACTTGTTGGAGCTCGTCGATGACACTCCCGTCACTCCCGGCGAGACCCGTGCTGCGTACGATGGCTATGAGGCCAGCAAGGCGTATGTTGTTTCCTAACCATGCAATTTGCACATGGCTGACTTCGAATCCAGCATCATCCAGGACTGCGAGGACGCACTGACGAACTGGGTTGAGCAAAACGCTGCCGTCCGCTCCAACCTGTCCACCCGCTCGCGCACCTTGTCGCAGCGCCGCCATGCCGGCCGCAACGCTCGCGCCAACGGCGAGGGCGTCGACCTCTCTTCGCAGGACCAGCCGATGGAGGGTCGCGAGTCCGGCCTTTGGATCCCGGCCTCAGAGCACCAGGGCCACGTCTACGATGACGAGGACGAGGAGGAAGAGGAGAGCACGATTGAGTCTCGGGGCCGCGAGGAGGAGCGCAACGTTGCTGCTTAAGCCCACGATTGGTCACAGGTGTGTGGCAGGAAGAATGACTCACGGCGACCGCTGGGAGGCGGCGCTTGACTGATGACCTACGCTTTTATACCCAGTGTGGATGGATGGATGGTAGGCAGGATTGGGATGACTTGACTCTACTACTATGTACTAATAGTTTAATGACGGGCAAGAGGGGGGATAATCACTCGATCTATGCTAGTTCTGGTTTTGTTGACTGGGCGGACTGCTGCTGCTGTAGTGTAATGACGCCTCTCACGCACAAATATTCCGTACACGAATCAAAACTGATTTTTTCTTTCTTTTTGCATTGCATTGCATTGCATGCGGACGGCATGGTATGGCATGGTATGGCAACGACTACTCGGGTCCGAAGAGGCGCGGTGGCTTGCAGCGTGCGCGTTTTATATATCTGACTCACAACGGCGGTGTCGGAGATACGAGAAAAAAGAAATTAATTAGATGATGGATACGAAGCATCGAACATGGGTTCTTAGGTTGTTATGATGGATTATGATTTAGAATGATGTGGCGCGGGAGTTGCGTCGCGACGGAATGGGGGAGCGTTGCGAAGGTGGAGACAGGAGGGTTGGGCTTGTAAGTTTGGGAGTCAGAACGTGGGACAGGGATTTCCTAGGTAGGTAGGTGGATGCGATGGGAGCGCTAGGTTAGGATTGGGTGGGTGTTCGCTGATACGTATTTGCATGTATGTATGTAGTGTAAAAATAGAAGAATTAAGGGTTTGTTTGTGTAGATTATAGATTCGGAGGTTGTAGTGATGGGCGTGATGGAGCTTGAGTTTCTGATAGGAGAAAGGGGTTCTGAGTACTGAGACGTCGGAGAGGCGTTTTAGGCTAGGGTCGGGATCGAGTCGAGTCACAGATTTCCAGATCCTGGCTTGTACATGTGTGGGTGCGGCGTAAGCTGCAGCGAGGGGCGGTTCTAGGCTCTACAGTAGGTGGTATGGGATAGGAGATTGCGCATGGGTAAGTAGTAGATAGGTGTAGGTAGTATGTATGTGCGACAAAGAAAAGCGCATAGGCGCAGTTGGCGATAGCCGGTGGTGGTGGTGGTGGTGGGCAGGTGGGGCATGAGTCAAGCGCGGTGGCTTAGCCCTTCCCGCACTGAGTCACCGCAACGGCTCGATAAGGAGATAAGGCAGGAGCGGCAGGAGCAGGCGGCAGGACGCGGCGCGCGCGTGCTTGTGCTTGCCTTGCTAGAGGTGCGTGTGCGTACGGGGTTGCGGAGCTGCTGCTTCGTTGGCTGGCTCTTTTTTGCCGTGTCGTGTGGGTTTTTCTTTCTCGTCTCACACTTTTGAGTTCTCTCTTTCTCTCCTCGGCATTGACTTGTTGCTTCTTTTCCTCCTCCTGCTGCTGCTCTTCTTCTTCTTTGTGTGGGCTGTTGCTCAAACAGCTTTTTGAAAGAAGGGCTTCCTTGGCTTTCTGGAGGCCTTTTTCTTACGCGTGAGCTGCACGTCGGGAGCTAGGGACTGCACCTACGCTGGGCTGCCTACATCATCCAGGGCGAACGACACCGCCGGTGCTTGCATCCGTCGCCGCTACCGCTCACGTAAACGATCCATCATCGCCGACGCGACTGTCCGCCCTGTAATAACCACGCCGCCGCGCGCTGCCGCCAATACGCCGTCCTCATAGCTCGCGAGCTCCGCCGCCGTTTTACATCCATCCATCGGGCTGGATATATACAAATTACATCCACAAAAACATCACAAAACAACAACAATGGCACACTATCAACCGTACCCCGTGCCCTTAGCGGCAATGTCCTACCCTTCCCTCCCTCCACCTCCCTCCCTCCCGACACACCCTCTCCCCACCCTCATCCTCTCCAGCACCGCCTTGGCGCTCTCCCTCCTCCTCACCGCTACCTCTCTGACACATGTGCTGCGCGCGCGACTACGCCTACGTCGGCGCGGCACCCGCGCGCAGGTGACGGGCCCGGAGGCGCCGTACCGCGATGAGGATGGCGGCGCGACGCGCGATAGCGAGGAGGTATATGCGAGGTGGTTGCTGGCCAAAGGGGTACTGCTGCTTGTGGGTGCGGTTGTGGGCACGGGTGTGGGCGGCGTAAGAGCTGTGGCGGGGACGTTGGGGGAGAGGGAGAGAGGGGTGCTGGGGCTGGTGGGGCTGTGGTTGGCAGCGGGGATTTGGGTGAGTTCATTTTTCTTTTATTTTTGTGTTTTTGGTGGAGGGATGGAGTTGGGAGGGGATGTGATGTGTAAGAATATCTGGGGAGGGTTTGGAAAGCTGGAGAGGGGAGTGTGGTTTGGGTGAAGGGGTTGAGAGACTTTTCCTCGCGGTTTGGGAGGAATTTCTTTACAATCTCTTCGGGCTCTGCCAGTCTGATCGCGGAAATACGCTTCATGGTTTGCCCTCACAGTTATATTCTAACGCCTGATAGTTGCCTCTCATTACGCAAGCAATCCTTGTCCTAGTGGAGAAAGACCCGGTCCGCAAATACGAAGTCGCCCTGAACAACTCCATCTCCTATATCATCGTCACGGCGCTCTTCTGCTATGTCAACGGTTTTATCGGCCAGGACCGAGTCAATCTCGGGCTCTCCATCGCCGAAGTCGCGCTGGCCGTAGTTGGGTTCTTCCTCTGCGCGTCATTCCCGCGACGCCCTGACGTCTTCCTCAATGGCCGTCCCGTGGACCGACAAAAGTCTGCATCCGCATTAAGCCGCTACAGCTACAGCTGGCTTACGCCCTTGTTGAGCTTTGCTTCCAAGCGGCAGGTGTTGAGGCAAGATGACATTCCGAAGCTGGACAGTGCCAGGAGAGCTCGTGACCTCCACGATGCCTACGTTTCCAAGAACTACACTGGAAGACTGTGGAAAAGTGTTATCAAAGCTCATGCTCCTGCGTTGGTTCTCCAGTACATACTCGGGACACTGGAGTCCCTCCTCATTGTAGTGCCGCAGATCGCCATGTTCCACCTCCTTAAGCTCCTGGAGGCGCGTCAGCAGGGCGCAAACGTCACACTGGAAGCAAGTCTCTGGGTCGTCGGCCTGGGAATCGGGATCCTAATCCAGAACTTCTTTGAGAACTGGCGCTGGTGGGTGAGCTACGGTCACTTGAATGTGCCTATCAGGGTGCAGCTGTCTGCGCTCATTTTCTCCAAGGCAATGCGCAGGAAGGATGTGAAAAGCGCCGAGACGACTCACGAGAACAATTCGAACGTTATTGGCGCAGTTGCGACGTCGAGCTCTGGTCCGGAGGAGGTTGCGGGCAAGAAGAACACGGAAGAAGCGGCAGCTGACCCAACTGCCCAAAAGACTGAGCAAGGAACGATCAACCTTGTTGGTGTGGATAGCAAGCGCATCGCAGACTTTGCCACGTACCAAAACGGATTTTATGGCGCGTTCCTTAAGATCACTGTCTCTTTCGTCTTCATTTATAAGCTGGTTGGGTAAGTTGACCAAGGAGGCCATGGATGCGAAAATGTGCTGACCGACCACAGATGGCAAGCCCTCATCGCGGGTATCATCGCGCAGCTCCTCACTGTTCCCTTGAACTTGTATTTCACGAAGCGCTACGCGAGTGCTCAGAATGATTTGATGACAGCTCGGGACCGCAAGCTTGCGGTTCTGAACGAGGCGTTGACTGGAATTCGTCAGATCAAGTTCTCGGCGCTGGAGAAGCAATGGCAGGCCAAGATCCAGGAGTTCCGTGAGACGGAGCTCAAGACAATTTGGAGGGTTTTTGTTTCTGACACGTTCCTCATTTTCTGTAAGTTTTGATGGTGCAGTACTATCCAGTTGAACACAACTGACCACTGCTAGGCTGGATCTTCGGCCCCTACATGCTGTCGGCTGTCACGCTTGCAACCCACGCTATCGTCCATGATCACCTTTACCCCTCTGTTGCGTTTACCACAATTGGTATTTTGACGCAGATTGAGGGAACTCTTGCCTTTATTCCCGAGCTCATAGCATCCGGTCTTGATTCATGGGTTAGTATAAACCGCATCGAAGAATACCTGAACGCGCCAGAGAAAGAGAACAACACGGAGCCTGGTGACCGTATCGCATTCAAGGATGCGAGCGTAGCCTGGCCTTCGAATGCCGAAAAGAACGAGGAGGCTTTTGTGCTCCGCGATCTCGATTTCAGCTTCCCCGAGGGTGAACTCAGTGTCATTTCGGGCCGCACCGGATCCGGTAAGACACTCCTTCTGAAGGCGATCCTGGGAGAAGTAGACATCATTTCCGGGACAATCGAGATGCCGCAGGCTCCGCCCCACGACCAAAGGTTTGACTGGAAGGCTACGAAGAAGGACTGGATCATCCCCGCCGCTATTGCCTTTGTGAGCCAGCAGCCATGGATCGAGAACTGCAACTTCAGGGACAATGTCCTGTTCGGCCTTCCGTTTGACTCACAGCGCTACCGCAAGGTCATCTCAGCTTGTGCGCTCGAAAAGGACCTCGAAATGCTGACAGACGGCGACATTACGGAGATCGGCGCACAGGGTATCAACCTCAGCGGTGGTCAACGCTGGCGCATCACGCTCGCGCGGGCGCTCTACTCGCGCGCTGGCATTTTAGTCCTGGACGACATCTTCAGCGCCGTGGACGCGCACGTCGGCAAGCACATCTTTGAGAAGGCATTGACGGGCGAGCTGGGCCAGGGTCGCACGAGGATCATTGTCACGCATCACGTCGCGATGTGCCTGTCGAGGACGAAGTTCGAGGTCTTGCTTGAAGCTGGGCGGGTGGAAAAGGCGGGCTTGGTCGATGAACTCCGCAGTTCTGGCGATATCGAGACGATCCTCGAGGAGGAAAATCTCGAGGATGAGGCGACCGAGACGGCGACGGATTTGTTGGAGGTCCCGAACGGCAATGGCCACCACGGTGGTAGGCGTCGCAGCTCGCACTCAAAGTCGAATGCGCTCTCTCGTCAACGATCCCACTCGAGTATCCGGTCCGACGCGCTCATTGACAATGGCCACCTCGACGTCAACTCGAAGTATGTCGCTAAGAAGTTTGTCGAAGAAGAGACCAAGCAACGGGGCCATGTGCTGTGGAACATCTACCTCCGGTACGTGCGGGCCGGCGGTGGCTACTGGCTTTGGGGCGGTATCGTGTTCGCGTTCATGTTCGTACAGGCACTGATACTGGGGCGGTCATGGTGGCTCACCATCTGGACGAGTCAGTACAAGACCGAGTCATCGGCAGAGGCGAAGCCCTTCACAGCCATGACATTCCAGCATCCTATGGCGCAGCGGGCGCTGTCAGTGCAAACCGTCTCGCGGGATACGCGCTTCTACGTCGCTGTGTACCTGCTCATCTCCGTTGCTCTCTCGACCATTGGCGCGCTCCGCTATTTCTGGGTATATTGTGGCTCGATCCGCGCGAGTCGCAAGCTGTTCGACGACTTGACATATGCGGTCCTGCGCGCCCCGCTCCGCTGGCTTGATACCGTGCCTACTGGCCGTGTGCTCAACAGGTTCACAGCGGACTTTAGCACCCTGGATCTGGAGCAGGCAAATGCGTTTTCGTTTATGGTGTTCAACTTCCTGATGGTGGTTGGCATTGTCATCGCCGGCATGATGGTCACGCCAATCATGGTTATCTTCGCCGTGCTCCTACTCGCGCTCTGCCTGCGGTACTCGCTGTTCTACCTCGCCGGCGCGCGCGAGACCAAGCGTCTGGAGTCGCTCGCCAAGTCGCCTGTCTTTGAGCTTTTTGGTGCCGCGCTCTCCGGCATCAGCACCATCCGTGCCTTCGACAAGAGCGACTCTTACATCGAGAACATGTTCGCCAAGATTGATGCACATGGCCAGACTGTCTACTACATGTGGTCCTTCAACCGCTGGCTGACATTCCGTCTCGGCGTTGTTGGCGCTGTCTTCACAGTCGCCATGGCGGCCCTGATCGTCAGTCTCGGAAATATTGACGCCTCCCTCGCGGGTTTCGCGCTGGGCTTCACGCTTGACTATTCCATTTCGGTCGTATTTATGCTGCGGCAGTACGCGGTGGTGGAGCTGAGCATGAATGCCGTCGAGCGCATCGTCGAGTACTCGGATCTGGAGATTGAAAACGAAGGCGGCGAACCCGCGCCCGCGGCCTGGCCTGCCGAGGGCCGTCTCGAAGTGGAGAATCTTGTTGTTTCGTACGCGCCCGACCTCGATCCCGTACTCAAGGGCGTGAACTTCAGTGTCGCTCCCAACGAGCGTGTCGGCATCGTCGGCCGTACCGGTGCAGGCAAGTCAAGTCTCACGCTCGCGCTGTTCCGCTTCCTTGAGGCGCAGGAAGGTCGCATTGTCATCGACGGGCTGGATATTTCGAAGATCCGCCTGCACGACCTCCGAAGTCGCCTTGCGATTATCCCGCAGGACCCGGTCCTCTTCTCGGGCACTATCCGCAGCAACCTCGACCCCTTTGGCGAGCACGAGGACAGAGACCTGCACGAGGTGCTCGCGCGCGTCCATCTGACCGACGGGCCTCCGCACGAGTACAGCAACGGCGACGGGCTGGCCCTCATCCCGCCAACGACAACGCGCAGCGTCCTCACGCACGTCTTCCCGCACATGAACCCGGCGCACAACGACGCGGCATCGACGCACTCGGGCTCGTCATCGCACTCGTCGCACCACCACCTCACGGAAGAAGAAGAGCGTGAGCTCTTCACGCACCACACGGGCCCGGTCACGGTGCCGGAACTGGAAGCGATTTTCGGGACGCCGCCATCGTCGCCGTCGGCGGGCTCGGACGCGGGCGCAGAAGCAGAAGCGGCACCGCTCCCGTCGCTGCCGCCAAACTTCAACCCCTTCACCAACCTCTCGTACCCGATCGCGCCGGCGGGCGCAAACCTCTCGCAGGGCCAGCGCCAGCTGCTCTGTCTTGCGCGCGCGCTGCTGGCCAGACCGAAGGTAATGATTCTAGACGAGGCGACGAGCGCGGTGGACAAGGCAACGGATGCGCGGATCCAGGCGAGCGTGCGCGCCGAGTTTGGTGGTCGCAGCACTCTGCTCGTGATTGCGCATCGGTTGAGCACGATTGCGGATTTCGATCGCGTGGTTGTTGTGGGTGAGGGGAGGGTGGTCGAGACGGGCTCGCCGAGGGAGTTGCTGTTGCGTGAGGAGGGCGTGTTTAGGGGGATGGTGGAGGGGAGTGGTGAGAAGGAGGGGCTGTGGAGGGTTATTCTTGGGGAGGGGGAGGGCGAGGAATAAGCTGTTTGAAGGAGGGGGTTAGGCGTGGGTAAGGGCTGTACTGTATGATGATGATGGGTTATGTATATGTGTATATGTAGATATGGAGGGGTGGGCGGGGAGTCTAAAATATGGTTTTTGGGCTTGCGTGTGTTTGTGTGCTGTGCTGCTGCTGTTGTGGGTGTGGGTGTGAGCTGTGAGTGTGAGTGGATGTGATAGGTAGAGATGAGGGAGGGGCTGTGGAAAGTTGCTGGTTGTGAATGTTTTGGGCTGGTGGGATAGAAGAATGGATTGATTAGTACTTGCCTTGATTGGTTAGTAGTTGATCCGCTTTGTTCTTCCTCCTTATAAGCAACTGATCCTTGCTACTAACTACGGATATAGGCATATTTGGCGAGGGGTTTTGCAAGTGTGGTGTGTGCAATAGGAGATGGAAGCTTTAGTATCGTGCAGTACCGGTTCTGGGAAGTAGAGTTACGTAGTATATTCGTACTTCCTACTTTACTTTGTTGCGTAGTATGTCTAGCCCTTTCCTTCTTTTATTTTCTGCTAATGCTGCTGAAATAAATAGGCGGAAATGTGCTTGGAGAATCAATTGGGCGAGTGATATATATGTACGAGCGGAGCGGTGAACTGGAATTTATAAAGAAGTTGTATAGATTTATATTCGCTTTGAAGTTCTCTGCACGAAGCGACTGTCTGATTTTGGGTACTGCGTGATTCTTGAATGCGAAGGTGATTGGTGGGATGCTCAAAGAATTCAAAGAGGTGGTCACCTTATCTGGGGTCTTTGACATGCAGATGTTCTGGCATCTTCTACATGAATCTCACTTGAAAAGAACTGGTCGAGGAATACGTCAAGCTTTCTGAAAAGCAGTCAGAGTGGGAAATCGTGCATTGATTGTTCTTCACTGCTATGTATGTAGAATTTCATAGACTTTGATGTCATCGTCGTCGTCATGCTGTGGCTTGAAAGAGTTTGTTTTGAGTTGCAAGTGTCTAGAAGCCTGATTCCGTATGAGTATTCCTGAAGTCGAAGTTATGATGGCTGCCATCATTCCATGAAGTCCGCCGTATAAGGCAGTCTGGTTCGCAAAATTCCATTGACCATTTCATCTCTCAATGGAACCGAGAATGTTGTTCCTGCCGCAAGTGCCTGGTCGTGAATTCGTGGTGGTAGTGGCAGTGGTATGCTGCACATTACTTCTCAGGCCACTCGAAGTACTTCTCCCTAAGCCTTGGCGACAGCCACCACAGACTATCTGTACCACTGACCCGGTTGTTGCGAGCATCGTTAGCTCTGACCTTGAGCATGTGCTTCGAGAGATCCATCCAGAACTCTAGCGGGGCCCTGACTGCGTCTCCCTCTTTCTTATCGAGCCACTCGGTTCCGCTGCGGTAGGCAATGAAGTCGAGGTAGAAGGCCCTGAGTGGCGATTTCGGCATCGTATTGCGCCAAATTCTGGAAGTGAGGCTAAGGGTATATTTAGCTTCTTTGGTGACTCTTTTGATTAAGGCTTCCATGACGACGTTCTTGAAATATGGGTCCATCACTATGTCGCCCAGTACGTAAGCATTTTCAAATTCAGCCATGTTCGTGAGTTTGTTGTCATGGAGTGTTGCGCTGTCGCTGGTGTAAAGCCATTGCACGTAGAGCTCAAATGTATCTGGCGAAGTCATGGTGAAGTGAATCACACCTTCCGACTCCTTCCAGGGAGGCATGCAGGCTTTGCGGAAGAACGCGGAGAAGGTACAGATGAGATCTTTGTGCACAGTGAAGAGCTTCTTCTCGTCGCCGACGTATACAGTAAGGCCTGAACCTTTGACGCTGGATGGCGTTTAGTAACTTCCCTTTGGATTTTAAACAAAGCTAGAGACACTCACGCTTTGGGAATAAGAGCTACGTGCCTAGTTCGATGAGTGCGCAGACGCGCCTCTCTGATTAATATCGTCAGTTTGAGATCTTGCGATGGTCAATGAAGAACGGGCACTTACGTGGGACGTTCCATGTTTGGCCTGCGACTTGGAGTGAACTTGGCTACCGGTGAAGAGGTCGGCGGTCGAGATACCGGTGGTTGCGGGATTGGTGACCGAGCAGTTCGTGCTCGAAAGGCTAAAAGAAGAAAGACTGACAGCAAAAAAGCTGAGAGCAGAAGGACTGAGAGCCGGAAGCCCGGCAGCAGAGACATTGAGACCATGAAGGTTGGTGGGAGCGACAGGAAGATGCTTAAATAAAGGGTGGGAAAGGGCATGACGTAAGCGGAAGGCACAAGTGGTGGAAAGTATGAAAATGAAAGTGAAAGTGGATCATGTCACGGTGAATGTATACGTAGGGTACTTGGGTTTTGCTGTGCGCGAGATATTTTGCTCGTTCCTAAATGGGTATTTCCTCTATTCCTTGCTACAAGCAGCAGGCCCTGGACTATCTTACATTAGAGCTTATTATAAATTGTCTTCTCTGCCGATTAACATTGGCGACCTATAATCAATTACCCAGTACATCCATGATTAAAGGTTGCAAAACGTCCGTCACAGTTGAGCGAGATTCACCGTCCGGTGAGACAGAAAACTAATGATACAAGCAGCCCCTACGGAATGCTTTCTGTCTAGCTGGACTCTAAATCAAAGGTATAAGTGAGAAGGTGTTAGAATATATATAATTTAAACCTCTTGACCGTATTTTGCTTCTACTCCGTATAAGTGTCGTTGTCCCCTTAGGTGGTATACCTCGCTCAATGGTGACGGATATTAGCTATTGTTTCCTGTCGAAATTTACTTCATTGTAGATCTATTATGTGAGGTTGGAAAATGACCCGGCGCTTTACACATATTTGCTATTTGGTGTTAACTTAACATTTAGCTTCCATCTCTATGTATCTACAGCTCATGAAATTACATTCTAGCGTGCTAGGTCTTTAGAGATTGATTGGAAGGCTTGCAGAGTGGGATTAGATACTTCACAGTCCTCAGAATATGTATTTGTATAGGCGGTGCTATATAAGTAGTAAGCTACAGCGGTATTACCTGAAGACAGCCACCGGATTACTTCGGCTCACCCATAGCATTAATATAAGGTTTTATGCCACGAAAGACGTATTACAGGGCGCTGAAATCATCCAGATAATACCTTGGACGTTCGATACTGATGCCACACAGTGCCGACCCGGAGACCCGGCTTAAATCCCTGCGCGCTCAACCAGAGTGTATCAAAGAGATTGACATTCTGCAAGCACGCAGATTGCTTCAGTCAAGTCCCTCTATAACCCGTTTTAGCAGTCTTTAATTAAGCTGTCTTGAAACAAGACGGCATTGTTCCACTAACTGCGGGTCTTTACGGAGTAAAAATCCGTGCCCGTACGCCATGTTTAAATCCTAATGGATTGCTCCGCAGTATAGATATAGTTAGTGCATACCTGCATGCAGCGCCATGTTGCGAAGGATCTGTTTCCATAATTGTTCATTGGTCGAAGTGCTGCGCCGCACAGCGGCGGATCATGGCGGACCGTCGCGGACCGTCGCGGGGTAGAAATCCTACGACGGACGTTTGTTGGAAACAACAACGCAAAGCACGGACTCTTCGTCAACTCACGGAACTAAGTTCTTACCCTTAGGATAGTATTTTCCTTCTTTTAAGTTACAGATCTTTGAAAGCGGAAAACCCAGGAAAGTCTTAAAGTGTGTAAAAGCAATATATAATTCTACTACACTGAAGAAAAAACACAGCTCCCTTTGGATTGTCATTCCATTTGTTTTTCCATATGCAATTTCCACATTAACAAGGGTAGAATCCTTGGTTTTGAAATGACAGACCAAGGACTATTCTTACGCATTCCTGCATATCCAACAAAGTAAGAGCTAACGCTATCATAGACCAACCCCGTGCTGTTGGTTGCATCAAACGCAACTACCTTCTCGAATCGTGAATTCCGTATCCACAGTTATAGCAGCCTATACCATGATCCTAGAGGAAGGAATCGTGGCTTAATCCTTCATAAGTGATATACCCGCCGTATACCAAGAACGTGTCTCGAGCCAAGAATCCCCTCCTCGGTGTAGAGGTCAGGATTTCAGACACGGGCTTAGCTTGTAGGGGCAAGGAATGGTGCCATAAACGGAAGGTGAATACACCATTAAACATATATAAGAAGTGGAAAATTACAGCGATAGAGTTAGCACCCAGAGCCAATTCACTCAGGTTCTAATCGCAAAGCCTTAGCAATCCTTCTACAAACAATCATGCAACTCGTCAATATCATTAGCCTGGCGCTCTTCGTTACCGGCACCGTTAAGGCAGCACCTCAGCAGCCTACCTCCGAGCTACTCGATGCCAATCCCGCGACGGCTTTGCAGTCTGAGCCTACCCAGCAGCCTCTGAATACTCTGACAGTGGAGGTCAAGCAGCCACTCCCTAAGTCCGTGGTGTCACACCTGGCCGGCAGGCGAGAGCCCGAAGAGGAACTTCAACCGGTCACCGACTTGTCGACTCAGGAACAACCTTCACCATCGACCCTGCAGCCCAAAGTCAAAACTTTGTCCACTGAACCCAACCTGGTTGGTCGGGCAGAGCCCGAAGAAGCCGCAGACGAAGAAGTCGAAGCGCAGATAGCGACGATTACGATCGCGATCAAGCCGGTAATTCCCATAACGACGGCGCTTTGCCTGACCAATTGCAAGCGAGAGGCCGCGGAGACGGCGACTGCTACCGATGCTGTAGAGACAGCTGTTTTGGCCGGTCGGGCGGATGCGGCGGCTCCGCAGCCTCCTGAGTCTTGGTGGGTTCCTTTGGAACCTCCCCAAGCCAGGGCGGTTCCAACACATCTACTCGATTTTTAGTGGTTTCGGACGGCCTGGGCGGGACACTACGGACAGTGGGCTGTCTTCCGATGCCAAGAACAGTCTCGCCCTGACGAAGTCTGCTCCGTTGGGATATACTAGATGGTTATTGTTGGATGGCAGTTACGTGCAGTACTCAACTGTCTGATGTATTTAGCACAGTGCCAGGGATTAGTCCAGCACTTTCTTCAGCAGCGCCTCGCTTGTTGCTTTTGATATCAATCAACTCTCTTTTTTGACAAAATCTTTATCTACACACGTTCCTTCTCAGATAGCTTTAGAAGTTTTTGAAGGGCAACGAACAATATCATGTTACGATGGGAGATGATCTGATCTGTGTCGTACAAGTTTTGCGGAGCGGGGTCGTATGTCAGCACATCATACCATCAGTGTGAGGGTATGATGTTACTCTGATAGCCAGGCGCACACTTTTGCAAGGTTGAGTATAGTGAGCAAACGAGCGTATTTGTTTAGTCATAAAAGCGCACACTAATCATGGAAGCGTAGAGAGTGCTTTTGAAGGAGTGGCGAAGGCCAACCAAAAACCAAAAAGAAACAAGGAACAAGGCATAAAATGAATGGAATAGTGACAAAGCGTTGATGTGCTGAAGCCAAAACAACAAATAGACTGTGTAAGGAGTGTAATAGTGGAGCAGTACCGAATTCTCAAGCCCAAAATACGAAATTGTGCCATCAATCGTCACGTTGGAAATGGAGAATAGAAGACGCTCTACACCTCTTCAGTTAGAAGCGGGAGACGCTCCGTGAATCTTCCTCTCATGCTCATTGCGCTTATCCTTTCTGGGGAATGGTCTACCATTAGGAAAGTCACGCTCGCACGTGCTGTTACGGCACCAGTAGAAGGCCTTCGGATTGTGCACGGTGTCGTAGTGGCGCTGTAGATCGTAGATGCGGCTGAAGGAGAGACAGGGGCAGGTTGGGTAGCAGCAAGGGTATCGACGCATTGCCTCACATGAAGCACTGAATGAGGCTCTATCCGCACTACCGTCCCCTTGGGTCAGTAGGATTTAAAAAAAAAAAAAAAACTCGCTGGCCTCCTGCGGGACTGAAGGCTGGACCATCATTGGTTCCAACCCCAGTACTTGCAGGATGAGCGGGAAGAAAGGGCGCTGTGGCGCCTGCAGAGGGCGAAGCCTCTGTATGTTGCTCAAGGTCGTCAGGCTGCGCTAGACCAGACTGGAAAAGCCCAGCATCGAAGGGCGATCCAATCAGCTGCCCCGAAGGACCAGTGGTGGTTCCGGTTGGGCCCAGGTTAGCCGGCATGTTGTCAGCCAACGGCACGCCCCCGAACTGATTGTTCTGAGAGAATGCCATGTTGGAAGGTCCTGGCTGGGCATATCCTTGCTGGTACAGGAAATTGTTGTCCATGAAGCTCATGTCAATGTCATTGAGCTGGAGGTTGTTTTGCTGGTACGACAAATTGTCCGGAAGGCCCATGTCAGGGATATCAGACTGACCCAGATGGGTATCGTCCTGGTCGCGAAAGGCGCCGTCAAACCCGGGGTCTTGGACCAACGAGGAGGCGGCATTGTCGAAATCAAAGAACTCGTTTCCGCAGTCTTGTTGGTTGCTGTAACGAAACCCTTGGAGGGTGTTGCTGTCCTGTTGTTCATCAGGCTGACCGGTCATGGTCGGCTGAGTGCTTGCAGCGTGCATGTAAAAGGGCGGCCAATTAGACATCTTGCTGACGTGAGTTGGTTGTACAACCTGGAATGGTGAATTGATTGGTCGATAAAGGTGGCGTATCCGTGAAAATTGGTAGGGAAGTGCAAAGAACAAGAAAATTGGAGTAGAGGGGGATGCAGTTACTTTATCGTGAGCTTGACATACGACATGGGTGCCAACACAGCGCAAGCCACCGCCCTTCGAGCCTCCTTGGCGCTTGAGGCAGTGGAAAGATTATGTAGGTTGCTGAAGACCACATGTAGGAATCCCCAAAGAGCCTTTGAAATAGTTAAATCATTGTTCATCGGTTAGCTCGGTCTGTTTTTGCATCTTGGAGATAAACACCACGCGGTGATGCGTATCTAATATGCTAGAATGTACCAAGAGAAAACGTTGTTAATGCTTTGATAGTAGCTCAGCATATTTCAGGGCTTTTCGTTTCCTACAGCGTCGAAGTTGGGATATGCAGGTATCGTGTACTGCTGCATTGTGGTTGCTCAACACCTGTGAAACTTGAGTTGTCCTGAGCCGCATGTATGCAGTGTAACCACCAAAGGGCAGCCAATCAGGCACGACCACGAGGAGACTCTGGTATCAAGAACAACGCTCAGTTGCAGAAGGTTCGGTGGATGGTGGGGTGACCGAAGGTGAAGAAATTGAAAAGAGAATTTGGAAAGACCCGTCTATTAGCGGTCACGAAGCGATCTCAGCGATATCACCTTCCTCATTAGTTAACCTAGAATTAGTCAGCACTGCCTTCTCTTCACAACCAATTCTTGGATTTTTCTCTCCCTGAATCCACTCACTTTGCTCCTGCTTCTATAACAATCCATACCATAAAGAAAAACTGCAGCCGAATGAGCAATAACGTCGGTGAGGTGTTTGCTGAGCCTCCTAAATTTAAGACTAGTAGAAAACAAGGACTGCGGTGGTCTTTCCAATCGCGGTTAGCAATCTAAACCAACAGCTGTTTCTGCTTGGAGCTTCACCTAAAGATCACTGTCAGTCGGTATTTGTCAGCTCTATTATTCTGAAAGCTTGAAGGAGCTGGATCCCAGCAATAACACGTAATGAGAAGAGGTGGATTTGACTGATGCTTTACTTTTAAAGAACGAACTTGTTGAAGTGAATGAACTTTCACCGGAAAAAAGAGCGGGCTGGCAGGAAAACTCCCTAGAAAAAACAATTAACCACTTACGGCTAGCAAAATGTCCAGAAATCAACAAACCGTAAAAGACCGCTCTGTTGTGCAGTGAATGAAGAATCATTGAGGGGCGGAAAAGACCTACCAGTCCACAGAGCCTCTCAGCAAGAGAAGTCTCATTATTTCCCCCCTCCCACAACAGCCTATCCAGCCACAACGACACACCCGCCTCCGCAAGCAGCCCGACCCGCCGATCCCGGCAAAACACCCAACACACCCGCCCGAACGACCTCGGTAATGCCACCCCGCCAGCCCAGCGCGCCGAGCGCGCTCCCTGGAAGCAATCGGGTAGCGCACCTCGGCACACACGGCTGAGAGCCAACCCCCAGCAGCACGGAAACCTGCCACACAGCAAGCCTCCGACAACAGGATTGCGCGTCCGGGCACACACGCACGCATGCATGAATCACCCACACCTCCTCTTCGTCAGAACGGGTACCGACATGTCTCCGTACTCACCCATGCGCGTAACATAACCCACGGCACGGAAAAAGTGCCGGGTGCGTTCCACGGAAGTGCCGCGTTGGCGGCGCGGCTGCGTTAAGGTTCTGACACGCGCTGTGTGAGGTTGTTGGTTGTGCGGGGAAACGCGCCCACGGCCCACAGACCTTTTCGGGCCCACCCGCGGGCCGGTCCAGTGAGCTGCTTGGTGCCGCGATTTATCCCCCGGAGATTGCGTCATGAGGTGAAGGGACTGGCCTCGTGCTGCTGGGCCAGCCGAGGCGCGGTTCGCTGCAAGGAAGCGTGTGTGCGTGCCTTAGGCCCGCTGGGGCGCCGGCCCGTTGGGCTGTTTGGCTATTGTTGTGTGCATTTGCGGGAAAGACCACGGCCTAGAACTGTGATCTATCTAATGGTGTGCTTCTGCGAACTGCCAAATCCGGGTCCCATTCGGGGGAAAAGCTGATAACGAATGCAGAGATAAAACGTTCGCACTCAACGAGATATTGTTGCATGATTCCAATATGAAAATGGCTCATTACACGTATCTACATACTCAAAACCCACAACACCCAAGTCGTCTGTATGCGAATTAATCACTCAGTCACCTCTCCTGCCCTCGCCCCCCTTGGCCTCGTCCCTCAATGCCCTCGTCTTTCTCCAGCGGCCGCCCCACAGCTGCAGGCCGATGATAGGGAGCCACGCAGTCACGAATATGCAGCCTGACATTAATCCGGCACTCCCAGCCATGCCTAAGCTGTTAATCATGTCGGGGAACCAAAAGGGGCCGATGAACGCCCACTGAAGAGGGTTAGCCTTATCTTTCGACAAACAGCAGGGATGGAATAGACCTACAGTGCTTCTGATCACGTTAATGAACACGCCGATGCTCGACGACGCCTCGGGATGGCAGTCCACTGCGTAGGTGACCAGCACCGTCGTCACGATCTGCGCGCCGCAGCTCCCGATGCCGATTCCCACAATCGGGGTCACGTTCCAGTGGTTCTGCGGCGCCTGCTGAATGCGGACACCGAAAACAATCAACCCGACAAGGACCAGCAAAAAGCCGCCATACGAGAGCCACAGCCGGTACTCAGGCGGCGGCCTGACGCGCGCACTTGACTTGGTTTTGCGGTTGATCCAGAAGTCGCTGAGCGGGCCGCCCATCTGTTCGCCAATAACGGAGCCGATGATCATGCCCAGGAACTGCAGGCCGAGCTGCTGCGGATTGAAGGCAAACTTGGGGATGAAGATTTGTGGGATCTCGACTGTAAGGAAGACGCTTAGGAAGCAGAAAACGATCGAGTAGCAGGCGGTCGGGATGATAATCGACTTGTACTTTGCGAGCGTGAGCGGATGGAGGAAGTCAAATGGATGTAAGGGCTTGGGATCTATTCGTCCAAAAGTTAGGTATTCTCGCTTGAAGGTGCTGCCTTTGTGCTCGACGCCCTGACGGATATAGCGCGTCTCTGGGCCAAAGAAGAAGTAGGCAAGAAATTGGACGGCATTAACCTGTGAATCTGTCAGTCCCGTTACACTTTCAGATTTAGAAAACAGTATCCCACAATGACAAAGATCCAGTATATCCATCTGTAGCCGATATGGTAGGCAACAAAGCCCATGAAGAAGGGACCAGCTGGAGGACCAAGAGTAACCATCAGACTGCCGTTTGAATTAGCATTTCCATCACTTTGCAATGTCAGCTGTACTTACGTCCATATGCCCATCTTCTGACCCCTGTCTTTTCTGAAGAAAGTCTCCACTACGACTCCACTACCGATGGCCATCGCAGGGCTGATGAAAAAGGAGACAAGACAACGACAGGCCGCCATGGAGGCATAGTTTGGACTGACAGCGCATCCGATGTTACAAACTGCAGAGAGCAGAGTGGACAACAGCCACATGGGCCGCCGGCCGTATTTGTAGGAAATAGGCTTCCAGAAAAGGGGTGCATAGCCAAGGACAGCAATCTGCATCGAAGTGAGGTATGAGGCTCTTTGTATCGAACAGCCCATGTCCTCGGCAATGTCTTCGTACGCTGGGATAATTCCGGCAGCTATGAACGTTGTCATGCAGGCGTGAAATGCGACGAGGGTAAGATTGATGTTTTTCTAGAGCAGACGGATCAGTTTGACGGCCTGAAAGGCGCATTTCGATACACACCTTCCACTCCGGCCAGTTGTACGGATCAGCTGGGTCGTCCGAAGGGATGGGGTCCAGCGCCAGAGTTCCATGTCGCTGGAGCAAATAATTCCTATGGTCTTGCGTGAGGTGCGATACATCGCCCTCCTCGATATTCGTAGCCTGATGCTGCAGTCCGTCAAGGTTTTCGCTGTTGTCGGAAGATTTAACCGGCAGGCTTTGAGTTTCCTGCCGCTCATACCCATATTTCTCATCGTCAACAGCTGAAGTCATGGTAGAAAGCGGTATGAAGATAGAAAGTTGATGTTGAAGATGAAAAGAAGGGAGAGATCTAGCAAAAGACCCGCGCAACACCAGGCATTGTTAAGACAGATCGAGCCTGCCGGATCAGCATAACGCCAGGGTATTAACGCCTCCCCACAAAATACCCCACTGGACCAAACGAGAGATCCTTGACGACTAGTCAATTTCTGTTGAACTGCTTGCGCCTCTGCGACATCTGCCGCTGCTGGCATCCGCAGCGCCCTCTCTCCGTAGAAGAGGCAACTCGGATGCGCCGATTGGCCGTGCCGGCTCATGGCGCATGTAAAGTGGGTCGGAGCCCTGACGTCCATGTCGGAGAGGGGACAACGATGAGGGCAAGGAGGCCGTGGAGGCGAGCTCGCGAGATGACTCTCGGAGACGTCCCCAGGCAGACAATGCGTGTGACGGGCTGTGACAGGCCTGTATGAGCGACAAGCTTTTTTGCCGACTGTTTGCCGTTTCCGGGTACCTCTCCGTGCGTGCAGTGCTTCAGCGTCGCACGTCGTCATGTGGGGTCCCCGCGCAATCTTTCGTTAGCGGCACCTGGGGTTTTCCGTGGGCCGTACTCATAGCCGACACTGCGGTGCTTCTTCCCCGCCTTCGCCACGACCGCGTCTTCCTCTTCTTCTGACGACATTAGTTCACAATTCCTTCCTTCAACCTGTTAAAGTATGTCTAATTACCTATTGGGTTTACTCCTTATACGGCTAATGTCTTCCTCACCTATCGCTCTGACCTTGATACACTCCTCTTACCATGTCACTGATCTCCATCTGATGTGACCCGTCCCAAGGCTCGATTTACGGCTGCTGGGTCGCTCGTGGAGCCCACATAATAATTGTCTCGGTTTCCAGCCGGCACTCACAACCTTTTAAACAGACGATCCACTGGAGACCACCAATTCTGGTGCGCCAGCCCTGCGCACTCTTCCGTTGATCGGTCAGCCGCTATGTCTACGGCTGGCTCTTCTACGCGAACTTAGCCATTTCCGGTTGATCTTTAACTATTTTGGATGCAACTCTAATTCCAATACCCTCTATAACCGTGCATTGCAATAAATTTATTAGACATCGTCACCATACCATCTATTAATTAAGCACCAGTTCCCGCGGGCTGAACAGATGACGATTATTTGCAGATGCCAGAAGGTTAGACCAAGAACAATGAGTTTAAGAGCAGGTACGATCGACCGATCCCCAGAAAATTATGATGCAGTGTTCAGTCTCCCGTGGGGTGTAGTAAAATTAATTGGTAGCGACGCGCATGAGCTCTATGACCTTGGATGCCAACGGCGGACACTGTGCTCACCGCCCATGATTTTCGACTATATAAACCTGAGCAAAAACGTAAGAATAGAGAAACTGTAGCAATCCCATCTCCCTTATCTTTGCAAACCCTAACACTGCATTAGTCTTGTTCCGAATTTCTTTTGGCGAAAGCCCTAGACATGGGCACCCTTTGTCACTTAAACATCCGCATGATGTTTCTTCATCTCGTGACCCTCTTTTCTGTTTTTATACAGATTTCCTATGCGATAGCCACTTCCGATGTTGCGACCACGTTCTTAGGGCCACCATTGACATATCAGGACCATGTGGACGTTACACTCTTAACGGTCAACAAAATACATCCTATGTGGACGATGAGCATAAGGATATCAAGATGGGTAATCCGTGTGGGATGCCGCCAATGAACAAAGAGCTCTGAGATAGTGGTGTGGGAGCAGAGGTCGTAGACTGGCTGAGACAAGAGTTGGAATTGTTCGGGGAAAGGCCGGAGGGCGCCTCCAGCTTCTCGGAGTTCATCTTCAGCAGGTTTACCCCTGACGTCGCTGGATCAAGTGCAGGTTGCAACGGAAGACAAGAATGTACCATTGGAAGTTGCAGAAACATACGCGACGATGTGACATTCAAGATGAGAACACTTGCGTATTACGCATTGGAGGCTGTTGCTAACCTCAACAACTTCATGATGTTTCTTATTCAACAATCAACAAACTCGGCTACCAGCATTGCGGCAATGGAGGACTTCCTTACTAAGAACTTCGCCTTTCCCGATGAATCATATGAACAATCCAAGGTCATGAAATCTAAGGAGAAGCACGATAAGATCGTGCATAGCATCATCCTAATAGTCACGGCTTTACTAAGTATCGCTATTAGAATGGTAACAGCAAGCCCAGGGTCAAGTGCGGTAGTATACGTAGCTGTATCTAAAGCAATTATCGACGCTGGACTCGCCACATGCCGGGGCAAAAGGCCTTGCTACGACTTTCAAGGAAAATTCAATGTAAGTTCGCATGCCGAAAAATTCATCCCTAGCTCACTTGTTCGTAGGGAACGCCTATAATCATCTCCAGGCTATGATGGCTACTGGAGTTCCGTTATGCGGGAGTTTGAATTGGCGGCAACAAATACCACAATCGCGTGGCTAGAGGGCCGCAACGATGCAAGTGGCACGAACATTCTAAACGTAATTGAAGCCACTGCGATGTTTAAGCCACCTACTGGACAGCAAATCCTAAACATACAACAATACACCCAATCCTTATGGGTTGATGCTGCTATTAACTTCTACTGGACCCAGGAACGTGTTTGGATAGTCGCGGCGGATACTTCTGACTGCCAAAAAGAAAATAGGGGTCCAATATATCTAAGAGTGTGCCTTGATGAATACCCGGACTTAGTTTTCTTCGTGTACGGTGCCGATCGAGCTGATAGGCTACCAACCTACGAGAAAAGAGGCTTAAGTAAAAAAGCCTGGCTTCACTCAGCTCCTGGGTTCTTACTCTTGGATGGTATGTTATAAAAGCCTATTAGCTGTGATACACTGCAACCATACTGATAGAGGGTATAGGGAAAGGAACATATGCAGGTATCAAGACGATGCAAGAGGATGTTGTACGATCGTCATGGAGAAACCATTTACTAGGAAACAATGGCACGAAAGACACACCGGAAAATGCACTGGAGAGGCTTGAAATCGGATGATCATTACAGAAGGACGATGTTTGCAAGAGTCATTGGCTTGACCGGCCGGCCAGATATATTCACCCTTGCTGTCTGCCGGAGTCCGAATGGCGAAGCCATTTCCTCCATCAGCACCCACAAAGCGCGCAACTACCCATGCATGTGCGGCGAATTCTCATGGGACAAATACGATTCGGACAAGGACCAGTCACTGCCGTTCCTTATACAATCAGGCCTCGGCGCGTCCGACGACTTTTATACCTTCTGTGACGAAGACTTGAAATGCTTTCGCGACGGTGGTAGCTCTTGGCCTTCGAAACCACCCGAATACGTAAAGGGTGAAATGTGGAACCCATTTCAAAGAATTCCGATTACATACTGCGAGAAAAAGGGCAACCGCCACACTACCTACGGCTTTTTGCTCGCAGCATATGATAAAATTAGCACATTTGGGTGGAAGAACAACTTTCCGGAAAGAGCAAGACTGTTCCGATTTTCTCTTCACAATTTATGGTGGGGAACAAGCCATGAAGGTTACCAAGAACCTCCTGATGATATTTATGGATTTATGGCAGATCCCGATTATGTAAATGATGGTGTTCGGCTGCACCCAGTGTTTGATAAGGGCCTAGAAGCAATCGAACGAGAATCCGCCGGCCGACCAGCGAACGAAACACACCTCATCGTTGCGTTAGAAGAGTAATATTTGGTTTTCTAAAGTCCAGTCATGCTTCCTAGTCACTCCTTTCAAGAAAAATGTTTGTCAGGTATTTTTTATCTTTAAATGATAGCTTCACGCTGGAATCTATTCCTTAAGCTCTTGTATTCTTCTTATACGCTAGTTACTCTTAATTATTTGTTATCTAGTAAAGCAATCCTACTAAGTTACTCTTTATACATGCCTTTAATCTGAAAATACTCGTATAATGTTAACTACGCACGGCTTAAACACCCCTAAGAATACCTTACTAAACTAACAATTACTCTGCGATATATTGCGCTACGACACAGTATCACTACGGATTTAAGGGTCCAACATTATTTACTACTACATATATACAAGCGCCCGTATACAGGCTATCCATGATTGAAAAATTGAGTGCAATTAGTACGCAGTGCAAGCCCTTACCCATCATCGATTCATCATCCACCCCTCTAAGCCCGATAACGTAAATGCACACGCAACAACTCCACAAACACGCACAGCATACACAACCCTTACAAACACAGCCCACAAAGAAGCTACCAACTTCAAATTTCCTACTCCTACATATCACTCTCTCTTCCCCAACCCAGCACAGCCCCTCTCCCCACACCTCGCACACAAAAAAACAACCCTACAAATACACACACACATACATAACCTACACCACTACCGCCACCACAACACCACCACACAACAACAGAACAACCTCCTAAAAAGACACCACCACCCCCAGCCCACTAAAACGAACAGAACAATCGAGATTGAAAAAAGCACAGACTTCCTCTCGCGACCCCCCTTACACTACTCATCTCCATCCATCAATCAATCCATGCATTCATTGCTCACGCAGACGATACGCGTACAGCAGCAACGGTGTACATAAAAAAACCATGCAGAGGAGGTAGAGCGTGAAAATGGTCAAAGTAACGCGGTAGAAGGACGGCGCACCTAGATAGGCAAGTAGGTTGACAAGCAAGTTAACAAACAGGCAGAAAGACGGCAGACAGGCAGACAGGTAGGCAGGCAACCTGTTAAGAAGAATGGATGGACGAATGACTAGATGGATGGACGAAAAGGACGAAGAAACCAACCCATCCCAACCTGCCATCCCATCCAATCCCAGAAACGAACAACCAGGAAGGAGGAGGATGAAGAAGGAAGGAAGAGCATGAAGCCCAGGAAGGCAGGAAGGAAGCGAAACCCCAAAAACAAAAAAACAAAAAAAAAAATACGTTCAAAAAATACAGTTGTCCATAAAGTAAGAGTAAAACAAAGAGGGGAAAAAAAGGAGTTTCACCCGTCCATCCATCCATCCATCCATGCCCCAACCCACCAAACCCCCACCAAATTTATATATCAATCAATCAATCAATATCGCCGTACCGTCAAGTCAAGTCAAGTCAAGCCGTCCGTCCGTCCGTCCATCCATCCGTCTAAAAAAAAAAAACGAGGATCTCGTCCGTCCGTCCCATCTTACTCTCGTACTCTCCTTCCTCTCCTCTCTCTCTCTCCATCTCTCCATCTCTCCAATCCACCTAATATCAACACAGACACGCTCACGCAGACAGAGAACCACTATACCGCCCATTAACCAAACCTCCCCTTTCTAACTCCACTTCCACTTCCAACTCGGCATCACTTCCCCCCAGACATCGCCTCCCACCTAGCCACCAGTCCCGAAACCTTGCGATTCGGCATCGGGCCAGGCGCAGGCGCAGACGCAGATCTCAAAGCAGAAGAAGGCGAAGAAGAGGAAGAAGAAGCGTCAGCGGCGCTCGCGCCACCAACACCCACAGTCCCCCTCCTCCTCGCAACAGACAAAGACGAAGGCGTCGGGCCCGACGCCTGCCTCTCCTTCAGCTGCTGTAGCACCGCGTCGATCGAGGGGGAAGATGCTCCAATACTGCTCGCCTCTAGTGGATCTCGTTGGCGGCATTCATGCCCGCCGGCGTCTGCGTGAGCTCCTCGTTTGGGGCACTCTGGCCCTCTTCGGTCGTAATGACGTCCTTGGGCGGTTCCGACGTTTCCGCTGCCGGCTCCTCTGGGATCGGCTCCGGGTGGTGCTCCGGCTCGGGCTCGGGCGCGGCCGCCTCCTCTTCGGCAGCGGGAGCGGGCTCCTCGGCCGCAGGGGCAGCCTCAGGCTGGGGCTCAGGCTCGGGCTCGGACTTGTGCTCCGGCTCCTCGTGCTTAACCTCCTCCTTCTTGCCCGCGCCCGGCACAACCTTCTGCACGGCCTTCTTGCCCCGCTCCGCGAGGCTGGTGCCATTCGGCTTCCGTGTAGGGTTGCTCACCGTCCGGCGCGGCGGGCTCTTCACCTCGGGCTCCTTCTTGTCGTGCGTCTTGCTCGCCGACGCCGCGGTCGGGCGCATCATGCGCGCCAGGAAGCCCTCATCAGCAGCCTTGGGCGCGGCACTGGTCCTCCGGCCGCCCGACGCAGAAGTCCGGCTCTCAGGGCGCTTGGAGACCGAGGCGGCCGTGGGGCGCGACGCCGAGTCGAGGGAGGCGCGGCCAGCAGCGGGCTTGGCCGTCTTGGTGGAGCTCGCGGCAGTGGTCTTGGAGGCAACAGAGGGCGCGCGCGGCGTGGTAGTCGTCTTGCGGGGCGCGGCAGCCTTCTCGGCGGCGGCCTTGTCGGCTTCACGCTTAGCGGCTGACGCGGCCGTGGGGGCCATCAGGTGCGACGGGACCTTGGTGGGGCGCGTGGGAGACTTAGGCTTGGGCTTGGAAACGGGCGACGGGTGAACGGGCTTCCTGTCGGCAGCCGGGCGCGACGTGGAGCGGGCCTTAGGAACCGGCGCGGACGTAGACGTCTGCGAGTGCAGCGAGGTGCGGCTGGCCTTCTTGGCGGGCTCCTTGCTCGCGGTCTTGGACGAGGCCGACTTGGCAGGCGACGCGACGGAGGTAGGAGTCTTGGAGGCGACAGGCGACTTTTCGACATTGGTCTCGGAGAGGGCGGGCTTGGCCTCGGCGGGCTCCGCAGCAAGCTCTTGCTCAGGTTCGGCGGCGCCGTTGGCCTTGTCTGCAGACGACTCAATCAGAGGCGAGGGCTCCAGAGTGGGCTTGGCGGGCTCCTCCGCGGGCTCTGGCACGGGCTCCTCCGCGGCAGGAGGCTGCGCGGGCTCAGCAGGGGGCTGCGCGGGCTCAGCGGGGGGTTGCGCGGGCTCAGCGGGGGGTTGCGCGGGCTCGGCAGGCTTTTGCGTGGGCTTGCCGGCCAGCGAGAGAAGCTGCTCGTGAGGGTTGGGCAGTGCGCGGCCGCCAGAAACCGTCGACTCCTCCTTGGGATCGGCGGGCTTCATGATGGCGTCATTGTCCTCGACAGCCGAAACGACCTTGTCGGGCTGGTTGCTGTGCTGCTCGGTCGAGTGGATGGCGAGGTCCTGCTGGGGCGCAGGTTCGGCCTCCACGGGCTCGCTCTTCCTGCCGGTGTCTTGCTCGACCTGCTCGAGCGACCGGGCGGCCTCGCGGACGGCATTATCGGCATTCTCCTGGGTGGCCTCCTGCATGGGACCGGCGCTGTTGGAGAGCTTAGGGTCCTGCAGTTTGTTGGCCTGGTTGTTGACGAACATGCCCATGGCATCTTCCTCCTTTATCTCGGGGAAGGGAGTGTTGGTGGGGCCGGTCATGACGGCCTGCTCGGGAATGGTTTCTTGGATGTCGACGCTCTGACGGCGCTGCTCGCGCTCTTCCGACACGGACGACTTGAGCTCGTCGAGAACTTCCGAGTCGCGCTGAGCGTCGAGGCTGAAGCTACCGCGGCGTTGAGCGATGGTGCTCTCGTGTTCTTGGGCTTGGGCATTGGTGGCTTGGGGATCGAGGGGCTCGTCTTCGACGGCATCGTCGGCAAAGACGGGTGGTTCGACGGGGACGAACGAGGCGCGAATCTTGGAGCTGGGACGAGGGTTGGACTCGCTGCTGCGCGCGCTCTCGGCTGGAGAACGGCCGCGCATCTCAGGGGAGCCCGGCTGGGATTCGGATTTGCTGCTCTCGAACATGGCCCTCAGGGATTTGACGCCGCCGCTTGTTGCACGCTGGGTGGACATGGCTGCGATCGGGCGCGGGGTCAGTAGTGTTGCGGGAGGCCAGCTCGCAGGAAGGGGATTGAGGTGATTGAGGAAGTTGGGAAGAAGAAGGTGCAGCGGTGTGTGTGTGGGTATGTAGGATGTTTTGACGATGACGGAGTCGCGGTGGGTATGGTCCGTAACAGACTGGGGGTTGCAGGGTGAAACGCGACTTTAATTGGGGCGAGGGCGCACCAGCGACCGGGGCACTCACAACTGCTGAAAGCTATCTGGCACGGTTGAGCATGTCTGCCACGACGAGAGAATTGATGAATGAAAGGGTGCAAGTGAGGGTCGACGCCGTCTCACGACTAGATGCTGCCAAGCCCCAATTTCAGCCCAGTCACGGGACTCTTTTGCTACGGTAAATGACGTTCTCCCCAATCCGGCTCGTTGACGTTGGTCGATGGAATAATCTGGGGATCGGGGCGAACACCCCCCTGTTCATGCCGCCCGCCGCTCTTCTGAGGTAAAAAGCAAAACAAACTCCAACGCTCATCAATCACAAGTGCGCCGTTTCATCGTCGCTACTAGGGAGGGAGGAAGTTACAGCCCAGCTCTCTGACCGGTGGCTACTTCCCTCCCAAACTCCTACTGCTGTCGTCTGCACCTTCCCCTTCCCCATCTCGCCAATCGCCCCCTTCCATTTCTGACGACGCTCCGGCCATCTGTCCTTTCCTCCCCCCACCACCCGCCCAATGGGAAGCCGCGCCTGTGAGGGTATCATTTCATTGCCTTGTCTGCGCGCTATTTACGCTGCTACATATCCACTCCTCTCCACCCTATCTAACACCACCACCCTTTTTCGCCCTCCTATCCTATCCTATCCATCCAAGTGCCCCACTCCCAGCACCAACACCAACACCAACACCACCACTCTACAAACTCCCCAGCTCCAACCACCCCTCCACAAACACCAGCGTCGACCCTGCCCGTCCCGACATTGCCTCCTCAAACTCCTCAAACCCAATTCCTCCACGCACGCTGCGAGCCCCTTCCCCTTTAACACCACCGCCACCACCACTAGCTGCAAACCCATTCTCCATTCCCTGCAGCACCGCTAGCCTCGCCAAACGCGGCTCGCTGGGCGGGCTGGCCCGGTGCGTCGCGCGCCGCGCGTGCGCCTCGGCCAGGTGGGGGTTGGGCTGCTGCGCCGCCAGGTTCGACGTTTGGATGGCGTCACGGTGGCGCTGCTCGCGCGCAGCCGCGCTGAAGAGCGCAAGGACTTCGAGCGGGATGGGCCCGAGGAGGTTATTGGGATGGTCGGGGTCGAAGGCGCCGTCGGCGTCCGAGTCGGAGTCGGAAGCATCCGAGTCGTTCTCATCACCATCTTCGTCGTCATCATCATTATTGTCGCGCTCGTGCTCATCATGTTCGTGTTCATTCTCATCAACAGACGACGATGACTCGTCTTCGGACGAGGCGGCTGAAGTCTCAGGTGTGGCGCCCGTAACGAAAAGACTAGGGTCCAGAGTCATGGAATCAGAGTTCAAAGATGTGAGTACGGAAATGGCGTTTCTCTCTAGGTTCAAATCTTCGGCAGTAGGAGGCGGTGGGTTGCGCGATGAGGTCCGAGATGGATGCGCCGCATCGCTGTTAGGCCGGAATTGGGGCAATGTAAGATCGCGATGTTCGGCTGGTGGTACGGGAAGCGGGATCTCCGGAGCCGTAGGCACCTCGGGCGGTGCGGTAGTATTTCTGGGCAGGCTGCTTGCGGCATTGCCAGCAAGCTCGTTGAAATCTTGACCTGCGATTGCTTCGATCGAGGCAAGGTCAGCCGCACTGTTGGGCCGGAATTGTGGCAGCGTCTGGTCAAAGTTGGGTGGTAGTTGCGACGTCGTGGACTGCGTGGTGACCGGCACTGCGTCGGGAGCATGTTCAGATGCTGCGTCCGTCGGCTCCTGCGGCGATGGACTGGGCTCGCGCAGGTTCCTGTTGGGTTCGATAATGATCGCAACTTCGGGGCGAATTTCAGTAGACTGCCCATCTTCGCCCTGAGGATCTCGCTCTCCCACTAGATGCTCAATGGTGTCAACCACAGCTCGAACAGTATCGTCTGGGCCTTCGTTGTCGTCCTGCTCAGCAGCATACCCCGCTCTTTCGAGCAGTTCATCCAGTTGCATCTCCATCAAGTCTGTGTCGAGCTTGGCCTCACGATCAGCTGCAGATGAAGCTTCAGTCTTCGGTCCCTCGGGCTTCGCCTCGGTGATTCTTCTAGCAGCCTTCGAGACGAGCTGCCGCGCGGCATTGACAGCAGCCTTGTATGCGTCGGAGCTCACGTGCTTCTCTGCCTTCTTAATATCCTGTTCGAAAGGCTTGAAAGCATCATCCACAAAGTTGTTCAACTCTTCATCTTTGAGTGGGGTTTGAGCACGCACAAGCTGGCTGGTACGCCAACTTCGACCGACGACGATTGCGACGAACTGGAGGGAAACGTCCAAGAGAGCTTCTGCCTCAGGCGACCTAAGCAGAGGGTCATTGAAAAAGTCTGCGTCGGTCTTTTGCTTGATTTCGCGGGCAAACCGCTCAATCTCGGCACGCCAGTGCTCACGCTCCGCTTTGGTCGTCTGGACTTCCAAAGCAAGATCTTCCTTGCGCCTGAAGAGAGGGTCGAGCATCTCGTTCGTGCCTTGCTGGGTCACCTGGTACAATATGTCTTTGCCGAGGTCCTCTTCCGCTTCTGGGATCTCGTAACCACCCCAGCGCTCGCCGATGGGCCGGGAAGACGTAGAAGCTTCGGAGCGTGCGTCAGATTCAAGATCATCGGCGAAACGAACTCGCGACGATGAGCGTGACATGGACGGACGGTGGTATACTCCGTTGGTGCCATTGGTCTGCCCAGAAGGTCCCGCAGTGTCGTGGGCCGTGGATTCATCGAACCGATCATCCTCTCCCATATTATCCGGAGCTGTAAGACCTTCTTCTTCGTCTATGTAGAACTCGCGTCTCCTCCAGCGATCTGCAACAGCATCGCGCCTGGCTAGTTCAGGGGACGAAGGCTGTGGAAGAAAAGATGATGTTCTTTGGCTTTGAATTTCACCAGCATCGGCAATGAACTCCGAGCGATCTCCAGCATCGTTGCCGCTTTCCCGAACAACTTCTTGATCTTGCTGAGGATCGCCAAAGCGGTCAAAGGTCTTGCGGGGAGTGACTCCATTCCTGCGAGTCGGAAAGTTTGCTGCACTAATGAAGGCAGAGCTCAACGGCTGGCTAGACTCGACTGTGTCCATGGCCCCAGCTACACTTAGGCTCTCTTCTGCAACCATGAGCATGTCTCGCGTCTTTTCGCGGAGAATGTTGTAGTACGCTCGGAAGATTCGCAGAAAGTCTTTTCTCGTGACGAACCCATCTCCATCCACGTCGTAGCACTCGAAGATCTTCTTGAGCTTGGACTTCATGCGCGGAGACATGCGGATATAGTTCATCCCTTTGACGAATTCTTCAAACCCAATGAGACCATCACCGTTGCTGTCAAAGAAAGTGAAGACACGGTCATAGACAAGATTAGGGGCGGGAATGTTTGCCGTGTACCGGGGGACGAAAGCTTTATCGAACGCGCGTCTATCGATGGCAGCACCAAGCTTGTGAGGGTCGTGATCCCAGGGGATGTTCGCAAGGCAGGTGAATTGTTCCCAAAGACCTTCGATTTCCTCCGGATCATAGTCCGTCTCATCTTCCATAGCCTTTTTCACGGCATTTGGCACAAGATTAGGCATGAAGTTCGGATTTCCTGGGAAGTAAACAGGCATTGGTTTGCGCGTGTAACCGAGATATCTGGCGGGGATCTTGACCTTTTGGAACATGTGCGTCTTCGGATGGATGTTGGTAGCCTCGCAGTCAGAGCACAAGTCGTAGTCTACGCAGTTGGTGCAGCGATAACGGACGCCTCGTATCGGGGTCGTTCGGCAACCGTCGCAGGTGATGCCGCGATGCACGATGCCCTTCTGTCGAGCCTGGTCTTCCGCAATGTAATACAGTGTCCGCCTAAGCGCATGTCCGTCGCCATTTTGTGCATCGTCGCCAGCGCCACCTCCTGGATCTTCAGCGTCATCCCACGAGGCATCTGTCAAAGTGTCATCAATGGCCGTCGGTAGAGCAACGATATCCACTGCACTTGCGCCATCTGTTTGCGGTGCCCCATTCGATCGCGTGTTGTTCCTAGAGTTATATCCGACGATTTCCTCCCGAATGAGGTTTGCAGGAAGACCCCATTCAGAGAGCTGAGAGAAAGCTGCGTCCGTGCCTTGACGACCATCCTGAGGATTGACTTCGCGGTCAAGATAATTCTGAGTGAATATGCGCTGGGCTCGCTGCGCCAGTAATTCGGCAGTTACTCTGCTCACGTGGCAGAGGCTCTGGAGATAGGCTGCGTCGGGGAGCTGTAAAGGATAGAGCGTGATGCTATGGCGGGTGCCGTTCGCTTCTTCGCAGACGAGTAAACCATAAGGCATTCCATATCGCGCATCGGTAAACTGGGATGGAGGTGGATTTTGGTCGGGAGTGAGCTGGTCGAGTGGATCGTCGCCATCAAGAAATTGTTCGAACCGCCGCGGACGTTCTCTTCGGTGTATCGCGTTGCTTCGGTGGAGAGAGGTGCTAGGTCCCGATCGACTGTTGGTGTAGAGGAGATAGAAGCCGTAGGCTATTGCCGCGCCAGTGACAGTAAGGACGACCGGGCGATACCGTGACAGTGACGATGCTGTCGGCGTGGTTGAAGCCATGCGGAGCTTCGGCCAAACCGGAGGTTATGATGAAATCGTAGGAAGAAAAAGTGTGTGAGCTGCGCGCTCGATCAAAAGGTAGCTAGCTGATGAGCATAGCTACCGTTGAGCGCCCTCCCTTACGCCAAGCGAGCAGAGCGTCGAAAAAGGCAGAAGCGACTTGTAATCGAAGTGTCCGCTCGCACCTGCCGCTGATGTCGCGCGAAGGATACAGGTGAGACGCCGCCGGCTGATCCTCGGTCGCCGACTCAGCCCTACATGTCAGGATGTCTGACCACCATGCTTCATACGTCTCCCGCTTTGTCTAGTTTACTGTGTCAAAACAATGGCATTCATCGTCCACCGAATCGAACCTCAAATCTCAAGTTCATGGAACTCATCGTTATCCTTGCAACTCAAATGCACACACTGCGTCGATCCAATAATATGCCGTCCATGTCCATGTGTACCCTGATGAAGTGCATCAAGTGAATGCATTAAGTATCACCAAGCATTCGACCTTAGCAGCAAGAAGCAAGAAGTCAGGAGATAATTTGAGGTCGAGCAACCCTCGAACGGAACGCCGAAGGACTTATAAAGTTGCTTAGCCCGCTACTGCAGTTTTTAACTACAGTCGTTTAACACATTCAGCGCTTTGTATGGCTTGCTGGAAGTGGAAATCTTCAAGTCTAACTATTGTTGATACGTATCAGGCTGCCATGGTGGCCTTCAGTGAATAAACTTACTGATTCCCTATTTAGGCAACGAAGGTTACATTCACCATCAGCGTACCCCCACGTGAAAGGGCGCCATCAATTGAACCCGCGTGTCATATTCACGTGTGAGCATAAGCCACACATTCTTTTTCAGGTAGCTCAGCTTCCCACAGGGTAATAATAATAATCTCACTTCACACAGCTTTTGCACTTGCACTTGACCTAACTTTTTATTAAATCCGCTCCGACCCCACTGAAACACCATCAACCCACCCTACACATATATCGACACATCTTTTGCGTACAACATCAACCTACTCGATCCAGATTTTCACCCGTTGCCTCTTGCAAGCCTCCGTAAGCCAGCAAACGCTTCTCACTTACAGTGTCCACGATGCCTGGCTCTCTCCTCAATCACCCTCCCAATGGTAAGTCACAGTCCCGACTTCGCTGACCGCATGGGTGTCTCTCACGTTTATATCTAGGAGGAGGTAAGGACGGCGGAGTTGAAATTCACGATACCCAGTTCGTCGTAAACAAGTGGTTTCAGGACAACGAGCGAAAGGATCCGTTATGGTACACACACGACTCGCCGCCCATCCTGGACCGTGAGCGGCAGAGACTAACATCCATCAGGCACGAGACCCGCGTCTCCGCTGCCAACGTTCCGATGATCGCAGATGGTCCCCGAGGAAATCTCAAGGCTGGAAATGGCCAGGTTGCCGCCGAAAAGCCCACTCGCTCGCTCTACGAGGAGTACAAGAGCGCGGGTCACATCGCGGGCAGCCCCAGCAAGCCCAGAGGCAAGGATGATATGACCGGCGCCAGGAAGTTCGCTCAGACACTCTATGAGAAGTACAAGAGCGACGGATACGCCGTGGACACACCCGACAACGACTGGATCTATTCATACTGGAGACCCGGCGACCAAGACGGCGAATGCGACAAATGGGCCCACCCTCTCCAGGTCCAAGTCCGACGTCTCATCGATTCCTGGAGGCGGCTCGACTTCCACCGCTGCGGGTTCGCCAGAGGGCTCACCATCTGGGAGATCACGCACCTATGCAAGCGGAACATCCTCACGGCCAACTCGTATCCCAAGGAACGCACCTTCGTCGTCGAGCCCGGGTTCAACGCCGAAAAGTACGTGGTCCAGATGTGGCTGGAAGAGCAATCGCCAGTCGTGGCGCTCCGCCTCGGCGCCATGTTCCGTCTGGACAAGTTCCTGGACTCGTTTGTTGACCGCACGCCCTCGCGCCAGGACGTCATCAACCACGCGGCCTGGCTCGACGAGAACGGCAAGACATTCGACCTAGGCGGCCTCCCGAGCGAGCTGAGATGGAACCTCTACGAAGCCATGGTGGTAAAGCGCAAGCTGTACCCGTTCCGCAAATTCCGCTCTCACCGGCGCGGATTCGAGCCGCGTGGGTCCCTGTGGGAGCCCGGCTTGATGAAGCCGTTCTTCCACGCCCTCGTGGCGTTGCCCAAGGAGGCCGACCTCCTCGAGAAGGTCGTGCTGAACAAGACGGTTTTCTGCTTCGAGAACATCGCGGCTATCGAGGTGTTCTTTTCCCGCTGCCCGCCGCACATCCTGCACGAGATCCGCCACATCCAGCTCGCCTTCGACAACGCCGCGTTCCTGAAGTTCTGGGGCCAGTCCCTCACGCCTGACGTCGAGTTTGAGCAAAGCGAGGCCGTCAAAGTCCTCGAGACGCTGCCGCTCTGGGAGTTGATCCTGGAGTTCCAGCCGCCCGCCCGCATGAAGCTGCACCACAGTCTGAGCGACACGACGGACTTTGGCTGCCACGCCAAGATCGTCGACTGGGTGTGCGACAACGCGGCGCGGTTTGCGCGCCGCACCAAAGACATCAAGTTGACGGGGTTCTATTTCCGTCCGTCGCAGCAGGTCGGCGTGCGCCGCCGGCACAAGCTTTACCGCGATGCTGAGCGCAGGGAGGAGCAGTACGCCCGGTGCCAGGACCTTGCGCGGCTGCATGCAAAGAGGAAGCAGGCCGCTGCGCGCCCTGACGACTTTGCTGACATTGAGGCCCGCTTTGGCTACGACGAGGACCGCTATGGTTGTGTTCATGATGGCGTGCCGATTCCAAAGGACATGAGCGAGTTCAGTCCAAGGCACTTTGATGTGGGAGATCTTTCTGATACCAGCAGCATCGACATGGAGTACCAGGACGAACTGGGGCTGAGGTTCGATGATCTGTGGCCGTAAGTACTTCCTTCCTTCTTTCCTTTCCCTTTTTTTTCGATTTGTTGGAGATAGGGAGTGATTAATCCAGTGCACGTAGATGCGAGTGCGAGAACCCGTGCCAGGAGGACTGGTTCGACAACACGGACCAGCCGGTCCGAGAGAAAAAGATGCCAGAAGCAGAGGCGGACCCCCTCCCAGACGACCTCCTAGCAGACCTCGCGGCCCTGGAAGCGCTGGCAGACTCCGACCTCGACATTGACCAGCAGCCAACGACTATTTTGCCCGATTTCGGCACCGCACTGCTCAACCCCACGCCCTCCGACGCCGGCTCCTCTCCCCAATCAGCCTCGCTCTCCGGCACCAGCCAATCCGACCCCTTCGAGTACGACAAGCCCTCATACTCGCGCTTCAAGAACCGCTCCCGGACGTCTGCGGACCTGCTGGACAGCCAAAACCCGCCTGCCGCTGGGCCTGCCGCTGGGACAGCATGTAGAGTGCCTGTCGCCGCGCTCTCGGATGCTGGCACCAGCTTTTCTGACCCCTTCGAGTATGACAAGCCCGCGTACGACCGCTTTAGGAACCGCTCCTGGACGTCTGCGGACTTGGTGCAAGAGAAGGCTGGGCTGGAGGCGCGTGTGGGTGAGAGCAAGCGTGAGGGGGGTGGAAGTGGGCAGGAGCTGACTGCGCCTGCGCCTGCGCCTGCATCTGAGTTGTTGGAGCTTGGAGGTTTTTGTTCTGGGGGCGGGGAGTTGGATGACGACGAGAATGTGCGTGGTGGGGACGAGGCCAAGGCTAAGGTGATTGAGGACGAGGATTAGGGAGTGGGATTGTGGGGCTTGGTGTGGTAGGCGGTGAGGAGTGAGGAGTAAGTGGGTGGCGATGCTGTTTGGGATGGGACGGGTGGATTGCGGGTAGGTCTGATGGGTAGGTTGGGTTATCACGGGGGACTGGGTGTTGGTCGGGGTTTCTTTCTCTCTTCCTTTTCCTTTTTTCTTTCCTTCCTTCCTTCCCAGGCACGAGGCCAGGTTTCTCCCCTTTTTTGGAGACGGAGTTAGTTTAGGTAGGTACCTAGTTGCTGGCCTGGCAGGTAAGTAAGTAACTACCTAAGGACAAACGGCTTGGCGATTCAATTAAAGAGCGGCATTTCTCTTTTTGTTTTGGGATCGGGGAAGCGTGGAGGTTGGTGGTGTGGGTGGATGGGCGCATACATACAAACCCGTGAAGGAGACTTTTCTTTGCCGTTGCTGGTGCTGCGACTGCGTGGTTTTGCGCGCTGGTGTCTGTGTTTGTGTCGGTGTTTAGGTTGAGAGTAGGGAGTAGTAGGAAGGAAGGAAGGAAGGAAGGAAGGAAGGAAGGAAGGAGAGTCAAAGAGAGGCGGAGGTCGACGGGGTCTATAAAGCAAGAAATAGAAAGTATAGCTGTAAGGAACGCGATATGGGTTGAAGAAAAAGCGGTGTCAGGTCAACAAGAACACGCACAGCTGTGCTGGAGGGTTCTTTGGTATGTATATACAACTTACTTTACACCTCGCCAAGCCCGTAACCCTAAACGGCATTACACGCCGCGATCCGCGGTGTCGTTCTTTGTGTGTATACATGACAGTTTTTCTCCACTTTCTGACTTGGCCCTAGATTGTATAATATATATACACACTCACTCACCAAACCCACACGCCCACCCTTAGCTAAAGGCTTATTTACTTTACTACACAATCCGCACCACCGATCCACTTACCATGCACAGCATTCCCCGGGGTTCGCTTATTGTATGTATGTATACAGAAAAAGCAATCTCCTGGTATATAGTTGGTGCTTGGTTTGTTTGCGTTTATACAGCGGCTTTGGGTATGGGGGTTTCCTGGGATGAGTTCCAGTATATAGATATACATGTTTGTGTGTGTATGTGTAGAGTTCACACGCAACAGCTGACCCCGTACACTACGTTTACAGACTATATATATCTATATATCTATTACATTTATTACACAGCAGCACCCACAACGCACTACCTACGCCCCCACACCCTCTCCCCTTCGCGTCACCACGACCCTAACGTCCCCCCTCGGCCGCATCACCCCCGTACCGGGCAGCATGGTCGGGACATGCCATTCCGCCCCCACAGGCGTAAACTCCCAAAGATTGATGACGGCAGCCACGACGGCAAGGATCTCCTTTTCAGCGAACACGCGGCCCTTGCACATGCCTGCGCCGCCGCCCCAGGGGCGGAGGGACCCGTAGCGGGTTGTTGTTTTGCGGGGGTTGCCCCCGCTGCCCTCGCTGCCCTCGCTGCGCCCCTTGTCCTCGCTCCGCTCGGGCTCGGCATCAACAACGAACCTCTCCGGCACAAACGCCCGCGGGTCCGGGAACAGCGCGCCATCCATCTGCGCCAGCCCATGCGGCACCGAGATGAACGTGTCAGGAGGTAAGACGTGCTCTCTCGGACCATCAGGCACCGTCACCGGCCTTGCGACATAGCGCAGCGACGACGACGCCGAGGCCGTGCGCATCGTCTCCAAGAGCGCGGACTTGAGGCGGGGGCACTCGCGCGCAAGGCCCGCGTGATCAATCGCCGTGATCTGCATCCCGTCGGCAGAGAGATGAACATGCGGCGCTGTTTCTGCGCGGAGAGAGGATAGCAGGCCAGGCGTCGCGTAGATGTACACCACGAGCCAGCCGACCAGCGGCTGCGTGTTTGCGTTCGCGGCCCACAGGAGCGCGAGGTCGATCTGGCCGCGATAGCGCAGCGGGACGTCGTGCTTGGCGTACGCGGCGCAGCGCTCGCGCACGACCGGGCCGACATCTGTGAGCGCGGCCGCGTCGGCCTCGAGGCGGGCGTACAGGTCCGTCAGCGCGGCGTGCAGGCGGCGGCGGGCGGCGAGGCCGCGGCGCAGGGCGGGGAGGGGCAGCCATGATGGCAGGCCGGCGGCGAGTAGCGCGAAGGCGTTGTGGTCGAAGGCCCAGAAGTCGGCGAGCAGGGCGGGGGTGGAGAAGTCATGGCCGTAGAGGAGGGGGAGGGTCAGGGCGGCGCCGAAGTCGCGCACGAGGGCGAAGAGGTCGACTTCTGCTGCTGCTGCTGTCGCAGCGTGCTCCCAGGGCTGCAAGGGCTGGTTCGGGGCCAGGGTCACGAGCGCGGAGGCCTTGGACGGGATGGCGGCCGCGTGGATGGCGGCGAGGGCGTTGCCCTCGTGCAGGAAGTTGCGCTCGACGGCCGCGAAGAGCTCCTTGTTCGCTGCGATCAGGCGCGCGCGCAGGGCGGGCAAGTTCGCGACGCCGAAGACGCGCACCAGGATGCTCCAGCCGATGGGCTCGGTGCTGAGCACGTGGTGCGGGCTGGCGAGGAGGCGGTCGATGCCGGCGAGGTTGTGGATGAGCTGGTGGGATTTGGCGAGGCCGAAGAGGGCGCCGCTGTGCTGCCGGAGGGAGGTGCTATGTTGGTAGGGAGCTGTGAGCGAGGTTTTGAGTTGCAGTGTTGGGCTGGCTTACAGCATGCGGAGCCATATGCCGCCGGCTTGGATGCAGCTGCTGGCGATGAAGATTTCAAGGGGGACCCAGGCCGGGAGAACTGCATGTTTGTTGTTGCTGGGGCTTTTCAACAGGTGGTGCACTATTATAACCGCGGCGACTAGCGCTGCGGTCCTGATATAGATGCTTAAGCCGCCCGCTACAGGGGCGTCTGCGGGGGATTCCATAGGCCGATGGACACGACCCCAATTATAACAGGCAAAGAACGACAAAGCAACAACCGATAAAAAAGAGAGAAAGGACGGAGGGAGAGTTGGACATAACGCTGACCTACCCGATCCATCCTGGCTCCAGTCTTGGCGCACAACACCCGCGTCACCGTCACCGCGCCCGCTCCATCACTCACGCCCCATCTCCACAAATGGCGCCAACCGGTAAGTTTCCAATCGCTCGCGCACGAGATTACTACCTACTGACCGAGGCATTGCAGACCGCGAGGAACGACGTCGCATGCGCCAGCGCGGCGCCGGGTAAGCACGCACGCGTCCGTCACGTCCGCGCCCACACGCCCGCTAACCCACCTACCCACCACGCAGCGCCGGAGCAGTTACGAGCGGAAACTTCGGCTTCACCTTCGGCGGCAGCGCGCCTGCCTTCCCACAGCAGCCCTCCTCTCGCGGCACCCCCAAAGCGCTGCCCGCGCAACGCTCCACGCGCCGCACCCCGGCCCCGCTGCCCCCGAGCGCGTCGTCGCGCCGTACGCCAGCTGCGCCGAGGTCCGCGTCCGCCGAGCCGTCCAACCTGCAGAAGAGCGCGAGTGCGCAACGGTCGGCGAAGACGAAGACGCCGCGCCAGGCGGGGGAGGAAGCGTTACTTGCGACGCCGTCGGTGCAGGGCGCGCTGGAAGCTCCCGATGAGAACCAGGAAGATGAGCTGGAGGGAAACGACGAGGAGTACCAGACCTCGGCGAGGAAGAGCCAGGCTGAGCCAGCGCCCCCGCCGAGCGTAGAGAGGCGTGCTGTGGCTACGCCGAGGGTGGCTATGGAGGAAGCGGAGGACGAGCTTGAGCAAGACGACGAGGATCACGCCTTGTCAACCGCGAGGAAATCACGCGCGTCTCTGGAGCTCGACAGAAGGACGGCGAGCCCGGCCGAGTCTGCCAAGAAACGGCGGGGTCGGCCACGCAAGTCGCTGCCCGATCCTGTGGCAGAACCATCTCCGGCCGCCCGTGCTTCAGATCAGCAAGCGCAGGTCGAACTTCCCATACACAAGAAGAGAGGAAGGCCGCGGAAATCCGACGCTTCTGTTGTAGCACAGTCCACGGTTGAAGAGACGCCTAAGAAGGCTGGAAGAGGGCGCCCAAGAAAGAGCGGCAGTGCGGTTAAGCCTGTGGCATCACCTAGCACACAAGGGAGGCAGGATCGGAGCGAAGATGGCTGGGATGGTCTTCCGCCGGCCCAGAAGCAACCTGCTAGTGCCAAAGCACGCAAGAGGACATCTTTCCGTTCTACCCAAGACGAGGCTGAGGAGCAAGATGAGGAAGGCGATGAGCTAGATGAGGACGAAGACGAAGAACAAGAAGAAGAGGAACCGGAAAACGAAAACGAGGCAGAAGAGACAGACGATGAGCTGCAAGACGACCAATCACGCCAATCCTCCGTCGAAATGCAGCACGAAGCCCGGCCTCCAGCGCCCAAACCCAAGCCCACCAAACGCAAAGCCGCACAAGACGGCGCGCCGCGCAAGCGCCAAAGACGCACCACCGACATCGCAGCCACCACGCCCCGCATCCCCATAACCGTGTACCGGCTCTCGTACCCGCGCCGCGCGGTCGCAAACGACGACGAAGACGCCTCCGAAGACGAGCTCGCGCCCGCCCACCCCATCATGCGCGCCCCGGCCATCAACCCCATCGACGTCCTCGCCCAAGTCACGGCCGAAATGACCGCCCGCGCCGCAACAAGCCTCATGCAGCAATCGCAGACGGAGCCGCTAAAACCCAAGCGCAGCGAACTCAAACGCCGCGCCAAGACCGCGCAAGCGTTCGGCGCCGCGCTCGCGGACCGCCTCTTCGACCTCACGGAAGCAGTCAACGCGGGCGAAACGCTCAAATCCCGTCTTAAGGCCGCGGACAAGGAGAAGGCGGCCCTGCGGGCGAGGTTCCTGGACCTCCGCCGCCAGAGAGAGGAGGTCGCGCTGCGCATGGATGAGGTGAGAGCTGCTCATGCTGTGGCTGAGGAGCGCAGAGCGGCGGACGAGCGGCTGAATGAGGGGGTCTGGGGCTTGGAGGTGGCGGTGCAGCGGGGGAGGGAGCGGGCGCGGGCGCTGGGGAGGGAGGCGGAGGAGCCGCGACGGGGGGTCGA